GCCTGGTCTGTGAGTGAACGCCGGATCTTGTTATCTGCCGTTGCAGTGAGGTAGGTCGTTGCGGTGTGCTAGGCGTGCCTTTGAATGGGCAACGATCATAGAAAAATCCTTCGAAGACCTCATATGTCTCGGATGCTACGTTGTTGGGGACCACCATCTGACCACCCACACGTTGAGATTTGCCGTCTGGTTTTCGAGCGGCCCTCAATGCTGCCAGTCTTGATTATTGATTCTATTCTTGTCCTTCGTTCCAGGGACACTCACACTGGTGCCGTTTAAGCTGATGGGCCTCCCCCGGGCCAAGCTCCCTGCCCTGCTTAGTGCCCGTCTCTCTCGAGCCACTCTCCTGAGAAGAAAGTGCAATGGCGTCAAGCCACGGATGATAGTTTCATCTACCGGACGAATTCCGTGCAGTCCTGGGTGCGCCACTGATGGTTCTTGGAACTCGCTTTTCCCTTTTGTAGGTCTATTGATGTTGTTTACAATCCTTAAATTAGCACTTGGGAGAACTCGCGTGGCGCAATAGTCCCCTGGCTCTATCCACGCTGGATTCAGGGGAACAACAATATCAAGGTTTTTTGGTAAGAGCTTGTGGCCTCAGCCTAATCCCAACAGGTCGATAGACTGCCAATCTGCCGAACCAACATCGCACCATTGGGGAAGGAGACATCACTGCGAAGACTCTCCTTGGTTTAGACTTCCTCCAAGTGAGCCCCCAATCCACAGCACCGCCATTTACCGTGTGCCCAGTATCGTCTATCTATCCTTTTCCATACTATGAAACTTCCACGCCTTCCCGTCCTGCTCGTCGGTGTTTGGGTGGTCTCACTAAGCCGAAAATCTCATAGGAAAGGTTTCACCATCACGGCTCTCTAGATCTCCAGATATAGAATACATAGAACGTTAAAAGGATTTTTCAAGCATGAAGCAGGACGCCCCCCTCCATCCGCACGGTGATCACATCCACACAAGACAGAAAGTTGGTGAGATGCGAATTTAGGAGTTGGTCGGGCGAATCATGCTTTCGCGGGAGGACTAGCTAGTGGGAACCGTAGTGCCTGGCTAGCACACCATTCCACTATCATACCACATAAGGGAAGGATGGGGGGCCAGTATGCTCTTTTCTGCTCGTCGTGTAGATCTTAGTCTCTGTCATTGGTTTTTTAGCTTAGTCCCAGTCACGGTTCAGATCTCTAGGACACGTTCCCGAGATGCTCAAACGATTATAGTAGTCTGTACATATCGACCTTCCTTCTAGGGCGTGCATGTCCCGTTATCTGTTGACGTATCGCATGGAATCAGGGGCACTGAGACAGATCATCCATGTGAGTTTTTGTGTTTTCTGCATCTTCTCCAGCGACCGGCCACGTTAGGGTTGTCGATCTGATTCGGAAGCGGAATTTTCGACTGCATGTCTCCTTCCGATGACAAATTTATCTACTTTGATTTTACACTACATGAATTGAGAACAGATAGTCTATCGTTTTTTTTAAAAAAAAAAAAAAAATTGAATTGAAGAATGTTCAATGCCAATCCAAGTTGATCAGTAATTGATGTTGAGATTGAGCTAGTGTGGTATCTAGTGCACAAGGGTTGCCCACGAATGACGCACGATATATATATATGCACGTTCAATGTGGAGAGACTAGACACTAGTTTTTTCTCTCTTTCCTACATCCCCAAGAACTAGTTGAAATGCCTTTAGTCTAAAGCCAAAAAATATTATCCGAAAGCCATGATTTTACCGACTTCTAGAAAACCCACCTAGTGCTAGTGCTAGTCCTTGTCCTAAGTTGATAGAGGGAAAGAAAACTACATGAATCAGTTCGCAGCGATCGGCTCTGATCGTCCACGCTTGAAACCGCCGCCGAAGTACGACCGTTTCAAATTAATCCCATGCCCGGTTTTTTGATGCCTTTCCCCGAACTATCTTGCAAACCCTAAACCGTAATCGTAAGGCATGCTCCCCAAACTCCCCAGCTCTGTGCTTCTGCCCCTCTCCCACCGAAACGTATCTGAAGCGATCTACTGTTTTGCGTTCGATCCCAAGACGGCATCTCCTCTTGGCGGGATTTCATACAATCTTTCGGCCCCAAGATCGATAAAGGGGGAAAGGGACCCGCCAGGCAAGAGACGGTGATTGTCCCGCACCAACGTGGGACGTGGTGGAGCCTCCTCCTACACTAACCGAATCGCGCAGTGGAGCTGTAAGGTCCATCTAGCAGCAAATCGCAAATCGCAACGCCCGCTCGTTGACATTTGGGTTCCTCCGCTACGGACTTCGGGGATCCATTCGACTCCGACATCTCTGCACGGAAATCCTGCTCGATACCGCATCGAGCGCGCTGGCATTCTTAGCTACGCGCTATTCCGAGTGCTCCAATTAATGCGCCAGCTGGTCAATTCTCCGGGTCCCCCCACGTCTTGGGTTCTTTTCCGGTTTATTCTGGCAACAGTTTGCAGTTGGCTCGTTCTTGCATCCTGCTCGGACCCGACATCAAATGCTCCACTTTTCCCCTTCCTCTCTCTTCTTTCTCTTCCTGTGTCTCTATCTTCCGTCCGGAGTCCTGAGTACTCCGTATCTACGGAACCCAAACCCCCTCCCTATCTCTCTGCCTCTCAAACCCGTCGATAGTGGAACAGGGACCCATTGACCCTCTTTTCCGCTCCCGTTGGTTGCAGGTATTTACTGTTGCTGCCAGGTTTTAACGGCCTCCGCCGCCAAGGTAGGCAGCAGTTTTACCCTAATTCCCGCTACAGCGCCGGGACCTCGGTTCTTTCCTTTTGACAGCTTTGCCAATTGTCATGGCAGAGCGCAATGACTCTCAAATCAGTGGGCAGGGGTCTCCATCCAAGAATGTAGTCCGCACTGGGCCTCGTTAATCGGGCCTCCTCATAGGCCAGCTGGCATCGCTCTCATCCGAGCCCCAAAGGCGCCGCCCCGCGCGCACAAGCGATTCCCCCAAAACAGAAAGAGCAGAACATCGCGCAAGGCAAAAAAAAAATCAAAATCAAAATCAAAACAAAAAGGACCAGGATCACGCCGGGTTTCAGTAGCTTGCCCATTTTTTTTAGGGTTTGATTTTAATTTTTTTGGGTTCTAGTTCGTGCGGTTGGATTTCGTCTAAACGCTCTGTTCAGCACCCGGCCCGGTGGTTAGAGGTCAATTATAGTGTGCGCTGCATCACCGCCAGGTTGTGGACGAACCATCCTCCCTCGATAGTGAGAACTTCACTCCCGACATCATCGTGGTCCTACACTCAATCGTCGGCTTCGGAATCTACCCGAGCCGGGTCGAATCGGGGGGACCCTGAATCGGACCCACGCGTGAAAGAGCTCTGTTATTGGTCGGGGGCTTGATCTCATCATTCGATGCTGGACGGGTTCGTCAGATAGCTGCAGGGCACTCCCTCCCGTGCTCCTGGTCGTGAGACAGGCCGTCTGTCTCACTTCAGGTGCTCGACTCGAGGACCGCTCAGATCAATGCTATTTTGAGCGGGCGGAGACGTGGGACTCCCCAGTCAGGGACCATTTGGACTGGGGTGAGTGTGGATGAGAAAAAAAAAAAAAAGGAGTGAAGACGGTTGGCAGGGTATGGCATGAAGCTAGTTCCGAAAATCAACGCCAGGCAATGCCTTCGTTCTTCTTAAAAAAAAATCAGGAATGAAGAGCTTCTTGCTTATGGGGTTACAGGGCCGCTCAAAATCAGCTTCACCTTTTACTCCTTCAATCCTTTCCCAAAGTCTACATTGATATCCTTGTCATGTATCTGAAATAAAATACACTTCGTTAATGCTTTGAGGTCTTTGATCGTTGATAATAAGAGACATTCTTTCCACAATAAACCGGAGAAGGCAAAATATCCTGAAGTTGTGTGGCCACTGCTCATGAGAACAAACCCAGGTGTAGCGTAATATCTACTCCTTTGTAAATATATCAAGAGTACGAGATCGAGAAGACTGGCTCAGCTCGATCGGTCTCCTGGTTGTGGGACATACTGACTATCGCTGCAACAACCATCCGCGATATTTAATCCATATCATGACATCTGTGATATCTTTTGGCGAGTCAAACTCTGAATTACAAGTAGGGTTCATCAATGGCAACGACCCTACACAGTCTCTAAAATTGATATCGATCTGCAAGGGCAAGACAATACTTCTGCGCAGTACCATCGAGGAATTGACCTAATTGATCGGGGGCAATGCGAATATCTCGTTCTTTTTCTTCAGAGGTCATACCCAAGCCGACCAAGGAAGTCTTCGCGATTCACAATCGGCTTCACTGACCGGCGAGGTCGGTATTGATTCAATTATAGCCGGGACAAATTGCTCTACGAGCCCAATCTCTCTGCAATCCAATCGTGGCGGGACGATCAGATAGACTGAAACTCCTTGCACTCACCACAGACATGTACTCACTTAGACCTCGGCAAGCAGAACGTCAAGCAGGACCTCAACCACTGCCCGTCTCTCGCTGACCTTCTGCAACAAGCCTTCGGCCCATTTCCATCCCTCTCGCTCACCAGGTCACCTATGCAACCTGAGTCAGTAACACCTGGTGCTCAGAAGCCGGCTCCTTGGTCAATTTGGAGCCCTACCGACCACATTCCGCGTGATCCTCACGGAAGAACTTCATCCACATACACTCGCCGAACTTGTGCAACTTTGTGAGGTGTTCAAAACGCGAACCAGCAGCGCAGCTGGGGGAGACCTAGAGACTCTTCGCCGCAATATGCACACCGATCGTATTCGGGGTTTGGTGTTGCTCTGGACGAGCGAGGATCGCGAAGCATGAAATGCGGCCTGGAAGCCGGGGATGACACCACATGACCAGGCATAAGACCGAAGGTGAGCATTGCTCGTATAGCGCGCACCTTGATTCTGTCTCTGAAGCGGCGATCGCGGTATTGACACGAGTATTGTGTGCTCTTCATGTGAGTACACCACTGTTTCTCGTTGTCGAACTTCTTGGGTTCATGGAGACAACAATCGCCTATATTATGCGACTTGGTTTCGATCAAGCGATCCCTGGCCCTGCAGCCCGGGCACGCTCCTAGAAACATTTCTAGGCTTAGATGGCTCCTCGTCCTTCATACACGCATTCTCCATACTGTTAGTCCATTTTCCGCTACTCCCGGCATGGCTATGCTTCAGGTGCTGGCGGAAATGGTCCGCGCGGAAGAACTTCTTCGCGTTGCTGCACTCGCCAAACCTGTGCACGGTGGTCAGATGCTCGAACCGGCGGTCCCAGTCGGGGTGCGGGAAATTCGGGAATTTTTCACCGCAATATCCGCATGAGTCGTGCGAGGGGCCAGCTTTTGTTTGGCAGCATAGTGAGGCGGAGCTATGGAAAGCGGCTTGGAAGCTTGGGAGAGCTGCGCATGACCAGGAATAGTGGCGGAGGTGCATGGAGTTTTCGTGTCGCTCTGCTTCGTTTTTGTTTTTGAAGCGATTTTTGCAGTATCGACAGGAGTATTGCTTTTCCATTTCGTGAGAGCTGTATCCGAGTTAGAGTTAGAAATTATCAAATAAGAGCAAATTCGGCATGAAACCCACCGGAGATCGTCTGGATTGTCGAACTTCTTCGGTTTCTTTGGACAACAATCACAGATATACAGTCGACCCACCTTTGATACGGAAGGAGCTAGGCACGGTCAGGACAGTTAGCGTGGATATCTTGCCCGCGGCATGCGATGGGGGCTCGGGGAGTTTCAGATACTGGGTATTGACAGCTCGCTCGGGACGTCACCTGGGGAGCGGCCTCGCGCATGGTGACTTGTCCTGCGATCCGAATTGGACGGCAAGGGTGAAAGCCACGAGGGATCCGAAGAGAAGAAATCGAAGTGACTATGACCGTCATCCCATTTGTCGATAGAACTCAAAAGGTCGCCACTCGAGACGTCCGTTACGATGGTCGACCGTCGTCGCTTGCGCGATCCAGGCGGGTGAGAGACTCCAGACACATGGCTACCGGCCGAGGAGGCTGGAGAAACTGCACGTTCAGAAGGGCGCTGGACAACAATGTGAGATTTAAGCAATGAAGGGTGAGGTTCAGAAGCAGCATGATTCTGCAGAAGGTGCTCACTTTACTGGAGAAAGAGAGGGGGGTGAATGGGCGAGAGGAAGACGGGGAGGTCGCAGAAAAGAGGGGGAGGGAGTTGGACCTGGACGGTTGACTGAGCATTTGGAAGTACCGAGACGATCCACAGCCAAGAGACCCAAAGATTGCAAGACAATGCGACAAATCCCAAGGGAGGAGTCTGAGCATGAAGGCCGAGACAATATTGATCGTGAGATCACCCGAGTTGTGCTATCAGCCGACTTGGCCAGCTTGGCTCTCTCCAGCCACCCCCGACATCGACTAGCAGGAAGAATAAGCAATGTACCCTCAAAACTACACGTTTTTTCAGTCAAGATCTGGACGAAAAACGAAGAAATGATACCCGGCCCAACAAGGCGATTTCGTCTATATTTAAAAAGGTCCTTCAAAACAACGCAAGGTAAGGATATCTGGTTATCAAGTTTCAATTGCATACGCCTCTCGGTGGCGGGGCACTACGGTAATATGATACGCCGCTTGTCCAATCATTTTCAATGTGGTTTGAACGCAACGGATCGCGGGGATTGGATATCGCCCGCGGATGCACTTCGAGTGACTTGTGTGTGGGACGCAATACAACAGAGCCAACAACATATGTACTGAGCCGTGTGGCAACCGAGCCGCGGCTGAGAGTGTTATCATTCAGTTGACGAGTCGAAATGGAACAAGCCATACAGCTGCAAGAATGCACCATCGTGTGGCTATGTCCACTTGAGGTTGAGCTTCGAGCGGCCATTGCCATGCTCGATCGAGTCTCCGATGATATCCGCTGCGCGCCCGAGGTCAACACGTCGTGTATACAGTGGGAGAAATCGGCCCCCACAAGATCGCCGTGGTCGGATATTACCAGGAGCAGGGACTTGCAGCATCCGGTAGTATGGCTGCAGAGGTCGTGAGAGATCTGCCCCGTCTTCAATTTGGACTTTTGGTCGGAATCGCTGGCGGAATACCTTCAGCTACCAATGACATGCAATTGGGAGATGTGGCCGTCGCCGTTCCAGAGGGCGATCGCCCGGGCATTGTGGGATATGATCTTGGAAAGGCCAGAGAGGATGGTCAATTTGAACTGAAGCACTGGCAGAACTCAACACATCCAATGCTTCGTTCGGTGATTAACGTGATTCGGGCTCGAGAGGATTCACGATTCAGGCGACATCTTCGTGTCGTGGACGAGCGTCCGGAGTTTCGGAGACCAGATGTTACTTCCGAGGCGGACCGTGTATCTCCCAAGGTGCACTATGGGACTATCCTATCCGGCAACACTGTGGTCAAATCCCAGTCGAAAAGGGACCAGCTGAGGGAACTTTACGGAGGGATTGCAGTCGAGATGGAAGCCGCGGGGATAATGACTAGGCTACCGGTGGCAGTGATTCGAGGTATTAGTGATTTTGCAGATTCCTCCAAGAATAGCATATGGCAACCATATGCCGCCATTACAGCGGCCGCCTTTGCCAAAGAAGTTCTCCTATGCTTACCCGGTGAAGATCAGAAGATTGAGGGAGGCTATCTAGGTGCGTAGATACCTCGGAGCAACATAATCTAGGCTAACGAGTTATTTTGGACAGAGAGAGGCGAGGAGGCCCTTCAAAATTCTGATTCGACACCTTTCGCGGACAAAAGCCTCCGTTTAGCAAAGGCTCTACCCGAAAAATGGGCATTCATTGGGAGAGAAGAGGAGTTAGCTTTTCTCCACACCGAATTAGGCTTCCCAGCTCGGTCGTCTATTCGGAAAACCGTTGTTTGCCTGTGGGGTTTGACTGGCGTTGGAAAGTCTCAACTGGCCGCGAGATTTGTACATCAACAACTATCAAGCCACCCTGAACGGGATATCTTCTGGATCAGTGGCGAGGACCAGGACAGCTTTGAACAAAGTGTTATTGATATGCTCAAATCGAAACAGGAAAGCAGCAGCAAACCCACGTCTCATTCTACGTTATTGCCTATTATTGCCGAAGGGGAACGTCGTGCTCTAGTGGATTTATTCTTTACTGAGCTCAACCGCCTGAGTGAGGGGAGATGGCTGCTGGTAATTGATAGGGCCAATCAAACTACTTCTCCAATTCCGCAGGACGCCGGCTCTTTTGATATTCACAGCTATATTCGTGGCCTGACCCGGGGATCGGTCCTGCTCACTTCTCAAAGACGTGATGTAGTGGAGAGGTATCATCCAATATGGGAAATGAAAGGACTCAAGAATGAGGATGCAATGAGTCTACTTACCTCAAAAATTCATCCCCATTCAATGCAAGGTAGTATACCTTTACTCGAAGCATGCTCCTGATACAAACTAACCTTGTTCAGTTACAGGAGCCCTGGATTTGATATCTTTGCTGAAAGGGCTTCCGTTAGCATTACGCCTTGCGATTTCTGTCATATCTCGTTATCGCCTAGAGATCCGAGAATATTTGGAGATGTGGAAGAGTCGTGGCGATACCACGGAAGTGCTGGGGACAGACGAAACCTTATATCGCTCCATGAACCTAAGCTTGGAAGATCTCGAAAGATCCAATCCAGTCGCAGCCAAAATTCTAGCCCTTTTTAGTTTCCTCGATCATCATGATCTCTGGTACGAGCTTTGCCTCAACGCAGTTGATGATACATTCCCCCGGTGGCTACAGGACCTAGCCAGGAACAAGACACCTTTCAGATACCACTATCCTCTCCTAGCCGATCTCTCATTCATTGAGCCGAAAATTTCCCTAAGCGGCAGCCGCGCATGGGAAACACACCCAGCCATCCAGGCAGTGGTCAGACAGAGAGTACAGGCCAAGGAATCGGAATACATCAGGTCTGCGATATCACTTGTGGCAGCTCAAGTTCCGCTGTCATCAACGGTTTATTCTTGGGTGACAATACGGCGGCTTTTACCGCATGCTCAGATATGTTGGAGTTACATCAAAGCAGGGAAATGGGGTCCCAGCACGGATCTTACTGAACTGGAAAGTCTAGCCCGTGTATTTCGACAGACGGGGCATTATGAGGAAGCCTCGATTATCTACCGGATGATTGCGCGTGGGCTTGATAACCGCTCTCACTCCCCAGAGAACCGTGAATTCCTCGCCGATGTACTGGCAAATCTCGGCCTAGTTTATACGCATCAACGCAAGTTTGAATATGCCCTCAGGTCCTTTGCGAGGTCAACCGGTATCATGAGTGAGCTTGGGACTCTGACAGCCCATGCATCGACATCGATTAAGTACAACAAAGCAGTGGTTTTCATGATGACCGATCGCCTGGACGAGGCGGAGACATTATTACGAGAGGCAGCAGAACATTCCTCACAAGATACAACAAACGGACACACAGTAATTGAAAACGAGCAGAAATCCTTATACCTTCGAATATTGAACGATATGGGAGAAGTCATGCTACGAAAAGGCTCTGTGTCAGAGGCATACCAAGTCTTTCAGTATGTAAACTATGGTCTCGGAGACTCCAGTAGGCAGGGTGACCCTCAACCCGCCCAGGTTTCCCTCAAACTGAACATGGGCAGAGCTCTGACCAAGCTTGGAGATTTCTCCAAGGCTAGAGATTTGCTTATGGAAGCAATTTCAATTTACACACAGTGGTGGGGCAGACGACACCCAGAAACCATGCGAGTGGTTGACGAGTTGGCCTGGACTCTGATGGAAGAGTGCAAAGACACTCACGCAAAAGGAGGTGATATTGATTCAGAGGTGCGAAGTGCAGGGGAGCTTTGGAAGGAAGCTTTGGATTTTTATCAGCGCATTGGTGGAGTTGCGTCAGACACGGTAGCCAGGATTGAAGCGAATCTGACCCAACTGTCATCCTACGTGACGGTTGATGCTTTCAACCCTATGGCTCGGGTGGAAAGCATCGACCCTGCTTCGGCACAAAGGTTTCCCGAGGGGATCAACGACAGAAAGGAAGACAGCTACCGGAGAGATCCCTAGCTAGATTAGGTTAGAGCTGGGGGCTTGCTCTGGTAAATGAACCCCGGTGGGTTGTCTTGAAAGTAAAGATATATATACATAACGTACAATATCGCCGTGAATGAAACATTGGCGTGTATGAGCTTGGACGTAATCCTAACATGTTATAGCAAGCATTGAAATACAATATATCATGAACCCTTCTACTAGGTTCGATGTCTTCATTCCCAACCCCTGTCAGCGTTTGAGAAAGTATTATACTTGTATCGTGTCTATAGATAGTAGGCAACATAGGGCGGCTATTCGATATATCCATAATTCAGTAAGAATATTTGAAATATTCTGAAAGATCTACATCCACGAGACCTAAGAGAATCTCCTAATGTACAAATGAGCTTGAAAAATGCTGACGGCCCCGAAGTTCCAACTGATCCAAGCGACCTAGGGGTGCGCTGAGGAGCCGAACCCTTCAACATGATGATAACACAAACGAAACAAGCCTGGTTATAGTGCAGCAAGAGCAATCGAAAGATTGAACAAAAAAGCGAGATAGAGACAAAAAGGAAGACAGCGAACAAACAGAAAAGCGATGCAAATGCGAAATGAAAGCCCCAGGAGAAACGCCTTATTCACCGGATCCTTCTAGATATGTCATGGGTATCAAATTAACAAACTCCGACGGGCGGCAATGTGAGGCCGATATTCGCGACGGAGTAGGAGTAAAACATAAGAAACAAGCGAGCGTGTCGGTCACCAAGGCTGCTCAGGGCCTGGCGCCGAGAGAAAACGGCTGATAAGCATCCTCTGCTCGATCTAGAGACTGGTTACTCGTTTGGAGGTGCTGTTCCGCGGCCGTTGCTTGATGACCATTTCCAGCTCTTTGAGCATGTTTGTGCTAGCATCAGCTTTTTCCCGGGCGGTTGCTTGCCTGGCACGGTCTTCTCGCACACGGGCCAGGCGCTCGTCTCTAGTCAACGAGGCTCGCTTGTTCCTCGACGCGGGGAGCACGACGGCTTCGAAGATCTCCTCGTCCTCGAAGCTATGTGTGAGATCGGGTCGATTCTCGCCGTTCAAGGCTTTCAAGGCGTCCGTGGGGCTGCCTCCAACCGCTGTTGTCCCACCAAGGCTGGGTGTGGGCGACAGTGGTACAGCAAGGCTTGACGGTCGTGACCGATCCGAAAGACTGAGGCGGTCTTGATTATTGACAATAGCTGCTTTGCCGACCTCCCATTCCTGGAGGAGGGCCCGAATGTCGCTGCCGATAGAGTCGTATTGTGTAAGCAGAGCTGCTTCAAAGTCATTCGCCTCTGACCGGTCGAGGTTGGCATTAGACTCCTCGCTGATGATGTGCATTTTGGCGTGCAAGGCACGAACACCTTGAGACAAAGAGTTAAGCCGCCGGAATTGTGCACGCATGTGCTCCTTGCTTGGGGAAGCGGTGGGCAATGGCGACGGAGGAATGGCCTCTCCTGCGAAAAAAAGATGAATTAGCCCCCAATTCGTGGAAGTGCGCAGAAAGCAAGGGAGATAAACTAACGGTCCTCCTCGTTCAAGATGCTGGTCATTTTACTCATACTGGCCCCTGTGACAGCAGCCAGCTCGCGCATCTCTTCTACTGCGGAGCTCCACCGCGTGATATCCGAGCCGCCCCCATCGGCACTGAGGGCGAGCAGGCAGCATAACACGCTCTTCCGCATGGTATAGAGTTTACCGAATAAATCCCGTAGGGAGCGAAGTGAATATTGGTCATCTAACGACCGTTGAGAAAAACCCGACTCGATTGCTTCAAGGTCTGGAAGTCCAATATCATAGATGTCGTAGTATTTGGCCAGATTGGCCGCGTCCGTGAGCGGGCGAAGCGTGTTCTGCGACCGAATATATCGCTCTAGCATTGACCAGAAGCATTCTGAAACGGCGCGACGTAGTCTTAAGCACCGTCTGATTTGAACCTGATCCTCCAATCGACTTATAGGGGGCAAGGGGGTGCTTCTAGAAAGGGAAGTCAGCATGCTTTTGCGAGTCTCAAAACGAACATGGCGAGGTCTCACATCCGATAGCCCCGAGAAACCAGCTCAACTTCTTGTATGAAGACCACGGAAGCCGATGCAGCCGAGTCAAATCCCTGAGCATTTCCAATAAATATGCCGGCGGCTTCCACAGCCTGATGTCGCAAGTATTTCAACCATTGTCTTTTGGCAAACGCGTAAAAGAAGACACCGAGGACAGGGACAAGGACCAGAAGCACGCCGACTTTCCTGGGGTTGATTCCCAAGCCTGTCCGCGACCGACCCCAATGTAGCAACCAAACAATTGAAAAGGAAGTGGTGGCAGTCACAATGGCGCCCTGTAGTCCAAATGTCGTCGAGAGAGGGAAGCTCTGCGGGCTGCGCCGCGGACACGACATCGGCGGCGGAGGTGTAGGAGGGAGCACTGTGCTCGTTTAACAGCTGCGAGGCGACAATGACATATCCGAACTGCTCCAGGAATCTTTCATTATCGCCCCTTGCGATGCGTGCGTTTAGGACAGACTAGGGTCGACAATCTTGTCAGTCCGTGTAGGGGAAGAGGGATTCCAGCCATCCACCGGAGTATCATACCGAACAAGTGCTGTACAGCTTCTCGACCACCGCTCCATGTTGCGTGCTCTTGAGGTCTAGCGGTTTGGGGAGCTTGTTGCGCACACGAGTTTGAAATCGAGAAGCTCCTCTCGGGGCGAAATCAGAAGACGGAATATCCGGGTTGGTGTCGTCTTGCGTTCCATCCAAGGGCCAATTATCCTCACTTCCACCTTCTCCTACAGACGAGCACGTGTGAGTATGACAAGCGCTTTTCTACCAGGCTCTCATGCGGCCGGGAGATAAACCCACCTTGCAGGTACTCGGCCAGCGGCGAATTCTCAAACACGAGGGACTCCATGGCCGCAAATCATTCCGGAGTAGGAGTTGAGGAATGGAAGTGGAGAGATGGCGGCCTGCCGAATCGTTGATCGGAGAGGAGGGGGGCGTTATGGGATGAGAAGGTTATCGGGCGACGCGCGCGCCTAGGGGCATGTCGGAAGTGCACGAGCACCAGTCACGATCGTATCCAAGTTCAATCGGTTCCAGTCACGAAACTAGAGGAGAAGACACGAAGGCCTGAAGCGCAAGTTGTCCGGGGAAAGGAGAAGTCACGAGAGTCTAAATTAGGGCAGGCGACCCACCCGCCTCCTTTTCTCGCGATGTCATGGTGGCCACTCCGCCGACACTCCCGACCATCTGATTGGTACGTCCGGCGGTGATTGTATTGGGATCAACCGGTAGCTGATTCCATCCCGCAGGTTCTTTGGAGGGGGAGGGGAAGCTACTTGTGCTACGGGGAATACCAGGTGCCAGGTCCGTCTGGGGGACATTTTAATGCCGGCTGCTTCGGTGGGACGGCGGGCTCGGGGAGCTGTTGGGGGTGGCCACAGGTGAGCCGGATGGAGTACTCCAGTAGTACAATAGCACAGTGGTACAAGGGTACACTACTATGAATACATCCTGAAGCCTAGAGTTTGCAAATGCAAAGTCCTGATCATGCAGGACAACGCCGGAGCTTCGAGTCCGAGCAGCGCAAGTGAACAGAAGAGGCCAGAGTAGCGCACGTATTGTTTATGCAGAACAGGCACATGATGATCCTGGCACAAGAACTGCCGGTCGCCACCGCCTTGAACCGTTCTCCCTGTTTAGGAAACCGCGAAAGCGATCGATCACGTGTGATCGACCCCGCGAGAGCAGAACGGATGACATAAGCACAGTTGCCCGGGACGACGCGCGTGTCAACAGTCTCGAGGATGCTGCAGTGCGCAGATGCGTGAGAACGCGTACTTCGATGCGTGAATTCAGTCAAGTCCATGATTGAGGGCTTTCTTCACACCTCATCCCTCTCAGCAATAACACTTGATCCGTATTAGAAACAAACTTCCCACCCACTGTCACTACACCGCTTCTGTGGAATCAACAATCTGCAAGGGTCCATGCTCCGCAACCTTGTCGTCTCAACCTCAACACTGTGTTGACCTGGCTTGATGTTCCAAGAAATTTGCTGCCTGTGATTTTCGGGAGGGGTTGACACCATGTCCGGAATCTTGAATGAAGCTTTCACCCCATGCCCCTTGAAGACACGATCGCCTGGGTTTAGTGAACACAGCGGCAGCGAGATCTTCGACAGCGTGTTTGATGGCGACTCGCCCTTTGAGACCACGGAGCAGGTGGACTTCACCACCGAAGTACGAGCGCCGATATTGACCGGAGTCCGACCACGACGAGCCAATCGAGCCGGTAATACCTTCCAGATTCACGACGACTTCGAAAAACCGACGAATCCAGCAGAGAAACGCAGACGGCCAAACGCAACGACCAGGGCGCCTTCGGAGCGTAAATTGTCCGTGCTTGCCCAACCAGCTCAGCGCTTCCGCCCGAAAGTGCACCTTACTCTGAGTGTCTCATCCCGACCGGTGAAACGAGAGATCGATCCCCCACCAAAAGAGCCCAAGATATGCCCGAACCTGAGCGATGAACCATCACCCGCCACGCAGACCCGGAATACTGCATCAAGCCGTCCACAGAATATCCCAGAAGCAGAACTCAGGAAACATGTACGACGCAATACAGTTTACATCCCTCCGGATGATACGACCGTGGCGAGTGTGTTCATGGGCTTATTTAGCCCGTTGAAAAAGTCGAAGGGAAACACATCGGATCAACTCGTAGAGGACACACAAGTGGATGTGTTTGAAGCAAAGATAATCAAGCAACAAGCGAGAAAGTCCTTGGCAGTTTCAGCTCGCCGACCCCCGTTGCAGCCAAGTGCGAAAATAGCCCAAGAAGCTGCCCAGAGGGTGGACGTTGCTGGAAAGAACGGCGGCAAAGAGAATGTTCCCCCTGGTACTTTTGCTGATATTGAGAAGCAAAGCTTCGTCATATCGAAGCCCCTATCGAAGCCCAAACGAATCAGTTCCGTCTCTGCCTTCAAGCCTGCTCCTACAACGGTTGCCCAGCAGGTGAAGAAATCCGACTATATCGATTCAAACCCCACAATCGTGGAGAAACAACCAACAAGACGAGATGTATTGGGTGAAAAGCAAAACAATGTGAAGCTTTTCCCAGCCCCTACCCGTTTGGAGGGAAGTGCTCGTCCGCAACAGAGACCCCTAGCGAACCACTCGGCGTCACTAAATGCTCGAGCATCAGCTTTATCAGAGCGCCTTTCCCGTTCGGAGTCTCTTCATGCCTCACGTATTGAGAGTGTCTCTGCAAAATTGAAACAGCTAAACAATCAATTCCCAATACTCACAGAGAATATTTCTAAGCCGGCTCTGTACGAAGAAAATTGGCTTTCCCACCAGGAGACTGTGATTTCACAACTGGTCAATGCGTTGTTTGAATGCTCAGATAGAGATTCGGATACCTTCAACTCAAATGAACTACGCCTAGAACTTCTTCAAATTTACCATACGGACTACTTCGCTCAACTACACCAGCGCCTACAGGCGTCTTTGTCATGTGGAATATTGAGTATCCCCAGAGACACACTGGTCCACGCCAACCGCCTCAAGCAAGATGTTGGTCTGAAGCGGAAATTTCTCGACATCTGGATTCAATCATATGATTTATATGCCCTGGCAGCAGCGGCAGAGACCGTTGTGGGCCGGAAGGTTTTCAGCAGCTCTGCCATGACCGAGCATGGCAGGGGGCCTTCAATTGAGGACGCCGTTAAATTTGAAAGAACCATGACTCGCAAGTTGGAACGATTTTTGGATACATTCTTGCTCCGCAATGACGATCTCGGTCCATCGGGACCCAGCGCGAAGGAGACTTCTCCTGAAATACAAGCCAAGATTTATCGTCGGACGGTACTTCGAAGCATTTTGATCGTTGTGCTTTTGGACCACGGAAAACAGTCTTCGGGCGTGAGTCTCCCGCGAAAACTTTTTCCAACCTATTCTTCTCTGAAGTCATCGGCGGAGGTCATCCAGGCTCTGGCACGCCTACTCTTGCCTTCATGTGGGGATATCATAAAGCCACTTCTGCATCTTGGTTGTCAACTGTCTTACAAGCAGCATCTTCTTCAAGAATATGATTACCAAATGCACAACCTTGCTGTGGATCTCAGAGATGGTGTTCGCCTAACCAGAATAGTTGAAGTTCTCTTCTTCACATCGGCGCATGTGCAGACCCTCGAAGACCAAACTGAAGTTACTCTCTCGACCGGAGAATCCGTCTCGCTTCTTGGGAACGAAAAAGACTTACCTCTCTCCAAGCATCTAAAGTATCCCTGTGCCAGTCGAGTAGCGAAACTCCACAATGTACGGGTTGCACTATCTGCCCTGAATACAGTCCAAGGCTCTGGTACCATTGTTGGTAGTATAAGACCTGAAGATATTGTGGATGGGTACCGTGAAAAGACCATTGCCCTCCTTTGGGCTCTTGTGAGCAAATGGGGTCTTGTTGGTCTAGTCGATTGGCATGATGTCGATAAGGAGATCATGAGGCTAAAACGCAAGGCAGCTTTGGAGCTTGGATATGACCGTATCAAGGATGATCCCTCATTTACGTGTGAACACCTCCACGATAAAGACAAGCACATTAAATCGCTCCAGCAATGGGCTGGAATCCTCGCTACTCTGAATGGCCTTCATATCGACAATATGACAACCAGCTTTGCTGATGGACAACTATATGGGAGCATCGTCGACGAGTATGAACCATATATCACAGGAGGCATTCGACCACAGAATCTGCAGGGAGGCAAACAGTCTGTCTCAATGACATTAGAGTCTCGACTTCGATTGTTGGGGTGCAGCTCGCAATATGGTAAGCTGTTCCTCGACCGGAAGAGCATGAGCTTGAAAAATTACTAATGTCTGATAACAGCTTGCCTCGTCTCTCCGGGAATAGATTCGCCGCATTTCCTTGACGATGATTTCACACTAGGAGCTCTCGCATTCCTTTGTTCAAGGTTATTATCTGCTTCGAAACGCCCCCGCGCAGCCACAGTGCTGCAGCGAGCCTGGCGAGCTCACCTTGCCAAAAGAGACGAGAACCGCCGTGCGATCGCACGCAATCTTGCTGCACATTGTGCAATCGTTGTTCAAACAAGAAACGAGATATTGTGGGCAAAAGAGGTTATCACGCGTTACTGGAGGATGTATCAGGCTCGCAAGCGACGACCAAAAGCCATTCGAGCTCAGTCTTCACATATTGGTTATCACCAGAGCCGGAAAAATCCCAAACGCCGTCTTTGACCCCGCCCATCCATTACTAACTGGGATTCGTTTGACGATCTCTTCACGATGACGAAAGCGTTCTTTACATCATACATTCACTTCAAGGTGTTGATTTTGTTTCCTGAGATTTGTTTATGGAGTTGAAGGGCAGGCTTTACCCATCATCAGAACTGTTTGAGGACCTGGTGTCCTGTTTCCAATCCTTTTTACGCAACATACCCCCTATTGTACCTTCGCACTCATTCACTTGACATCACATACTTTCTACGCAATTTCATATCTGAACTTGATTGATTGCCGGCCATGGCGAACCGAGTGGTGCCCTGCACCACACTTCTCATATGAAAGACGTAGGGTTAAAATACAGTTCATCATGCCAGTTCCAACAATCGGTTTGTATAATCCTCGGAGCCCGTTTACCAGCCGCCGTGCTGTGAGTTTCAATGTCAGCGTCTACTTTCTTTAGATAGTGATAAGACTGGACAGTCATGCTTACCGGACCGCCAGGGCCACCGCCATGGGGACCACCAGGACCACCGCCATGGGGACCACCAGGACCACCAGGACCACCAGGACCACCAGGACCACCGCCGTGAGGGCCACCAAAACCTCCAGGACCTCCTGGACCTCCAGGACCTCCAGGACCACCAGGGCCGCCGTGAGGGCCGCCAAAACCGCCAGGACCACCAGGACCACCAGGGCCACCAGGGCCACCGTGAGGGCCCTCATGGGGGCCAGGACCGCCATGAGGACCGCCAGGGCCACCAGGGCCGCCAAAACCGCCAGGGCCTCCTGGACCTCCAGGGCCACCAGGACCGTCGTGGGGACCGCCCTCAGGATGATGATGGTGGAAAAGACCCATTTTCGTGTGTTTGCGTGCGTGGAATAGATAGGATGGCTTGAAGATAAATGACTGCCGATTCGTGTGAAGGAGATGAAGTTAAGACAGATATCTGGGCCATACCCCGAGTCTTTTAAGTACGCCAATCCTGATCCAAGATTAAGTCATGCTGGGGCTTGCTGAGGCTTGGGGTTCAGCGTGTGGATGATCGTCATCCTGGCTAGTCCTTTCGAAGCCCCTCTGGGTGGCGTGGTCAATTACATTGGGGAATTGCCAAGAAAGCCATTTGAAGCCAAGAAAGATCCGGAAAATTCAGAACTAGGCGGCTGCCTAGCGATTTGGCACTAATAATTTATGTCGTGTTTGCACTGTCCACGTTTCCGGGCAATATCTTTTACCTGAGTTTTGTCCCGTTAAGCTATCGCAGATCTCCACAATAAGGTTTGCCACAACAAAACGGCCCTCCAGAATCGATCTGATCGCAATATGAGATGCAATATCTATGAGTATGACATCATATAAGGATGTAATAGGGTGCTATCTGAGGAAAGGAGAGTCGAGATTTCCTCATACGTGATGTCGTCCACGCAAGCAATTTTCAAGCAGCGAATCCGGCCCAGCCCTACCCGAATCAGCCACTTGATGATACGGCGTGCTAAGCCGCGCCCCACAATGAATCGAACGTGGAGCCGAATGACGCGTCAAGGGGCACTACTTGCGCATAATACTGAGTAGCACAACTGCCGGATCAGACTATCGAAGTTTGGGCAAGAGAAAGGGCACAATTGAGGAAAAATTATTATTGCATAGTGCTAATTGAGATCTCGGACTCGTGTTGTTGCCTGCGTGTATCCCTGAATTGACTTAAATACTCGCAAATGTCGTTCAGTCTTTGATGAACTTCTTCTCCAGTTCGTATCACTATTAATCCACTCCTATACACCATGTTCGGAAGCATTCTTAGCTGGTTCCAGCCGGCCCAACAGCCCGCCACCGAGAGCAAGTGGGACGCCAACACCGTGACCATGCAGCAGCCGAACAGCCCTTCAGCCCCAACTATGAACCAGAATGACTCAGAACAAGCTGTGAGAATCCATTGACTATTAATATGCCAAGAATGCCAAGTTCTGACCCTAGTAGGCTTCGCCCGAGAGCATGAATGTCAACATGCGTGGTGGTTTCATGCCCGGTGAACCAGATGATGACTGGTGGGTCTACTCTGCTAGCACATTTAGCTTGCTCCGTGATCTCTAACATTTGCCCTTCTTTTCTTCTAGCTGTTGCTGTTTCTGCTGCTGCGACTGTTGCGGCCCTGACGGTCCCCCAATGGGTGGCATGGGTCCCCCAGGGCCTCCCGGCCCTTGAGCAGATATGCCACATCAAGAAAGTTAGACGGGAATTTTGTACATACAGCAATTAGCATGGCATGCTTTGAGAAGATCGCAGAGGCGTTAAAGTCGTTCTCGTTTGAGCCTAGAAATAAATACCAATAGTTATTATTCGTTAATTTTATAATATTAGTAACCGCGACTTTCTTTATTAACTAGCTGCTGGGGTGGCCACTTCCATCGCAAGCTAAGCCACTGGCTCTGCCAAAAATGGAATCTATCTATCTGAAAAATTTGGCAAAAAATAAAAAAAATAACGATTTCTGATTTCACCGTGAATTTGAGATTAGATGGAGTGTCAATGTATTCATCAAGTTTTTGATGGACAGCATATATAACAGGGCCATCTACTCCCTAATTACTAATTTAACAAAACCTTACACTACATAGCGAAAAGGCTTGCTTTTTCAAAAATAAACTTTAGAAATCACCTAAAATAGTGCTCTTTGTAACTATCTATTCCGTCATACTTAGTCTCTGGCATTTATTCGTGTTACCTTTCTTTTTTGAAGGGTCTAAACGATTAGGGATTAGCTTATTTATTATATCATAAAAAGTCTTTTTTGGGTGAATGTAGCGAATTCTAAGTAATGAGACTTTGAGGTCGGACTATGCAGATCATATCTGCTACTCGTGAGTGGTTTTCTAATTCATGACTTTCTCTCTCACACACAAACTCTCCCACCGCCATTCCTAACATTGGCGCTGGTTTTATTGTCTCCACTATTGCTCAGAATGGGCTCCCCTCCAGAAGAGCCTGGAGTTCTTCCATACGCTCGTGAGATCCTCATTCCCACGGACTCACCACTCCAGTAGGCTCCTGTTAGAGTGCCAAGCGCAACAAATGGCGCAGTGTGATCACCAGCAAACCAAATTCCTCTCTCCGGCATTCCTTTTCTCAGAACCCTAATGTCTTCATCTAATCCGATGTCCGGTGTCCCTTCCTTAGGCTTCTCACTTGTTTTGAAATTCATGTATGAACCATATCCCGCTAGTTCATCGTTCTGCCAGTTTGTTGCAAGCACAGCTCTGGGGCGGCAGTCAGGATTATCAGGACTATAGTTTGGCAACAAGGCATAGTAAGGACGGAAAAAGTCGTCGATAACCTGAAAGTATTCCAATGAATCTGAAGAGAGCGGTGTAATAAGAGATGTTATGTGATTAGCACAACCTCCATATATACCGAAAAGAAGGGTTGGTTGGGCGTAGCTGCCAAAAATTTGCGGAGAAGAGAGCGAGTTCAATTCAAGAGTCCATGACTCAGGGTTATTCTCGGGCGAATAAGTCGGATGCAAAAAGTGGGCGAATGATTTGAATCCTGTGGTGGATTTAGTTGATGAATGCGATTTTCCTGTCGCTGATGAAGAGGACGTTTCCCAAAAAGCTTTTGGGAACATAATATAGACCTTTTCTAATCGACTATATGATGTATTTTGGATGGCACGAGTAATTTCTGGAGAGAGAGCGGGAGAAAATTTTGTATTTCCATGCTTTAGCGCTCCAAGAGGGATTGTGACGACGACCTCGTCGAATTCCAATGCATGACCAAGGTCTGTTTTTACGCAGACTTTCTGATGTCCTTCTATACTATCGGCATTTTCAATACTTACTACTTTGTTGCGCAGCAGCATTTCCGCACGTTTTAGCACCTTGTCAGCTACAGCATGCAAGATCTGTGCGTGGCTACTCGCAACAAAAAGATTATCTATTCATCGCATTAGTAATAGATCATAGACGAAAGTTTCCCTTAAGATTGACTTTGCCTAACAAAAGAGCTGCCAGGGGCCATATAACAATGTACTCACCGCCATCAAGGCATTCTTCCAGCCAGAAGTATTTCAGACTTTGCAGTTCTAACGGATCACCTATGAACGCTCCCCACATCTCTGCCATTTGTAAGACCAAAGTCTGATCCTCTTCAGCCAACCCTTTTCTCACAACTTGTTTCATGAAAAAGTCTTTCAGACTGCTTTCCGGTGAAATATTCAAACTGTTTTCATTACTGTGTTGGAAAGCTTCTTTAATTATGTCCCAAACTAGATCTGAAATTTCGTTGGCTTTATCGTGACTCATGACTTCTCCATACTGATCGAAGACGCATGGATTGTCTTCCACCGTGGCAAGTACTGTTCCAGTTCGCTTCGCGAGATTCAGAATAGGGTTGTCTAGTGTTCCATGAATCCAATTAGGACCCCTTGACTATCAGTCAGCGCAGGTTTCAAAAAACAGTCTGCTTCTGGAGTGCACGACTGATATTGGGTCATTTTAATATAGAGAAAATAACTAGACGTACATATCAACAGGATGGCCGCATAAATCCATTTGGTGAACCTGTGCATATGTAAGCAATTCCCTTCTCTGCACATTTCATAGTGAAGGGTTTGACTTACACGTCCACCGAGTCTATCTCGGGCTTCTATTACCGTAACATTGATGCCATGTTCGATCAAAATCTCTGCACATCGCAAACCTGCTAAACCCGCCCCAATAACTCCTACATGGATGATTTTATCTTTTGCTTGGTTTAGTTCACTGAAACCCGTTATCAAAGCCCGCTTTTGAATTGATGACCTGAAGTCGCAAGAGCAATAGGAAAGATCCTGTTCAATCCAGGAGGCCTGACCAGGCTTGGTATAGCCGTCTTTTGAATGAGCTTTGGCTTCCATTGTGCCTACTTCAGCGGTCCACAGATACTTTGTACACTTTTTAATGGATAATTGATGTGTGCTCGGGGGCGAATATTTCTGTCAGCGCAGCATCCTGATGTTGAATACCTATAGACAGAGTATTTTCATAAATGCCCATTTTCCAAGTGTGGTAATATTATTCAATAGTTTTCTGAGCTATAATATAACTAACATCTATCAGCCAACGTAAGCCATAAGTAATGTTAGACCCCTCTATTTCAAGCAATCGAGATGATTCTCCATGTGGCGATACTCATAATTAGGCAAAGAACGCCCCAGCAATCCAACGCGCCAGCGGTCCAAAGCGCCAGAAATCCAACGAGCCAGTCATCCAAAGCGCCGGTGGTCCAACGCGCCAGTGGTCCAACGCGCCAGAAATCTAACGCTTCAAATGTCCAGCACTCTTTACGAATCCTTGTCGCTCAAAACCCGAAGGACCAATCCATAAAGGAGTCACGTGGTAAAAAAAAAAATCCTACGAGTGACAACGCATTAAGGCCCTAAGATAAGGTATAGGTGCGAACGACTGGGATGATGATAGATTCCCTTCAATACAAACCCTTTCGTGTTTCATCGTAGCTTTCTGCCCAACTGTGAGATGGGTGTTGGCGCAAACATGGACGCTATTCTAGAATCGGATGTAGCGGGCGGGTATCAAGAAGATACCATTGGCGGAGGAGGCCCAAGTATTTATAGAATCGAGCGTCTGCCAATTCACGACATTAACCATTTCGCAGAGCGTGACAAATATCTGCCCCCCGTAGGTGATCCAACTTATTGGCACCTCGTTCATTTTGGAGAAGGTTAACAATCTCCCATGCCTGTGAGGGCTACTCGGTAGAAAGGCTTTCTGGACAGCACTCAACGCAGTCTAGAGAACATGAATTCAAACACAAAGAACACAATTTCTTTAGTTTTTATCAAAGCTTTAACGCAAATGTGGCAGTGGTGGCCAGAGATCATTTATAGACACAGAATAACTGTCATCTAGATTTCATATCAAAAAGGTACTGCTCAGTATTTTCGTCCTTGAAGATATCTATCGATTGAGTTGGAATTCTCTTTCTCGAGCCAACTTTTAGTGTAAACTGTACCAAGATCAACCAAGTATGTATCTTCGTTGACATCAGGGAGCACATTTGCTGCCTTTGCATCTCCCCAGATACTATAATAGGAATAAAATTTGCTAAGCGTTTGCGAAATCTGATCTACCGATTTTTCTCGAAGATCGGAAATTTTGGGATCATGCCCATCAACTCAGTTGAGTGTAGCTCGATCACAAGCAATTTATGACAGAATAATCCCATGACAGACCCATTTGCACCCTGGACCAGACCTTCTAGTTGTGATATGAGGATTAGAAAATCGAATTGAGCCATGAGGACCTTTGAATAAGTGAGAATCTCTCCGATTGTAATACTCATTTGACTCCTATAGACAATATTAAAGAGGCTAGGACACCACTGCCCATGAATGAAAATTTTGCGAGGTATTTCTGGAAGCGCAGTTAAACTTCCACTGATTGGTACCTGAACGTCTCTGGGATGATAAATAGGGAATATTGAGTAGTCAATAGAAGGGAGTAAACAGGCCCCAATCAGATGATTCGTAACCTAATTATCACTATGAGACTATGGAGTGTTGAAGGAGTTTCGAAACTATTCAAAGCTAATCCATGCGAAATGGCAATAAATCCCTTGCTATCATTTTGAATACCTGTGGTCTTTATTATCTACTTTTCAACTCTCAATACTTAATGGTCATATTGGAACATGATATTTCTGATTTTATTGAGACTAGATAGCTCACTCTACCTAGTGTTTTTTCCTCTGTCAGGCGGGGCTTTCCTTTCTGAGATGCCGCCGCTTTTACGAGGAGGCTCAGAGTTAGACTCACAGCCTATTACAAAGCCGGTTCTATGAAAGTTGTATATCTCGATAGTAAGGATACCGTTTTTGTTGATCATTGTTTTAATATGTCAAAAATACGCGCGTTGGCTTACTAGGTCTTCGTTCAGGTACGTTGATAGTCGTAGCACTTAGAAAATCGTGTACAAAGCTTAGATTGTTGTTAAATATAGTGTGTTACTTAGTTAACACCCTCAGTAGGAGGTAGAAGAGGAGGAAAGATATTAGCACAACGCGGTGGAAGTAGAAGATTTGCTATATCTTTAATATGAGAAGGCCCAGGGGAAGCACTATAACGATGTTATTCACAAGTAAAGCGGATCTCATCCTTCTTTTGTTAGCTTTAGGCGTGGTGATCGTGTTTCCTGGAAATTTAGGACACCTTTAAGACACGTACGAAGCGTGCTTTCTAGCACACCATAAATAGCTGCTGTTTTACGTATAGAAGCCGCCGAGCTATTTTCAATAGCTTTGATGGCGATTTGTATACTACCATCTCTATCTGGCGATTCTGAACGTTTTTAAGAACGTTTTGGTGGCATGGTAGGTAGTTGAAGATAGTAGGTGACGCGTGGGAAGTGCGTCTTTGGTGCGCAGCTCACTATTAGTGCCTTACACCGCCCCCCCAACCCTTCCGGGTTGTGGGTGCGCCACGTATGAACCGTCACCCACACATAAACCGTCACTTTTTAATATTTCCACTAATTATCAACGCATCCTAGTAGTATCCATATAGAAACCCTGCCCGTTCTGACGTGCTTCCTCTGCTCTATCTAACGATGCCTGGCTCTCCTGTGTAGGTTCTGGTGGTGGTGATATTCTATATGTTTTCTTCCACTGCTTCCTCACCCGCTTCCGCTCTGTATCCGCTTCCTTCTCCTTTCTTTTAGCAATAGAACGATTTGCATCTCTAATAGAGAGAACCCCTGTTTTGCTAAGCGGAGTCTTAACCTGGCGCTTGGTGATTGGGCGCTGTAGTGGTTGTTGAGCTTCCCTAATCTTACGAATAGTATCGTTCGCTAGATTTAGGTTCTCTATAGCAATCTTGTTATAATGAAACACACGATCAAGATTACGTTACTGCCTTGGTGTAAGATCCTCTTGATATCTAGCAATCTTCCTTTGATTCTTTTCTAGATCCTGTATAGATCTAGGCGGCGATTGGTCGATACTAGAAGAAGATATAGGTGGTGGTGAAGGTGTTGAACGAAGCGTTAAATAATACGGTAGTAGATCTAGCGCTAGAAGATCTAGGATTTCTTGGATAGGAAGGCTATTAATAACCTTGCTACTATCGACTGGATATATCCTACGATCTTTAAACGATTCCCGAATAATTCGCTGGTTAAATGCGCGGTTTCGAATATCACCGATTATTCGAAGGAACTCTGATCTTCCGATAGGGCTACCACCCTAAAACGCGTGATCGTTATTCGCTAAGCGGAAGTGTTGCTTATAGCTTAGAAACGGCTTACCGTCAAGCGGCTAGCAAAGATGTGTAGTATATAGTAGGAATCCTATTAGTAGGATATCGTTCTCTTCGCAAAGGTGTAGGAATTCGAATGTAAGATACGAACCGTGGCTGTTAAATATTAGGATACGTTTTTCACCTAATTTCGTACGGTCGTATGTTGATTCTATAAAGAATCGAAGCTATTGAACTGCTATATTGTCGGTTATCTAACCGTTTAGCGATATAGTGATAGTAGTTCTTAGTGGTAGGTCTTCTGTTTGATTAAACCAAGATTCTATAAAGATCCCGTTGCCTTTAAAGATAAACCAGGGTTCTATCTACTACCCGTCGGCAGCGATACACTCGATAGACGTAATATTTTCGCCTTGGTCCGGCTGAGGAAGATCTACTATCTTCCTACTAGTAGTAGAAGATATAACGTTTCTAGATCTTCCTTCGCCTAGTTGAAAGCCGCATTTATCAAAGTTGTAGACTAAGCGTGCTAGTGTAGTCTTCTTGATTGTTTAGGCTAAAAGATCGTACCAATGTTGTAATACTCCTGGATCTTCTGCTAGGATTCGCTTTGATTCCTTCGTATACTGCTTAGTAGGCCCTAATTGAAGATATTTAGGAAGCCTATTAATAAAGCGATACGCCTACATCTTGCTAATCGGCGGCTTCCCGACGCGTTGGCATACACGATTCGCCCACGCTTCTAGTATCCTAGGAGTGATAGGCATATAGTAATCGTTCATAGATTGAATCCAGCGTACTAGAGCTTCTTCCTGATAGGATTCGAGAGCGTATTTAGCATTGCGTTTAGCTATAATAGGCTTTGTTTTCTTCTTGATCCGATCAGAGAGCGTTGTTCTAGGCACGCCAAAATCGCGTGCTAAACGCGCTATATTCGGCTTCTCTTCGCGTGATGCTGCTAAGCAGGCCTCGGCCATACGAGCTTCGTCGAATTTAGGCATATTTAGATAGTGGTTTTGGGTAGGGAAGCAAAAAATAGGGTAGTAGGAAAAGTGACGGTTTATGTGTGGGTGACGGTTCATACGTGGCGCACCCACAACCCGGAAGGGTTGGGGGGGGCGGTGTAAGGCACTAATAGTAGTCCCCGCCCACCCCAGGCAGGCACCCGATAAGAACGAGATGTCCACCAATCGTGCCAAAAACATAAGCATTGTCGTCGTTTAAATCAGTCTCATCGCCCTCCAGATCTTCAATCTCGTCATCTAGCATCCGACACGCGGAAGCGGTGTGGATGGGCGGAGACACTGCTAGTGAAATACTACTAGGATAGGAACGATTTGCAATACGGCTATTTGCGCCCGGACCCTGGACCCTGGACCCCGTATTTTAGGTACCTTATATAGCATACCCCTCTTTAACGACCCGTCCAGTGGAAAATCCCTCCAAGTTCACGCTAAGGGTCAGGTTAGCATTGCAACTCAACCTGGCAGCGCTTCGCCCCAAGACAAACTCGAGATATCAATCAACCGATTACCCACTTCACACAAAGTTCGCATCAAAATTGATATATGGACACGTCCCAGAATGCCTGACGAATCTTTAGCTGGAGAGGCTATATCCGCTAGGAGCTTCACAATAGGCTGGGTCTGCGCATTGCAGGAGGAATACGATGCGGCTTGTCGGATGCTAGATGACGAGATTGAAGATCTGGAGGACGATGAGACTGATTTAAATGACGACAATGCTTATGTTTTCGGCACGATCGGTGGACATCACGTCGTTATCGGGTGCCTGCCAGAGGGAAGGTATGGCGTTTCATCTGCTGCCAAAGTGGCAAAAGATATGACTCGGTCTTTTCCAAACCTGAAGTTTGGACTGATGGTGGGCATTGGAGGGGTGCTCCAACGTCACAAAAAGACATTCGTCTTGGAGATGTAGTCGTCGCGGTCCCATATAAAACTAATGGGGGAGTGGTGCAATATGATTTCGGAAAACGCCTACCTGATGGGTGTTTTGTACGGACAGGCTACCTCAACGCCACACCAGATGCACTTCTAAGCGTATTGCCGCAGATTCGACGGTTGTATAATGATCCTACAAAGCCCGATCGTATTGCAGGACACATGAAGCGCATGGATCCTTTCCCGCATTATCAACGTCCCCCTGTCGACAACCTCTTTCGTTCAGACTACCCACACACAGGAAATTCATGCAACGGGTGTTTATCACGAATGACAATTCAGCGACCAGTTCGTCAGACTTCTCGCCAGCTCATGGTCCATTTTGGAACTGTGGCCTCGGGAAATTCTGTGATCAAGGACGCTGAGATCAGGGATCGCTATGCCAATGACCCGGAGCTCAATGTCTTATGCTTTGAAATGGAAGCGGCTGGACTAATGAATGACTTCCCTTGTCTGGTCATCAGGGGAATCTGCGACTATGCAGATACTCATAAGAACGACGAATGGCATAATTATGCTGCGCTGGCTGCTGCTTCCTACGCAAGAGAAGTTTTACTTTCGTTGAAGCCTCGCAAGGTAGATTCAATGCCCTACCTATCAGAGCGAATGAAGAAGAGTGAGTTCCCCGTGGTGGATTTCTGCGCCTAGACGGGAGAGAAAATGATCGCTTAACGGGTCCTTCTAGTCTCGCATAGTCTGACAGAGGTTCAAAACGCTACCGGAATTACCCAGACTGTGGTCGAAAATCTCCACCGTGAGTTCCTATCTAGCAAGCTGCACACATGGCTGAGGGCTCCCGACATCTCGGTCAACTTCGTAAGAGGACAGGGTCTGCGCTATAAAGATACAGGATTGTGGTTCCTTACAGGCCGTAAATTCCAGGCGTGGAAGTCGGGCCAGCGTCAGAATTTATGGCTATATGGAGTCCCTGGGTGCGGAAAAAGTGTCCTCTGTTCCACAGCTATAGAGCATCTCAACGATAAAGAAGGGAATGGTTCCAGTGGAATAGTTTTGGCATTCTTTTTTGACTTCACAGACTCATCCAAAAGCTCTCTTGATCAATTGCTCCGTTCACTGCTTGAACAATTATACATCAGATCTCCAACCTCGCGACCAGTGCTGGAGCTCTTGCATCGTGAATCAGTGGAAACCATGCGTCACCCGACGACTAAATCGTTATCTTCGACATTGTTTGCCATGAGCCGAAAGTCAACTGAATCGATCCAAATTGTCATAGATGCATTGGACGAGTGCAAAACAAGGACTGAACTGCTTGTCTGGATTCAAGAGCTGATTAAAGCTCAAGAAACCGACAACATTCAGCTCTTGGTCAGCAGTCGGAAAGAAGAAGACATTGAGAGAGCGCTTTCTTCCTGTCTAACGCAAGACGACGGCATCTCAATTCAAGGGCAGGCTGTGGACGCAGATATCAAGACATACGTACATGGCATGATTCGTTCAGAAAATGGCTTTCGAAGGTGGTCTGCAAGACCGGATGTACTCAATGAAATTGAAACAGAGCTTATGAAAAAGGCCGACGGAATGTAAGAGAGAATTTCTGTCCTTGCATATCATTTACGTGGCGCTAACGGGACTAGGTTTCGATGGGTGGCATGTCAACTTGATGTGCTCGAAAAATGTTATCATATCAGGGCATTGCGAAAAGCACTTGTGTCGCTTCCAGAATCTTTAGATGAAACGTATGCCCGAATATTGAGAAACATCAGACATGAGAATAGAGATGACGCTATCAGATTACTCCAGTTCATGTGTTTTTCTGAAGGACCCTTAACCGTCAAAGAAGCTGTCGATGCACTTGCCGTCAATCTGGCTGATGGAGCTTATTTCGACACCAGTGAAAGGATGCCTGTTCCACGAGAGATCACTGGGATAGCCTCCTCGCTGATCTCAACAACTCCAGATCATAAAATTCAACTGGCCCACTTCTCTGTCAAAGAGTATCTGATCTCCGAGCGCGTGGAGTCGAGTTTCAGTGCGCATTTGATCGAAATCGAGGCCCGCGCCTCTATTACAAGAGTCTGTCTCGTGTACATGAATCATCTTGAGAAATCACGCACCGCCGAAGAGATTATTGCCCTCTTCCCCCTAGCCGCCTATGCCGCCCAAAATTGGATGAAACATGCAAGATACGCTGAAGGCCGACCAGAGACCCTAAAAGCCATCAAATATTTTCTTCTAGAACAGATAGACGCATACACTTGCTGGCTGAAACTGTTTGAGCCAGACGAACCTTGGCGGGGTGTCCCACCAGAGCCACACCAAAGACGTGAAAGAACACAGCTGTATTATGCAGCCAAAGCTGGTCTTCCGCACGTCGTCAGACTATTGCTAGATAACGGAGCAGCTATTGATGATGAGGGCGGAATATACGGGACTGCGCTGCAGGTCGCTTGTATCAGAGGCCATGAGGATGTAGTGCAAGCTCTTTTGGAGAGAGGCGCGAATGTGAACGCAAAATGTGGTCTTCATGGTGACGCATTGACCGCTTCATGCTTCAGGGGACATGTTAGTATTACGAAGATGTTACTTGAAGCAGGAGCTTCTTTCGACCCCACTCACCCCTTGAGTCCACTCAGTGTTGCACGCAATGAAAAGCACGACGCCGTGGTGCAGTTGCTGCTGATCTCTGCACATCAGAAAACTTCTGAAACTCAAGCCTCCCTTTCTCATACCCAGTCCTTGAACTCTGCCAGGCCACTTGCAAATGAGTGTAAGTCTAACAATTATACAATTATGTGTTCAATAAGCAGTGTGATTCAAACCTTCAGCTTCTCGCTCTTTCATTCATGAGCTAACCGTTGCTGCTGACTCCAGATATGAGGTTTTGGTCTGAGCTGTTTCCTGCTGGGCCCGAGACGACCCAAAAGACATATCACACCTGGCAAGTGAATTGGTCGGATCCGAAAGGCAGCCCGACATTTCGAGTCGATGCAGACAGCCAAATATCGTGGTAAGTCGCCAACCAATGAATGCTGTCTATCTTGATAGTATATCTCAACATTTAATACAGGCGAGTCCTACTTTCCATTTCTGCGTCGGAGGGAGTGATCGCTCTTTACCTACACCACACTTCTGTCAAAGACGGGGGTCATTTTTGGCATGGACTAGTTCAATTTGCCTTCGTCGTGTGGAACCCCAATGACCCCTCAAAATATGTGGCTCGCAGTGAGTCGCTTTCGCGCCAGCACCACCGCGACAGAAGCTAAATAAGAACAGATTCGATGCACTACTTCCGCCCGGGTCAAACAAACTGGGGGTTTAGAAAGTTTTCTCGTGCGACAAATCTGGCAAAAGAGCTTGCCAATAACAGTAATCCTTCCGTAAGAGACATCGGTACAGTTAACATAACAGTTTACATACGGACCCCAGAGCCACCCCGTTGGTATTGGACACATCCATGAAATTATATGAACTAGCTACTGAACGATTTGTTAGGTATAACGGAAGGCCTGAAAGAATACCAATTGGTCTAAAAAACCATGCTAAGACAGGCTGGTTGAATGTCTTGCTACAGACCTACTATCATGTCCCTGCCCTTAGGAGGGTAAGTTGATGAACATTCCGGTCTATCCCTCGAAGTTCACTAAAATGAGCGCTCTCCTAGATGGTTTACAAGATTCCAACAGGCTATCGTGCAACCACAGATATGGCGTGGGCTCTTCAACGCTGTTTTTACGCCTTACAAGTTTCTAAGATTCCTGTATCTACAGATGAGCTCACTCATGCTCTAGGCTGGAGGACAGGAGAGCCCCAAGATGCTGAGCAGAAAGCCAGAGAATTTCTTGAGCTTCTTGAAGATCGCATGGGTCCGACCGCGGCCGGTTGTGATTTGAGAAGCTTATTTGTGGGCCAGACAGAAACCTCTCTTGTATCCCTGGACTCGGATCTGGGAAGATCTAGACCTGAATCATTCTGGGATCTTCACCTGAATATTACTGACCACCGGAGCATTCGTCATTATTGCTCATTTTTTGAGAGTCTCCAATCTTATAATTCCTCCCAGGGCGCTGAAGAAAACCTCTCTGGCTTTAAAGGGGAACTGGGAAGCTTTGGACTCACGATTCAATCTCTTCCGACGATCCTTGAAATTCACCCTAGGCGCTATGACTATGACATAAAATCGGCTCGATTCAAAAAGGTCGACGCCTTTTGGGAGTTCCCCGAAGAAGTTGACTTGAGCCCTTTTCTTTCATTTTCGGCCAACAGGTCAGAATCATGCGTCTATCGACTATTCAGCGTCATTACACACGAAGGAACTCTCAGCGATGGGGTATACTATGTGTATGTGCGACCAACCGGAGATGGGCCATTCTTCAGGTTTCATGATGAGCAAGTGACTCCTGCAATGTTGGAGGAGGTCTTGGATAGTAACTTCGGGGGTGACTGTGGTGACATGAACCATTCATGCAAGGTGGCGTTCATGCTATTCTATTTCAGAGTCTCCAGGATGCGTGAAGTCTTTGAAGAAATCAGAGAAGCCGATATTCCTCTGTCTCTTCGGTTTACACGTCTTGCGGCTAGAGTTTGACGGTGTGTCGCAGAATGCTATAACTAATTGATGCAGTGACTGAGTGAGACCGTGAAAAATTGCCACTTGATCCGCTACGATCTTGGTAAAAAAAAGCAATTCTGAGACTCTTCGTATTCTGGCCTAGTTGGGTAAACCAATTTTTTATGAACCCGAATTAGTGGTCCTTTGTGCACGTTGGTTTTGGCTTAGCTGAGTAGATCAACTCTGCGAGGGGTCAGCGTGAATAAAATCATACATCCATCTATACTGTAAGATGGTTTGTTTAAACCACCGTTACGTACAGTCTGTATGTTAACTTTCTTGGTCAATTGTGGTGAAATAAAATCTTCAATTAACTGAATTCGTGCAACGTTATATATTTGATTTGTGCCCGAAGTTGACCCGAATAACATCAAGTATCATGGATTCGGTTGTTCCATAACATTTGGTCGGTAGGCGCATACCACTTCCCATGGGAACCTCGGAACAAGAAAAAATAGCGAATAAGAGCCTAAATTTAGTCTGGGGTTAATCCCAATTGACAATATAGCATAGCGATTAAGTACTTTTATGGCGATTACAGGCGTCAACATTAGCACTTAGTGCAGAGAAACGCTATATCACAATACAATTACCATTCACACATTGAGAACCCGATAAGCACTAAAAGTATATCAATTGGACATTCAAATACTGCAATTAGGGAACAACTTACTTTTCTAAAACAGGTTCCACAGTTTTCATTATCAGTTTTGATGGAACGGCAAACACCACTGCATACCTCGCCATTATTGGGACAAATACAGCTACCTTCAACACAAGTTGCTTCAGGAGGACACTGGATGCCTATTAGCAAATCAAAACGAAAATAAACTAATGAATTCAATGGGGAACATACGGTCCAACCGCAATCTCCGCAGTTCTGAGGATCATTGCCAAAAGTATTCACGCAGCCTGAAGGACAGGCTCGTTCATTACTATTGGGACACTTGCACAAACCCTGGTCACATATTGCTCGAGGAACACACTAAATATTGATTAGTGAATGACTAGAATTGTGAATAAAGCGGAGATTGAGACGATACCATCTTGCCACAAGATCCGCAGTTTTGAGGATCTTTCAAAATTTCCTTGCAAGCTCCAGAGCATATAGCGCCAGAATTGGGGCATCTGCAAGCGCCCACGGAACAAAACGAGCCAGCCGGGCACTTACTAGCTTTTAGTCCAAAGGTCTAAAGCTTTTAGAAAACAGGTACGTACCTCATTACCGCATGTCCCACAGTTCTTGGGATCTATATTATTATCCACGCAGACATCATTACAAATTATATGAGGACAGTTGCAAGCCCCATCGACACAGGATGCGCCAGGTGAACACTACATATTCATCAGTCAAGATCTAGAAGATAAAGTAGATCAAAGGAAATTTCACTCAGCATACCTCATGACCGCATTCTCCGCAATTTTTATCATCACTGAGAGGGTCGGTGCAGCCCCCATTGCAAAGATTCCCATTATTAGGACACTTGCAAGAACCAGATATACAATTTGTCCCAGAAGTACACTTGATGAACGTTAGCTTAAGAAAATTCTCATCAGAGGCTCCGAGAAGCAGAATTTGCCAAGAGAAAAACATACCTCATTACCACAGATACCGCAGTTACTCACGTCGGTATTGAGATCCACGCAAGCATCATTGCATGTCTGGCTGTTGTCCGGGCAAGTGCAAACTCCAGAAACGCAATTTGCTCCGGAAGGACACTAGATTCACTATTCATCAGTCCACAGACTACGGATAATATGCTTAGCGAAATGATATCGCGTACAGCTTTACCACATGCTCCGCAATTGTTGTTATCAGTAGTGATGTCTTTGCATGTACCACTGCAGATCTGGCCGTTATTCGGGCATTGACAAGCGCCAGAAATACAACTTGCTCCAGTAGAACACTAATTACCTGTTAGTAACAAGAGACACCAAGAGGCTGTAATAGATTGCATACTACTTGACCACATGCTCCGCAATTTTTATTGTCAGTAGTGAGGTCTTTGCACGCACCACTGCAGAGCTGGCCGTTATTTGGGCATTTACAAGCGCCAGAAATGCAACTTGTTCCAGTAGAACACTTATTACCTATTAGTAACAAGAGACACCAAGAGGCTATAATAGATTGCATACCACTTTACCACAGGCCCCACAATTGTTATTGTCAGTAGTGATGTCTTTGCACGCACCACTGCAGAGCTGGCCGTTATTTGGGCATTTACAAGCGCCAGAAATGCAACTTGTTCCAGTAGAACACTAACCTATTAGCAAAGATAGCCACAAGTAAGATATTAGATAAGGTTAAATACCACTTTACCACATGCCCCGCAATTGTTATTGTCAGTAGCGATGTCTTTGCACGCACCACTGCAGAGCTGGCCGTTATTTGGGCATTTACAAGCGCCAGAAATACAATTTGTTCCAGTAGAACACTGTATCGTTAGCAAAGATAGCCATGGAAGAGGTGAGATGAGGTTAAATACCACTTTACCACATGATCCACAGTTCTTGGAATCAGTCGAAGTATCCTTGCAGGCACCACTGCACAGCTGCTGAGTCGGAGATGTCTTCAAAGGTCCACAAACATAGCAAGGACCTTGGCCACGGACTGCAGGAAGGATGCAGTTGGTGGCTGCGTTTGGGTAGTTTTTGCTGCACCAGCTTGTACATTTTGCCAAGTCAACGACACTAGCCTGGGGCAGACTAAGAGCATACGGCCCTGTAATTGTCAGTCATGTTCGGACTTGTAGAAAACAAAAGATGGATGAGAATATGGGTATAGGGAAATTACCTAAAGCGAGGATAAGGAATATAACTTTTCTCACCGCCATAGGCATGTTTTCTGTTCACTTGTTACTTAAGTAGCTTTTGTCGGGATAATTCTTTTCTTTGGGTTGATTGAGAGTATGCTTTATGTGGACAACCAGGCTCATTTTATTTCTAAACTCTTGCCAGATAACTTGAAGGAAAATTACCGTCTAATGCGTCCTTGGCATCCGTCAGACAAAGCTAAACATATTGAGACCACAAGACATGGATATAGGGGTTTACTGAGACGATTGAGCTAGAACATAGGACTACTTCACTAAGGTTTTAGTGTTTGATGATCCGCTTAAAACAATATTTTTTGCGACATAATTCAAACTTTTTAAAATCCTTTTCATTTTGGACACCGGGGAAGGACCACTGTTCATCAGGCGGAACTCAACTTCATTTATTATGGTAGATGCTTTAAAGAGAATAAAGTGCAGAAGCAGTATCAAAAAGGCTGTAAAATCACTTACATCATGTACTAGTAACTAATAATCTGGTTTGGGGCAGTATGTGCATACAATAGTTCAATGATGCATTCGGATTTCGATTGATCTCGACCGTAAATCATCCGGGGTTGACCCGTGGCGTTGCTTGGCACTTTCCTCGTTCTCTGAACCTTAATTCGCCATGGTGCTTGATCCAAACTGGATTTTTTTCTATTCCTGCCAATAAGCGTGAAGAGACAAAAAGAAGAAATAACTCTAAAGTTCACAGATCCATGAACATTTCGATCTTTTGATTTGATTGGGCGTTAGGAATCCTACGAGATCATTTGACTCTTCGATTATCCCAAGAGCTTCACATACCATTCTTAACTAGAGCCCGCGAATCGGTCTACTGTACGTTGCTGTACGTCGCGCAACATATTTGTCTTGCTTAAAAATAATTTTACCTTTCTGGCATTAGGATATTTGGACTCCATGAAAAATTCAAAGCCCCCTCTCAACGGACCAATGACCTACCGCTGTTCGCTCCCGCTTCTATGAGCGGAACATGCATCAAATCTTAAATTTAATTGAGAAGATTCTCAACTGTTGGACAATCTATGTGGGCCAATGAAAATGATGAATCCCGGCCGCTTCTCTTTCTTTTCTCCAAGGCTAAATCGTTGCGTGCAGAGCGAGGGAGTTTTTCAATAATTCTCACTAGGCCCGCAGCACCTTCTTAGCTAGTCTTAGACAGAACCAATAAAATCACCTTTACATCTCCTGACACTGTCACAGTTTTCCTCCTGATTTCTATTTTGGATCGCTCAGGGTGGACTCTGGTGTGAAGAATCATGTTATCTATGCTTGGAAATTTGCTGGGGCTTAAAGGTCAGTTTATCAGAGGAGCTTCCTTTCAAGTTTGCAAAATTGGCTGTTTTCTTGTATGAGTCCTTAAGTCATCTCGAGATGCTCAAATTCAAGGAGACTTGAGAAACCCCTGCACCTACGTATCGCAAAATAGTCCTTTTTGCCCACTAATAAATCAAAAATTCGGAGTTTACAGTGATTATGAATCCTCTTTTTCTGTGTTGGAAGAATGAGACAGTCTGCTTTGATAATGTTTCATTTCTTATCGGTCGGCTTATTAGTCCACTAATGTAAACTTAACTTCCCTAAGAGTCCCCAAATGAGAGATATGTAAATTTCAGACCTCCTTGATATATTTGGCAACATTCGGCCGTCCCTCAAAAGCCTCCTTGAATTTAACAAGAGCTTCGGGAAGGTTGGACTGAAGTAAGAAAATGTTAGAAACAGATTTCAACTCTTTAGGAAATATGATCTTACTGGAAGCGTTCCTGTTCTTTTATCATTATCAATAGATTGGTAAATCGCAAAATCAGCGTAAGTTATCTTGTTTCCAAGAAGATAGGGGCCCTCATGGTCACTATAGTACTGCCCAATAAGTTGGTAGTACTTGGGAACGAAGTCGTCTTTGTACTCGTCTTTTTTCTCTGTAAGATTGGCAACCCATCGACTCTGTATATTGGTTAGCTAAGTTTGACCGATGGACATTTCTTGTCTATGGAGGTAAACTCACCCTCCAGTCGATATAAATATCTGCGACGGCATCAACGTTATATTTTTCAGAATTGGTTTCCCCATTGTATTTCCCAAGCTTCCGAGACAGATAGCGGAGAATTGGGATGTGCTGTAGGTTCGTGTTAGACAATTTTAAATCATGAGAACACTGGAACTTCGTGGCAAACCTGTGTGAGAATCAAGCCTTCGTACTCGAGTGAAGGCAATTTTCCTGATCTTGTTATGCCTTGCTGAATGAGGCTCTTGCTGGTCTGAGGCCAAGTATCATCATAGGCATAGCGAACTTCTTTGAAGCCGATACCGGAATCCACAAGGAAAAGCCTGGTAGTTGAATTAGGTCTCAAAGTCAGTAGATGCTTAAATTGAAAGAAGATTATGTAGGCGCGGAGTGAGGAAAACTCACTTGACAACTTCTCCTCTTCCAAGTCTACCGATATCAAGGTAGTGGTAGACAGCAACTGAGTCTTGCGCGGACATATTGATAAATCCTGGAGTCTTCAATTTTCAAGCTGAAGTGTATGGTCGGGGATATGGTGGTGCTAGACACGTAATGAGGGAGGTGAGATAGAATAATAAGTAATTTGCTCAAGTTTGAAGAGGAGGTGGAGAAGACGCCCTTGTGCTTTTATATCTTTCCTTCGCCCTTCAAAAGGGTTCTTAGGTGCAAGAATGACGTTGAGAAATGTGCCTCGGCGAAATAGACGAGCCAAGCTAGTTAGACGAGATAAGCGAAGGACAAACCATTGTTGCCCAATCGAAATAGTGATCAGCTAACTATAGTGCGACTTATCAAGGCAAATGGGTTATCTTTCTATTAATAATTTGACTCTAAATATTAAACTATCGAGACCTACAACTGGGTATAGTGAATGTATAACAAAGCTTCTTCTAGAGTATTTGGAGTCTTGTGTATATGGATAACATTCAAGTCGATACACTAGAAGACTCGATGAGCATGTATCGATTGACATGCTCAACAGTTGGAAGAATGAAAAGTAAATTTAAATATGGAGATTCTCGTACGCCCCGAGTTATCAGTATCGTAGCTCCATAGAGCACCTAAATATGAGGCAGGGATCAAGGCTGGACCCATCCTGACTAACTCCGCGGAATGAGGGAGGAAACTGGAGCTTCAAAACACAAGAACTAAATTTCAATTTTCTAAATCTATAGGGAAATTGGGGAATATTGCGATAGAGATATTAACGATATTCGTAAAGAACATCTTGTTTTTCGGCTGGGATTCTTCAATATAAGCACCCAATTGTACAGCCAAGGTAACCAAGTATTCAAAAGGCCCTCATAAAATATTAATAGATTTGGACTTGAAGCGAACACAGAAACTTTCTAAGATAATTCTTGTGGATTTACCATACTGGAGCGAGTGAGTGAAGAGAGTAAAGACTGAAGGAATTGAGTATGTCTTGGAAGTCAAATTTGCGATCGGAAATTCTTGGACTTCCATTGTCCCCTTCGTACCAGTATTGCAAGACTGAACCAAGAGTTGAGAATTCATCGAGGGTTTGGATGCAGAATATGATTGAGATTTTTCGAAGAGGTCACCAAACCTACCGAGGGATTCATTTAAGGGCAGTTCGCCAGTAGGAACGGCATTTACCCCTCCAGGCTTCCTCTAAGATCCCACTTGGTATACGGCAATGCCTTGATTGCGCTATTTAGACCCAAAATAGAAGAATGCAGATTGTTGTAATAAAAGCCCTTGCTGCATTTGTCGGCGAAAGATTCCCGTGTCGTTGCGCCACGCTGATTTCTAATGATTAACTCTGGGCCGCAATTATGCCGAAGCGAGAGCTTAGCGAGTTACGCGACGTCCCGATCTCAGCATGAGTCTACGATGACCTACAAGAGTGGTTTTCTTAAGAATCAGACCTATTTATACTGTGATCGCTTCCTTAATTTGCCCTCTTTTCCCCCAAGCTTTCATTCCAACATTTACTGGTTACACAGGAGATCCAACTGTGGCGATGACCATGGCAACAACCGCATTGCACGGATGGCATCCGGGCGAGCTTGAAATACAACGCAAGCTTGGGTATGCCGACGCTGTCAACGATAGCTGGCCGATAGTCAACAGCTACATGCCTGAACAGCACCGTATATTCCACACTTCGAATCTTCCATTCATTCCTTTCACTACTACCGACCAAAACGGACGCCCTTGGGCATCTATTGTTGCTGGATCGACGGGGGACATTGGCTTCATCAGAAGTTCAACTCCTCAAAGCCTCTCTATCAGTACACGACTATGGAAAGGAGATCCGCTTTTGGAAACACTCAGAACCTGGAACAGCGCGAAGAATCATTTTACATGGAGAAAAGAGCGGCGCATGATCGCCGGCTTGGGCATTGAATTTTCGACCCGTCGACGGAACAAATTTGCAGGATTCATGCGGAGTGTGACCGCTATAACGGAAACGGATTATCAAATTGACTGCCAAGTTACGGAGGCCTTGGGGTAAGTAAGCAAATATATTATAGGTATTCTAAGAGCCCGAGGCTAATTGATATTTTAAGGAATTGCCCGAAGTATATTAACGTGCGAACACTCGTCCCACATCCGCAGACGCGGCCTGTAGTTGTCTATAATCGCCAACATGTCGAACCTCACGAAAGACTGCCCAAGGAAGTGATCCAATTCATACAAGATGCTGATACTGCTTTTGTGGCAACCGTTTACAATTCGGAAAAATCAACAGCGACCAAGTTTCCTTCGCATGCCGGTATGAATTCTCGGGGCGGCCTACCAGGATTTCTACGAGTTAGCCCATCCGATGGCCATACAGTGGTGATTCCCGATTATTCCGGGAACAGGTTTGTCTCCAGCTTGGGAAATATTGAGGCGAGTGGACTGGCTGGCTTGACAATAGTCTCTTTCACAACTGGGGACATTCTTTACATGACGGGTAAGGCTCAAAATATTGTGGGTCCACCGGCCTCTGAGATTATGGTTAGACATGGCAGTATCACAACAATGCAAGTGACAGGTTTCACCTTTGTACGAGATGCTCTGCCTGTGCGGCAGAAGCTGGGAACGTCTGTTGAGAGAAGCCCCTATAGCCCCAAAGTGAAATACTTGGTCGAAGAGACCGCATCTCAACCGAGAGACAACATGCAATCCAGAGCGCAGCTTATAGAAGCTTTACAGCTGACATCTGATATCGCTGCGCTGAAGTTTAGGGTGATTCCAAAACCCGGTGCCTCTGATTTAAAAATTCGCCCAGGGCAAGCGATTATTTTGGACTTCATGGAATGGATAGGGCCACCTCAATACCGGCATATGGCCAATGCTGCTCCACAATCAATCAATGATGATCGTGTGCGTACCTGGACAGTTTCCAGTGCTCACGAAGATCAGAACGCATTGTGCTTTGAATTGACTATGCGGGAAATGAAGGGAGGCGCAGTAACAGGAGCCTTGTTCGATGAGATCCGGACAAGATCGCCAAAGAAATGGGGACAGAAAGTGAAATTCGACGTGCCAATTTATGCAGATATTGTTGGTACTACAGGAGACTTTTACATGGGCGACAAAATGCTCAATATGGTATGGGCAGCAGGAGGAATTGGGATTACACCATTTCTCGCAATGCTGAAGGCACTGGTTGACCGAAAACCAATTGAAGAAGCTGAAATTCTCTTCGTTATAGCAACAAGAGAGCCGGACACTATGTTGGAACTGATTTTGCCTTCGCTTGAACGCTTGCCTTCGATGGTCAAAGTCAAGGTCAACATTTTCACCTCTAATACTTCTCTAATTGGCGTTGAAGATCTTAATAACGAAAGCTTCAAACTAAGCATCCACAAAGGTCGTGTTACACAAGACTTTTGGAACAATATACCAAAGGATAAAGAAGCTTTCATATGTGGTCCAAATGATTTTGGCGACTCTGTCAACGAGGGACTACGAGTTGCGGGACTGCGTCCTTCTCGAATCCATAGGGAGGGATTCTACTGAAATTTTGGATTAAGCCATTTCTGACGGATGTATACTGAGAACGGAGTCAAGGGAGATAAAAAAGGAAATTATTTCTGAAATTGCTCGAGGATTTCTATGACACCTTATTTGGAATTTGAAAACTGATTCAAGTCGCGTACTTCCATTTCATAATATCGGCTTGTTCTAGCAATCAACACTTTAGAGGATGCAAATTTCCATCATGGGGTTTCGAAGACGTTGGGGGGGGGGGGGGTACTATCTGCCGTTCTAATATTACGAGGTAGATGTGCATTTGAGCTTTATGGAGGCATTAATGAAGGATAATGACTATGTGGGCTGGAGGAGAGGCCAAGTGCCACTGGCCAATGTTCTATTCAGGTGCGACGTTGGGTTTAATCGAGATTTACCTCCTGCTGCCCGTCATTCCCGGAGAAGGAAAAAATAGACATAGAACAGAAGGGAAGCATCGTGAAACCTGGGGGAAATTTGAGTCCCTGGGCCTTTCGTGACCCTTAAGGCAAGTTAGAAGCTTCCTCCCTGCCATTCGAGACTATCTAAAAAGCCCAGGTTTCATACGTCGGTAACGGGCAAAACGAGCGCTTCCAGAAACGTCGTATTAGCAATGATTCCCTCGTCATCCTGGTCGGCGGGTATATTAAATGACAGCATTATAATCTGGTGCTGCATTAGCGCCGGGAGGGGTTTTATCAGATGGTAATATAGTATCCAGAACTTGATGTCATTACGCGTGTGCAGCGTCGTCAACGCGACCCATCAAAATCCACAAGTGAAACGCCCTTCTTACGCGAAGGGAAGATTTGAAAACACTACATGCAAGGTGAGGTATGTTTGATTTCATCGGCTCGAACAAGTATGCCGATGGTACCCGAGAAATATATCATATTAGTACACTATATGAAGTGAAAGGGATACTAGTATATATTACACAGACGGGGCAACAGCATAGTCGTAAGAAAAGCAGCGTAACAGAATATCGTGAGGCCGGCACGGAAAGTCAAAAAGCTGAAAGTAGTAATATGTATCCAGGCTAATAAAGCAAAAAGAACAAGAAAGGGAAAAGATAATAAACGCCTTGACATGCGAGTGTACGATCTGTAAGCAAATGCGGGGGCGCAACCAACGGAAGGGGGGTAAGAGGACATGGATGAAGGCGGCACAAGCGGACCCCAACCCCAAATCCGAGAGTACCCGCAAACCAGATAAAGAAAGATGAAAAAATAGAAGAGATCAGCAGGAGCCGCCTGTCATATCGAATATCGCGTCGGGACGGGAGGTATCATGACGGAAGATGGAGGGGGTTCTGCAGGTGGCCCGAACTAGCAAGTCCCTGCTCGACGTCATGGGCCTGTGTGAGATGCACTCGCGAAGGCGCTTAAGCCGCCACATACATGCCCCGGTGATCAGAGGTTTCCTACTCGCCCCCGTAGAGGTCTGGATCATCAAAGAAAACGGCGGACTGGCGTCGCATTTCCTCTATCAGGCTGCCCCGCCGGGAATCCGGGGTCTGAGGGCGCGAGGACGCGGTTGATTGGGATATGCCATCAGAGAATTCCACGTAACGAGAGTCGCCTTTGTCGCTTCTTTCGGGGAAGTTTTCATCCAATCGCTGCTCGACCGCATCAAAGGGCTCATGCTTCGGGGTTTCCAGCCGACGAGACAGGGCCGGGGAAAGAGAACGCCCGCTCGTCACAGAGTGTTGCTGGAGGCCTCTCACAATAGCACGTTCAATGTTCAGCCGGTTCTTGATAAACTGTATTTTGGGGAAGGCGCTTTGTTGGCCGACATGGATCATGCGCGCAAGCCGCTCGGGAGTCGGGTCAGAAAGGATGTGGTAGAAATCCGATGGGATGCTCTTAGGCCAGATCGTAATCGTGCCGCTGAATTTCTGTAGCCAGATCTCACTCCAATCCTGACCCATGGGCCTGGGTAGGAGTTCCAGATGTCGTAAAACCCGAAGCCATTTGTTCAGATCGAGTTTGATGTACTGCTCAATGGCAGTACCAAGGAAGCCACCACGCCAGCCACGGCCTTTGCGGTGCGTGACCGGTCGCCCCACCGTTCCTCGAGAACTAAAGAAGAACAGATTAACGTGGGGGTTGACCTAGTGGGAGGGGAAAGAGATCAGTGGCCAAATCGAGAAGAGGGGGTGGGGCAATCGACATTACCTGAGACACAATCGTGAAATTAACATTGAAATGCAAGTTCAGCGCTTTGATGGGAATATCCGTTCGGAGACTGCCATCTTTCCATTTATGCCCAAACGAGTAAGGCGCCAGTGTGCCGTCGCGCTTTTTGGTCATCAGAACGACTGGATTCAGGATACCGGGGACGGCCGCCGAAGCTAAAACCGCACTCCATATTACGCAATCGGGGCAGGTCAGATAATTTGCCAGGATGGAGGGTGAGTGAGGATCTGAGGGTACGCAAGACACATTCAAGATACGGCCAGTTCGCTCATAGGCTTCTCGAAAGGTTGTCGAGCCCCTGCAGAACCAGCTACACTGCCGGGCCCAGTCTAGCGTATCGAACCGAGCGCCAGTCTTCCACCAACGGCGTACCCATGTGGTGAAGCCTTCATGACAGGCTCGGATGCGATGTGCCAAAGCTGGGACGAGCAGCTGCTTAAGCTCCTCGTCGGTCCGGGTCGCAACGAGGCCCGCAACCAGTGCTCCACCAGACGTTCCAGTAATGATCTCCGGTAGGACTCCATTATCCAATAAGGCCTTAACGACGCCGAAGTGGTAATAGGCAAAAGTTGCGCCACCAGAGAGGCAAAGTGCCGTCCGGCCGAAGTTGGTATCGAGATGCTTGAAGTGCCGATATTTGATTTCATCGTCGATCAAGCGGCTGTTTAGCACGAGTTGGATGCACGTATGCACCTCGTCAATATACTCCTGGACCAAGTCCTTTGTCCCCGAGTAGGCCTCGCTGTAGACCCGAGGATTTTCGACTCCGGCAAAATTGTTCTTGACACACGCCTCCAGTAGGGCACTGAGCTCTTCTACCGCCGTGACCTCCGTCTCCTCCGTGCACTCGTGGACGGCCTCACGCTCAGCCGCATATCTCACTTTCTTCAGCTGATCCACCACTTTGGTAATGGTAAGGTGATCATAATAGGCGTACTCGTCCTCCTGCTTCCACTTCTCATTGCCGAGGTGGGCGTCCAGCGCCTGCGCGGCCCTCAGCCAGTTCGGGTAATTTGTCTGCGTCCAGAGGTCTCGTCTTAGTCGCTGCCGCTTGCCTCGCCAGGTGACCCACTGCTCATATAAGACGATGTAGACTCGGATCAGGACATATCCACAGCTAAGCACCGCGATCCAAGCGAACACGGTGAGCAAAAACGGCCATTTCAGCACCGTGTAAAGCACGCCTTCGCGGGTCTCGTCTGTGCTTCGCTTTGGGGCCTTTCGGCGACCCCGGGTCTTGCGCACGCGCTGGTTGATCGGGCGCCAGTCGTTGATGGCTACGAGAGGAGAGGCTTCGGGGGCATTTAACGCTTTCTCGAACCGGCGTAGCTCGTCCGGCTGGAGGAATTCACGGTCGTAGTCCGGCAGACCGACCGGGTCATATTGGTCGTGTAGCTTCACCTTCTCCTCCCCGGGCATGATCAGTGCATGTTGGATTCAGCGTAATTGGTATATTTACTGGAAGAAGACTACCAGGTACCAACCCGATGCTGTGAATCCGGTTGGGGGGGCAGGAGCTCGACCGACGTCAGTGTCACGTGATGTGATGTGGCAGAACGGTAGTGGCTGTTGAGTATCCACTATTACATAAGACCATCCTTTCTGTGGCTGGAGCAAACCGTTTGCCCGTTGCCCCGCCCTCGCGATAACGGATAACAAGATAACGAGATAAAGCCCCGATAAAGCCAGCTGAAGAGAACCGAATCAACGAACGGAAGATGATGATCCATAGTTGCCTCGCTGGGTCACCTCTCAATTCCGATATCTACCGTCCGACAACGCCATCCAACACGCCATTGAAGTCGTGCGGCCTATGGCCGCTGAGAAAAAAGTTGGTTTTGTTGGACAATCCAATTGTCGATCCCGCGAGACTGCGCGGGGCAGCACATTCCCCTGGCCGAGTCAGTTCGCGAGGAATTTCCATCCCACCCCGCCATGCTACACAGCCCGAATGTCAGCATACTTGGTAGAACAAACATGGCAGCTGCATGCTCGCCAGGAAGTCTATCTCGTGCCACGGCCGACATTCGTGGCTCTACTTGTGTTTGCAGGGAATGCATCAACGACTGTGTGAGTGTACACGACATCTTTTTCCCTCCCCCTCCCCCTTCGCCCCTCCCTTTTGTCCCGCAATTCCCAGAGGGGAAATTCTTGCAAAAGTATAAGTCGATCGGACGGGCGATCCCCCTCCATGATCCTTGGCGGCAGCGTGCACAAAAACTCCGGTGCAGCACGGCATAGCTCACCGCCAGATGCTCGCGGTGGCTATCGATCTGCCCATGATGTTGGTTGTGGATAGTGATTGGTGGGCGCAGAGTTGCTTTTCTTTTTTTTTTCACTTCATTTGGCTTTTCGATTTTTGCCCTGGCGGTGTCATTGGAGGCCGCAGAAAGCACCCTATGGGTCGGAGAGAGTCCGGTGAAAGTTTTTTTTGGGCACGAGAGGCATTCTATTTGTTGTTTTTTCTTTCCCTTACTCTTGATTTCTTCGACGATGTGGAGTATGCGACGTATACTATTATTATACTGTGTACGGCTATCCTGCATCATCCTCTTATCATCTAAGCCCACATGCACCCTCGCACGCGGTATCGGATGCGAATGCGAGCGACTGCAGTCCGATCCAACTTCCAACGGGTCGCTACCAAGCTACCAAAAGATGGCGTCTCGATGGAGGCGGGTCGTAACTTATCTCGATGGATCAATTGATCTACTTGGATCTACTTGATCTAGACCGGAAACAATCTTGTCTCATCTTGACTTAAATTGACTAAAGGACTATAGGACTAGATATGACTCTATAGATATTCGGATTGACGTACTGCGCACACGGCCAAGGCGCTCCCAGATCACCTGACCGCCCGGGGGAGATGAGCTGCAGTTCGGCGCGTATCCGTTGCTAATTCGCCGCTCATTCGTGGGCGCCGGATGTCCACTCGTTGCCCACTTTTGCCTTGTTCTTCCCAGTCATCTGCGCCTCCCCTGATGCTGATCATGCTGATCAACCTGAACCCAGAATCCTTTTTGCGCGGATCGCAAGCTGAGCCAGAAACGAAAAAGCAAACATCACCACATGCATCGCATCCAGCCTCTCGCCCGGATCTCAATTCTTCGTACGTCAGTATAGATGTACGCAACGATATTTGAAGGGAGGATGGCTCCGGTCCGGTCTTCTTGTCTGGCGCGTTCGAAGCCAGTCCAGGAGATTGAAATACCGTGGTATGGGATTTATTGTGCCTGGGGCGCGGTAGCCGCCCGGGGCTTTTTTAGGTTGCTTTGAGACGGAATCCCAGCCCACGATCGGTCGGGGACGATGTACCGGGTGTACCGGGTGTACCTGGTGTACAGAAGTCTCCTGTGCGTCTGACGTACGGCATATACTTCTCTAGCTTCCGTAGACATAGACTCTCTCTAGGCGATATATAAGTCCCATGTACCTTGTTCCTTGTACCGAGTACCAAGTCGGGTACCCGTCTCTAAACGTCCAATATACTTCGGCGGCACGGCAGACGGAGATGCAGTCGAGGTACCTCGACAGACAGGATTCGTCGTGCATTTTTAGTTTGCACTATCGTCCTGGAGGGTGCAGTTGAACGAGGGGGAAGCAGGGGCGAATTCCCCTCCCCCTCCCCCCGTGGGTTCATTGGTGAAAGCCTCGAGAGTCAAAGCATTCGAAGTTGACTTATAATCCTCAACTGATGCGCTCGTCTCCGCTCATCGACCGTATATCCCACGAGGTGGGCGCAACAGCCCTTCCCCATTGGGCCCTATGCAGATCGCTAACTCGCTTCCCTCTTTACGAGCGGTAATGCCCCCCCCCCCCCCCCCCTTCTCTTCTCCTCCACGTACTCCCCGACGGCGGACCAAAAAAGAAAACATGCAGCGAGCCACACTGGAAAGGCTTGGCGCTGGGAACATTCTGCAAATGACCGTGCCGTGTCTCACCCAATAAGCAGCCCCCCGCGGTATCGTCGTATGTCCCGGGCTGTGAGGATCAGCCCAGGGTGGAGAGAGGAGCCCCGGCCAACCCCCGAGAGCGTCTATTGTTCTCCGGGACGGGGCCGAGAGAGAATGATCGCATATCAGAATATCAGTCATATCCCCCTCCCTTTCCAACCCTTCAATTTCGCAAGAGGCGTTTGGTGTATTTTGTAAACGCGAAAACAAAGTAAAATAAAGAAAAGAGAGAGAGAGAGAGGAGGAAGAGGACAAGGGAGTACTACAGTTCGCAACACCGCACCGCATCGCATCACGGGCGAAGCTGATTCTATGTAGTATGTCGTATGTAGTATGTTGTGGTCAAATGGATGTATCTCTCCCTGTCTTCGATACTTTCGGCCCTTCCAAGCCCGTCGGGACGAGCGACCCTTTGCTGCACTGCGACACCATTTGACACTGCAAGGATAGCTGCATGCGAACTCCTGGCCGGCAGCTGCGTCTGCAGCCAAAGTGGCTGGGATCAAAGGTTGACCCGAGCGTCCTGGATTTCTGTTGCGGCGCTTCTGTCAACCCCGGACTCCAGGCGTGTGTGGACGTTGTGCTATCGATCGCAATCTTCTACATTTCCTTTTTCTGCTCTCTGGAGGTCGGTGTTCGCTGTTCTATGGGATTGGCAGGCTCCTGGTATGAGAGATTCCCCCGCGCTGTCTGAGGCTGAGATCTGCGATTCAAGTCTACTGCCAGGGATGGCTGTTGGGGTCCGCAGAGACAACTCGAAGAACAAACAATTCGCATCCCGTCATCGGTCAAAGTATCATGTTCTGTGTCTCCATCCCCCATCCCGTCTGCATGCGCTCTGAAACACCCTCGAACGCCCACGATGGCGAGTACCCTCCTTCCCGAGACCGTGCGATCTATCACCTCGCCGTTTGACCTGACCTCCCCCAGCCATGTCCTTTTGCTTCTGCAGTTTTGTGTTTTTATTTCCCTCACATTAATGAAAGGCGCATTGGCAGGAGGACAGGGAACCATGGGTCAGAGACGGGCCTAGCTCACTTTTCTTTTTTGTCGTCCCTTTTCTTCTTTCGGGAACCCGGAATGTAGGTAGCGGTGTGGCTGATGGCGGGGACGGAGAATGTCAAGAGTTGTCGAGTCCCCGCGAGCCACGGCAGTCCGTGATGTTCCGTTTTGATGTCATGTCGGGATCAAATGGGAACCAGCGAACGGAGGAGATGAAGTCACGAAGTCAACCGTCCCATACGAATATAGTCTGATAGCCTGGACATTGATTTACCTTCAATCTTCATCCACCGGCCAAAAAAAAAAAAACAATGCCCCCCTTCGCGCTCCACCCGGATCCACAATAAATGATCGTAATCCGTAATCCACGGGAAGATGACTCCACTCGCTTGGGACCCAGTGGAATGTCAGATGTCAGTGCGAGCTGACTCGCCCAGATAGCGCCCATGTCCATGCTCGCCCGGCCCGGTGATTGGCGGGCGCGTGGTTCATTTGGAGTCTCCGTAATGCACCTGATGGCTTGCGCTCGCGAGTTCGTTCGATGGCTTGATTTGGTCCAGTTTTTCGGGATGGCCCTTTCGGAGTTGAAATTGGATGTTGGTCAGCCGTGATGCCTTCGAATTCCTTCGCGGTTGGTTTTTTCGCCTCTGCGATTCGGTCGTCGTGTGTTCTCGTGTTCATCGGTTTCTCGTCTTCGTTTCTCTTTTACACCTGGCCCCGACAGGAAATTTCCCGTCGGCGCGAGCGATGCAGATTGGCCTGGTGGAATCCTGCGACGCAGATATCCTTTGCATGTGCAGCGGAGCCAATCGTGGCCCCCGAGACACTTTGGTTGTCCACTGCAGATGACCCCAACAGTATCCGGTAAGGACTGACCGGGAACACGGAGCTTCTGTACGGGCTCTGATTCTCTGATTGCCCTCGACTGCTGGACCGAGTATAGTGCCCCCCCCCCCCCTCCTCGCCCAAAAAAAGCGGGCCACCGAGCACAGGGCAACTGTGTCCTCGGCATTCCCACCCGGGCTGGGCGGCTGGGGTGGCCTGCGTGGTGGCTGCGATCATCACCAGGCCGCCACTGAACATCATGAGGGACATTGGACGGACGTGATCTCAGGTGGAGAGCAACGTGCAGTCGTCGTCGATCGGGGGAGGAGGAGGGGGATCAGGACGAACAGAATGACCCAAGAAAACCCCCCAAAAACCACAGAGCAGAAAGCTAGAGACCCACCGGCCGAGCGTGATAGACGGATCCTTACTCTCTCTGTTACTAGGAGCTCTCTCGCAGGGGATCGACTCAGTGAACGAGGATGCGAGGCATGTACTCCGTCCCTTCGTCCTCCGTACTGAGTACCCATTGGGAGGTCGCAGCGTCTTTCGGTCGATCCAACCGAAGGGTCTGATAGACGCCGACCTCGCAGCGCAAGAGGAGTCCCTCGTCGCCCCCGCCGCTGATAGGCTCGCCACTTGCCCGGGCGTCCGTTAGCTGCAGGATAATTAGCATCCGTCCATCTGTCCCGAATGCGGATGGAAATTAGGATATGATTCCGTTCGGATCGGTATTGCTGAGTATTTACGGAGTATCGTAGTATGATCCTCGGGATTTCATGGACAGGTCCCCCATCTTGGGTATTTTCAATTTCGAGGATGATTGTAATTGTAAATTGTATCCATTGCGCTGGGCAAAACGGCAGAGGAGGTACGCGGCTCCATACTCTCCATGTCCCTATACTTCTCCCAGACCAACCAACCACACACATGAAACCGAGCCCGGTTTGATGATCAAGACGCGAGGGGGAGGGCCGATGCGGAGAATCCTCAAACCCTATGAGCCAGATGGGAAGCGCAATTAATAGGCGGGCATATAGGTATCCAGGAGATCGAGAGGAGGATCATAACAGGAGGCTGTTATGACACGCTGATACAGGTCAACCCCTAAAAAAAGGCGTTGGAACAATAAGATCGAGCAAGTAAGACGATGGAGACGAATGATGGCCTTAATCCACGCAAATACCGCATCAGATAGACTCCATCCAGTCGGGCCAGTTGGGATACTGGGACCATCTGGGACCATTTGAGGGGGAAGCCCCTGATGAAACCCGTGAGTATTTCTGACGGTAACGAAAACACGACCTGCCTCATTAACCGTGCACTTATCGCGATCGCCATTCTTATTGAGCGGTTACCCCGTGCCACCAAAACCCATTTCCCTTCAACTTTCTTCCTCTCTCAAGACTTTCCCCCTCCCCCTTCCCACAACGACCTCGATTCCTTGGGGTTATTTCTCCTTCCACGCTCCTTTTGACTCGAAGTATCTAGGTATCGATTACTCCCCTCATCTTCTTCTCCTTCTTCTTCTTCTCCTCTTGCCCGCCCTCCGAGCCTCCCTCCTAACAGGCCCGCTCCTCTCACCCCCCCCCAAAAAAAAAACACAGAGCCTCCCCACCCACATCCACCCTCTTATGCACCTTGCACCGCCATGCGAGCTGGAGGCAATAGAAACTGACTCCTCACATCACCTAGACGATACGTTCTTTCAAACCATAGGTCGCGCCAGCAAAATGTCGACCCTCTCTGACAGCATCTACTGAGCGATCCATCTTCAGAGTTCTCCGGGTTCATCTCCTGCCTCGCGGAACCCCCCGTTTCTACTACCATGGAGAAACTAAACACTGAAGATGGACAACTCTTCATCAAGGTGCGTCGCTCTCCTCTTGAGACGGGAAACTCGGGAGCCCCTCATCGCCCATCCGATTCCCTAGCCGCCCGGTTTGCTGATGTGCTTTGTTTGTTTGTTTCCAGAACCTGGCCAGTTTTGTCCGGACTCATGAAAAGGCCCTCGCGAACGCGCTGCAGCTCCGTCGCCAGTCCAAAAATGTCGTAACCCCCCAATCCCCGACCAGCGCCTCGACCTCCGGCTCCTTCTCCTCTACCTCCCTGACCCTGGCCGCGGCCTTATCCTTCGGAGCCCTGAAGTTCACCTCCCAAAACATCAAGCCCGCCAAACTCACCCTGACGCCGCACCACCTCTTCTACCTCCTGTCGCGCTTCGAGGATCTGTCGATTGCGGTGGGGCCGATGAACGTCCGTCTGGAGAATATTCATACCGAGGTGTCTCAGTCCTACGTGTCGTTCCTGAACAAACCCCAACGGTCCAAGAGCGATGGGGCGTCCATCCATTCCGTATCCAGCGTGCGTAGTGTCATGTCGGGCATGAGCGGCCTCTGGTCCTCATTTGGTCTCGGTCTCAAGGACTCGACCTCCAAGTCTGAAAAGGCCAAGGTCGCCCTGGAAGCGGACCTGAAGTACCTTTACTCGGCATTTACGAAGATCCCCTGTCTCCGCTTGGCTCCGGACCACCGGGCTCGCCTCATCAGTGGTTACGAAGAATTTCCTTTCGATACGGCTGTGCCGCTTCATTCTTTCAAAAACCTGAGCGCTTTAGAGATCATCGACATAGACTACCGCTCCTTCTACGGGTGGGACCGCCTATCCGAGCAGCTGCGCACCCTCTCCATTAAACGGGCTCATCTGGATGATCCCGCCGATCTGCTGACAAGAATTGTGCTGGACGACATCGACAAGCGACGACGCCGCTCAGCTAAGTCTCAACAGTCCCCGCCGCTCGGCTGGGCGACCAGTGCTGGCACTCAACCCGTCCACACCCCCGAGCATACTTCCATCTCCGCACCAGGGTCTCCGGTGGCTGAGAATGCCCTCGCGAGCAGTACCAGCCCCAAGTCCGTCCCCATGATGCGCGCCGGATCGGAGGGGACGAAGGTGCGTGCCCGGGCTGAGAGCCTCTCCCCCAGCCGCCCGGCCACCAAGCATGGTCACCGTCACACCCGCAGCCAACGTATTCGGCGAACGGGCTCAGGTAGCTCGAACTCCAGTGACACCTCGGGAGGTTACCGGACCGGCAGTTCATCGATTCTTCTCCCCGGCGTTCTCCCTCCCTCCAAATGGCGATTCCTTCGACACCTTGGGCTCCCGGAGAATTCGTTAACATCAATCTCCGCGGCCAGCCTGGCTCCCGTGGCCAATACCCTCAACTCCCTTGATCTGTCCTCAAACCTCTTGACTGAGATCCCGGACAGCTTGGCTTCGCTGATGGCTCTCCGTGCCCTGAACCTGTCCCACTGCATGATCGATTCTCTGCACTCCCTTTCGCGGAATCCCCTTCCCGCAATCACCGCCCTCAACCTTCGAGGTAACCGACTCCGCTCGCTGGCGGGCATCGAGCGATTACTCTCCCTGGAGAGGTTGGACTTGCGGGACAACAACCTCATGGATCCGACAGAGATGGCACGCCTGACAAGTCTCCCTGAAATACGCGAGATCTGGGTGTCCGGCAATCCGTTTGTGAAGACTCACTCCAATTATCGTGTGACGATCATGAATCTGTTCCGGCGGACCCCTGGCTATGCCGAGGATATCATCATTGATGGACGTGGACCTGGTTATACAGAACGAAAGCAATTGGTCGACCGTGTTGCAGAGCCGGAAGGGGCCCCTGTCGTCCGTTCTAGCGCCGCAGACCAGTCGACCGTGGTGCAAAAGTCCACTAGCCCTGCTGCTGTCGCCCAGGGCCCGCCCCCACCAGTACCCCCCAAGGATAATATTGATCTCTCTCCCACAGCTGTTGCTCCGCAGGAGGGGGACAGCGGAACCAATCGCCGCAAGAAGATCCAACGGCGCCGAATTGTCGACCTATCGATTGACAACCCCTTTACCACGGACGGCCTCGGCGCCGCTGGTCCCGCCACAGCAGGCCTCTTGCCAATCCAGCAATTACATGGCCCTGCCAGCCCTTCTGTTGTGCTCCCACATGAGCTCCAGCTGAGATTGGAGAGTGGTACACCTTCGGGGTCCTCCAGCATTCAAAGCCCGGCTAAGCCCATGCGCTCCTCGAGTCCCCCCTCCCTGCAGACCACCATGCTTTCATCCACATCAAGTAAGGATTGGGCTCTGGACGAAGAGCTCTACCGTCAACAGTTGGAGGCTCTCCGTCAGGACGTTGGCCAGAGCTGGATCACCGTTCTTGGGGAGCATCCCTGGGACAACTCTCAGAAGGGCCTTGCAGCGAATCATCTACCTGGCACTGGCCTTGATCATGCTGCCCTTCCGACTGCGCCACTTGCCCGGGCCAGCAGCCATGCGATCCTGAGTGGTGGCCATGCCTTGGGTGGTTAAAAAGCATTTTCTTATTATTTTAGGGTTGGGCTTTCATGCTTCTTGCATTTGGCATCACTTTTAGCCATTCATCCCATCTATCGCCGAGGTCTATCTCCCCATCTCTCAGGCGGTCTTTCTCCCTTCTACTTTCAATACGGATGTTGGAAAGAATTTCCCAATACATCATTCCCATCGTGATAAAACCCTACTCTCCCCCCACTTTTTTTTTCCTGTCTCATTTTTGTCTCCTCAAGGTATGCTAATCCAGCTGCCTGACTACTTGCATTGTTTTCGGCGTTGGATGACTTATGAGATAATGGCGGGTTGGATGTATGAACATTTACGGCCGTTTTTATTTGTTTTCGTCCTTTTTTTTCAACTTTATTTGTTTTTTGCCGTTTGATTTTATCTGCTGTTTTCTTTTCTTTTCTTGCGCCATCTCTCCCCCCCGCATCAAAAACGCATATCTATGCGGCCTTCATCTCTTCCGGAGAGGTCCACCGTGAAAGATCGACTTGATTCCTAGAGCGCTTGTACTGTACTTGGATTTGTCTTTTTCCGTGCCTTGTGGCGTTGGTGGCATGATTTCTCTCTATTCCCCACTTTGTTCGTTTTTTCCTTGTTTTGTGCATGTTTCTTCCCAGTTTATTTTTTGGTGGTTTTTAGTGATTTTTCTCCTGCTTTTGATGCTCCTTGTTCTTGTTCCGGTGTGCTTCAGGAGCGAAGTTCGGAAAATAATATCAATTCTGTTTCGATTCCGATTCTCCTCGAATCGTAGTGGTTCTGAGACACTAATGTAAGTCGTAAATTATGGATGGGTTGTGCATGCATGCTTGTGGATATTAGGAGCTTGTGTGGACAGGGACCTTGCTCTAGTCAAAGATAGTCACGATAGTCTCGATAGTTACACCTATACTTTTAGGTACCAGTTAACGCCTAGCCGGGCACCGTCGCTCCAGGGTTCAGCGATCCAGTCATCGGGTATCCAATGGGAGCCCGGGGCCTGGTCGGCGCCATCGTCACATCTGGCCGGGACAGTGCGATTTAACCCCGTACCACATAGTATCGAGTGTTATAGACGTTATCGGGACTTGAGTTGTCGCCAGGTTCCTGTGGAGATCGTGGAACTTATATAGGCGCTTGGCTAGTGCTAGGGCCTCGCTGACTGCCTGAAGAGCGAAGGGTCGAGACCGGCGGCAACTGCAGGAGCCCCTCCTTCGATGTCGTGTGGCAGGGGAGAAAAAGAGGGGATTTAAAGAAAGAGGGAGGGTCGAGACAGCCGATTCAGTCCAAGCGTCAAGCACAAAGCGCAAAGCGACCGTCTGAAGAGATTTGGAGGGCATTCGGACGGACTGCTATCGGTTGGGGTGAAACGGCGATCTATAACGGGCAAACACCCCAAACACCACCCGGTCTGCACCTCGCAACTCACGAACTCTCAACTTCCCTCCCTTCTTCAACTCTGCACCACCTGCAACTTCTGCCAACCCCCCTCGTCGTTTCGCACGTCTGCCTTCCTCGAGGCTTCAACTGCTCTGCGGCTTCGACCGACCGTAAAATTTCTGGCCTCCCTTGACTCCTTGTCTCTGCCTCGCCTGTCTTCCACCACCCCCGGAAAACTTCGATCGCTCCATCTCGGAATCCCCCTCCCTTCATCCCGCTTGACCTCGACGCTGCGGTTGTCTTATCACCCTTTCCCTCGAGGCGCTTCGGAGCTGTTGCTGTGATTTTTGGATCTCGTCCCTCATCCAAGTCACGGTTTTTTTTTTTTTTTCATCACCTCGGGCAGCCGCTGCACTCACGGTCACAGCGTCTGGACCATCCCTACCAGATCCCACCTTCCCCCCAAACACCGCGGCCGGAAGGCCTCATCCAAGAGCCTTAGATCTCATTGAATTTTTCTTCGGTACGTGTTTTATCGCGTTTATTTGCTTATCCTATATCATCGACTCAAGGGGGGCGAGAAGAGAAGGACGAGACAAAACACGTCCACCTCTGTCGGTGGCGGCCCAAGCAAAAAAAAAAAAAATTCCATCGAGGCGCCTAGACACCCTGCCCTCCCACCGTCCGCTTCTCAGATTTGAGAATCGGACTAACATCCTGGTCGCTGTTGAACACATTGCTAACTTGTGCCGCCGTGACAGAACATAGCCGCCGCGTCATCAATTCTTCACTCGCTTCGGAAGTTATCCCTTCCCCCTCGCGTTTTTTTCGTTCCTTCCCCCCCTCTTTCCTTCGCTCTTCTCTCCGTCATTCGCTAGAGATCACCCGCCATGGCTGATCAGGAAGTGGATTTGGATTCCATCATCGACCGCCTGTTGGAGGTGAGGGGTAGCCGTCCGGGCAAGCAGGTCCAACTGCTGGAGTCCGAGATCCGTTATCTCTGCACCAAGGCCCGAGAAATCTTCATCTCGCAGCCTATTCTTTTGGAGCTGGAGGCCCCCATCAAGGTGCGTGGTCGACGTCTCCCGAGTCCCTCAAGGCGGAGGGGCTCGGATGTTGTTTTTTTTGCTTCGCCCCATCTGGTCTGCCTGAAGTCGCGTGTTGCTAATGTGTTTCGTGTTTTTAATAGATCTGCGGTGACATTCACGGCCAATACTACGATCTTCTGCGCCTTTTCGAATACGGCGGTTTCCCTCCCGAGGCTAACTACCTCTTCCTCGGTGACTACGTCGACCGCGGCAAGCAGTCCCTCGAAACTATCTGCCTCCTTCTCGCGTACAAGATCAAATACCCCGAGAATTTCTTCATTCTGCGTGGCAACCACGAGTGCGCCTCCATCAACCGTATCTATGGCTTCTACGACGAGTGCAAGCGACGATACAACATCAAGCTGTGGAAGACTTTCACTGATTGCTTCAACTGTCTGCCCATTGCTGCCATCATTGATGAGAAGATCTTCACCATGCACGGTGGTCTGAGCCCAGACCTCAACTCCATGGAGCAGATCCGCCGTGTCATGCGTCCCACTGATGTAAGTCTCTTTCCCTGGACTGGGATTCCCCTTCCCCCTCCTCCTTCCATTGCTGTGGTCATGTCGGTGGGTATTTGAGGACTTGTGAGATGGTACCAGCAATACTTGCCGGAGGACTCCACCTGTGGCTCAGGGCCAATTTTGCTGACTGGAGTAGATTCCTGACTGTGGCCTCCTTTGCGATCTTCTGTGGTCGGATCCCGACAAGGATATCACGGGTTGGAGCGAAAACGACCGTGGTGTCTCATTCACATTTGGCCCTGACGTGGTGTCCCGCTTCCTTCAAAAACACGATATGGATCTGATCTGCCGTGCGCACCAAGTTGTGGAGGATGGATATGAGTTTTTCTCAAAGCGGCAGTTGGTCACGCTATTCAGTGCGCCCAACTACTGCGGTGAATTCGACAATGCTGGTGCGATGATGAGCGTTGACGAGAGTTTGCTCTGCTCCTTCCAGGTGAGTGGTTTATCAATTTCTACTCTCAATCAATCCCTCATCGTTGTCATCTTTCTAACCATTTTTCTCGTCTATCCAGATCCTGAAACCAGCAGAAAAGAAACAAAAGTACGTCTACGGGGGCATGAGCTCCGGCGGGCCCGTCACTCCTCCGCGCAAGCAAAAGAAGAAATAAACAAAAGGAATCAATACGAGCTTTCCCATGTGCAGCAGGTTCGGGCGGAGATAAGCCATTTTTTTGAAAAAAATCCACACGCCAAAACCTCGCCAACTGTCACCCTGGTCCTTCCGAATATTCTTCGACAACTGCCTAGCCATTTATCGCCAATCCCAACCATGTTACCCGTTTCTGCGCCATCCTACTACACAACAAATGCGTCCCATGTCTCCACACGCCTTCTCAACCTCCGTCGCAGGTCCCGTCCCCCTCCATCCTCTCTCAGCAATCCCCCTATCCCCAACGATGCGATCAACGACCGACGTCCACTCCTCATCGAGTATAGAGGGCTAGCCCAACACCCTACTTACGCTCTCGCCAGTCTATCCTCCCTCCCCCTCTCCCTCCACGCTCCGCAATTAAACCCACCGCTCTTCACCATCACACTTAGGGCCAAGGCTAACCTTCTATGCGACATGTGCAAACCTCTTCTGACTCCGTCTCGTCTCGTTCTCCTAATTTCTCTCTCGTGGCCGGACCTGCGCGGCACATTTGATGTGTCTGTACTTTTCGGAGCGGTCCTGAATTCCCAATTCCCCTCTTTCCCCCTTCCTTTTTATTAACAACTTCTTTTTTATCTTTCCGATTTTTTGTTTCCGTCTTTTGTTGTGTGTTCCCTTGCCTTTTTCCTTTCTCTTCTCTTTCTCGTTTTTCTTACCATCTGGTCGGAATTTTTTACTCTCGGCATCCTGGATTGGGGGTAAGGGGGAAACGGGGATCCTGGTTTATCTTCTCTTATTCCTTTCTTTGCTCTTTTCTTTTTTTTTCCTTTCCTTTTATCCGCTGCTCCTGTTATCGGTCCGCTGTTTGAATTGAAATGCATCTGTTCATGTTTATATGCATGCGTGTGGAAAATACACGCCGTCCCTCCCCGTGCACAGAGCTGATGCTCCTAGTAGGTAGATGGATGTAGATTCGAGACTCTGTAGACACACAACCCGATCGATTTCTGGACGTTGATTGACCTTTCTCTCTTTCTGGCTCTGCTCTATGTCGCTGTAGCTGCAGGGTTCGATAGCTTTGACCCATGCCTCTGTTAGGCACGACCTTGCGAAGATGGCGTCCTCCCCCTATGACGTTTGAACTTTCCGGGTTCGATTGAATTGTAGACCAAAGATGGGAGGCAGTGTATGGCTACGGAAACATAGAAGGTAGATCGGGACTGAGAATATTGTAAAAAAAAACCCGTGTTTTAGACTGAACTATTGTATAGTAGGAAGCGAATTGGCCAAAATAAAAAGAAATTCACCGGCTAATTGGCTGCAGCGGGAGGGAACAAGCGAAGCGGGGGGAGTGGGCAGGGGAAATGAAGGAGTTTGCGAGAGCAGACAAAACATTCTTTGGTTGGGGGAGGGGACGGGAGCGGCTGGAGGGAGTAGAGGGAGAAGACGTCAAAACGTCGGTCATGTTGAAAGTTGTTGTGGTGTTATTTGGGGAGGGGCTGGGGAGGGTGGTCTTTGTAGCATGAGTAGCATATTGCGGGACTGCTATACCGAGGTTTGGAGAGAGGTGAGAGGGTGGTGGCGGTGGTGTTTGCCGAGGGGGCGTTGGAGGGTGTGAGTGTCTGGCGGCTGATGGACAAGCTCAGACATATTGGGACAGCCATCTGATACCCTCACCGTATCCTGGATCAGAAGTCAGTTTGCTGTCTGTATGCGTATGGCACTACGACTGCGTGGCCAGATTGGAGGTGGCGCTGCAACTTACCCTGGCGCATGACGACACTGCACATGAACAGCTCGATCGGCCGGATGCCCTCGAGAGGAACCTTGCCCTTGCCAGTAGTCTGGTAAAGACCCAGCTGGTGGCGGAGCTCGTCCTCGCTGACAGCGTCGGGGTGGTCGATCTTGTTGCCGAGGACAAGGAAGGGGACCTTGGCGAGGTCCTCCATGGCAAGCAGGGCGTCAAGCTCGGCCTTGGACTCGGGGAAACGCTCGTAGTCCTTAGCATCGACCAGGAAGACGATGCCACTGACTTCAGGGAAGTAGTCCTTCCACAGACGACGGGCTATGTGAGCAAAGGGGGAGATTGATCAGTTGGGTGGTTCGGTTGATAGAGCTGGGTAGGGACTGAAACTATTCACTCACCCTGCTGGTGACCACCCAGGTCGAAAGTGGTGAATCGGTTGTTGCCGATGGCCAGCTCCTCAGAGGTCGGGTGAGCAGTAGGGGATAGGACGGCGACACGGTCATTCTGCCCGGTGTGGTGTTATCAGTCAGCTCATCATCCTCGCAAGTCCCCGGGTTTCCCACCACGCGACACATCCCAAACAGCTGCGCAGAAAGCGAAATCCCTGCCTTGGCGGTTGAAATCCTGCACACTTAGCTTCAAACCAAGTGAGGCTCGGCTCTCGGCCCCCAGCCGTAGCTCACATCCCGCTATCCGCGCAGCATATCCTCGCATTCCGCGGACTCACCTTCAACATGTGCAGCAGCGTGGTCTTGCCGGCATTGTCGAGACCGAGGAACAGAAGCTTGGCGTGCTTGTTCAGGAGACCAAGCGAGGCAAGGACATCGTAAACTAGATAGAGAATCAAGACGTTTATCAGCAACCCAGTTTTTCGCCCACAGGACCCCCGAGTCACAGGCGCAGAAGCCGCGGCACAATTGTCGGGGAAGGTAGAGGTGAGGAAGGTAGAGGTGAACCAGCCCGTCCCAGTTTGTCCAAAATATCCATCCGACTCGAAATGTCCATTGGCGCTGGATTTCTAGGGCCGGGCGGCCTTCTCTCATTGCTTTGCTCGTGATGACGGGCGACTGCGTTGGGGCTGGGGGTTGGGTGTCGAATCTGGCCACTTACACCAGTTGATGATCCACATGGCGAAACTGAGAACTCAGGAGGAGGCGGTGGAGGATTCAAACAAGGGAGAGCGGATGCTCGAGATCGCAGACAAGAGGGAGACGTCTAGGTGGATGGAGAGGGGGAAGAAAGAGAAGACAGGTTGATGTTGTTTTCGGGATCGGCCAGAGGCGTTGAGGCCTCAGGCATCAATCGCGGCCGCGGGTGGCGCATTGGGCGGAATCTCAGAACGGCGTGAGAGAGTGTGTGCGGAACTATAACAATCCCGACGTGGTGCCCGAATTTGATTGCTCTACGCAAGAGAAAAAGATGTTGAGAGAAAAAGATGCTTCGAGAAAGATATATACATCTAGCTTGCATTCGAGATGATTACCGCTAGCTATACCAATTGGAAATCCGCCCACTTTATCCACACCCAGCAAATTCAGATAAGGGTATATGCACCGTAGCCATGCAAAAGCTCAAGAGCGAAAGTGACCTCCTTGGAGCAACAGATATGCACCAGTAAGTAGAACGAAGTATAAAATGCAAAGGACAGAGTTCCCCCTTTTTGGGAATGATTATAAGAAAATAGAGAAAGGATTGAGAGTCACAAGAAAGTGTGATATAAAGGAAAACCGGTCAAGTGGATGACACACAGTTGGTTAAAGTATGTAAAAGCGAAGGATGCCCGGATCACAGACCCAAGGGACAAGGTGAAAAGAAAAAGGTAGAACCGGATATGTACAGGTATCAAAAATATGTAGTGTTCAAAGAAGGGGGGGGGGAAGAGAAGGTAGGACACGAAATTGGTCCTTATAGGAAAACCTAAACAGATAGGACGAGCTGGGCATCTTGACCGACGCCGTAAGCCCTGCACCTCTCAGCAACTTCGAGGCCAAGCTCCTTCATCCGTTCGGCTCCCTTGCCGGGAATCGGCCGCCGCACAGCCTGCTCTTTGGCAGCTTTGCGGCAGTGTTGGCGCCAGAACTTTTCTTTGCGTTTCTGGCGCTTCTTTTCAAGGCCCTCAACAATATCGATGGGGCCACGCGTATGCAGTTCACGAGTACGCGAATGCTCACGTTCGGGGGACTCGGTCAGAGGGGGAATGCCTTGCCACCGTTGAGACTTCTCCAGACTGGTGAAAAATGGGTTAGGAGTCCGCGGCAGCGACTTGGTGCGAACCAATGGTCGTCGTTGAACCAGGTGGCTGATATTCACACCACGAGGCGCCTCGATGGTTGGCATTTCCTCTGACACAGCCCACGTTTCAGGAGAAGGCGACTTGGCTCGCACCCGAGGGGGAGGAGACTTGAGACGCTTGGGCGAGGTCCGACCAGTCCGGCGAGGAGGCGGCGACATCATACGTTTGGGGGAATGACGCGGAGATGGCTTGCGAGGTTGACCATCTGTCCGACCACGAGCTGGTTCGAATACGAAGTCGTCAAGGTCACCTTGGGAGATGTCCTCCAGATCCTCATTGTCCTCTGGGTCGCTGGTGGGAAAACTGGGGTCGATGTCTTGGGGAATCAGAACGTGTTTGGAAAGACGGCGTTGCTCAAGACAGGACTTGTACGCGGCCTCCAGCGGACGGTCCTCGTCCAGGGTGCCACAGACAAAATCGGTACTGTCGGGTAAGTTCGGGGTGCCGGGGCGCATTTTGAGCCCCTTGGAAGGACGGCGACCGGGAATTCGTCGAACAGGTGCCGGCAACCACTTTGTGTGGTGATCATCGGTCATCGAGTCGAAGGAGGTATTTGAGGCGCGGCGTTCCATGGTCGTGGGAGGAGGGAAAACTTCAAGGGTCGGAGCGTTTGAATCAGAGGAAACGGCCGACGGCGCCCAGAACTCATAATCCGAGCCATCATCATCCTCTTCGTCCGATTCCGCGAAGCCAGCCTCATTGTCGGACTCGTTGCCATCGTCATCGGAGAAGTGGACGGTGGAATCATCATCAGCGAGATCTTCGATATCGTCGTCCTCGTCTTCGTCGTCCTCCTCGTCTTGGGCTTCCTGTTCGGCTTCTTCGCCTAATTGTCGGATGGCGTTCTCTTTCTTCATGCAATCGTTCAGAGTAATCTTCTCAGGATATTCAGTCGACTTGGTCACCCACTCGTCGTCTTCATCGACTGAGCTGGCAAACTCATGGAACCGAGTAGCCTCGGATTCCTCAAACTTGCCCAGGCCGCTGGTTGGCACGCCCTTAGGGGGTGTGGTCATTGCCGGGAGCTTCTCTTCCTTGACGCCAACGACGCGTTCAACAGAAGGCTTGCGCGCCACTGGAGCTGGGGAGCCGCGGCAACGGTTTCGGAAAACAGACTTACGACCCGGGGAGCGTTCTCTAGAGATATTCAATTGGCGTCCAGGGCAAACAAAGGTAAGCGTCGTTCGGCGCAGAGGGGCTTCCGGGGCCTTGGTCGTAGTGGAGGTAGGTTGAGGTTCAGGGCGAGGGGGTGCGGCGGGTTTCACTTGGATCGAGTCTTCGGTCCTCCGACCACAGGCAAAGCTGATACAACGTTTACGCCCCAAATTGGCTTCCACGGTCGTCTCGTTGGTGTCCACAACCTTGACCTTGGGTGTGGTATCCTTCTTTCCGTGCATGTGCGTGTGCTTTCCCATCATCTGCGGGGGCAAGGGTGGGCTCGGAGTGTTGGAGAGGGAAGGGCTGGTCAGGCCGCCATCGCTGGTCAGCTCGGCGGTTGAGATGCCACTGATGTTGCTGTGAGGATAGGATCGGTAGGTGTATGCGGAGTCATGGAGGGCGGGATGAGGTTCGGTGGGGGACATCTCCGGGCTGCTCTTCAAGGCACGCGTGAGCAAAGATTCCTTGCCGACCATTGCGGGCCGAGCAAAGACAATTCCTTCCTCCTTGTGCATCGGAGTGGCATGGAGGACATGTTGATCGGGAGGCTCGTCCAGGTCCTCAGCCAGGTCGGCGTCGTCGTGGGCCGGCCGGGACGAAGAGTTGGGCGTGAGCAGCATCTTGAGTAGGTTCTGGAATGAAAACGGTCTTTCTCCACGGGGTTGGGCCATGTTTCGAGCAAAGCAAAGCGAAAAGGTTCGCGAAGGAAAGGTTCGAAGTGGTGGCGATGTTCACGACGTAGATCCAATAGTCGTGAGGGTTCGCCGGCGTATGCGCTCTTCCAAGATCGATCACGAATCACAATCGACCCGAGGTTAGAGGCAAAGCAAATGTCCCGGGGAGGACACTGGTCATGATATAAAACGCATGGCTAGGGGGAAAAGAGGTTCCTCAGGTCCAAAAAAAGCAGATGACGATGAGAGGGTCGCCAAGAGGAATAATTGTCTTTCAAGAATGGCCGGTCAATGAAGCGCCGGGGCAGGAATACCTCTAGGCTTAGCGCCAAGCGTCCGTGCTTTAAGAAGGGGGTGGGGGAAAAGAAGGCTGTGAAGTAGGCAAAAGGAAGAATGTTCAGAGAGAAGAAGACGAAGAAACCGAGTGGGAGTGGAGAGGTTAAAGGGCAGGAAGTAGGCGAGTTCAGAGTATGGTAGTCACCGTACTGGGCGGTTGGTGGTAGTACTGGTCGTCCGTAATCTGGTGGAGGGGGAACTGCAGAAGGGGGGGGGGGGACCTGACAATACCGGACAATACCGCCTTCCCCTGCAGGCCATGATGCGCATTCAAGTCGAATCGGTCGATACAACCCTGACCATACCACCATACACGGCTGGGCGGCAAGGTCGGCTTAGGCTTAGTCTGGTTTTTTTGGTGCAAGTTTTTCGTTTGCCACAAAACCAATTTTTCACCCATTTTTGCTTTCCCACTTTCCCTGTCGCGTACCTCCTGTACTGCCCGTATTGTCTGCACTGACTACACTCTGTACTTCGTGTACTGCATATACCTCCATGACATGAGAGCCCTTCCATGCTTGTTCCAGACCCACTCTCCACCTCTCCATCGATGCACCTTACAGTACATTGTTCCTGCGCCTCAGACCCTAGTCCACCGGAAATAGTAGCATCGATGGACTCTGGTTCACAGCACATATGAAACGGACGACCACTATTCTGAATACGTTGGGACTATACTATCATTAAATGATGGTCCCGCGCGGTCTGATCCTAATACCAAAGAGGGTTTCATCTTATTGTGGTGGGGATGACTGTCCAGTCGCGCGACTCCGAGTCCTCGAACTGACGGGCTGCTATGAGGCATTTTGTGTGCCGGCTAAACCTGATCGAGGCGGTCCCCGCTAACCCCAACGGGTCAATCAAACAGAGCGTCGCCGGAATCTACATAGAATACGTGGAATACATAGAATACATGGAATACATGGAATACATGGAATACACCACTAAAGAATCGTAGTCATCGATTTTATCGTCCTAATCGTCCGAATTGCCATAGATCATGAGGAGGATAATCATACGGCCTGTCATTCGTGCCATTCCCGCTCGACTTGGATGTATCGGGATCTCTGAACAATGAGAAAATGCCCACCCCCAAATGCCCCGGATCGCCGGGAATCGATTCGCATTCCTCCTCGCACGCGAGAAACCAGTCAAGCAGACACCCCAAACCGGCCATTTCCTGGAATGTTGGTCTTTTCTTCCATCAGCGAACACAGAGGGAAATGGGCCGGCTGAATCCAGCGCCACGAGGCCGGGTACTCGTACCGTCATCCCACGTCACTGCTGACCGTCCACGGCAGAGGATCTGCGGGCTGGGGGGGATGGTTCATGGTATTATCTGGTATTGTGCGGTTACGGCCGTACCTGTGCCTGAACGAAAATTCAAATCAGCCAAAAAAAAAAAAAAAAACCCCTCGAATCCGTGTCCCCCTTGCCCGCTGTTTAGTCTCTGCTTAGTCCTCTGAGAAGTCCCCTAGTGCTCTTAGTTCCCTTGTCCACCCGGTCAACGGGCCTCCGGGCTGCGATAGTCTCCCCCGAGTCCACCACTCACACCCTCTCTCTTTGGCGTTTCCCCCCCCCCGTCACTCGATCACCTTGCCCCCCTCTCCCATTTCTAACCCAAAACCAAAAACCCAGTCAATCTCCGCCCATCAAACTATAAACGCGCTCTGCGCGCTTCCTCTCACTCCCTTAGTTTCACTCGCTCCCCTCGTTCCCGTGCTCGGCGGGCTTGACTAGTATTATTGGGTCTTTCTGTGCCGACGAGAAATCGAGCTTCGTTTCGTTCGTGTCCATCCGTCACTCCCTCTGACGTAGGTGCCCAGGTGGTCACCTCTTGATACACGGAGGGGCCGAGTCTCAGTGGTGGGGGAAATTTTTAGAGAGTGACGCTGGGTATACTTAGGATCCTCCTCTTCGACTACTCAACAGAGACCATTGTGCCCAAAATAACATACTCCATACAGGACAGCACACCTCGATCATCATTCTTCTTCTACCTAGAAAAACAAAACCGTATAATGTCGAATCATAAGTGGACCTCTCCTGCACCGAACACATCAGTCCCTTCCCCACAGCAACACTCGACAAGTAACAGAAGGGGGGGGGGAATCAACCCTTGTCTTGGCCCTGGCCCCATAAATGTAGTGACGGCCGATCGGGCTTGGGTGAACAATTCGAGTTTAGATAGGCATAGACAGGCAGCACCGACCATCAGGATCCTCCGTGCATGTCATTCCGAGGCATGCCAAGGCCAAGTGCCTAAAGACAGCACAACTCGATAAAACAGGGCGCCAAGACGAAGTTAGTGAGAGCGGTAGCCTGTGCTGTGCTCCAATTTTGGTGACTTGTTGGTCTCAAAGCGGGACCAGGTCCATCCCTCCTATAGTTAGCACCACCCAAGGACTCCGCAATGCGACGAAGAGCGGTCTCAATAACCCCCCCCCCCCCCTTCTCTTGAACAACTCAGTAGTTCCCTTGAGGAGTCGCGTGGACACCAGGAAATTCGTGTGCCTACCACGCTGTCCCTCCGATCTGCAGTGGAACCAACCGCCGGTATGTTCTCCCGAGGGGTACGAGTACATCCACTTGTACTCCCGATGTAGTGGTGGTGGTGGTGGTGGTATAGTCGAGGGATCTAAATATGCCGCCAAATGATCTCCCTTGTCCAGCTCCACCCTCACGCACAGGCTGTTGGGTTCATACCCAATCAACCCCTCCGCTCCCAGGGCTGTCGTGTTCTTCCTGTTTTCCAGGATCGGCCATTTCTCCGACACTTGATCTCACCGGTGGTTGCAAATTTTTCAAACGAGGATAATGACCTTGTTCCGCGGAGGCTGGCAGGGACCTGCCCATGTTGAGCAAAACGAGCGGTCAGCCGCGATCGCAATTCAGCCCTAGATTGAATCGGGCCCGTTTGGTAATGAGTATTGGCCCCCGAATGAACTGTGTCAATCGAGGGTGAGAATCTCATCCAAGGGTCCACTGCCTGAGCTCATTCCTTTTCGAGATGAGATGTACAATGTATATCGGGATGTGCATAACTCCTACTACATCCGTATTCAACAAAGCACTACATACAACTTCTGTACTCCTTCGTATCGTATACAGCATGTTTGATAAGAAAATGTACAATATTCCTGGTATCGGGTACCGAAATCTACATTTGAAGAGAAGTACCTTCAATATTCACTCCCAACCTCTCGGAGCCACACGGGGAGTATATCCTGAGCACTGCTCCCCTCTTCAAAGCCGAACGCCCATGAGAAGGCATGTACTTCACGTCCTTGCCTTCCCACGTGCAGATACGCAGGGAAGACGAAACTCTCTCGGCGTTTAGATCTCGACAAGCTTCGCGAATCCGAGGAGATCACCCCACACTGCATCTGTACGAACAGGCATGGCCCCTGTCGCCTACGAGCCCGCTCAGTGGGTCGTTCGATTCGCCCATGAACCGGTCAGCAGTCCCCCCGTTGCGTCGACAATCGCGAAGCTTGTTGCGAGTGGAACGGCGGCGCAGCGGTGCTTCGGGGAGACTTGTTTGTTGCGCCCTGTGGGCGCATGTCGCATGCTCGGTTTTCTTTTCTTTTCTTTTTTTATATTTCCCTCCGAAGTCGACCTTGTAACTTCCATGCGGGGTGTGATATGGTAATGGGATTGGACGAGGGCGGTTGAATTGGTGGTGAGAGAAGAGCTAACTATACGAAGACACAATAAGTAGGAAATTGTTGCGAAGAGTGCACGACATCCTGCTGCTCAGCTAAGTCTCGGTCGGCATTTGGTCTACGGCAAGGTACCTCATTGGGGTGATGAGAAGACAGAATGATCTGGCCCCTCTTTCGGGGACGGAGCAGCAATAATGTGTCTGGTTATAGTAATTCCGCGTTATAGTGGTGGTGGTGGTGGTGGTTTACGACGCCCTATTGATCCCCAAGATCGCTGGTTCGCCCGCACTGGAGAGTATGCCCCCGTACACTGTCAGTTCCCTTACTTCGTGTTTTGTTTTCTTTTGCATTTGCTTTTTCTTTTGCCAAATCAATTCGTATCCTTTTCTCGCCGACAGGATGACAAGGACCCATGTTCGTTGGGAACAGAGCAGGCCAAGAAATACCCCCCTCCTCCTTGGCCGACGGCGGCCGGCATCAAAAAGGGAAATAAGATAGAATACGACCCAGAATACAATTCCGTCAAACACCACGGTGAGATCCTTGAATATACAATGGATACAAACCCCATCGTAGCCACCGCGGAGAGCTCGGCTTGCCATCACCGCAGGGCCAAGAACGCCCTGCCCCCAATCCCCGATATGCAGCATCGAAGAGGGTGTCGTGGTCGTGGCACTAGACGGGAAGCAGAATCGACTGGGGCGGGGGAACAGACATCCTTAGGCCCTGTTGGAATTACCCCGACTCATCTCTTCATCTCCGCATCTCGCCATCATAGAGAAAGAGAGGGAGAGGGAGAGATAGAGCCATCGGGGCAACTCGCCGGTCGTGTCCGTTTTCTCCACAGAGAGGTCTCCATCAACGGAGGACATAGATTGATTGGGGACAATCAATTAGTCTCACTAACTTGGGTATGTCCTTCCCATTTGCAATAAGGTGTGAACTGTGTGCAGGTGGAGTCCGGACAAAAGGCCAGCGGCTGGCATGAGCGTGTCCAGTGGGACGTGCCACAGGAACAACCACTGGGTAAAGAGGTGAAGCACGGCTTGACCGGCGCACAACCGGGGAAAGTGGAGTTGATGTTAGATTGAATGCAGGCGACAAAAAGACGAGGAAGACGAGCAGAGAGCAGCTTCAGGCCCTCAAGCCGTCCAATCCTCACACCCTCGGGACGGCAGAACTAATGTATGCGGTATGTTACGCCTAAAATAACCCATGTTTCATCACGGTAAGAATGATCCTGCTGGGCGGTTGGTTGGCCTGTAGAAATGGAGGAAAGCTGGCAAGCAGGCAAGCCCGTTATGTACGGCGAGTTAGGCTCAAGGGTGATACCAGCGTATTCCCCATACACACCGTACTCCATACCGCTATACCTCCATACCGGGGCAGGTATTGCAGTACTCAGTATGAGGCATTTTAACCCCGTGCTCTCCACCTGTGACGGCCACCAGAAGTGGTAAAGCCAGGACACTTCAGCGGTTGGGGTTCTTTTTTTGAAGGCTATCCCGCTTGGCTTCGTGTTGGTGTTGCTTTTCAGCCCACCCCCTCTCGCTGGAACAATTGGTGTCGCGAGAGGGAATGAAATGAAGCGCGGGGATATTTTCCCTCAGAGCCTCGGGATAATTATAGAGCAGGGCACTGCTTGTCGCCAATGCCTCAATTCCAATTATACTATAATTCTATCTTTTGCCGGTCTCATTGTTGCATGGCTAAACTATACACCATACACCTCGAAACTATATCCCTATCTCGGGAAAAAAAAAAACTCATGGTTTTTGCCTAGATGTTGGCATGCCTGGGCAATACCTGATCCAAAAATGAAAAGAAAGAAAAGAAGCACATCCGCAGTGAAATTGGCTCTGTTATTCGATGTATACTGACTTTGTCCTGTCAGACCATCTTTGAGATACTCGAATTAAGTACCCCTCTGGAGCCCACATCAGGTAATCAATCACCTGGACCATAGGTACCTCTGTCAAAGAGATCCCAAGAGTATCTTCCGGGTATCTGGGTATTTGCCCTGCTGCAATGTAACACATCATCCATACGAGGAACCGCCCGCCTCCCTGAACCTTGTTCTCAATACCCAAATCTCCTCGTACGAGCACCTTCAATGCTACATGCTGTCAGCCATCAGAATTATGCATCGGAAAGCCCGCTAAAGGATCACGCCGAGAACTAATAATTCCTCTGAATGTATGGATGTCTGGTAATCTCCAAGCCGAATTGCCAGTGTTTGCAAGCACTCAATACAGCCAAGCATACAAAGAACTATATCCGGAGGCGAACACTGCCACCCAGTCTTGCGTGTTCAAAGAAGACAGAAAACAGAAAAAGGAAATAATAAAAGAAAAGAATCAAAAACATTCATGCTGTGATAGCTGGCCCAATCAATCGCATTGGGTCGATCTATACAGCGACATAGCGAGACTCAATTATACATCCAGGCCGCTGCCAAGAAACTCAACGCAATCCAAACACATCCTCATCCTCTCTGTCCCGCCCAAAATCGTGGATCAATCATGGGTTACCAGGCTGATCCATCTCGTCGATCCCCCGGCCGTCAATCATAGCAGTGCACCCGCACAGCAGAGACAGTCCCGTTCACTACCGATACCAAGCCCTCGACATTCCACAACCTTCTTGGCGACCATTTTTGATATTGCAGGCGCGCCAAGACACTGAGCATGAATCTCCCACGCCCGCTTCAGAATGCGCCCGGTGCGACTCCGGGGCCCGCGAAGAAAGACAGAGCCCAGACTCTGGGCCGGAGCAGCCATTGACCCACGGCGCGCGGGGGGGAGGGAAGGGGGTTGCAGAGAGCCCAAGTCAGGGGGCGAACTATGGAGTCTGTTCAGAGTACGGGGGAATAGAGTCATGCTTTCTGGAGTCCCCACAAATTTGGGGCAGCGGACTTCTAATCTTGAGTGAACCTCGCCGGGCCCCCTTTTTTTCACTGGGTCCCTCCTGGGGATACCTCAATCTTGGCACGAACTCTGCGGGCGAAGGTTCGGATCGAACGGAATACGCCCATGGTCGTGGAGTGGGAGGCGCGGTCGTCCGCTGGGCGCCAAGCCAACTCCTATTTCATTGCCCAGTCTCTCAAAAAAGAATCGATAATGCAGACGCCTAGGAGTCCCAGCAGTGCAATTGGCAATGGACAGTGCCAAGGGCGATCATGGCGATCAATCTTACCCAGCGCAGTGCAGGAAGGGAGGGCTTGGCGGCGCGCTCCGGGATGAAGGGCGCTATTGTTTGGCCCGCCAAGCCGTCGCGCCGTGTGACGATGCACTCTACTCGGCCCGATACGGCGAGGGAGGGTACATACTGCTCTTGTAAGAAAGGGGGGATTGCGTATCTCGCAGTGGCAGTGCAGTTCATCGGTCGGGATCGACGAACTGCAAGTTTTTCTGGTAATCTTGATGGTCTCGGACCGGACCGACTAGGCAGAGAAGTATTGTTCGGCACGCGGGAAGCTACAGTCATCAAGGTGGCTTCGGTGACGAGAATAGTAGACGGCCATTTCTTCCGTACCGAAAACACCCTGGTCTGCAGCTCGCCGAGAACGAGGTGATGCTGCGCCGTGTCCCTCGCACCCGAAAGCCAAACCCAACATCCCTGCGTATCTACATTCACTGCTTTTTTTTCCCAGGTTTCATCTGATTGTAGACCAGTTTCCTTCTTTAGCGGAGCTGGGTAACCACGCCTGCACGCTGTGCAGGCCACGATAAGAGGGATAATGGGGTAAGATTTCCACCACACAATTATAGCAATATGGAACCTGACAACGCCTCAAGATCTTGGCGCAAGGCACCCTGGTGTCCAGTGAGGCTCTCAGCTGCGTTCTAAGCCACCTGTTTCTGAACCTTGATGCTTGGTCTCCCTGCGCCGGCCGTACCATGCTAGTTTACAGACAATATACAGTACACAATTCTCCATAAGCATGCTTACCAAATAAAGCATATGCATTCAATACAGAATACCAAAAAAATCTCATCCTGTTCTGAATAACATCTGAAAACATCTCAATTACACCAGATGCAACCTCTACCCTGTATTGTACCATGCTAGGCGCATCACCCACCCTCCCACCATCCCTACCATAGCCCTCTCACTGCCAACCTTCTCGAAATCCGATCGTGCACTGATCGACAAGCAAATAGCTTTAACCAGAACATGGTTGGTCAACCACGTCGGTCACCGGGCCACCCCCGTGCAAAGTTCTCGTGCCAATGAAAGCCTAGCATCCCCGCAGCAGCATCGCAACGAGCACATAGTTCGGCGCGCATCGTCGGACAGACCCGGAGGTTTCATCCTAGCTTTTTGTCTATCAGGTCATTGTATCCAGTGTACGTTCACGGGTTCGGAATCAAATTGACTATCTGGGTAGGAACCTGGTGGGTGATCTCCGCGTCACCCTCCAGCTCCAGGTCAGCCGTCAGCCTTGGCGATTAGAATAGGGGTGGCCTTGGCTGTATAGTTACGACGAGATAATAACGCTCCACTTGGCCGGAACTGGAATTGTATGGGCATCTGTATTTGCGTGGTTATTTTCCTCAAACTTTCGTAACAATGTCCCGTGAACCAATTCGGACACGATGATGACAGCCGGCAGACATATGCTGGGGCTGTGATATCATGTTGTCGATAAGATGGGATTGAAACACGTAGTGCTCGCAGGGCCACTGTCCTATATCAGCTCCACTGAGATCGAAAATCCTCTGCCTACCGGTGTAAATCGCCGTCGATCCCTATGCGATTTATGGGATTGATCCATGGCCATCGTCCACGAAGACCGCGCTGCCCAAGCTGCGTTGTTTTTTCTTATTCGCCTGTTTAAGCATTTCATCCCTGTGCCAACGCGCGGATTTTCCCTGAGCTAAGGCCTCCATATAAGCCAGATGATGAGCTGAGTGAGGGGGCCTCGGTACTGAGTCGAGCGGTCTGCGGAGAGCGCCGTTTGTTGGCGGGAGAGTTATTCATGGGGGGTCGCAGGGATGGACTGTGCGGAAGCCTCTCTCATCACCGGTGATGTCACTTCGAAAGATCTCCAGTGCTAAGAATAAGATCTGCTGAAGAATCAGACTAAACAGCGCTCGGTGTCAATTATTTTTGTATTAGATGCTATTGGCACTGGGGGGAGTTCCCGAAATAGAACTACGTCACGGTTTAATTTGTTTCATGGGTTTGTATAGTAGAGAACGACCTCGAGATTGTTTGGTTTTCGTATCGTTTATTGACTACAGAATGAGAGAAATACTACTTCGTAGGAATCTAGGCGATGTCGGTAATAGAATTTCAACATTCTCACATATATTGGTTCTCGGATGGTCTTCCCTAGCCTCAGATATCCAATATTCATCTGCATCGGCTAGCAGAGCATGGTGAAAAGAGTAAAACATACAGCCTTCTTCCTTACATGTGGTATGCTCTGACTCTCATGGAAATAATGTAAAGGAATCGAGAATACATTATCCTGAAGGTTACAGATAAACGCCCAGGAAATGCTTCTTCATATGCGTTGATTCGCGAATTCTACCGTGAAATTGGCGTATACCATCAATCGTAGAGATCTGCTCCATTCTTCCGAGACATGAGGCCATTAAGCGAAGAAGAGCACACTAGAATGAAGATACCCCTCCGTGGGCCGCGAATACGAGGACGCTAAATTCGATCTCAGACGACCTTCAAAACCATCTCAAAAACAGATCTCGGCGGTCCAAAGACTCAGCCTATCGTCAGGAATCGCCGGTAGGAATTGAGATACTATTTCGCATCGTATAGAAGCACCATGGATCCCCTTTCGATCTCCGCCTCGGTCGCCGGGCTCATTACGATATCAACGCAAATTCTTGGCATCATCGGGGCCGTCAAATCGAAGAACAAGAAGGGACTCGAGTCAATCTCACGAGAGGTCACAACTGTTCGAGGCATCCTTTGCCAGATTCAAGAGATCATTCAGTTCCAGTCGACAAAGCCGACCAAAAGTGCGGAGTGGTTGGACACACTGAACACAACCCTAGATGATTGCGGAGAGACGTATCTTTCTCTTCAAAAGGACTTGCAAGCGCTCGTTTCAAGCTCCAAACTGACATCTCTGAAAATGAAAGTCAAATGGACACTCAAGGAAAGTGATATCCAAGATGCTTTGAGAAAGCTGGAGAGCTACAAGCTCTCGTTGGACTTATTGCTTTCAATCCAGACCAAGTATGTGCTCATGGCCAGGCAGCAGTTCAAAGGCTCACTAAATCTAGTACTGCAACGACAAACATCGAGGAAATTCTCAGACAGGTTCAGACCAAGCTATCGTTGAAACCTACAGAGTCTCCTACTGTCCGAACGCCTCTTGCTTGGAGGCAAAAGTTGGCAGGCTTGGACACAGGATCAGTGACGGTACCGACAAATGACACTGATTCAACATCCTCAACTTTAGGGAATAGCAGCATTTCTCTCGTTAAAGATAATGATACCTCTTTCATTATTCCTGGGTCAGAAAGAGCAGGATGGGATAAACCAGGTTTCTACGGCATTACTAAAGATGAAGGCTTTGACGCCCCTGATCTAAATGATCCTGATCTGAGCTGCGTCTGCGAAATGTAGGTGTTCAAGACAGCCTTATGCATAAATCAGGTCCTGACAAGATTTCGGGCCTAGGCAAATTGGCAGACAGAAAATTAGCCTCGTCTGCAGCTGGGATGGGGAAGAGCCGAGCGGGACAAGCGGAACGATGAGGCCTATTGTGGCGCATCTTCTCTTCAAGGGTCCGTCTCGGGGGGATCTTTTTTCATGCAGATTAGGGATGGTAAGTCTTCAAATTGCTCACACTCGCCAGAATTGACATTTTCAAGTTTTGTCCGCTACGCTGTGTGAGCGAGTATTCGCTCCAGTAGGAGAAACGAGCCTGGTAATCGCCCGCTGCGATTCTAAAAGCACTGTGTGCGCTACCGGTGAACTTGATGTACATGAAAACCAAAATGACTTTTGTCTCATGCTGGGTGCTTTTGCTTTGAGATCAAAGCCTGGTTCTGAGCAAATTCTGGTGAATTTTGAAAATGAACAAGGTGAAAACATGGATTAGTAGCATTTGATTCACAGAGAAATAACTGACTTTCGAATTTTTTCCAGATCGAGATCAGTTTCTCGTGCATCTGTACGCAGTTCGATATCTACAACGGATGGATCATGCATTTGCCAGTCCTCTAAAGCTATATCATTATTCCCCTGCTCATCTAAGGTCGGTTTTTCCAAAATACATGGAGTAAAAGATGGAGCTGATTCTGAGGTGTAGAGCTCAGCATGTCCAATTGGGATATGAGAATGGCACTGAGAAATCATATATCTACCCATATTTCTATGTTGAATACAGCCTGGAGAGCCGTTCCCCGAGAATCGCGTGCGCAACGAAGCTAGATAGCCAGGAATCAGTATTCAGCGAAGATCGTGAGTGTAAAATGCTTGGTTCTTTCTGAAAGTATCCACTGGAGGTGGCTAAGTCGATGCAGTTTCGGCACTTGATTTTCAAATAGTGGGAGAAGAAACCATTGTGTTCAATACACCAGATGGAAGCGCCCTACGAACCATCTCAATAACCTTTAGTGGTCTAAACGGTGATTTTCAAATATGTATCACTGAGGCAATTGAAACTAATTTCGCGCAGAGCTTTTCCGGGTTTATTATCGTTTAGAAGATATCCTTCAGGAGTGGAGACTTCTCAAGACGAAGAAGATCGATGAATTCGAGGTCAAGAAACAATGGTACGGGAAATGAAACGCCCCCAATTATGGTGAGTTTTCAGATACTAAAATCAAGGCAGGTCTTTCAAAAGGCTAGAGTTCTGGGAAGAATCAAAAACGCCTGAGAGCCCATTCTACAATGTGGTCGTCGTTGCCCAAGCCGACCTCTTCCTGAAAAGAATGAAGATGGATGTATTTGACCAAGAGCAAACTCGGAAGCTAGCCTCTTATTATGGTATGTGGATCCCATTCTTGCCATTGATCTCTCTCCCTTATCATTTGCTTTACTGAGTATTCCAAAACGCTTAGTGTCGATATCCTCTGTCCTATTTTATAAACACGAAATGCGGGCTTCCGATCCCGACTTCTTCATTGCACCAGTATTCCAAGCCGGTTTTTGGGATCTCAGAGATGGCGGCTCTATTGAAGCAAATAATTTTAAATCAGGACAAGTGAGATGGCACGATAGAAAAGAACGGCAGCTATGCGATGAATTGGAAGACTTGGTTGAAGATCTGCTGCGGAAGAGTAAAGATGCACAAAAAAGATTCATGACGGAAGCGAATCGCATATAGGAGATGAATCTTATAGCAAGAGTGCCTAACACCTGTTATGTGGGGTTGACTTCATACATTGCGTGCCTCTATCTAGAATTAAGTCGTGATGATCATCCCGCAGGGCACTATTCGAATGTACGCATGTATATATCTAGTGGTCATTTCTACATAGACAAACCCAGCAATTTTCCATTGGTCATGAAAGGATCCTCGATAATTTTACTTTCTTGTTCAGGCTGCTTTGGTTAATTTTGCTGATTCATTCTCCAAGTCAAGAGGCTGAATTGTTTCGTAGAGACTGGATTTGAGCATGAAAAAGGGTCCTGAACGGCGTGTTGAAGCCTGATTATTTAGGCCTGAAAGAGTGGCGAGACACGTGCTTACCCGATTGAGCAACGACCAGATCAAGTGTCATTCGTAAGATTTGGATCTCGTCGCACTCGGGCATTGGATACATTCTCATAATGGGTCCAGCTCCTCTGCGATCAGATAGCTGTAACACATGCCGCAAGAGGAAAGTCAAGGTGAGCATGCTCTCGACAGTTATTAGCGCTACAAGACCCCCTGACTGGAGTAGTGCGATCTACAGCACCCACATTGCGCGAGATGCCTCCGAGGAGGCCATCATTGCGAAGGCTATGATCGTTTAACCAAATTCGTACATACATTTGCCAAGCCCATTCAGTACACAAAGCGCCCTGTGTCACAAAAGAGTTCGAAGGATAATATGCAGGGCCCGCGAGCAACTCTGGATCAACAAATTGCTGTGATCAATGTGAACGCCCAGATACGCTCACAACTATTTTCGCTCTTCATTGACTCTTATATTCCATTGTCACCAATCGGACAAGTCAGTTTCAGATGTCGAAATACATCTAATTTAATCGAGGCTTTCCCATCGCTAATGAACGTGGGGAATAGCCAACTACTAGACAGAGCGATGTCAGCGCTCGCCACTGTCTTTGTGGGCAAAAAATTTCATAACTTTCAATTGATCCATTATGGTATAATGCTATATAATGATTCAATACGCCTATTTTCTCGACTTATACCAAGAGCGGGGCCACTGGCTCAAGAGGTGCTGTGTGCAAATGTTGTTTTCCAGCTGTATGAAGTAAGTTTGCCTCCACATTATTAAATCTTTTTTCTTTTTCTAATATATCAAGGTTATAAATTGTACTTCTGGGTTTTCCGGATGGATGGCGCATATGCAGGGTGCCAATGCTGTTGTGGCCCTTCATGAGAAATCGTTGGTTCGAGATCCAATATCAACCATGCTGCTCCGGCAGCTGAAATTGTCCAATGTAGGTTAAGATGACCCCACTGAGAAGTCTGATACTTGAGTAAATACTGAATTGATAGGTGTTCCATGCAATTGGGAAATCTAAATCAGCTCTTCATTTTTGCCCCATGTGGCAGACTGTAACTTCAAGTACTGACGGAGCGGCCCCAGTTGAACCTATCGATGAAGTAATTGATATTCTTTTGAAATGCACAATCTTTATCGAATATATTGACAGTGGAAGGACAGACCTTGAACCCCAGAAATTGATGGATCTATGCTGCAGCTTGAAAAAGCAAACTGAGTCTTGGCACAGGAAACTCCAGTCAAAATGTCCCGGTCAACTCTACACCATCATCCCGAATAGAGCCAATGTGTCTCGATCTGCTGTAACAGAGAACATGTTCTCCAGTACATTCCATTTTGAAACCGTTGAAATCGCCGAGGCATACATGCTATATTGGGTGGTTCTTCTCATTCTTCATTCCTTATTCCATGGGATTGAACTTCGAGACCAGTCATCTCCAGAAATACCCCCTCAATTGCCAGATGCAGAATATGCTAAACCAGAAGATAAAAAACAAGAGGCTACTTTATTTTTGAAGACCCTGGGCTCTATGCCGATAAAATATGCTGCGGTGTAGGTTATTTCCTTCAACCGCAGATGCACATTCTGGGTGGGCACAATTTGCTCTTTCCTACATCTATGGCAGCTCAATTTTTCTACCGCAACGGACTCGACGATCGTTACCTGTGGTGCCAGGAGACCTTTGCGGCTCTGGAGTCTATTGGGCTAGGCCTTGCCCACGTTTTGCAGGGAACACCATGGTCCAAGTATAAATCCGACGACAGTTAGGGGCTCATTATATCAATATGTTTCAATATGGAACTGGAATTGTAAATCATGCATGTTGAATACTTCAAAAACTGTATAGTCATGAAATTCCGAACCACTTTCTACCTCCAGGCTTCATCATTCAAGGAAATGCAAGTGCTGAGGGTGAAGCCCGATCTAGAACATTGATTCTTGAGATTTTTTCTAGATTGTTCTTGGGCAAATATTTCAAAAATTTTGGAAATAAAATGCGTGAGCCTCAGCCACGGAATGGTATCATTCTTATATTCGTTCGACTGCATAGTCTCCATGAAGAAGCATCCAGAGTCCTTCTAGAGAATAAAGATCATTGTCCCTTATTATAAAACCAGCAGAAGTATTTTCTCCCTCATGCAAGTCTATACATTCAGACAGCACCACTTACACCCTTCGCTTGTCTTGCGCTTCGCTTTTTCTCAGACCATGGGAAATGGACAACAGGGACAACAAAGAAACTATTACTATTATCAGCAATACCAGCAAAGGCGTTATACCAAGCTAGAAAAGCTCCCAAAAAGGCAAAGAGGCCCCCTGCCTTCATCAGGCCTTCATTAGGCAGTTCTTCCGCATTGGGGTAGAAGTATGATAGAGCGATGAGAAGAATAGCGAGATCAACAACGAAGAAAAGAGAAAAGAACGCTACAGTTGACTTGACTGTGCACAGCATTATCATAAAAGTGAATATAAACCAGGCCTATCTTGGTTAGTCTCCACATTCTACTGAATATGATTGAGCTTGACGTACCATGAGGTAGAGGGCAAAAGCATTGTAGAACATTATGTGGGATCCTTCATCGGCTTCGATCATGGCATCCATGATGTTGAATCCGCCGGGGATAAAAATAATGGCAGTAGAGATCCAGAATCCTCCATAAGAAGACAAAACGGTAGCACCGAATGTATTCCCAATTGCCATCTCCCTACGCCCATAATGAGATTCACTTTTCAATAGGGTCAAAAACGGTCACAGAAATGACATACCACATTCCTGCAAGAAGCTGTACTAGGCCACCGTATGCCAAAGCTGGCCCAACGATCATGTTAGGCTTCGTGATCCCCTTTACATTCATTTGAATACACCCAAGCATGAAAGTCGTCAAGGCAAATCCACATAGACCGAGAGGCGCTGGGTTGGCGAATCGGCGATCCCTGGGTGATCGGTAGAGGCCCGGTTGGAACTCACCACCAAAGGCAGGGAGGCGGCTCTCGGCAGTGTTAACATGGGCCAGGGGACCATATCGGCCTGCTTCAAAATCTTCGATGTTGGAATCGGATGAAGACATGTTATTAATTGGCTTGGAGTTATGTTTTTCTGTCATTTTGAAGGATTATGGCTTGGAAATGAAGAGCAGACAGAAATTTGATCTCGACCGAATGGTTTTATAAAAAAAGGATCCGAGGTGGTTGGATCTATTCTACCTTTATATGGACTTTTGAATGTCTCTACCGCTTCCTGTCTATGACGAAGAGTTGCGGCCGGCATAAATTTTCGGGAATCCACCCTCGCCAGTGGGAGTCAAGGATTGAAAGTCATCTCCACTCCAATTATTGGAAGCCCTCATTTCGGTTTCCATACACTAGGTCCGGTTGCTCGTGAATTATATAGATCTATTATTATTGGCCATCGGGTTGAGCCACGATCAACGTTGATGTGGGGATTTCTCTGCACGGTGGAGCACCAGCGAGTCAAAAATCATTGCCTGCGGATTGAAAACATGGAAAAGAAATTGAGCAATTACGCCAGGGGACAAGAGCAACCTGTGTGAAGAGAAATTTGGAGAATCGGTTTATACGTATACAGGACGAAATCCTCTCCAGTGGCTCGAGTCCTACTTTCAGGGTGCCCATTGAGTCAAAGGATTGTGTCCGAACACCAGGGCAGGTCAGAGTCCTCAAACGAGTCCTAGTTAATCAGACTACGAGAAGAAACCAAAGAAATGAGACCTCAGGTGGAGAAAACCAAGCACAAGCATAGAAGATCTGCTAGGTAGATCTCGTTGGGCCCCTTAACACGATGCGGGGAAACCCCAGACTGCCCGGATTGGGTTTCAAAGAATTTGGATAGACTCAAAATAGAGTTAAATTGTGGGGATCGGAGAACAGCTCGGCATATCACCCCTAGCAGGCCATATTAAACCCTCTTATTCCGATTTACGGAACTTTTTGGGTACCGAGGCCGAAGCCGATTCTGTTAGACTTTCAAGTGTCGCCGGTAGTCAAGTCGCTTACGACAAGCAAAGGCACTCAAGACCTCAACGGGAGCCTATGCAGTAACCGCGGGTGGCAAAAAGAGATCCAAGAACGCGGAATGACATTCCGCGACTAGAACCACGGTCTCATTACTGCTTCGATGGCAAAGTCGTTTGCCAAGTATTTTCGGCGACAGCTGTTCTTGAGGCGAAGGCGGTCGATTTGAATATAGAAAGACAAGCAGCACACAAGGAAAACAAGCGAGGAGACGTTATGAATGTTGAAAGAATTGATTATTATTCATCTCTTTTGAATCCACAAATAATATCAAGCAAGGCTTCGCCACTCTCCTGGATATGAATCCTTGGAAAACGCCCCATTTTTATGCATTCAAATTCAAACGTTTGATGTCCGAAACACGCAAAATATTAGATCACGAGCCAATTTCCGGTAACCTCCTTGGCCATCTTCGTGTCTCCACCGAGAACATGAAGGCATTGCAAGGCATATGCAGCTTCACGCGAAAAGTCCTCCAGAAAAGGCTGAGGCTTAGAGATCAAGGTTTTTGAATCGTCATCTGCATCAGTCATAGTCACATCGGCATTTTTGGGGGCGCCATTCGCCGTTTCAGACACTTGCAAACTAGCCTCTTGCTTAATCTGGTCTCCTATCTTGAGCACTTTCTCGTACCCTTCAATAGCTAGGTGGCTCAAGTTAAGCCCGTGCCAAACACGAGCAAAGTTGAATTCCACCTCCTGGTGTTCTTGCAATGTAGCACCACGTTTCGCACGGGCTCGACGGTATTCGTACATGAAAGACAATCCCTGCATGATAAGATAGTGTCGGTTTTCGGATTGTCGCTTCTGAGATTGGTGGATGTAAGAGAGCGCAATCGAAAGCAAAACGGCTGGGTTCTTATCGTCTAGGGCGTACGCGCGGAAGAAATAGTTAAGAGCTGGATAGAAACTGTTTCCAGAGTATAAAATATTGCCATAAAGCACAAGTAAGGCGATATCGAGCTCATGGGCAGGAATAGGTTCGCCGGCTTCATCTCGAGTTGAGAGGGAGGCCCGCTCTTTCCAGATAGATTGCCGGGAAGGCGGAGGCTTATCTGCACTGTCTGGTAAAGTGAAATCCATCGCTTTGATTTGACGGAGCATAAACTTCATACTTGGCGAGGAATGAAACAACGATTTGTGAGGATCACCGGACAGATGACTTAGCATCGAAAAGAGTCGATAGGTGTCGGTCACAAATTGGTATTCCTTTACGAACCAACGAGCCTCCATGGTGAGAGTTTCCTCGTCTTGGGCTCGAAGTGCACAAGCTACAGAAAGGTTAGCTCATATTGCAAGACATACACGTTTTGTAGAGACTTACTAAACCAACAAACGTGAATCATGCGCGATTTCCGTTTGTCGTGGTACCAGACACTTGCAACCGCAGCTGCATCAAGTGTCTCATAAGCCTCCTCCGGCTCACCTTGCTCGGTGACAAGGAGTGAGTACTGGAGGAAAATGTCCAGCCATTCATCGAATGAAATGCCATGGTAATCAGATGGTACAGCGCCTTGCAATGGCTCGTCATGGCTTTCGCCACCTGAGATATTTGTTAGCTCAAATTCCGTCCATTTTCACTGAAATAACCAACTCATGGATTGCTGAAGCCGCCCCGCCATCTCTTGCATCTCATTCAAGAATGCACTATTTTTGGTCTTCCCAGCCTTTCGCTGTGCATCACTTGAATACCCTTGAAACTCCATAGTACGTGCCATGGGGTAGAAAACTCGATTTGACCGAAAGTCACGCAAAAGAGCATCAGCGATGTCAAGCCAATCCTCAACGGCGCCATTGTCACCCTCCTTGACTTTAAGTTCCAGCTCTCGCATCTTCCTATACAGAAACTGGATATCCTCTAGCCGGCTGCTTTCACCTGCAAAGCCACGCCCCTTATCAAGAGTGGCTACTGAGCCCAGGGTCAGTGCTCCAGCAGGTTTAGGAGCAATAGGTCTTAAGGGTTGGGTATCAGCGCCCTGAAACTCGATGGCAAGTTGTTCAAGTCGGTTATCCTTTCGTCTTCGACGCGTTCGGGTATCTTGACGACCTATCAGAACAGCCTCATTGACATATTTGAAGGCTTGATCGCTCATTCCTAGGCTCTCGTAAAGTTTCGCCAATTGCACCCGTGATTCCAGGTGTCCCGGCTCATGCTCAGCCACTGTAAGATAACAGCCCTCTGCGTCTTCAAGCCTCCCCAATTGGCTACAGCAATCGGCCATGGCCATGAAAAAGCTAATATCTGCATATTCTGCAGTCTGCTGGATCGGCGAATAGAAGCGCAAGGCCTCCTCTAATAATCCAACATCCTTCAGGGCGTCTGCGACTTCTCGGAAAAGATCTCCGTAATGAAAGATCCGGCCATTTTCAGAAGTATCTTCGGGGTTCAACCATTCAAAATGATGCTATTAAAACTCTTGGTTAGATAACAATGAAGTCCCAATGGAAAAGCCAGCTTACCATTGCTTCGTTATGATGCTTTTCACCCATATTCAAACGGAACAGTCCCATCTTCACTCGAAGTTCCAGAGGCAGACCAAGCCCATAGCTCTCTGCGGGCCACTGACCAGGAATGAATCCATCGGTCTTGATACGGCGGGGAGAATCCTCAGAATCCCATTCTCGGTCGTCATCCTCAAACTCCTCCCACATAATGTCATTACGGCGGCCTAGAAGCCACCGAGAAAGTGATTTGAGAGCCTCAATACCAGCGTGTGGTTGGTTTACATAACCAAAAAGCTCAGCGTAGATGTTGGCATCGGACCAAGAAAAATCCTGAGCTAGTTCTGGGTCAAGAGATTTATAGTACTCAACACTCTCCGTCCAATGGTTGATGGCTCTTTGGACATCATCGAGATCAATGAATATTTCAGCCAAATGACGTAGGGCTCTGGCGCTGTGCGGTCGGTCTTTTAGAATACGTTCGTACTCAGTGACAGCTCTACCGTTGTGATTAAGCTCACGATAAAGTGCCGCTCGCTGAAATCGAGCATTATAGTTCTTCGGCTGGATATCGATCACACGACTGTAGCAATAAACGACATCATTCAAGACACTAGACCGGTTGTCGCCGGCCAGGTCGAAAAGTTGCCGGGCAACCTTCATCCAGACAGTGGGGTCCTTTGGCCGAGTGTGAGCACCATTCCAGAGAGCCGCGAGAGCCTTGGGTTTGTCACCCTTGGCCAGCCAAATCTCTGACAACAGTGAATGAGCTGGGAACATTTCGGGGTTGACTTGAATCGCCTGCTTGACCTTCTCAAGAGCATGCTCATAGTCGCCGTCAATAAAAGCTGATGTAGCTTCGGAATGATACATCTTAAACTCTGGGCCAGGATCCAACGGTTTACGAGGGCCCCGTTTGATACCCTTGCCGCCGCGGGCGCCATAGCGACCTGAGAAACGTCCTCCACCTCGGCGACGGCGTCGCCTGGCAGCAGAATCGTCTGATTCATCATCTTCTTCGATGAACTCGTCATCAGTCTCCTCTTCCTCGTCACTGTTATTTGGCGTTAGCTCAGAGAAGCATCGAGCTTGGGTTGGGGGTCCACATACCTCCCACTCTGACCTTCGGACCATACAAACTCTGAGTCATCTTCCCCTAGGTCTTCATGAAGTAACGCTGGAGGGTAAACTTGAGCATCATCAGATCCTTCTTCGAACTCTGCAGTCGAAGGCTCTGCAAACCCCTGTGGTGGGTTCTCAGGAAATAGACTTTGGTACAAACGAGGATCAATCGCGAAGGCCGGAACGTCGGCGGCGGCCGACGGCTCGCCTCCCTGCCATTGATAATGCGTTGATTCATGTTCATCGATATCTGGGTACATGTATACCTCCTCCGGGTGAGGGGAAGAAGTAGCCATAGGCAGATCTGAGGCTGCCATGGTCACCACGCGATGATGTGAGAGTTGCTGGGATCATCCAACTACAATGCTCAAAAAAAGAGGGGAAACAAATCTCCTCAGTCCAGTGACTGAGGCTAAGCGACTGGTTGAAAGCGGCGATTGATATCGTGACTGAGTTGAATGGATGATAAGCAACCAGTGTGCCGCGAACCACAGCGCTGGACCCAAGGCCCAGACCGTATAGTCACTACCGAGTCTGTCCAGGCGTTTCAGATGCAGCAGCCCCGATTATTCATAGTATGAGCTCCACCAGGAGCGATGAATGGATGGATCAGAAAACCAGCGAGCAGAATCGAGCCACTACCGAGTGAAAGACGGTCGTCGAGAGGAATGCAAGCGAGTTTCTTCATTCCCGCTGAGGTTGAGTTGCGGAACCCGTGACCCTGAAACAGAAAAAAGCCTCTTCGCGGCCGCACTGCCAGTTCCTCCGTCCTTTTCCACCCCCATCCAACTTCTCCTCTTTCTTCTTCCCTCTCCTCCCCCATCCCCTCCCCTTTCTTCTTTTCTTTGGGTTCTGGGCCTTGGCTTGTTGTGTTTGACACACTATTGCCTCCTGGTCCCTGACTTTCCTTCGTTCGGATCCCCCTCCTAATATTAGCGATCTTCCGCCAAACCCATCCCGGAGCCTTTGCAGTCGGTCTCCCCAATCTCCTAAAAGTCGAGGTGCAGCCACTGGCCTGGTCTGTGCCCTCCCAACTGTTGTCGCCTGGAGTCGAGATTTGGGCCTCAGTCCTTTCTGGCATCCGTGAATCTCCCTGCCTGCATCCTTCAGTCAGGTTTTTTTGCTTCTATCTTGTTACGCAAACTCAGCAGGTGCTGCAGGTGTTTTGCAGTAATTTTCCATCCCCCACTGTATTTACTATTCACCTTTCATCCATCCCCCGGTGAGCCATGGCCAGCCACATCATCGGAAACCGCAACAGCACTCCGGAGGCAGCTCCGAATTCCACCTTGCGCCCTCCTTCGTCTGCCCGCAACCTCGGATCACACCAGCTGCGAGCCTCAGCCGACATGTCGGGGTTTCCCTCGCCACTATCCTCCCGCAGCATGCGTCCGTCCTCGGAGGTTTTTTTCAACCATCAAGCCCAGGGACAGAACACAACGGAGGATGCTCTGGATCGCGCCGCTCAGCAATGGCTGGCAGACATTGATCAGTACGAGACAACTCTGGAAGAGATGGCAGCCGCCACTCTTGATCAGGACTTCAAGGATGAACTCAGTGCCATCGAGCAGTGGTTTCGAGTTCTGAGTGAAGCGGAGCGGACGGCTGCATTGTATGCACTGTTGCAGCAGACCACTCAGGTACAGATCCGATTCTTCATCCAAGTGCTGCAGCAGATGTCTCAGAGCCATCCAATGTCCGGGCTTCTTTCGCCAGCAAATTTTGGGGAAAAAGGTAAGACTTCCTACTAGTCACCCGTTGCTTTTTGGATTGCTTTCATTTGTTTCCTGCTACAGCAAACAACTAATCTTATACTTTCAATTAGATGCCATGTCTAGCCGCTTGAGCGATGCAATGTCGAAAGTCAACTTGGACACCTCCCGGAGCTCGTTGGGCCGGCCCCCACCATCACCCGGTGCGAAGCGCAACTCGGGACTCGATTCCTCTACAATTAATGCGATGTTCCCCGATGCTGCGGCTGCGATTGCAAAGAAGAAGGCAGAGTTCACTCAGCAGACTGGCAACGCCCCTCCATCAAACCGGAACAGCGCGGTCTTTGGAGATCGTACCTCATTTGTTGCACCAACCATCTCCGGCCCCGACAACTCCGACAACCTGGGCAATCCCCCGGCATCACCATGGGCTCGCGGCGGTCTTTCAGATGCCCAGCCTCCAATTGCCCGTCCAAAGTCTTCGTCGGGTCATCAACCCATGGGTCAATTTAGCCAAACTTCGGGCATGCGTTCGCCTCTTCCCCAGACGGCCACAATTCCTGCCCCGGACGTCGAACCTCCACTGCTCTCTCCGTACAACTTGGGTAACCACAGCTGGGCCTCGATGACCAACACCCCAATGACTGCCACCTTCGGTCAGCAGCAAAACAATGGACAGAATTCGCAGGCCGACATGGTTGCCAATGCGACCGCGATGAAGCTGGCAGCTCTGTCCACTGTTAACAACCGTATTGCTCTAGATGACGCGCGCAAATATCGTCGTGCTCGTTCCAACGATGGCCAAGGGAAGAACTCGAGTGCCAACCCTACCCTTTCTCAAGGACTGGCAAGCCCAGGCCTGCACGGGTCTATGGCCAGTCAACTCCTCAATGCCCAGCAGCTGGCCGCGTTGCAGGCCCAGCAGCAGGCTGCCATGGCGGGCCGGCGCTCCCGTCCGACCTCTCCCGGCATTGCCATGCAGGGTGGTGGACTCGGTGCGATGGGCTTTACCTCGCCGCAAAACAATGGTTTCTTAGCCGCCTATGATCCGAACAACCCGCTAATGGGCAACGGACTAGGCTCACTGGGCATTGGGCAGTTTGGACTGGGTAGCGAAGGCTACCTGTCCGACCACTCAGAGGTTACCCGTGGTCGCTCCCCACGTGGTCGCCGCGGCAGCTCAAAGCCTCCGGAAGACCCCACTGACCCGGCCCTTCTGAAGGATATCCCCAGCTGGCTGCGATCCCTTCGGCTGCACAAGTACACCGACAATCTAAAAGATCTCCAGTGGACAGAGTTGGTTGAACTGGATGACAAGGCCCTGGAGGATCGTGGTGTCAACGCACTGGGTGCGCGCAACAAGATGCTCAAGGTGAGTTTGGTCAAATATCTATGCTTCTCCTCTTTGTTTGGTAGTAAAATGCTAATATTTACCTCGCTAGGTCTTTGAACAAGTCCGGGAAGCCCGTGCAGACGGCAAACTTGAGAATGTTGCATGATATCTGCAACAAAGCATAGCATAATAATCGGTCCAACTTTGCATACGACCGATTTGGTTGCCTAGCGATCTCATGAAACTGGCATCCGCATTCCATCTTGTGTGGTTGTTTTTTGTTTCTGCTTTTTTTTTCTTACTCTTCCTCTTTTTCTCTTTTTCTCTTTTTCTTTTCTTTCTGTTCTCTTCTCTCATTCGTTCTGTGATCTTCGGTTCACCCTAATACGATGGATGTGGGATTCGGCATGTATCAAACGCAGTGATGTCAAGAAACGGCTTCATGAGGAGGGAAAACTTCGGGCTACTGAACATTGAAAATGGCTGGGTCAATCGTAGATATGGACATGATCTGTGTTCGAGTCTTTTGATTTTTCCGAATGACCTACGGTAGTGTATATGAATGTTTTATGACCTTTGCTACTACAATTTCTGTTGAACGTACGCTTTACCTTCCTCTGTCCTATCCGTAGTTCTTGAGAAGCCCGCCTGGTCCGTGCACAGCTACGAACCCGCGCCTCTCAACCTCCGCCCCGACGCTGCCTCTTCTCTCCACGTCACGCATACACCTCAACTGCGGCGAGTTGGCTGCTTAAACCCGTCCTTATTAATCAGATAAGGCTAGAGACGGCATATCCTACGTTCGTTGCTCATCTTTTCCCAGCCCGCACCTCTTGAACACGCGACCCGCCACAACACCCTCAAGAGACAGCCAAGCCAGTAAACCCCAAAATCCGCCAATTCCATATCGCGCCTTCGATATGGCTCCAACAAAGCAGGAACTCTCGCTGCTGGTGAACCCCCTCGTTCCCGAGGCCGTGCAGCACAACTACCGGGTATGTATCATTCGCATTCGTCCTCAATAGCGACCTTCTCTCGCAAGCATGACCCTTCCCCCCGGCCTATGTGGCCAGAATGCGAGCAGCACTTCCAATTCCCTCATCATATCGCATACCTCCCTTGAAGGTTTTCTGCGCTCCTCGCCTAATCCCATCTATCTCTATAGGTCCTCTCCTCCCTCCACTCCCTAACGGCCTTCCTCCTCGGCCTCTCAGCTGGCGTGCTTGCTTTGCAATCCACTGCCGGCTTCGCCTTCTACTTCCTCGGCACCGTCCTTGTCTCGGGTCTTTTTCACTTGGTGCTACTCTACCGGTCCGGCGGTGCCGGCGCCGGAGCCTTCTTCCCTGGCAGCAATGGCGGCGAAATCGAGGGCCGCATTTCGATGGACCCGCGTAGCGGGGCCGTATCCATGCAGAAGGAGAATAAGGGCCTATTTGTTTTACGGAAGGGTGCGTGGAGAGATGTGTGGTTTGGCGGCGGTGTGATGAGCGAGGCGCTGAGTGGATTTGTGCTGGGGTGGGCTGGTGTTGGAGGTGTGTTGAGGTGATGGGTGGCTCGTCGTTTTGGTGGATGTCATTCGAGAAATTATCATATGCCAAGTCAATTGGATACAATGAGTCGAAGAGGGGTTGGCTGTGTATCATGTAATATTTTCAACAATTTCACGCTCCTAAAATAGATTCAGGTTCAAATTCACTCATGAATGATATCCGGAACATATAGAATTCTGGACCAGGTGGCCTCCGAACCCTATATATAGACTGGGAGCCATATTTCTACAATTTCCAGAAAGTAGATTATTTACAAATCAAAAGACCTGCCTGCAGAAAGAAGGAGACTCCAATATGCTTCACTGCATACGCCTACCTGCATCAAATCAGCTTCTTAATTCCGCTTGAGGGCTCCTCGTGTTGGCGGTCAGAATGAAAATATCCAAGTCTCGCTTCAAATATGAGATCGGTACATCACAGGTCTTCAGAAGTCCGGCATTGATGATATAGATTTTCTTGTGAAGATACCCTACGCTTATCGAGAATCATGTTTCGAGATTCTACAGGCAACTTACCCTGCTAACCCACCAGAAATAGAAGATTACGACTTTGAAATCCTATCCTTCACTCCAATCCCAGTGCAAGTTCTTCAAAGTACGGATAGGTCAGTGGGCATCCAAGACGTGAGCCAGGGAATTGATGAGTGACTGGTGGTTCAGGCCACCTGACCCTGGTATTGGGCCTTCTTCCTAAACGACGAGACTAATTCACCGGGATTTGGACTCGATTATCTCAACCTTTGGAGTGGTATACCAATTATAAGAGAGTGAACCATAATATTTAGATCGGCTGGGAATATATCCATTTAGAAAGGTTGAATCTTGGTCGTTCTTGATTTGTGCCGAGGACCATAAGTAGGAAAGGAAATACGTACCTGGCGTATATCATTGTAATTGGATGCCTCATTTGAGGCTGAAAAAAGCAAGTACTCATCTTATCGAACACCCCGCACACCTTGTTTCTCCTGGTCCACCATAACCAGCTTTTTCATCCAAAACACATTTTATTTTTGCTTCATTTCAAACCCCAAGGCTGCTAGTTATTGCCATGGCTGATCCGCTGTCGATCGCATCCGGTGTTGCTGGATTTCTCTCCCTGGGAATTCAAGTCACACAAACTTTAATTGATTTCTATTCTACCTACAAAGGCCAAAATGCCGATCTTGCAAAGATAACGCGAAACATCGAAAGTCTCCGGGCTATTTTTCAGTCTCTAGAAGCTGCAATTGAATTACGTCAATCCCAGGGTGTCGCGGATGATCTCTTGCAGGAGGTCGAGAAAGCCGCACAAAACTGTCAGAGAATTGTCAAAGAACTCCAGGACGAGTGCCAAAAGCTCCACGCCGATTTTACCTCAAAAGCTGGTCTGAAAGGTCGTGTCCAAATTGCTGGGCGCCGCGCCCTCTATCCCTTCCGAAGAAGCACAATACAGAAAATCGAAGAGGACATCGTCGAGATACGCGAGAATCTTTCGTTCGCACTAAGTGTCTTGCAATTTAAGACTCATAATCGAGCTGAACAAGAAATAGCAACTTTTAAATCTCTCCTTGAGCGAACCAAAGACCACCAAATATCTGCCACCATATGTTCATGGCTTATGGCTCCTGATCCATCCGTCAACCATAATGCTTTATATCAAAGACACCACCAAGATACTGGCCTATGGTTAATCAACAGTACTCGGTTCGATAATTGGATAAATGAAGAAAATTCTTTCCTCTGGATCAGCGGGTTTGCAGGATGTGGCAAATCTGTCATCTGTTCGACTGTCATCGAACATACTTCGAGGCTGATAAAGTACAGAGAAAAGGCTGCAATTGCATATTTTTACTTCTCTTTCAACGAAGTCTCAAAGCAAGACTCCCACGGCATGTTATGCTCGTTAATATTACAGCTTTCTATGCAGACTCAGGATGGTCCAAAAGAGCTCGAGCAACTCTACGAAACATCGAAGCTATTGACTCCCTCAATGGAATCGCTACTCCAAACCTTTGACAAGCTTCTTGCACATTTCCAAGATACATATATCGTGCTTGACGCACTGGATGAATCCCCTCAAGTTTGTAATAGAGAGGGTGTTCTGGGAGTGATCCAGGACATACGGAATTTGCCTAGTATTCATCTTTTAGTCACAAGCCGCGACCATCTTGACATTCGAAAATCGTTGAACCCTTCTCAAGCATCCTGCATTTTGATGAGGAACTCAGATAATGATAAAGATATCTCCAGTTTTCTGTCTTATCAGCTCAATAACGATGCAAAGCTCCAGAGGTGGAAGGAACGTCACAATGAGATCCAAGAAAAGCTCATAAGCAGTGCGCAAGGAGTGTAAGTTTCATCATTTTCTAGCAAGTTGACTCTCTTCTCATGACCTGTTTTAATTTTATGTAGTTTCCGTTATGTGGAGTGTCAGCTTAGATATCTCCGCAAAGCAGGTAACCGGATTCAGTTAGACAAATATTTAAACTCTATGCCTCGGGATCTTGAGGAAACCTATGAGCGAATACTTTGTGATATTGATGAAATGCACATGGATGATGTACGTCGTATATTGACTATTCTCTGTCTCACTACGCGGCCCCTTTCGATTGATGAGTTGAGCGAGGCACATGCGGTTGAACTCAATCACGAACAACCCTATCTTGATCGCGAAGGTCGATCCTATGAGCATGATGATCTTGTGGGTATCTGTCTGGGACTCGTGGAGACCGTGGAGACTGTGGAGACCACGATACCCAGTACTAGAAATAAATGTGTCTCGATCGTTCGTATCGCGCACTTTTCTATCCAGGAGTACCTTCAGTCAGAGCGCATCCAACAGCAGAAAGCGAGAACATTTGCGATTCGAAAAGAAACTTCAAGCGCGGACATGGCCAGCATCTGTCTTGTCCACCTCTTGGAGCCTGCATTATCAAATGCGTTGTCGGATAGGGAAATGAGAGAAAGTTTTCCACTCGCACACTTTGCCGCAGAAAATTGGCATCATTATTGGAAAAATTCTCAAGCAGGCCCAAAAACTGAGAAATTGTTGTTGAGGCTGTTCATCGAAGAGACCGATTCTTTCCAGACCGTAATCTGGTTATACAACTTCGATGAAAAGTTTGGATTTCTCAATTACTTGCCCTGGCGCCAGACAAAGGCCATACACTTGGAAATATACTATGCAGCGCTTTTGGGGCTCGGAACAATCTTCGAGAAAGTTCTTGAAGCTCACACCGCCACGAGAAGTCCATCAGATTTATTGAATACTGAAAGTAACTTTGTCTTTGGAAACGCTCTACAAGCCGCATCATTCCAAGGCAATATAGATATAGTACATTTACTACTCTCTTGGGGTGCTGATGTGAATGTCTGTGGTGGTCGATTTGGCACTGCCCTTCAAGCCGCATCAGACCAAGGCCACTTAGAGATAGTACAGTTACTACTCTCTCAAGGTGCTAATGTGAATATCTGTAGTGGTCGACTTGGCACTGCCCTTCAAGCTGCATCACTCCGAGACAATATAGAGATAGTACAGTTACTACTCTCTCGGGGAGCTGATGTGAATGTCTGTGGTCGATTTGGCACTGCCCTTCAAGCCGCATCACCCATGGCCATATGGAGATAGTGCAAGTACTCCTCGAATGGGGTGCCGATATTAATTCTGACGGCAGTGGGCACCACCCCACTCAATGCCCTTCAATCGGCATTATCCAAAGGCCGGACAGAAATTGTCCAAATGCTGCTCAACTGAGGTGCTCAAACTTCAGGTTCCCTCCCAAAAGATCAGGTCACATCAAAAACAGCCATCGAAGACACGAACTAGAATAGCATAACGTATGGACCGTGGAAATGCTAAATTCGTGTCAATATTTTGGAGCGGGTCGGAGGTCTGAATCTGAGTTTCGACTAGATGGAGGTGAGTCTGTTGGCATTCTCTTATTTTCTGGGCGTCTACAAGAAATGGAATAGAGGACTGAACATTGTGGATTAGGGCGAGATAGACCGCGAGACTGAATTAGTCTGAAGACCGTTTGGTTTGAATCCGCCCTATCAGACCAGACCCTTTCCCGATCTCAACGATATTGTGATTATAGATATTGGCCGCTGTGGTACATAAACTGCTAGCAAGACTTCTGGTGCAAATGTACTTCACCTCTGGTGTTCCAATTTAGTAGACATCAATATCAAGATCCCTATTTGGATGTGATTCCGGTGCTCTGTGTCCAGCAACCCCCTTTCCTAAACCCCCAGTTTACCTTCCTTCCACCATATTCAATGAATCTGGATGACCACGAAAAAGATATAATCTATGAAGACATGATAAAACTACCAAATGGGAACTTAATAAGATCGAGGTTTACGGGATAGTCGTAGGAAGTAGCTCCTGGGACTAAATCCTCAAACTAAGTTATTTCTAATAGTTTAAAAACACATAGAAGCTGCGAAGCTCGATGAGGTCAAGAGGGTGAAACAGAAAACCACGCGGTCTATAAATTCAAATTCAAGGGTATCCCTAGCAAGAATTCAAAGCGAAGCAACAAATATCCTATCAAATCCATATACAAGGATAGGTATATATGGCAATAGGTAAAGAATAGACAACAAAAACTATTCCATGTGGACTCCAAAGTCCACTCAAGTCCAAGATTTCAAAAAAATCCAAAAAAGTAACCCCCGCGCTTAAGTCCTTCCCAACAGGGAAATGAAAATAAAGACAGCACGTTGCGCCGGGGACAGATAAAGCGATTTGCCAGATATCAACGGTAAAGAAAAAAAAGATTAACAGGTCATATCCAGGCATATCGGTTGGACTCCAAACCAGGGACGGTCCATGATTGATGCAATAATATGCAATGCAGAAGAGGTATATGATAGAAAGAGTATGGGGGAGAGATAGGTATGTGAAAACGAGATTGTTTTGGAAGGATTAAAGTGGCGGTATCTCGTTGGACGAGTTCGCCACGGCACTCTGCAGCGCGCTGGTCAGATCGATGTGGAAGAATGGCCGGTTCATGCCCTGGACGAGCGCGACCTTGCGGCGCGATCGGTACGCCTTGCTGTCGGTCAGGTCGCGCTGCAGCTTGTCCTCGCGAATGACGTCGCCCTCTTCCGACGAGGTCTCGACGCCGCTGGTCTCGCGAGTCTCGGTAGCGCCGGTACTCTTGACCTCGGACTTCAGGCCGCTCTCGATGTCATGCTGGTGCAGCTGGTGCTCGCGCTCGTTGGTAACCATCTCGGCGTGGGCGGCGGCAGAGGCGCTGCCTTCAATCTCGGCCACGCTAAAGATAGGCTTCCAGCGGTGGAACCCTTCGTTGGAGTCGGGGGTGGGATAGCCGAAGCCAGCGGCGGCAAGTGCACGCTTGGCCCATCGGTTGTTGATGTGGGCAAAGTGCCACTGGACGGAACGGGGGGAGGCATAGAGGTCAAGCTGGTTGCGCACATCGATCAAAATTTGGATCGAGGTGGTATCCACGTTGTTGACGGAAGAGAAGTCCAGGATGACGGCTTGCAGGAGCGGGCGGGTATCTTCGGCTTCCTCCTGGCCCTTCTTGGGACCAGGGTCGTTCCAGGGGCGGTCGCCGGGGTTGCGAAAGGCGTGTGGGTTGGTGCGACGGGTGTTCTGGAAGATCGTCTGCACCAGGTAGTCCGTGTAATGGTTGGCGTTAGGGTAGTTAAAGCCCTCCGAGAAGCGGTAGATGAAGATACCGGGGTGAGGCTGCTCAATCTCGACGTCCGGGTTAGAGCCATCGGTGCGGTTGATAGGCAGGAAGATCGACCGATGCGCGTGGTCCTCGTCGTCGGAAGGAGTCTTGGTGGTGCCAAATGATCCATACTTGCCATCGCCGTCCAGCAGGTGGTCTCCCACAACGGAGTGAACGGTAACCCGGCCAAGGAAGTGGCCACGGGCCTTGGCCACACGGAACAGCAAAACAGCGAGGGAAACACAAATGGTGCAGTAAATGCCGTCTTCGATGGAGGTGAAGACAGTCACGAATACACCGATGAAGAAAATGACCGCATCAAGAGGGGCAACACGCCAAAACTGGTACACAGTGTTGGGCGGGGTGATCAGATCACCGACGGCGTGAATGATGACACCGGCAAGAGAGGCCTGGGGAATGTAGAAGAAGAGGGCGGGCAAGGCATAGATGGCCAGCAACACGACGACGGCGGTGATACAACCAGCCAGGGGGTGCGCACACCGGCCTTGGACTTGATCGCAGTGCGAGAGAAAGAGCCGGTAGCCGGATAAGCACCCAGGAAGGGACCCAGCAGGTTCGAGACACCGATCGCAACGAATTCTTGGGAGGGGTCGATAGTGTAGTTGTTGACACGACCGAAGGACTTGGAGATGGCGATGTGCTCGATCAGCAGCACGATCACAGCCGCGGGAATCTGACCGGCGAAGGCGCTGATAATCTTAGGATCCATCTTGGGCACCGCAGCGTTTTGGAAACCACGAGGCACATTGCCCAACAGAGAGAAGGCGGGATCGTCCTTACGATGCAGGTTGACCGCGGCACTGATCATAGTGTAGAACAGGATGACGAAGACGGTGCGCAGGGTGGACGCAAAGAACCAAATCTTAGCCTTGTGCGGGTATTTCTTAGCGCCATAGGTGCATGCGGAGCGGATGATATACAACATGGCTAATGCGGTGACACCCATAGCCGCATCTAGGCCGGCCGTTGGGAGATATTTGAGAGTATTGATGATGGTGAGGTAGGTCGCACCACGAGTGGAAAAGTCAGCCGTTTCGCCGAGCAGGGTCTTGACTTGACCCGAAGCAATGTTGAGCGCTGAGCCTGTCATGAAGGCCGAGATAGCCGGGAGTGGGATGAAATCGACAATGAAACCCAACCGGAGCAAGCCTAGGAAGCAGACGATGCCGCCCAGGATCACAGCGAGACAGGAGGCAACAACATGGCTTGGCACATCAGGATACTGGTCCTTGACCTGAAGCACGATATCGCCAGTCAAAGTGGACATGACAGCCACAGGCTGCAAGGAGAACTTCATTAGCCGGATATACTTTTTTTTTTTCGCCCAGAATGATTTATACTTTGGGGGACTTACTCCGATAGTGATATCCTTGGAAGTGGCAAAGAACCAATAGAGCAAGACACCCATGAACGAGGAGTACAGACCAAACTGCACCTCGAGCTTGGCCAGCTTGGCGTAAGCCATACCTTGGGGCACAACAACCGCACCCACAGTGATACCTGATTTCGACTGTCAGTAAAAAAAGGCTCTTTTTGTTTCTTCTTTCCCTCTCCCTCTCCCTCTCTTTATGTTTCCGGGTATCAGTTATACATACCGGCCACCAGGTCACCCATCAACCATTGCATATTATAACGCGTAATCCAGTTCAGGAAAGGGAAGAGACTGAGCAGATAGTTCAAGCACTGCTTGCCGGAGGGGGTGATCTCCCGCAAATATTCGATCGAGGTCGGTTCGGGCTCATTGTAGGAGTAGGTGTCGACGGTCCCAACCGAGAAGGTCGACTCGCCGCGAGTCACCGGATCGCTGGTGGCTCCCAGAGGATCTCTGTAGGCGACCTTGATTCCCAGGCCCCGAGCCAGAGAACTCCCCAGCTTGCGAGAACGTTCACCGCTCATGATGACGAAGAGACTCGAGACGAATCGAGCGTCTACTCAGGATGAGGAGGTAAGATCCCCGTGAGTTAGGTGGGGGAGTAGGTAGACGGAGGAGGAGATACCCGGGAAGGGAGGGCAAGGAGGGTGGGATGGGATCGGCTGTGGTTGAAAGCAGAAACAAGCCTTCCACGAGGTGGCGAGTGGTGCAGAATATAAAGATGAGGCAGGCCGAGACGATCACGCACTACCCATGGCGCGCAGGGACCCAAAAGCAGCAAACGGGGAGGTGTCAAAAAAAAAACGAAAGGGCCGGTCAAGACGAATCACAGACGCAGCGCGGCGAGCCCGAAGGATGCAGCAGAAGCAATAAGTCAAAGTCAATGATTTTAGGGGCTGAGTAGACGAAGCCGGGTGGAGAGCGAGGCGTCGTGCGTGATTCGGGAGACGATGGCGTAATATCGTAATATCGCAAAGCTCCCCGGGGTTCAGGTCAAGAGAATCAACCGATCGAGCCGCGAGGTTTGGTCTGGGGCCAGGGCGCCGAGGGGACTTTGGGGGACTTTTTGAAGAGGCCCAGGTTTGGCCGCGAGCATGAAACGACGCCACGACGGATCCTGGGTCAATGCTGGTCCAGGACCAGTTGGTCCCGTTGGTCCACCGATGGACCGATGATCGCACTGTGAAAGTGCCGGGTGGAGTGCGGATGGACGGTCTGGAAGGACGATGACGACGGGCCGTGGAGCAAGACCATTGTTCCGCTGAAGAAGGACTGTCCCCTGTAACCCAGGACAGCCGTCACGGGGAAGGAGTTCTTGACTGTGCTGGTCCTGGCGATGCCTCGCTTTCTCCGTGATCCTGGGGGCTCTCACTCTGTTTCTGGACCGACAGCCGCCAATATCCAATTTCCTGACGCCTTCTTTTTTGCCAACATCCAATTTCCGCCATGGAACAATGGAAATTTCGAGGGCTGACATAATGCGCGCCAAGCCCACGCGCATGACGAATCACCGCCTCCACGCGGGCCCCGACGATCGGCCATGGGGCGCCGCGGCCAATCGCAGGCGCCCCCGATGGTGAAATCACCCGCGTCGATGGTGACAGTTCGCCAAAAAGTCACGGTTCCAGTCGTCGTCGACGGGACCTGCGCTGCTTTGCTCCGAGGAAAAAGGCGGATGATTCGTGTTCGACGTCAAGAGAGCCGGGGTAGAGACTGGAGCAGAGACTCTGCATGATAGATCATGTCCATCGCAGACAGCCGGCGTCTGCATTCTTCTTTTTTTTTTGTTGTTGTCGGTTCGCCCTGATATGCGTGGAGCCGCCTCGTATCCCATTACCTCTGCAGGGAACCTGTACGCGCCCCCCGGGGAGGGCCCCAGGACCCGCTCCCCGGGCCCTTGGCCCTGCTTCTTTTCACCCTGGACGCAAGACACCGCCCCGAGGCCTGCCGCGTGGTCCCTGTCGTGGATGAAGCCAGATGGCAAAAAGCCCGAACCCCACCTAATCCACCCACACACACACAGGAAAAGAAAAAAAAAAAGCTCACAACCCCGGTCCGCGCTTGGCAGGGGTGCCCTGGACTCGCTGGACCCGGCACTCCTTACTTGATCGGGCGTCTGGTATGGTGTGCTCATTTCAATGCTCCATAGTAGAGTGATACCATATGGGCATAGTGGAAGCAAATGAGCTATCTCTCGACAGAGAATAGGAGCATCTAGACTATACCGAGTAGAGAGAGGGCCGCCGAAGAGTCAGCTTATCGCCAGAACCATAATGTATACCGCCCCCTCCTGAACCCCCGAGATCATCGCGTGGTCGTTTGGAGATCGACTCGCGGAGCTCCCGTGATTCGCGTGCTCAGTCTGCTTCATTCGGAAACCCTGATCGGCCCCGCCAAGACCTGCACTGGCCAGCAGGAGGGGTCTTCCAGGAGTATCAGCTTCAAACTCTGATGCCGGAAAGGACTGCGAGGGCGGAGCGCCCTGGTGTTGGCGGACGTTCGCATATCTGATGCTTCGCCTTGGATGGCTGGTGTCTGTGGTGGATCGTCGCTCACGCAACGTGCGTCGTAACGGGCATCGGGAAAACCAACCATCTCATCCCGCCACAATCCAACGTCCCAAGTGTCCAGTCAAACCAGTCACCTGGAGTTGTGGGCTGTAAAAGTCGCCATCCAGATCCAAATCACGTCATCAAGCTTATCGCGGCTGCGGCCCATAACCTTAAACCCGCCAAAAGCAAAACGTGGCTAAAGGAACACAAAGCTAAACTCTTCTGATGGTTGCTTCTTCCCCATGCCCGACACAGTTAGCCTCCCCTCCCCTCTTCAACATGCCCCGTCTATTTGGGGCTTAGTGTACGATGCCCGACGAGACCATCATCCGTGAGATCAGTGAATGAAGGCACCCCGTTAAGAAATGTAACACCCTGATTGGATCACGGAGACACAGGAATGCGGAGGGGCCCATTCTACTGGGTCGCGGAACGGTTCTCCTTCCTCTGCGATTACTCCATTCGATTGTTGATTCCTATATTGCCCACGATCGGTCTCGGGAGGGTCCATTGTCATACTATGTTGTGATCATTCTCCGTGTTCCTCGCATCATCCGGTGGCGTGGCCCTAACCTCTGAACCCGTTCGCTGCTGGTCTAGCCGAGCTGACTATGAGATACTACCCGATACTACCCAAGTCAGATACCAAGCTACTCCGTACACGACCTCTTCACCCTGAATGAGGCGAAGCTATACAACAGAAGCTTATAGTGCATGAAGAGCGTGCAAAAAGAAAATAGTGCGGGGGAGGGGGACCCGTCTAGATTTTTCGAATCTTGATCAACACGTGGAAGCAAAATACAGCAAGGTAAACGAATCTGAATATACAGCATTTTCAATAAACAAGTTGACATTCAAGAAATAATCACGAGCTCTTACTGAAATCGCCTATGCCTCCCCCATTAGGCAATCTTCTGCGACCAATTCCTCATCAAGAATCACGTCGGCTTCTCTTGAGGTTCGGGGACCGGGGATCTCGTAGGATACAGAGCTGAAAGGTCATGATGAGTGACATCTCGGTTCATTTTTGCTTTTGGCTTCTCGTATCCAGAGTCATCAAGCTCAAGACCACGTCGCCAGCCGCCTCCACAAACTTACCTCAAAAACTCTCTCTCTTGCGCAACCTCCATCTTTAATTTCCCCCTTACCCGCCCTCGCCTCCTTTTCCTCTCTTTTTCAAACGCTCCATTCTTTCTTTTGCCATATGCTCAATACCAAATTCCCGCTCTTGCAGAACTTGTCTCTCTTCTCTTGTGGCCCTCGTCCCGATGGCGTTCCCAAACACATGTCACACGCGCAGCCCAAGTCGATCCCAACCCTCGCTAGCTCCAACACTACCCGCCAACAAACGCACGGTCTCCCGGGCCCTCTGATGGCCCGATCGTACATGTAAGCTCCAGTGCACACCATCTATGCCAACGGTTGCGTATCCTCAGTGGCAACACCAGCCCAAACCCCCTTTCCCTCAAAAGCCCCGAGAGGCCATCTCAGCCCCCTGTCCACACCATGCCTTCTAGCCCACGCCACATCCAAGCGAGGGCAACATTCCCCGACGCCCTCTTTCGGATCGTCTCGTGTGTTCTCTCTCCCTCTCGCCGGGGCGGCCAGACTATGCGTCGCGGCTCGTGCTGTGCGCGTGCACATTGTGCGGGCACCCCTACAAGGTTTCAAGGCAGGATGATGTCAAGCCCGGCCCGAGGGTCTCGTCGGGTGAGCCGGCGCTTGCATATGCAGGGCTCTGGGATCGATTTGGTGCGCGCCTCCGATTTTGTGCGGAGAGGTCGTCCTGCGTGTTGGCGTCATTTCATCGCTCTTGGGTAGAGCGAGTGAGTGTTGGGTTGGCGGCGCTTCGAGGTGCTACCATCAAGAAGGGCGGGATCAGGTCAGGTGATGGTGGTGGCGGTAGTGGTCGCATGACAGTGGACGTCTATGTTGGGGTTGGGAAGTGGGAAGTGCTTGGAATAGTAATTTCTTTTTCTCTTAGGATTGGGCAGCAGAGCAAGTGATCACAAGGAGTCGTGGACGTATAGATATGCCCTGGTTAGATTGCGGGGGATAAGGTGGAGCTACGGTATCAGACGTCGTACGGAGGCTCTGTTTATCCTCCGATACTCCAGAGCCACGCACGATGCGATTATGCTATCTCGGAGAAAAACGCTCTTTGTAGACCATCCCGATATGACAGAGTTCCCAGAATATGAGGATCTCAGATTCTTTGTCTGTTTCCACAGGTGCAGAAGAGGGCCTATATGGTGGAAGTTCTCCAGGAGAGACGCCTTCCGGACTATATACACGCCCACGTGACCCTATTCATCCCTTAACTAATCTCAGCCTAAAATATCAAGCAACTATCAATTGCCTGGTCACCTCTTATATACTAGCTGCTTTCTCATGATGTTGGGCGGGACTTATGCCAGTCCTCTCTTTGCTCTGCGGCAACGCAATCCCTCCAGACGATAACCCCCGATGACGACGATTACACCCCCGCTTTACCTAGACTTGCTTTCCTCATCGCCTGTTCCTGCCATTCATTGCGAACTCGCCGCTGAAGCTCAAACTGTTCCATAGCTCCAACGATATATATCTGGATAAAGGAGAATTGTGCTCCTATTTGTATCACCAGTCTCTATAAGAGTGCATTTCATGGTTCCCCATCGGTCTATTGAGCTCCCATATCATATTCTCGCTTTTAGCGAGAGCCAGGGCCTAAGAGAGCGTGGTTTGACCTTGGTGTGTGGCGCGACTACAACGCGGAAGCGGTGTGGGTGGGTGAAGGCACTAATATTAACCGGTATATCTGCTGGAGGTCAGCGGGATGAGGACCCCGCTAGACAACACCAAAACTAAATCGTTAACGCCCTATAAATACGTACAGTTGTTTTAACCCCTGTCTTTCTTTCTTCAATTACCCTTGAAATGCCAGCCGCTGCACTATTCACCACGGTAATACACTCAAAGATTGAACATAGCTGTTATAGAAGAACGCTATGGCCTGCTCCTACCAGTCTACGGGTACGGCTTTTCTCCCTCGGTGACCGGTCTACAAGCAAGACATCATGACATCAACAAATGCATTAAAAACAAAAACCACGCAATGTCTATTCAAAGTCGTCATCAGTGCAGGCTAGAAAAAAAGGCACAGGAAATAAAGAACCCCATCATGACCACCCCACGAAGCCCAACCTTCTCCAAGAGTCGAGTCAATCATGAGACGAGGAAGAATTGCAACAATTCGCTTTTTGACCCTTGTCTTTGTCTTCTCTCGCGCAGATACTAGCTGCGTTGTGTGATTATCTCGCCCAAGCTCGTTCCTTCACACCCTGTCCCATTATGGTCTTCTTCTCTCCATCTGTTTCGCAACCCTTGCTGCTACAACCCGAAATGAAAAGACAAGGAATAGCAAAGGGAGAGTGGATGTGTAGGGTCATGGTCAAGTGCGAAAAAGAAGAAAAAGAAGAGATTACAGGACGGTTTGGGAATAGCAACGAAACCGAAGAAGACACGACAAATGAGAAGAAGAATAAATGAAGACTCGTTGAAAAACGCGGATAAAGCATTTCTTTCGGTTCTTCGCAGCGGAACGCCATCGCAAATCAGAAAAGCGTTGGTCCCCATCAAAATGACCAGAAAAGGATAAGAAATAACGGCCCGGCATTCTTGCGATCGAGCATGTCGTCTGTTCGTCGGGGGATGGCCGGCGCCCCTTCACATTGGTATCATAAGCGAAGTATCATCAAAATTGGCCCAGCGTTGGTAGTTTTGCAACCTTCCCCGATCACGGCATCGACGGTGCGTGTGCGATTGGAAGCCTCACGCTTACTGCGAGGCGCACTGCACACGCTCGGCACCAGGAGGCACATCATCGTCATCCTCATCCATAGCAGAGCCGCCGGCACCGTGAGCACGGGCTTGCGAGTTCTCGCTAGTGTCAATGTCCTCCAACTCGAAGTCCTCGACCATGGCATCGGCCGGGGGCTGGTTCTGCTGCAGACGCGGCGGGAGAACCTGCTCGAGAAGCTCCAGGTTCTGGAGCTGGTCCTTCTCGGGGAACTTGACGTCGAACTTGATGTACAAGTTGCCGTGGTCATGGTGACGGAAGGAGGGCATACCCTGGCCATGGATGACCTTGATGGCATCTACGCGAGAGAAAAAAACGTCAGTAAAAGAAACATTGAGCGTGGGGTCAAAAGCAACCAAGTCCAAATCACGGAGCGAAACATACCAGGAACAATAACTTCGCCGGGGGCGATGTTGACGGTCAACCACCGGTCATCCAGGTGCTCAACGTGGACGGTACCACCACCGAGGGCAGTGAGCAGGTCAATCTCGGCCTGGTAGAACAGGTCGTCGTTCTTGCGCTGGAAACGGGGGGGGGGCTTCTGCTCGATCTCGAAGACCACATCACCGGGCATGACACCAGGCATCTGGTCACCCTCACCACGGAACTCAATCTTGTGGCCGTCACGCACACCCTTGTCGACGTGGACGTGCAGGACCTTACGCTCGACGGTGGTCTTCTTGCCGTTGCAGCGCTTGCAGCGGTCCTTCTCACGGATGATCTCGCCCTCGCCATTGCAGTCAGGGCAGACGGTCTGGAAGCGCTGAATCATGGGACCCATCTGGCGCATCATGGTCTTCATACCGCTACCGTTGCAGCCTGTGCACTCCTTCACCGCACCGTCCTTGCCGCCGCGGCCATCACAGCCGGGACAGATGACTGACTTCTGCAACGCCAACTTTGACACCTTGCCACGGTAGATGTCCTCCAGGTTGACCTTGTGCACATGGTGGATAGTGCGGGCCTTCTTGGGGCCGGTATCGCGCATGCCACCGCCGAACATCCCTCCGAAGGCACCGCCGCCGCCAAAGAACTGGGAGAAGAGATCCTCGGCGTTCATGCCACCGCCAGCACCGCCACCCTCGAGACCCTCTTCACCATATTGGTCGTAGATCTGACGCTTGCTAGGGTCGGAAAGAATCTCGTAGGCGTGTGACAGCTCCTTGAACTTCTCTGCGGCCTCGGGGTTGTTGGTGTTCTTGTCTGTTGGTGAAAGAAACGCGTGAGGTTAGCAAGATGAATTTCAATCCCATATTCTGCCTTGTGGTGGATGGGATGGCAGTTTTTTCTTTTCTTTGCTCGCGATTGTGTTATTCGACCGAAGACATTTGAACGTACCAGGGTGAAACTTGAGGGCACCCTTCTTGTAGGCAGTCTTGAGCTGAGCCTCGGACGCATCGGGCGCAACCTAAAAAAACCGAGTCAAAGACCACTGGTCAGTTTTACGTCCCACTGATGGAGATGGGGGAACGAGGTTTGCGCATACCCCTAGGCACTCGTAGTACTTGGTATCCTTGACCATGATGCCGAACGATCAGGCGGAAAGGAATGTGGAGGAAGGAGGGGTTATTTGGAAGGGACGGAAGAGGAAGTAAAGCAGGACCACAGGCAAGAAGAAACCCGCAGGCCAGTCGGACGGAAGAAGGACGAAGATGGGAGAAATTCAAGCGGGGAGTGGGATGGGGAGCAGAGATGAATTATCGCTGGATAAGAATAATCAGAATAGGAGCGAAAGCGCTGAGTAACTTTTTTTCCAGGTACTGTACGCAAAGTGTATGGCTCCGTAATATAACAGTGATTTACCAGGGCGAATAATGCCAACGCAGTCTCCACGGGATGCTGGCTAGTATAACACCACAGAGAACTCAATCGACAATCTTTTAGAGGCTACTCTATCGCGAGACCTGCTCCTGCTTTTCTACGGGCGGTCTTGTGTCTTCCAGCCCGCACTTCTGGTGGCTTCTCTGGTGGACTGGCAGGAAATCCTCTGGCCCGAGCGCAGTTCGACCGGATTCTACGGTGTTCGATCGCCTTCGCTGATCTTCTCCGCGCCTCCGCTGTATCGGTGGTACCGTGTATTGCCGTATTGTCGGCGTATCGAGGCCACAGGACGGCTGAGTCAGCTCGCTGCCCATTGTTGGCGCGGGTCCAATGGCAAAGGAACCGGCAGGCTCTGATATCCTTTCCAGGGTTCGTTTGAGGGGGGCGAAATCCTGGTTCTCTTCTGTGTTGAGTCTAACACGAGCCAGATCTACACGAGCTCGCCCAAGTTTCGGAAGAGGATGTCGAGATAGGTTATTCCCTCTAACCCGATAACCCCTGGACGGAGCATGGCGAGCACGGAGTATCGAGGGCTGGACGCCCAAGAGAATGTTCGTCCCCGCCGCCTTATCGATAAGCCGAGGGGGGAAAAGTTCTTCGATCCACTCACAGCCGTCAAATCGTCATCGAGCGGGCCTCTCCGAAAATTGGTTGATAAGTTGAGCTCGCTCTTGCCGTCTTCCCCTCACTCTTTCCCATAGAAGATCCCGCAATTCTTCCCCGATATCCTCAATTACCATGGAGCAGGATCCCGGTTTCATTGCGGCCGTTGAAGAGGCCAAGATTGGCGCCGCCGAGGGTGGTGTGCCCATTGGCGCCGCCCTGGTGTCAAAGGACGGCAAGATCCTGGGCCGAGGCCATAACATGCGCGTGCAGAAGGGCAGCCCGGTCCTGCATGTTAGTATTTCCCCCAGAGGCATCTGAGATGAGGAGCAAAATATTGGTGGGCAGAGAGGAAAAAGATAATCTAATTGGACTACCCAGGCCGAAATGTCCGCTCTCGAAAACTCCGGCCGTCTCCCCGCTTCCGCCTACGAAGGTGCCACCATGTACACCACGCTGTCGCCCTGCGATATGTGTACCGGGGCCTGTATTCTCTACAAGGTCAAGCGGGTGGTCATCGGAGAAAATAAGAGCTTCATGGGTGGAGAGGAGCTGTTGCTCAACCGCGGCAAGGAGGTCGTGGTGCTGGATAACCATGAGTGCAAGGAGCTGATGGCCAAGTTTATGAAGGAGAAGCCTGAGCTTTGGTAAGCTACCCCCTGCTCTTTCTGTTTTGGATCACTTGCTAGGGGTTTCAGACATTTCAATCTGGCCCACGTCCTTGATCCATTGCATCCGTCCCATGTTAACCGATATTCTTTTGCTGCGTAGGAACGAGGATATTGCCGTCTAATTAGAAGTGATTGTGTCCAAAGAGAATGTTGCGGTGATTTCATAATCTTGACCGAAAATAAAACTCGTATATTTTTAAAAAGGCGGATTGACACCCTGGTTTATCATGAGATTTTGTTGGGGTTCTGTTCAGAGGGAGTCCCAAGAAGCTACCCTTCCCTTGTCTTTTTATCTATTAAACAACGATTCCGGTGACCTATTTTGTGAGACGGTGAACCTCCTCAAAGAAGAACTTGAGATGTTCCGGGTCCACAAATGGGGTGACACCTGTTTCAAAATTAGAATTCTATCGCAATGGCAATCCATCAAAAAGCATTCTCAACTTACCATGTCCCAGATTGCAAATCCAGCCCTGCTTGCCCTTCTGGAATCCCTCCACCATCCGCTCAACAACGGCGGTAATAGCGGGACGGTCACCGTAGAGCATGCCGGGATCGGCATTGCCTTGGATAGTGACTCGCCCATTGGCAACGCGGAAAGCTTCAGCAGGGTCGTGGAGCCAGTCCAGACCAACGACATTGTAGCCCGACTCGCAGAGATCCTCCAGGGCGTACCAAGCACCCTTAGCGAAGACGGTCATAGGAACAGGCTCCAGGCCCATCTCCTGCAACCGCTTGGGCAGATTGGCAGAGATGTGGCGCAGGTATGGTAGAGAGAATGAGGCGAACGATGCTGGCGACAGCTCACCAGCCCATGAGTCGAACACCTGTACCAGCTGCGCGCCAGCCGCAACCTGAAGTGCGAGGTACTCCACACAGACCTCGGCAATCTTCTGCAACAGCGCCTGCGATTCGGTCGGGTACTTATAGATCCAGGTCTTGGTCTGCACAAACATTTTGCTGCCACCACCCTCGACCATATAGCATAGCAGTGTCCATGGCGCACCACAGAAGCCAATGAGGGGTACACGGCCCTTCAGCTTGTATCGAGTGAGTGAGATCGCCTTGTAGACGTAGTCGAGCTCAGCCTTGACGTCTACTTTCTTTTCCATCACCTTGGCGTACTGTCCGTCTGTCGGCGACTGCAACGGCTCCGGGAAGTGCGGACCCTTCTTATCCAGCATTTCGACCGTCATGCCCATGGCCTGCGGGATAACTAGGATATCAGAGAAAATGATGGCGGCATCGATCAGACCCTCATAGCGTTCAATGGGCTGGAGGGTCAAGGTAGAGGCGATCTCCGGCGAACGACAGCACTCGAAGAAGTCCCGGCCACCCTTGGCTTCGTGGTACTCGGGGAGGTAGCGACCAGCTAAGACAAACAGACGACAATCAAAGTCAGCGGGACCTAGTAATTTCAAAGGCAGGACTGCGAGACTACAGTCAAAGCTGAGGGGGGTGGGTTTAAGCTTACCCTGTCGCATAACCCATATCGGAGGACGCTCCACCTTCTCGCCTGCAATTGTCAGCGGGGTCGTGGAAAAGAAAAACAGGGCATGCGATCATTTACCTCGTGCGGCCCTCAGGAGCAGGTCGTTCTTCAGTGGCTCAAATTGTTCCTGCATTGTGTGCGATTGAATGCAAGTTGGAGGAGGGAAAGTAGTGGGATGTTCGGGGAACCGCGGGCTAATGATTTGGGTTTGCCCGCTGCCGAGAGAACCTTGGGAGACAAACTCCATGTGAGGCGTCAGCCCCCGGCCCCGTCACCAGCTAGCTAGCATGGTCCATCACAAAATGTTATTTCGAAATTTAATTAATCCAGTTACACAATCTCTACTTTTTGGCAAGAATGGGCTGGCTTTTCGGTATATGGAATTTCCCCCTCCCCCTCCTAAAATGCCATCATTCTTGGCTACTGGGTGGGCCGGAAAGGGGTAGTTTTAGATATGAACGCTGCTGAGATTCATCACGAATATTAAGTACATGGAAATACGATATTTCATTCCTCATCCTTCTTCTTCTCCTCGTCGTGCTTTCGCTTCCGCAAGTTTCCGTAGACATACAGAGAATCGTCAATCTGCTTCTTTTGTTGGACATCCAGGCTGGAAGAAAGTGTCGAGGTGCCAGCTGTGTTAATGGCGGAAACTACCGAATTTTCAACTAGAGTCATCTTGAGGCCATCCAGACCGCATTCGATCTGAATACATTCCAGAAGAACCTGGGGGGCTCAGGGCTGGCCTTCCACGAATCGGTAGATCCAGGCTCTCGCACGCCATCTACGGAGACCGCAATAGCACCTGATAAAGTGTTCACAGCAAGGTCGAGCACATTCCCTGATAGTTTTGTTGTGTCCTGCAACTTGAGTGTGTTGTCATTCTCGAGAGTGTAGCAGAGAAGCTCAGGTGACCTGGTACGTAAGTTAGATGAGACCATATATTGGTTGTAATATTCGGACATACCCTTCAAGAGCGACAAGGATTATCTTAACAGGTCCACTAGCGCCTGGCAATTGTTCAAGCAGAATATCCCAGATTCCACAAACAGCAAATTCTTGGAGCGACTCGTCCAATGGGGCCTTCTGCAGGATTTTGCCCTCGCTCCAATTCCAGAGGATCAGATGGCCATCATTACCACCCGAAATAAGAACCTTCGGATTCCATGAAGGTATACAAAGCTTGCTGACAATGGAAGTGTGACCAAAGCATTGCTGCTCAATGATATGAGCCTGCGGAATTCCACGAGAGACACGGATATGCTCATCGCGATCTGCAGTAAGAATGTAATTCCTCGAGCGGCCGCCGGCAGTCTCTCCTGGCAAGGTTGCGGAGATCACATCTGTTAGGAGCGAGACATGGCCAATGATAAGTTGATGTTCAAAATTGAGTGCAGACTTCTCTTCCACGGGAGTTGGATTCTTAGAGGTCTTTTCAGCATGCATCTTCTGCTGCTCCAGCGAGGATAGATTGCGCTTTGAGTGTACAGTAAGGGTTGTGGCTGCGGGCTGTAAATTTTTAGCCTGAGCAATAGGCTTCACATATTCTCCTGGAATCAAAGGCAAGGAGTAGACATCTCCAAACTTGTCAGCACACAGGATGGTTTTGCCATCCGGCGTCAAATCCAGAGCAATTGGACGCTTAGGCATAGTCCTGTATAGCTATTAGAGTCTGTTGTTTCAGCTCAAGAAGGCCGAGGATTACCAACCGCGAACTGAGTTCCTGTAAACTTCCATCCTCACCCAAATTCAAGACTCGAAGACACTTGTCCTCAGCTGTCAATATCACGACATATTTTCCGTCGAGAGAAGGAAGGACGACCGGGATGTTGGACCAGGCAGGAGATTGCTTGTTGGTCCCATTTTTGGCCACTTGACATCCTTCCGTCTGGATCTCAGAAGATGGCGAGAGTTTCCTTCTCTTTTCTGGTGGTGTCTGATCTTCTGAAGGAGGAGCCTCGGTGGATGCAGGGTCGACGTTGGTATCTACAAGTGCAGGCCACGTACCAATGCGTTGGCCGCTGGAAGCCGCATATGAGTAGACATACCCACCTGCCGACGCAATCAACACGTCTTCAAGGCCTTCAGACTGCCGCTTGGCGTATTTCAAGCATTGAACTGGGGCTTGAAATTCGGCCATAGTGATCTCGAGTTTTCTTGGACAGACTCGGCAAAATTTGATCGGCGCAGAAGGCCGAGGTGGGATATACCAGATCGCGCAATCAATTGATGAAATCAAACAGACGGAGTTAGACCAATCGAAGAGAATCGAAAGAGCTCAACAACAATAACAATATACAAGCAAATCCAAGCTCTTGTCCTCTGACGTTTCTACCTCGAGTTCCCACTTGCGGCAACTGTAACTATATCACGTGACGCACACTAACCGAACCGCACCAAAAAAAAAGTTACCGAAATCACACACCCGCAACCTTTCTTCTTCTATCCAACCACCAACCTTCGACTTACCCTTAAACAGCCTATCTTCAGCGCAAAAAAGGAGAAATGGGGGGCAAGTCCGCTACCAAGGCCGCTTACTTCGATAAGCTGAAGGCCCTTGTGAGTAATCCCCAAGGGGCCTCCCCACATCGTCGCTCCTCTTGTTCTCACCCTCGATCCCATTCTGACTGACCACTTTACAGCTGCAAGAGTACAAGAGCATCTTCATCTGCGGTATTGAGAATGTCTCTTCCCAGCAGATGCACGAGATCCGTATCGCCCTCCGTGGCGAGGCCGTCGTCCTCATGGGCAAGAACACCATGATTCGTCGTGCCCTCAAGGGTTTCGTTGCTGAGAACCCCGACTGGGAGCGTCTGCTTCCCTTCGTCAAGGGTGTGTTTTGGACTTGTTCACCGTGATTGGGCCATTTTTCAGACGCACTGACAAGATTGTTGATAGGCAATGTCGGCTTCATCTTCACCAACGGTGACCTGAAGGACATCAAGCAGAAGATTCTGGCCAACCGTGTCGCTGCTCCCGCCCGTGCCGGTGCTGTCGCTCCCGATGACGTCTGGGTTCCCGCCGGTAACACCGGTATGGAGCCCGGTAAGACCTCGTTCTTCCAGGCCCTTGGTGTCCCCACCAAGATTGCTCGTGGTACCATCGAAATTGTGTCCGACCTTAAGCTCATTGAGGCCGGTAACAAGGTCGGTGCCTCTGAGGCTTCGCTGCTCAACCTGCTGAACATTTCTCCCTTCACCTACGGTATGACTATCAGTCAGATCTACAGCGAGGGTCAGACTTTCGGCGCCAGTGTGCTCGAAATCGAGGAGGAGCAGCTCCTTAAGGCTTTCAGCCAGGCCATCCAGACCATCACCACCATTTCCCTGGCTACCAACTACCCCACTGTCCCTGCCACCATCCACTCCATCATCAACGCTTACAAGCAGAATGTTCTCGCTATTGCCGTTGCTACTGAGATCAGCTGGCCCGCCATCGAGGAGCTCAAGGACCGCATCGCTAACCCCGATGCCTATGCCTCTTCTGCTCCCGCTGCCGCTGCTGCCGCCACCTCCGGTGGTGACGCTCCCAAGGAGGCTGCCCCCGCTGAGGAGGAGGAGGAGTCCGATGAGGACATGGGCTTCGGTCTCTTCGACTAAGCGCATCTTGATTGATGGGCTACGAATGCCATGTATTAGATACTTGAATTTGACCCGGTTCTGAAAATGGGCGGGTAATGAAAATGACTATGACTTGGCAACGATATCCGTTGTTCGAATCTTCTGACATTTATAATGGAACGTAGAAATCACGCTCCATTACTTGTCTCTACGCCTATGGTGAGTCAGTCATTCTTTTTTGCTTTTATTTTTTGCTTTGCTTCCCATCCATTGGACTTTCACTATGTCTTCGACCCGGCGAATGATGAAACATTTTTAACCCCGAGCATCAGTCCCCCGTGGGACTGCGCTGACGATTAAAAACGCAACAACAACACTCTAATTTTTTGCTGACGCCATGTCTTTTTCTGCTTTTGTTCTATCAAATGATTTCATGCTTTTTGAGAGGCAATTGCTAACTTGTTATGAAGAATACAGATTTCCTCTGAGGCTGCCTCTACCAACAATCATGTCCAATTTCTCTAGACCGTAGTCATTGGTAGACAAAATCGTAAAATTTGATCATTCTTTCATATTATCAAAAGTTTTTGTTCCTTTCTAAGCTCGGTGTTTCTACATTGAGTATAATGACATTTACGTGGTATCGTTACTGGGTATCACGCCCTTGAACCGTGAATTTCAAAATATTGACCAAGGAAACTGTTTGTCACCTAGTTCAGAGGAAGCTGGTGACACCATGAACTAGCTCGGGTTTGTTTTTTTTTCATTCATCTTAGAGCACGGGGAACTAGTTTGGGTGCAGAGGTCTAGCAGCAGACAGAATAACAAACTATTTCGCAAGCGAGCTGCATTGTAAGGGACAGTTAGCAATTCAAAAAGCAGTCCTAAAAGCAGCATCGCTATTATCTATCTAATAAAGATTCAAGCTTTGTGGTTTTAATTCCCCGGAATAAAGTCCTCAAAATAAAACTGATTTCGAAATCTACTGTTACCCTCTAAGCCAGGTCACATGATCATAGGGCATCTTCTTAGCTAGTTCAGAGCATAACTAATAATATCACCTTTAATATCTCCCGACTCTGTCATATTTACTGTATATCATAAAGACTTTCGTCCGCGCTAGGATTTTTACGGTCAGTAGCGAAAGCTTCTTTTTACAATAACAGATTTTCCTTCTCTAGAGCCTATTTAAGAGTACGGCCTGAACAATTTTGCGACTTGGCTCTCCTCAAATAGAACCGCCCATGGATCCACCTAGAAAGTGGTTTAGACTCAGACTTGCTCAGGGTACGATCCCATTAGCCCTCGGTTCGTCTTGATTTTGCGGTTTCGCTGTACTGTTCAAATTACCTCATAAGCAGTGGATTCTATATTGTCTTCATTAATTTTATCATAAATATGATTGAAACTTTATACCTATTTTCTTCTAACGACCCTATATACTAGTAATCCTCAAGCCTTAACTTGAACGATTAGAAATCTTTGAGAGAAATGTAGTAAAAACATCCTTTCGAAGCCCCTCTGACTCATCGATCAAGCTAATCATTTGCCTTAGCTCTTGGATACGCTGCTCTTCAAACTCCTGATAAATCTTCTTCATACCAAGCTCACAAAACACTGTGTAAACCCGGTCTTCGTATATTTTACCCTTCCGACCGTAAGACTCGTCAAGAATCCGGCGCTGGCATGGTGTGCACCGTATCAATGCTTCATTGATAACCCAGGAACATTTGTTATCCTGGATATCAGTGCCGACTTTTCCAGTCACTGTAGAGTCACCAAACACATCAAGATAGTCATCTTGAGCCTGGAAATATTCTCCCATCGGCATCATGATCTTATAAACTTGATCCAAATTCCGTGGTGTAGCAAGTTCCAGCCAGTGTAAAGCTAGGGTAACCGGTAGATAAAAGCTATAGTAAGAGGTCTTATGTCTCACAATCAAGCTATATCTCTCGATTGAAAAACGACTCAAGTCCACATTATCATCAAGAGCAGTCATCATGTCGCATAATTGTCCTAGTTCGGTTTGAAGTGCGGCCTCATGGAAAAGCTCCATTAGCTGGATATACGATGGATGCTCCCTGAATTCAGACTTTAAAGTCACGTATATCAAAGATTCAAGTATCACAGCATCATTGACAGCTGCCAAGCCTATATCTGAGCGACGGTACCAGCATGCTTGGCCGCGCCGGGTGAGGGACTTGTCCATGATATCATCATGAACTAACAAAAATGCTTGAAGCAGCTCTGTTAACCAACCTAGAGTGGCTAGAGCTCTAAATTCATCTTCATTTAACAGTCGACCGATTAGATATCGACCAGTGTCGGGTACGGAAAGGCCACGGTTAAGTTTTCCACCACTGACGTTGTAGGTAAGGCACTATCAGGTCCAATATATTGTTAATGGAATAAATGAAGTCAGAATAATCGAGTGACGAGTACCTCTTCTAGTCTATCCATAATGTCTTTGGGAATATTATACTCCTTAGTATAATCAAGATGACCTTTAATTATGGATGGGAGCAAGGCCTTGAAGTTTGTCTGTTGAATATTTTGGCTCATTGTTGTGGGTGAATCTTCGTTGAATAGGCCACGGAGGAAATAGTTGTTGATGGAGGTCATGTTCGGGGTATATAGATCTTCATAAATGATTTAATTAAAGTGAGAAGTTTAGGTCACCAACTTGTATAATCATTTATGCACTCTTTTCCAAATCCGAGCACGGTAAAACTATTTGATTAAAACTATCACGTATATCAGCAGTCCGTTCAGGCTTCGCTTTTCATCTACAGTTACACAGCATAAAGCCATTACCAACGAGTAGTATAGGATCACTTACTTCAGAGAGAGTGCTTGTAGGCTAGCATATTCACGCCGTGCGGGTCGATTCAATAGATTATACACGCAAAAACACTAAAAAAACTCTATATAGCTCAAAGGGACTACCAGGCGTGTATCTAGGGGTCAGATGAGAGAGGTATAGGAGTTTGTATGATAATTTTAGCTAAAATAGTGACTATATGCTGTCGATACCCTTTCAATACATTGTATAGGCTGAATTCTCTAGTCGACAATTCTCAGATCACCGACTACAAAACATTAATACCACGACAGATGGGTAGCACGGCATTTAGTGGCTTAGATATTACCTAAAGGAGCTTGAACTGCATGCATAAGACACTCGTTTACCAACGCAAAGGGGGGCTGACAGCTGGTGTGTAACATAGCGACCTATCTTACCTATTAGAGCTTGAATCGCATGCTTACATACGTTTTGAACCAGGGCGCTCTACGGCAAGGCTGCGAATGCAGGCAGGATGAGATAGATCAGCGAATCAGCCAACAAACCACACCACACCACGATGGAAGGAAGCCTCTCAGAGAGGAAACAGATGCTACTTCAGCGAAAGATGTGTAAAAGTTGATTTTCTCTCTATCGGAGACGCGAAGCTATATCCTGTAAAGACTGTGTACTAGGAAAGATATCCTCCAATCATAGATCACCCCTTGCCTGCCATTTCCCCACTACAGTATGCATGACGCTTATTTCTAATGCAATGGGGAACTAGGACTGTTGAATATCTACATATCTAAGACAGTGAAAAAACTTCTCGTGGTATATTAACTTTGAAGTGTTTAAGACAAAGTAGAAATCTGTTTGACGCCTCGTGCGCGCAATAAATACAATAAATATTATTCGCGGCTTTGATCAAGAATTATCTTTGATAGATCAGTAAAAGGAACTCAATCTGGCAGAGATCAGCGAAGCACTGACTCCATGTATTTGAAAGTCACAACTTTGGACGTGGTATTCGATTTCTCCATGACGAATCAGTACACAGACAGGCCCTAACGTAATTTATTCAAGTCATCAAGATAAGGCGCGTCTACTGTATTTTGGAGACTGACAATCTTCGGTTGCTGATAAATAGAGGAGATCTTCCACAGTAAAGTACGAAAAGAAATTCAGTTCACTTTCGACCTAAAATTTTGGAATCTACAAGACAATAAAAATTGCCCTTAGATTTTTTTAACTTTCTCTTCATGACTTCTGTTTGTGACCCCCCGGGCAATTCGCCAAAGATGGAAAGCTGCAGGAATTTCGCATTCTATCGCGCACTTCCGATAACCTCCAAAATTCAACTTCTCCTAATAAAGTCCATAATCAAATAAGCTCAGTAGCAATACTGAAAGGGCTACCCAATGTACTTGCCAATAGTGGTCCTCGTCAGGCAGTGGAAAGCCTACGCAAAGTGATTGATGAACTGGATGAGGCAACATTTTCCCATTCCACCGAGAATTACTCCATCCTCACAAGAACTGGTGACCTATCGCTCAGCGAGACTGGCTTTTATGCAGCACGAGATGCACTTCAGTGGTGGCGCCACTGGCATGGGTCACTCGAAGGTCACTATTGGAAACATATTTATGTCGCATTCTCCACAATACCTGAAGACCTCGTTATTCCCCCAAAACATCTTTTAAATGGCCGTTTTCGTCTTCTAGGGAAATCTTTGAGTGAAATTTTGAAAGGCTTGAATGAAGAGAAAGTCTCTCCAGATTCCGTTGACTTCATGGAAATGTGTCTATTGCGGCAGTATCTATTCCAATATCTTGACAGACAGAATTCAGAGATCCATGAGATGCTCTTTCCAAGTCCTGCTTTGACATCTAAATGGCAGCATATCAAAACAAATACATATGGCTGTACAATTGCCCTCTTGGCTGCAAAAATGTCGGACTCGCTGGGTATTGTCAATACTGCCACCAATTTGACGACTATTATGGATACCATGTCTATGGATCTTGCAACTGAATCTACCGACTCAGTTCTAGATACAGGATTTTTCCGAGGAGATCGTCCAGAGAATCATTTTTATTGGAAGGAAGAGGTTAACACGTTATATAAACGATATATTTCTCTTCTTAATTTGGCACCAAGCTCGCCTGTTATTAGCCGATCGGTAGCATCCGGATTACAATTCGTTCCTGGTATGGATGGATATCGTGAAAGAAAGAGACAAGTTCGATTCCCAATTTCCGCTTCCTTGCGAAGAAGACTTGAAAATTATGCCACAGATAGTGAAAATGTGCGGAACAACAGATATATAATTCAATGATATAATTGCTATGCTTTGAAGAATGAATTTGTTCGAATTCAAAGTAGATATATCGATTTAACCTTTGAGTTTAAGGTGATTATTAACTTCGAGAAAAAGGAAATAGGCACCAGTGGTATTCAACTCTTTTTTTAGGTCAGGCCGTCTAGGAGAATATGGCATTGACAAAGGTGACAGTTGAGAATATTTCATTTTAACTACCGGTCTTCCTCTAGCTTAAATACCAGAGAATCCTTTAAGGAGAATTGTGTGGAGCAAGTCTTCAAGATAGCATAAAGCTAAGTCCTGTGATTGGCCTAATCAGAAAACAAGGAAGACCTCAGGGCTCTAAAGGAGTATGAAATGGAAAGAGAATTATACCCTGATTGATATTAACCTTAGTCAAGCATTAAATATGTAGTCTAAATACTAGATAAAGGCTACCCCTTCCTTTTCAACATTCTATATCCCCTCAGACCTTATAATATCTCACCAGGCTAAGCTGAACCAACTGATGCCACCCAAATATGGCGCTTTATTATATCTAGCTTGAGGAAGATATTGATAATTGGCTTTATATCAAGTTCTATGCAATAAGAACTTAGGACTTTCCTAGCTTATGGATAGATGGTTTTATATTTTCTATAGAATTAAGAGGGTAGCAGACACATTATGAATTAGATTTCCTGGCCAAATCTATCAATGTACTCAATTTCTTGTTGCAATCAATTAAACTGGTTACAGGTTATTACTGGCACTTAATATGACGTGCAAAGGCTTGGAAATGGTTCAAGGTTCAAGGAATTCGGTCTTTCCTATACAAGCAAGATGCATTTTCAAAAACAGGTTTCTGAATATACTCATCTAGCAAGGAAAATAATCAGGTCAAACGACGCTCTATTTTGATCTCGAAAATCAAGAGAAAAAAAAAAGAAAATCGGATATGACCTCAGATAGTTTTTTGCCGAGTTCGGCCAGCTTCGGTTACTCGTCTGCTCGTATAGATCTCACTGCGCGTTCATCAACTACGTAAACCGCAGTGACGCCGAATCTTCGGCTCAAAGGTACCAAGGCAAAGCTGTCATTAAAAGTCGTCCCCTACTTTGTTGAATGAATATAGGGCCTAGATCGATGCAGACGCATAGGAATGGAGATAACTTAATGAGAGTTGTTATGCATAGAAAGTCTCGAAGCGTTTGAAAATTCTTATGAGAAACTTGAAAGGGCGGACAATATCTTCAACTTTCGTATATCGAGGCGAATAACCCGAGATGTCAATTTAGAGTAGCAATTTATCCATTCATCACCTATCCAGAGTCCATTTGCTAGAAAGGCAATCCTACGAGAGTGCAGTACCATTAGCCGGGATAGCGTATCGGTATGAGGTTGCCGAATAAAACATATTCCCTGTCAAGCCCTCGATCATTGCCCTCGCAAATCGGCGCTGGTGATTACTCAAATTCTCTGAAGCTAAAGTTTCGTGATAGATATCATTTATCTGAGACTCAAGATCCCACAAAATCATGCGTATCAATGCTATAACACACTCCTGTGATACACTGTGCTGATCTTGCATCACTGGGATAGCATTTATCAGCGCACTTTCCTTTTCGATATATTACTTATACTCTTTGAAGTAAGAGTATAGGTCATTTGTGAGTGAGAAGTGCATAATATTGAGTCGATTTATTGGGGCGAGAACGTTAAACTCCTCGATAGATATAGGGGCACTGCATGTAAATTTCAATGCAGCATTTATAGCACTATTGAGAGCAAAGTCAGCAAATGTAATAGAATGAGACGAAGATAATGAAACGTCATATAATTACTCAATACCGGTATCATTTATCCTATACTCCATATAGGCAGCGAATGACGAAAACTGCAATTGCTCTTTTGGCGGCTTTGATCTTCTATGTTTTGCCCATATCAGAAGACCTTCCAAGTATGCTTGGCCATTAATTGAGTCATCATCTATGCACTCCCGAGCAAACTTGTCAAAAATTGGGTTCTTCCAAGTGATCTGCACTTCCTATATCATCTGGCAGAAACCCTTGATTGAGGGAAGATGAATTCATCGATGAGGAATATCTCAAGATTCAACTTAAGGCAATCATCATGGCTGGGGCAGACACTACAGCCACTCTATTGACAAGTATGGTTTACTTCCTGTTGAAGAACCCTGATACTCTCCAAAAAGTACAGTCTGAGGTCTGCTCAAAGTTCTCTTCATATGAGCAGATCACGTTTGATAGTACCCTCAGACTACAGTTTTTAGAAAGTGTTTCGAGAGAGACCTTACGTATGTTTCCACCTCTATCTTTTGGCCTTCAGCGTGTTTGCCCCGGTTCCATGATCCAAGGTCATTATATTCCCGCTGGCACCAATGTATCAGTGGACCCCTTTACTACCTCACTTGACCCCCGCAACTTTCGGTCTCCCAACAAGTTCCGACCTGAGCGTTGGATAGATGACTACAGATTTAAAGATAACAATGGTAGTCAGCCATTCTCTCAAGGACCTCGAGCATGCCCTGGAATGAAAATGGGGCTGGCCGACAGCAGGGTTATTCTTGCAAAAATGATTTTTCGTTTTGACTGGGATTTGGTCAACAGAGATTGCGATTGGAAGAGTGACGCAAGACAATGGGTCTTGTGGAATAAACCCGCACTTCTTGTTCACTTCATTCCGGTTTTTAGGAAACCATGAAGCAAAAATTAGGCTAGAAAAGATAAGGTACACTCTTGAAGTGTTTCAGTTATAATAAGAGCCATGAAATTTTAGCCAGGATTTTTCATCGATTTGCTGCATTGGAGATACATACGCTTTTCCAGGCTAGTTGGACAAACAAGAACGCAGCGCTAAGGACGCCCATGGGGCCGAATCCAACTTTGAGTGATAAGTGATACTAGCATACGGAAAGGAATGGGGTGGGCAGATCTGCGGAACAACAACAATATCAAGATTTAAGGGAAAAAAAAGAAGAGAGGAAGAGGGAGAGAGCGGTTTTCTTTCTAGCGCATATCACCTGCCCTCCTCATCACTTTCCTCCCTTGCAAGGTATAACGATATTTCTAATTACCTAACCTAGGTACCCTAAGCACTAAGCAATTTTAAGTGTTCAGGGAGTAATCCAGGATCACATAGAGCGCATATGGAAATAGACGGCTGGAACGGTTCGCGTGCGAGATCGATGGCTGAGATTTTGGTCAAAAGATCCTTAATATAGCATCAAATTTTATCGTTTTCGGTACTAAATTTACCGTTACCTTGCGTTGTGGTATATTTCTCATGACAATTATTTCATCTAGAAAGAAAGTCCTCATTACTCCTAGAGAGTTTCAAAAAGGAGAAATATAATGGTATACGCAATACATGCCAAACAATAGCATTATGTTGCATCATCATTTCCAAGTCCAAACCGGCCCCCAAAGCCCCCCAAGTCGCGGCGGAAGAACTTGCCGATATTCTTGAGATTCTCATTCAGATTACCGGCAGCGGTGGGCTCAGATGGGGTCTGGATATATCCAGCTTGCTGAGCTGATGCTGATGGAGCCGGAGATGAACTGCCGGGGGTGCTACCAAGAACGGGTATCGAGGTTGTTCCACCTGTAACGGTACTGAGGCTCGGGTTGCCGAAACGATCAACGCCATCCTTTGCAGCAGATATGAGGGCCGAGCCGAGCATCGAGGCGTCAAAGCGGGAGGGCATAGATCCAGCGCCACTAAGACCCAGACCTTGAGAGACAGATCCGGTTGATGTGGTGACGGGAGTTTGAAGAGAATTAAGAATCGGGTTGCTGGGCTGCAGGCTTGATGCATAGCGGTCTGATGCACGGTGCAGCTGGAATAGCTCGACAAGATGATTCTGCTCTTGTCGATTGCGGATGCCCTTCAGATCGAGGATCTTGCGGAAATTGTTGTTGTTCCGGTCAGCGATATGAATGAGGTATGCTTGTACAAGGGCCTCCGGTGGAGATGGCCGGACCTGAAGTGTCTTTAGAAGAGTTTCAATTTTGAAGAAACTGCTGTTTACGCGCTTCACAAAGCCTGGAGGAGTGGGGGCTGGGAGCAGAGATGAGAGGCCGCTCTTCAGGGTATAAGAATCTAGGAGCATCTAGATAGAATTATGAGCTGTGATGAATAATCAGGAGCGCAGTGGTATGAGATAGCAAATACATACCTGTTCGGCACCTGTCTCAGAAACAGGCTTGCATTGGAAGACATTATTGATAAATTGACTCGACATGAACTCAACCAGATGATCGGAAAATGCCCGAGCATACTGCTGTTTGTGCAAGAGTTGCAAAATCTCGGATGCCTTCTCCTTTGTTCGGGAAAGCAGCTCACTCACATAGGAGCTCTGGTCGCTTACTGCCTCGATTTTGCTCCATGGAGTGTTGCGCATTTCTCTCCAGCTTGGCTCCAGAGTGACTTCGACTTGCCGGACAAGACCTCGTACAGCGGCAGAAGCAATTCCCATGAAGGAATCTGCTTGGCTCTGAAGGTCTACTGATTGCTTCAGAGACTCATCCAGACGACCTTTGATTTTCTCTTCTAGCTGAGTACACGTCGTATAGCAGTAGTCTGCGGTGTTAAGGACCGACACCAGATCCTCTATTGATGGCACTTTCGAGGGCGTGTGGCCAGTAGAACGCTCACTGATATAGTTGAGAAGAACTTGCTGTGCATACTGGTCCAAATATTTCGCAAATACCTTGGCGAGTTCGGCCAAACTGCCACCTGTTGAAAGCTTGGCACATTGCTGGAAAGCGTGACGGTAGAATGTGAAAAGCTCAGTCGAGGATGAGAGGACAGTATGGGAGTTGAATTCTTCATCAGGAGGTTTCAAGGGCTGTTGGCGGTATTTTGGCAAGAGCGCAGCCAGCTGCTTGTCTTGTGCCTCCACCCAGACGCTCAAATACGGCTCAAAGGCCTCTGAGATTGACTGGCCGAATGCAGGAGTTTCAATTGATGAAGCAAAAGTGTCAGTAGATGGGCGAGACGGAGGTGCAAAGCGACGCTCAAGAGAATGCTCGAATTCAAGGGTCTCTTGCAGACACGCAAGTAGCAGGTTGACATCAATTGTCTGGCCGCTGCGTACTGATCGAGAAAGAATGTTTTTAAAATCCTCCCGTGTGCCTTCACAGAATACATTGGCCAGAGTTTCGTTCACTCGCCAGGAGGTTGGAAAAATCGCCGCATTCTCCTCATCGTAGATCTTCAGGATCCGCCGGAACCAAGAATACCTACGAGATATGTTGTCCAGTGATCCTGCCTCTTCATTGTTCCGAAATATCTGACGATATTCGCGGAGCTGGGTATTGCAGTACCAGGTCACAAGCCGTGACCGAGCATGCTCGCCCAAGGCATCCGCGACCAGACATGCCTCTGAAAGCATTACCCGCTTTTGAGCCACTTCGCTCTTGGCAAAAGCTATCTCGAAGTCTTCGCAGACCTGCTCCAGCAATTCTCGCTGGATATCTGCCACATTCCGGCTCAGAATCGCAATCTGGTCAATCGATCGATACGACTTGAAATGAGCCATCAGCTGGATTACTGCCTGGAGAAGCTGGGCGCAATCGCGATATTGTCGAGTCCGGCTGAGCGATTGAAGCTGATCATATGCCGTAGTGAGCATCTGCAAGCGCTTGAGGGCGGTCATAGAGAGGGTGAGGTTCTTCTTCGCATTGTCCAATTGCTTGATGTCGGCCGTCATATCGGTGATGGATTGCTCGGTCTTCGTAGCACGCTCCCGTACATCGTCAATCTTCTTGAACAGCTCTGACAGATCTGCCTTTGCCGTCTGGATGCGCTCTACACTCTCCGCATTGGAGGTGACCTGCTCCTCGACCAGGACGCCGATGTCGTTGTCCAATTCATCTTCATAGGCATGAAGGGAATTTGAGATCTGAGAGACGGAGGAGAGGGTTGAGGGATGCGAGAAGATGGCATTCAAATGGTCGATCGGGTCATAGTCCACTAGAAACTTCCACGATCAGTAACAGTTGTGTGCAGTGCATCCAGTGCTGGGTCGTACCTGCATCCAAGGCGTCGAGGGTGGGTTCCTCGTTTGATGGCATGTGGTCGGTGGTCAGGGTTGTAATTGTAGTCATCCCATTGGCTTCCCAGACTCATCCTCTGCCTGGCCAAAAGACAGTCGCTATGTCAGGCCAATGCAGTTTGCGCGAGTTCGTCAAGAGAGCGGGATTGGGTGTTGATCGGACGCGACGCTCTCCCGCGGGTCGCAGGTCGCATGTCACTGGGGGCCACCTTGACCTTGGCATCTTACGCAACCCGACAAACCGACAAAACCCGCCGGCAATTCCTCTACCATCGCAATTACTACTGGAGAAAACCAACAGGAGAAAAATGACAACTTATAATGATATATTTTTTTGAGGTAGCTAATTTTTTGTCCTCAACTGAAGATAGCAATATGTTTGTAATACATAATACAAATTCACAAAATCCTGCCCATTCGCCTGAGCCATGCAAAATTGAGTTAAGCCAAACAAATGTGGCATCTTTCCCTGTGGCGAAGTGCCACCTGCCATTCGAAAATCTCTAGTATTGATCGATAAATGAAGATGTCGCTGACAGAAGATTGAGAGGTATTGGGTTCAACATTAACCAGCGAGGATGTGACGGCCATTTAGGCCGCAGAAAGGAAAGCACTGGGAGGCAGTGTGCCCTGAGCCTGGGAGTGAAATTAGTATCCAAAGAGACGAAATCAGGCCTGTTAGCTTACCTTAAGGTCCTCAAAGTTCTTCCACGCGGCATCAAGATTCCAGCCATTGCCCGATAGAGCCATTTCGGAGAACTGCAGCGTCATGCCAGACTTGGCGCTCATCTGTGCCACAAGCTGCTCTTGTTGGACCTGGGTCTCGGTCTTGCCAGGAGCAGGAGCACCATAACCACTGGGAATACCAGGTTGAGCAACTGGCGGAGGAACAGGAGCTGTAGTATTTGGAACAGTGGAACCAGCCGCCTGGGGAATAGCCTGGCTTTCAGGGCTCCATGCCTCATGGCCGCCGTACGCACGGAGACATAGGATGTCGCTAATGACGCGGATTCCGGCAGCACTGCTGCCAGGGCCGATGATGAATGTGCGGTCGAAACTGCGTGACTCGACCTTGCCTTCAAAGCTCTCTTCAAATTTCCCGTGAACCATTACCATAAGTCCACCAACACCTGTCGGGCTCTGCCCAGTGGGGTCAGGAAGCCCAGGCACTGGGTGGCATTCGATGAGATACTCTTCCGAATTCGCGGCCAGATCGGGGTGGCGTGTTTGTGGAAATGTAGACCAGGCTTCACGAATCTTGTCTACGCCGCTGTAAGAGCGTGACATGCGGGCGGGCAAGTGGCTAATCTTGAGGAGGTTGCGGCTCTTCTTGATGTATGGGTCCCAGCCAGCGGTTTCGGCCTGCTGGGCCTTGGGAGCCTGGACGTTGACGTTCATAGAGAAAGTGGAATTGTTGTCATAGAATCCAGTGAGGATATCATTACGGCTGTTGTCGTATCCCGAGAAAAAGGCGCGAACGAAGTTCTCTCCGATCTGAGATTCGTCCTGAAAGTAGGGTGCCTGTACGGGAATCGGCGTCTTCTTCTGGGCAGCAATATCCTCTGCAGTCCGGACCACAACGTTGTTTAAGGTTTGGAGTTTGGGGTACCACTTGAGCATGGTGTCTTTGAAATCCGGGGCGGTGCAGAAGGGATTGCCGGTCATATCCAAAAACTCAAGACTTCGAAATTTCCAGCGCCACTGAATCATTGCACGGGCGTCTTTCAAGTTGTTGTTAGAAAGGTCGAGGTTTTTGAGATCGGGAACGGCTTGTGCGAGAGTTGTAACGACGCTGACGTTGGCAAGTTGGTTGTCGGCGAGACTCACGCTCTCTACCGCTTCACGTCTCTGAGCAGCACTTGTGAACCCCATTTCCCAGACCTTCATGAGTGCAGGGAAGAACTTAGATTCAGTTGAGGTACTGTTGAAAATACCCATGGCTACTAGATCCGGGTCATTCCCGAGCTTGGAGAGATTGAGAAGTTTGGTATCCGCGAAGTATCGTTTGCTGAGAATCATCGTCATTTTAGACTTGGTGTCCGCAGTCGACGTGGAAGTGCCAGTTGAAGCAGCCAGTTCGCGATCAAGCGCTGCACTTTTGGATGCATCGCAGGGCTCCACAGTTACATGAATTCCTGCAAAGAGGTTGCCATTGATCCGAAGCATTCGATCCGCCAAATCGGGGCGGACGAATACAACCAGGGAGTCGCCTTCAACCCGCGACTATTTCGAACGTTAGCAAGGCGCAAAAGACCTTGAAACTAGAGTCACCGAAAGGAAGAAACGCCAGGAGGATCCGGGGTTGTCGACTGTCGTTCAGCCGGAAATAGGACCATTTCCAAGAAAAGAGCAAACACCGGTGCGATTGACGTCGAGATTGGTGATTGGTGACCGTCCTTCGAATGTTGAACATACCTTTGTGATTTTAGCGCGGGGTCCTGATTTTGTATTCGCGTTCATTCGTCGTTCAAGAAATGACAGGAGACTTTCGATACCACCATCACGATTTGATGCCGCTTTGCTCTCCTTCCAGCCACTGACACTGAAAGATTCCAGATTGCTTCCACCCCCACTCTTGCCCTGTCGGATGTTGACTTGCGAGTCTTTGGCGTTGGTGTTGGTGATAGCCTTTTGGATGGCATCCATCGTCTTGTCGCGCGCTTGGGGCCGACCACCACCCTTAGCACGGCCGATATCACCACGAGGCCGTTTGCCTCCACGCACGCCAGATCGATCCATGTCCATATCGCCATCTCGGTCAGTGCGCGTCGGGCCCCGCTTGCGGATGCCCCCGCGATCAGAACCGCCTGCACGGCGAGACTTCATGGTCTTCATGTTGTTCATGCGACAAGAATGCAAAGAGGGAGGAAAGTCGCAACTGAGAGAGGAGATAAATGGAAGGAAGCTGGTCTGAAAAGGCCTGGGCTGAGTAGGATGAGCGGACTGCGCGTTGCGCGCCTCAAATCAGATAGGGGATATCTTGTTCGCATGCAGTGGTGTCGTGAAGTCGTCGGTGAGGTGAAATCGATGAAAGGAGGACAGAAAGAGAGAAAGGGAGAAATAAAAGTAAAAGAAAGAGAAATTTTCTAGGCAGCGATCCTGCCTACAGGGTTTGTAGAGAGCCGCAAGAATGATTGAAACCAAAAAAAGTGACGCACCGGTCACGTGCGGTGAAGATCATATGTCATGTGACTTTGGTATGACTCAGCGCACAGCTCAACCCTCCACCAATCAGCAACTGTCTTCTGGCCTTTCAGAATACGGTAATGTCAATACATCGGCCCCATTGCTCATTAGTTCACAGTATACGGCGGCGGCTATCGATTTGGCCAGCTTGCAGCATCCTTTCAAGTCGAGGGCCTCGCAGAAAGAACGGGGCCGAGGAAATCCTTCACTCGACTCGGGTTTGGTGAGTATGCGCCTGAAATTCGGGGGTGTAGTTTCCGATCTCTCCTTGGAATTCCCCGAAACCCAAGACCACCGGCACAGCTTGCGCGTTTCATAGGAGTCCGGCTAACCTCTTCACGCTCTCTTCACCAGACAACCACACACTGCGGAACGCCACCCTCGATCGTTTTCCTGGGGTTATAGCTTTCTCTATGCCCGTCAATTGCTTAGCGAAATGCCTGCAAAGTCGCGATTCATGAGGCTAGACGCCTTCGCCAAAACCGTCGAAGATGCGCGCATTCGCACGAATTCCGGAGGTGTTATCACTATCGCCTCGCTGCTAGTCGTGCTATGGCTGGTATGGGGAGAATGGGCTGACTACCGCCGAGTGGTAGTCCAGCCAGAACTCATCGTCGATAAGTCAAGAGGTAAGGAAGATTTGCAGAGACTCGCATGGGGTCTTTCGCGCTGAGTCGATCTATCGAAACAAGGCTGACGGGAATAATATTAACCGAACAGGAGAGAGAATGGAAATTCACTTGAATATGACATTCCCGCGGCTTCCCTGTGAGCTTTTGACCCTGGATGTCATGGATGTGTCGGGTGAGATGCAGGTGGGCGTGGCGCACGGCGTGAACAAGGTCCGCCTGGCCCCTCCCTCAGAAGGAGGTCAAGTGATTGATATTCAGGCTCTTGATCTGTAAGTCCCTTTCTACTATCAAACGAGAAGATCATCCCCTTTCCGCGCTTTGATCAGGAGCTCACATGCCCTTTTCTTCTACCTCCAGACACTCCCCCGCCGACGCTGCTGCACACCTAGACCCGGACTACTGTGGTGAGTGCTACGGAGCCGATGCACCTCCCAATGCGATCAAATCAGGCTGCTGTAGCACCTGTGATGAAGTTCGGGAGGCCTATGCCAATAAGCAATGGGCTTTTGGAATCGGACAGAATGTCGAGCAGTGCGAGCGCGAGGGGTATGGCGAGAAGCTCTTGGCTCAGCGCCGTGAAGGTTGCCGAATCGAAGGTGTACTACGAGTTAATAAGGTGGTTGGCAATTTTCATATTGCGCCAGGTCGCAGCTACACCAGCGGTAACATGCACGCCCATGACATGGACAACTACTTCATGAAGGATGCCCCGACTCCCGAGCAGCATACCATGACCCACGAAATTCATGAGCTCCGGTTTGGTCCCCAGCTTCCTGCTGAGCTAGCAGACCGGTGGCAGTGGACCGATCACCACCACACTAATCCGTTGGATGATACCAAACAGGCAACGGATGAGCCTGCCTATAACTTTATGTATTTCATCAAGGTTGTCTCTACCTCCTATCTTCCCCTAGGCTGGGACCCGGTCTTCTCGTCTGCAATCCACAGTGCCTACGACAAGGCTCCTCTGGGCTCCCAGGGTGTCGCCTACGGTTCTCAAGGAAGTATCGAGGCCCATCAGTATTCTGTGACTTCGCACAAGCGGCCCCTGATCGGAGGCGACGATGCTGCTGAGGGGCACAAGGAGCGTCTGCACGCCTCTGGTGGTATCCCTGGCGTGTTTTTCAACTACGATATTTCCCCCATGAAGGTCATCAACCGCGAGACTCAGCCAAAGACATTCACTAGCTTCCTGACCGGCGTCTGTGCTATCATCGGTGGTACTCTGACTGTGGCAGCTGCTCTAGATCGTGGCCTGTATGAGGGTGGAATGCGCATCAAGAAGCTCCACTCCAGCTAAACTTTCCCCCTTTGTCCTGGAGATGAAAGGGATCAAAGGGAATCGCATCCCCACTTGGAGTATTCTCTAGTCTGCGAAACGCTAGAGATGAACAAAGGTGGGAAATTGTGGCGTTTTTGGGATACCTTTACACATTGAGTTTCTGTTTTGATTCTGTGTTTCTGTGGTTCAAATGGTGTATGTATACCTAAATCAGACAGCATTTGTTGATCTGTCAACCTGGTCGTGTTTTCATTTTCCGAATGATGTTGGCCTCCAGATCTATCGTACTGTAACCAAAATATGAGAGAACTGTGCTTATGTTACCAGTTCGGAGCTCTGTTTTCAAATCCTTGTAGTTCCAAGGGTTGATAGTTTGCTAGTGTTTTAAACTATGATCTCTATAAAGACTTGTACGCCACGAAAGTCTTGAGAAACAGAGAATGATGATGGGTTCAAGCCATCTGGGCGATTGCATTTCCAGATATATGCAGTGGCCACGGCTTTCTATCTACCAAACTTGTAGCTAAGAATCTAGATGATCGTCAAGTCTAGAGGCTTGGTATCATACCGGCACTGCAAGCTATCACCACTTTGCTCAGCCTACCACTGGCCTCCCACTCCTAGTCTCTTTTGGGCCTTTTAACTGCATAGAATGCATCCATGTTTTTGAAAAATCTAATTTATTGTAGATTTACTTATTTAAACTACAGCCAATTGACCACCTTGGCAGGCTTGTGGCCATTACTGTCAATAAATCGGGGGGTTGCGGCTAGTTGGTTCAGATGGATGCTTCTCAACATTGGTGTGTAGTGGACTCAGACTTGATCAGCTCCTGGGCTTTGATCACGAAATTGCCGGGCCAATGGGGTAAACGATGGGAACACTTCTATCTTTAACCATGTTGATGGGTACTCACATTTACAGCGGGAAGGCGTTTCAATTGTGGATGCCGACGAATGTCATTGATATACGTGTATTCATATAACACATGGTTTCCAATATCGGCTTGTTGCTAGGATGTACCCCCTCAAATAAAACATCTCATGACAGCGTTGAACAATATTTGTGCCTACTTTCAGGCCCCGGAGGACGTACGCAGCATCCAATATGCTTGCAAAGCTCGTGTTTCTTTGGCACACAGTACGTGCTCACGTGCTTCTAGTGGCTGATGCAATTTGCAGCATTTTCAAGGGACCTGCCACATTTCTCTCCCAATAAAAGGTCTTTCTTGATACAATCTGTTGGTATTCATGGTTTGATCGACAGTTATTGCCTAATCCAATAATGTAGAAGACTAGGAGAAAAACATACCCCGGTTCCCCGTACGCATCTGTCAGTCTCCCACAAAATTCATCAGTGAGTCCCCTTACTTGAGTCGAATTGTCTACAGTTGCCCTATGAATATATCACTAATGAGACCAAGGTTTTTTCAATTGATTATAGGTATCATATTCAATGAACGTGAATATAATCTGCGGAATAACATTGAGTCAACAATGTTTTTGTATGGTCCATAAACGTTAGAGCAGCTTGGCAATCTGCAGCTGAGTATGCTGCCTGTTCGACGTTACAGTCACTCAACTATACGATGCAGAAGCATATAATTCCGCAGGTGATTTCTGGGAATTTATCATGTGGCTGCCAGTGTTAACAACCAGCCTGACGTACTGTTTTCTAGTCAATTACTCGTAGTTTCCACGAAAACAGCATTGTAATGGCCATCTACAGAACTTGCGCAACTCTCTGTCAATTTCTGGTCATTCGAGCTCTACGGCAATTTTATGAGGACAGTCTGGGTCGAGTCGTGGTATCTTTATTCACTGACATTCTCGTAGCAAGGTTTCGGGCCCATTCAAAATGCACTCGAGGGTGAGACTAAATTCAAATGCCCGGCAGTGGACAGTTCAAAAGCGAGAAGGCTAGAGGAAATATCACGGCGCTAGAAATAGCCATCATCACTGAAAGCAAGGCTCTTCGTGATTCGCTCGCATGTCAAAAAGCATAGTATATGCTGTCCAGTGTAGAAAGATTATCTACAATCTGCTGGCATTTATTGACAGCATGCCTGATCGTTGCGAACGCATGCCAATCTCACTTTATAGTCCTTGGGAGACGCTATTATGAATGACTACCTGCTGATAGTGCCGCAGCTACACGGTATGTCGTGGTTTCGTATCGACTTGCCACGACCAGCCGCGACGATATCGAGGTTACCATGTCTTGAATGGTCCTCTGCCCATATGCCAGTAGCCAGAACCTCTAATAGGTCGTAGCGATGATCGAGCACGAATGGTAAGTGCAGACACAATACCTCTGTTGGGGCACTGCATCCTCGATATATCGAACCACCATTGGCTCGGTCGGGCCGGGGTCCAGCCATACTCGACTTCATAGTAAGAGATGTGGACCAATCCTGGAAACACGAATAATTTATTAAAAATGTGTGCCGTCTAGCGTTTTTCAGATTAATTGACTTAGAGTAAAATAAAATAAAAATAAGATCTATCTATCTGTCATCTATCTTCGTTAATGCTACTATCTCTATCTGGAGAACAGGGGAGAAAAAAAGAACGGGCCCGAACCGCGATTCGAACGCGGGGCCTCTTCCAATTCAGGATCTTTTGAAGAACCGAGGATCAATACCCCGAAGGAAGAATCATACCACTAGACCATCCGGGCGCTTATGTTACCGATAATGCAAATATTAAAACTATGACCTACCCTTGTAAGCTTGAGAAGAGACCATCCTACGAAATGATTATTCCAATCAACTATTAAACATATAATATAATTTAATAGCGAGCAGGCCACCTTACTATATCTCTACATCTATATAGGACAGCATTCAAGAACGGTGTTTGGTTACCGTGAAATTCGGATATATATTGTTACTTACGAGGTAGTTAACTTCCCTTGGGCAAACACCAGAATTTCCTCTTCGTCTTTTATAAACACATGGATATCTACAGAATCTCACACTCTCTCTTACACAACCAGAGCCGTTGGCACCGTGAACACTACCTGCAACAAATAAACCGAGACATAGGAACAGGCCATATTCGAGTTGGAAAAATAATACCAAAGCCGGCATTTGGATAATGGATAGAAGCAGATAACCGGAAAACCGGGCAAATGCAAGAAAGTGTCTGTGGTGACAGAGCCAGCCTATTTACTAGGCTTCCTCAAATACAGGAAGCTGACTCCACTACACAAGGATTTGGGACATTGTCGAAGTGGTCAACCAACAGCCGCGATCTCTTGAATAACCCAATGAAGGAGCTGCTTTGGTTGGAACTTCAAGTCGCTTCCGCTTGAATAACTAAACAAATGGGATGGCATTAGAAATCATTTGCTAGGACTGAATGTGAGCTCTCCGCCCCTACAATGTATTAGTTATCCCTAAGCGCTTTTTTTAACGGGCGGAAGCCCGTCAAAACTTGATACAGCGAGAGGACTACGTTAGGTACTAGGGTCGGATGTCACATAAGCTTCTCAGTCATCGGATTTATAGGTATACCTCAAGAGGCTTCTTGGCCTTCATATCAAGGTCAGGGTCTCCGGTGCAGCAAGACTAGGACGACTCACCGACAAGCTACGCGGAGCAAATCATTGGCTCCAAAGAAGTGAGCACACAATACATATAAATCCTTCGATGAATCTGGTGACTGCTGGCCCCGTCATGGCTAGACTGCTACCTCGACTATCCTGGGGACTAGAATTTGAATAGTTAGGAGAACCTAGGCCCTATGCCGAGTAACTAAGGGAAAGCCTAAGCGGAAGAAACATATGCCCTCCTGGACAAGATTAAAAATAAGATTTAATAAAGAAATATAACCCAATTGCAGCCCGCAGATAGCCCAAAAGGATAATGTTCTTCGAGTTAACGTTATTAACGGACGAGGACCAGCGACACAAGTGATCTTTGGGTAAGCGAGTTATCAATGCTTAACCCCGGATTACCAATATATCGAGCCCGGATAGTATAGTGGTATTATTCTCGCTTTGGGATGAAACATCTTAACTGCGAGAGGTCCCGCGTTCGAATCGCGGTTCGGGCCATTTCTTTTTTTATTCTTGTCGCACCATATACCAGCGCTTGATAGGTAGATTTTGGAATCCACCGACAGCGCCCGGATGGTCTAGTGGTATGATTCTTCCTTCGGGGTAATAATGATCCTCGGTTCTTTCAAAAGATCCTGAATTGGAAGAGGCCCCGCGTTCGAATCGCGGTTCGGGCCCGTTCTTTTTTCTTTTTGGACTCCATATATCATCTATATCTCTGCTGTCTCTCAAGTGCAAAGCTCAGTTTAACGGTGGAGGAGTCGTAGGTAGTAAGAAAATAACGTTCATCATACCACACATACTTTCCTAATGAGCATTGATTGTGTGGCAAGCGAAGGTAATGTTTATTATCTAAATTCCTCATCACACTTCGCTCTACAATTATTTAATTGCCTACAGCTTACATCATTTTCATGACGAACACTCCTGGAATTTGAACAATCAATCCATTCATTCTCTTTGTACAAATGCAGTTTTTTCCCCGAGGGACCAACCGATCTACATCCAGAATACACATAGAGCGATATAATAATGACAGTTACAAAAGGAGGAAAAATGAGAAACCGACTGTTAGCGGTAGTAGACAGGAGGCAAACCCCAAAGTGAGAACGATAATAATAAGAACGCAATCCACACGCGAGCGAGGCGAGACAAAAAAAACCCCCATCGCGCCAGACCGATCTGGAACTCCATTCTGATGCGCAATGCAAGGAACATAGAAAAGTGTGAATGCATAAGGTGAATAGCTGTTGTGAGGATGGGATCCATGAAGAAGTGATAAAAGAAAGGGTACTGGAATCTGTGGGGATGTCAAGATCTAAGATGATAGGCATGCAAGGCAAGGCAATTTAAACAAGAAGGAAAAAGAAGAGAACGCTCAAGGATTGTCAGGTAAAATGACTCGACTCTGAGTGAGGAAGCTCATGGGGATAGGAAAAAGAAGAAAGGGCGGAGAGGAGGCGGAAGTTGGTTAAGACTGCGTGGTGTTGTAGTTGGTATGGTATCCTCCTTGATGGGCAAATTGCTGGCTCTGTTGGTAGCTTGGAGGAGTCGGAGGTGCCTGCTGCGCCAGCTGGCCGTACCAGGATCGACGACGAGGTTCATCGGGTCGATTCATTTGATGCAAAGCGTCCCAAGTTTGGCTTGCACCGGGGAGATTGTACATGCCATCTTGGCGAGATGGGGGAGGGTACATCGAGCCAGCATATTGAGTTCCAGGTTGCGGTTGTTGGTGCATCATTGAACCAGCATACTGACTCCCAGCTTGATGAGGTTGGTGCATCATAGCCTGTTGGCGCTGAGCAATGGCGTGTTGGACCATTTGGTTCGACATTCCCTCCTTCATCTCGCGTCTCTCACGCTCACGGGCATCAATTGTCGAGACAAGGCCCATTGGATTCACTTGCGGCTGAGGTTGCCGGTTGCTGTTGGACATGTTAAAGAAGGAGGAACCAGTGATGCGTGCCACATGTTCCTGCTCACGAGCGGAAAGATGGTTGGACCTCTCGTTGTAATTGGCGAGCGCTGCGGTTGTACCACGCGAAGAAGGACGCTGGTATGGATCCTGGTAGGAAGTCATCCGGGAGTTGGGCCGAACATGCTGTTGCCAATCTGCGGAGCCAGGGCGTTGCGGCGACGGGGCGGTACCTGACGGAGAACGATGGTGCATATGCACCGGAGGGGTCGGGGCCGCTCGTTGCTGTACAAATTGTTCTGGAGTCAGACCACCACCGGGCGTAGTTGGTCGACCAGTCATGCCAGGCTGCCACAATACACTTCGTCGAAATTCATCCTGACTCGGAGATTGATTATGACCGTGCTCCATAGTGTTAGTGGGAACGTTAAACCTGAGCCTTTCAGCTGCCTCCGAGTCATTGCGCTGGTGCGAAGCTTTCCTCAAAGTATCTCCGGTACTCGGGCGCCCGGTGGTAGGCATATAGGTCAAAGTCGGACCGAAGTCAACCGCGGGTATATCTGGATTGGGCTCTTCGGGCTTAATGGTAGAATAACGAGCATCGCCAATGACAAGGTCTTGCTTGACTGGCTCTCCCACAATCTTCATAACACCCATCCTGGGTCGGGCAGTCGACTGCACAGATTTCTTGCTGTGAATAGATTCATGCGTGCTGGCATAGTCAGGAGAAACCGTAGATGCATCATCATACACGCTCTCCGCATCATTCCGTGTTGGGGAAACGGGGGATGGGAGGTGAGGAGCAATTCGGTTTAACGCATCTTCATCCAGGGTATGGCGAAGATCGTCTAAACTGGGCTCCCCGGGGGATTGAGGGGATTCTTCGAAAAGCTGTCTTTGCGGTAGAGGTTTGCGCTTTAAACTCTGAACAGTGCCAATCGCCAAGTCGGGCTTTGGCGAGGGCTTGCCTGCAGAATTAGGTGTGAGGGGACGGGGTTCTGAGGTTGGCGGTTGCCGAATTGGGAACATATGGCCCATTTGTTCCTCACTCGACCGATGCATAAGTTGGGAATTGACAGGTGCAATGGGCCGTGGAGAAAAAGTGGTGTTCGAAGAGTGGTCCTGAAGTTGCTGGTCACTGTTGGATTCGCGCTGTGGCTGCTGGTCATGATAGGCGAAAGCGGCTCCCCCCATACCCATTTTACCAACCTGGGTGAGCTGGGTGAGAGTTGCATGAGACATCCGGTTATTAGCCCGTCTCTGCTCATCCGTTGCCGCGGGCCGATTGAAGGGCAGTTCCCGAGGACCATGTGCGAAAGCTGGTGGGCTCACAACTGGAGAGGGTGGTGTGCGTGGTGGAAGCTGCTCCCCGAACACAGGCGGTCGGGCAAGTTCCTCAGTGTTTCGGTCGCTGTCAGAACTTGTGCGCTCGTCAACAGGGCCTGCCAAAGCTTGTACTCGGTCATGATGCACCAGATCCTGGGTGGAAGAGTCGGGAGAGCCTTTCAACATGGAGCCGTGAGCTGGTCTTGCTCCTCTCTGCAAATCCGTGATATCTGACATTCCCCTAGAATGATAAGCCATAGAATCGTCCCTCGGGGCTTCGGGGACTATGGCATCGGCAGATTGGTTGAACTCGGGCTTGGCCTCGGGAGCAAATTGGCGTCGAGCAAGATCGATCGGGGCCTCTCCGTTGCGCGTGGAGATTACACTGGTGCGGTAGCGTGGGCGTCGGCTGGTGACACTATCACCTCTCCTCCTACCAGTGGCGTTCCGCTTCTGAGTCGCTTCCTTCAGTTGCTTCCTCCATTCTGCTTCACTCCACTCTTGACTTCCCTGGGTCTGAAGCAGGTTGACAATGTCCAAAACATCTAAATATCCGTAGCGGCGCTCTTTAGGAAAGGCAAACATGATGCTTTTGATGTGATTTGTGTCGGCCACAAGGCGAGTGGGACGACCGTAGAGGTTGAAGGTATCAAAGGTTGGAAAGAGGAAACGAAGCATCATCTCGAAGCCGGAAACCGCAGCGTGGAGCTCTGGCATGACAAACACAAGCCCTTCGGAAGAAGAGGAGGGCCCCGAGTGCATGGTGATCTGGCCTTCGAGTTTCACCAATGTTGATTGATCGATCAAAGCCTTAGATTGCGGGTAGATGGCATATGCCGAGTACACATGCGTCACTGTTGCAATGGGCTGCACTTTCTTGGTTTTCTTGGTTTCATAGAACTTGATGGTTCCGGTGATTGGAATCGACAAGCGATCGTAGGCGGATTTTTTCATCACTTTCCGTGCCTTTTGGATTTCCTTTTCATCTGGGGGGTTGATCACAAACCAACATCGTCTCCACGGCGTTCCCGCGCCGAATCGCACACGGGCCCAATCTTCGTACTTGAATTTAGTCGGGACCAGGATGGATTGAATCCCATTTAGGGTTTTCCCTTTGGCGGCAATGAGGGAGCCGGTATATGCTTCATACAGCGACGTGTGCTCATACATAGCCAGGCGAATGGCCGCCGTCCATTGAATCATCGAATGGAAGGAACTGAAATGGAGCAAATATCGGTTTTTACCCGCGGAGGAAAGACTGAGCACATTTTTTAACGGCTGTACGGCTCCGTTCCTGATCGGTAGGGTTTCAATCTGGGGGTTGCGGATAGGGAGATTAGCTTCCGACAGGGGGGCCGATTAAGAGCTTCTGAGACAACCAAGAAAGAAACCTACCATTTTAAGTGATGCATCTGCCAGGTTGATAAAGGTTGCGGGGACTTCTTCCCCGCCTGCTGCGTCCAGCGCAGTAGCTTCCCAGAGGGAAAGGACGGTTCCGACTAGCTGTGCATAGCATTCCACCCACTGTCGATCAGAACAAGGTCGCCCATCTGTGCCAACATGTCAGCCCACTGTTCTTTCCATCGAGCTCCAAAGGAGAAGTAGCGATCGCATGGCCTGTTTTTTTTTTTTTTTCAAACTTACGGGTGTCCTGGTCATTCAACTTCAGAAAGTAGCCTTCTTGGTAGACCTTGTTGGTGTGGATATTCAGGTAGGTGAAGATCGGCGACAGCTCTGGTGGGGTATCCTCCGCATGGGTTATCAGCGGCGGATTGCGTGAAAAGATCATCGACGCTGGTCGCGAGCCAATTCCCTCGCCGCGCGACGTCGAACCACCCGTTGGCGACAGTTCAGAGGGCGGCGACGGGGTATCGGGTGACGGGGTTTGCCACCGTGGAGGTGTTTCGGCGGGTGTGACGTTCTTCGACGATCGCTTGCTTTCCCTTCCGGACTCATTGTTCTTCGGACCTCCCCAAGTAGATATAAATGACAGCACTGGGATAACGCAAAGGATCGGTTAGTTCTTGTAGTTCCGCCGTGAACTCCGGCACACCCGAAGCCGATTCACTGGACTTACCACGGGAGCGGCCCATGACGTCGGCTGGATGGATCACCCCCAACCGAATGATCTGGTCTCAGACCGATGCTGAAGGCGCTGTGCAACGTTCTCTCGCTGGACAAGAGAGGCAGCAATGAGGACAAATCCGAGAAAAAGACAGGGGGAGGAGGGTGGGGAAGGAAGAAGAAAGAGAATCAAGAAAGGCCGGCAGTGCACGGTCTTGAATAGAAGGTGGAGCTGGGAGAAGGAGAAACCCGCTAAAAGCCGAAACACAGGCGGACAGGTTAACCCATGGAGGTAAGTTGCAGAAGAGTGGTGGTCCCTGGACGGGAATGAGGGAAATAAGAATAAGACGGGGACCCAAGGCAACGTGGGAGGTTTTTGGTTTGGAAGCGCCAAGCGGGTTGGATGACGTTACGGGCGTCCACAGTGTCTAGTCGCCGGGACTAGTTCCTCCATCCACGGGTCAGCGAGAAGGTGGAAAGAAAGGTGGACAGGAAAGGTGGAAAAGGAAAGGAGGAAAGGGAGAGCGCGAAAGAGAGAGGCAGAGAAAGAGGCAGAATAAGAAAGGAAGAGAGCGAAGGCGAGGCGCGTTGGTCACGACCGTGGGTCGTGCTCATCGTTGGGGACGAAGCCGCATTACACATTTATTGGCGCCGAGTTGGCCGGAGATTTGGATTCAGCTCAGGGTCTCCAATTGGAACTATTCGCTTCTCTATGTTCTCACATCTCCTCTGCAGCCATTTTCACTTTGTTTCTTTTTGAGGGCTATTCTTGTTCTGATGCTTTTACATGCGTTTTTGGGGGGTTGCTGAAGGCGAACACTGTACACAGATCGGTGGGACGAGTGGCCCATCTGGCGGAGTGACGCAGTGTCGATGTGAGACCGAACGATCTGGGCCTCACCACTTCACACCTGCATGTTCCTCGAATCATGGCAGGACGGGAATATTGAAAATCAGGAGAAGATAATCATGAGAAATAGAAGAGTCCCGTGTTCTGTACGGAGTTCTCCGTACGCTCCTCCCCTGCCCAAATGGAGCCCAGGCGAGGTATATGCGATGCATTCTGGCGCAGACCAGAAGCCGAAGCGAAGCCATCGAAATGCAAAGAAAACGAGACCGAAAGACCCCAAAGAATCACCGGGCCAGGCTGGCGTCATCCTGGACCCTCCGGGGGATGGATCGCCGGTGGAGGAGAACGACCTGTCGGTCCCAAATTTAGCAGTGCATGTCTTAGCCAAGTTAAACCATAGCTACTTAAAGCACTTAGATGCTCTGGGCTTCTCCCATTATTATCATGCTTATTATAGGAGAGTCGTTGTCTCGTCTACTCGGCTTCGTGTTGTGCAGGCTGCCCCGTTTTGCCTATTATTACTCTTGAGATTACTCTGATATTACTCTGAGTTGTGGCTCGGCATGTCTGTTTTAGGAAACTAGTTTTTTTTTTTTTTTTTTTTTTTTTGGGGGGGGGGGGGAGAGGGTTTTCTTCTTCCTTTCCTTCTTTCGCTACAAATTCCAAACGTGATCGTAAATCTTCCAGTTAATGGCTGCCCTTAGCCGTCTCCGCTCGCCAAAAATTCTGTCATTTGCCACTTCGGAGAGAGTATAGTCCCCCCGTTCCCCATAAACCCAGTTGAGCCGTGTGATACCAGTGCAGGAAGCGGGTCAGCGCTGCCGGGAGCCACACTCTGTTCTTCGGGCGTCCCTGGTTCTGCCGGGACGCGCAACGCTCTGGGCAGCCACGCCCGCATTGGCCGAGAGACGCACACCGCCGGGGCTCGGGGGCGGCCCAAGTTATCCGCCTGGTTGGCATGGGCATAGCGAACCGACCCCCCTAAGCGCTGGCCTTGGTAGTCTTCTGTGACTCTGCACTTCCGGACATTCAGGGATTGGCGACGATCCGTCCTGTTGGCACGTCATAGAGCATAGAGCATAGAGCGTGGATCGTGGATCGTAGCTCACATCCAGCCTTTCTTTCTCTCCTCTCTCTCTCTTTTGACACGAATTTTGACACGAATCCTCATCTGATTAGCCCTCATCAAATCGCACTCACTCCTGCATTAGGGCATGATCATTCTCAGCCACAAGTTGCGCACTTTCCACTTTGGCGCACTTGAGTTCAGCCGACCCTGGTGAGGTTGTAGGTGGGGACATGATATTGTCTCTTGGGCCAGCGGCTAGCTTGATAGTCGGTCAAGCCCCCAAATGCCGGCATCCTCATCCTGGCGGTTCCTCGACTCTGTCGATGATTGGTCTGATGGGTGAATCAAGATCAGATCCGGCGCAGCGACCTCCCCCAGAAGAGGGAACCCCTCTTCTAATCTTGGCCCGTCTTTCCCCCCCCCTCTCCAACGTAAAAAAGAAGTGACTGGGGTAGGAGAGGACCCAGGACCCTAGGGGTCTGGAGGGCGGTCCCTGGGGCTGTTGGTCTCCGTGGCTGGAGCCCAACATCGAACCTAACATGCATCTCTACAACCCACGCACTCTGGACGTGGATTAGGCTGACATACCTTTTGGCTGCGTGCTGCTATTCAGATCTACGACTGCAGTACGAATCGGGCCTCCCCGGCACTAGCCTCCGACTAAATAGGGGAGGACCTATGACCCCTTGTCATCGCCAAAAAAGACCACCCCCTGTATCTCCGGCGCCAGCCAACGTCCCTTTTGATTTAGGCGTCCAATAATAACCACTGTTGTGTATGGTGGGCTTCACTGATATTAGTCTTGTTTATATGCTTTATTGATGCAGCCCGGCGTGAGAAGTATATCTGTCCTATTCGGTTTAATTGATATTTGCCGGCTGAGACATGTTCGGCGACGACCGGCGAAGGACGAAGAATGCTAGTTCTTGTCATGGGGGGGGGGGTTGTCATGCGCGCCCTCTTCCTGTCTCAATCGCCCCCCACGTTTCAGGCCTCGAGACCCTCGCACGGGGCCAACATAGATTGCCCCCGTTCTCACGTACTGCTTCCATTTCTGTCTATAGGCAATGGGTATTATATGTATTTCTAATCCCAGAGGTGACCGTGATGAAGAATTTGTCGATCCCCAAGCCATTCTTCCTGACTTCTGGGGCGGGAAAAATGGAGATGTTGGCAATAAATAGTAACAGCGAACTTGGTCGAACCCCAGCAACGGCCGTTAGCCACCACGTGCGCCCGCAGCAATTCGTGAAGAGTAGTGATTCTCATCAAGTCTACGCCGTGGGTGATTGATAGAGAGAATGATGGAAAATGAAGCTGCCAAAATCCAACCAGTGGGGAAAGAAAAATACTAGACACATAGCCGTCATAGGGCTTAGGAAAGCGAACCATGGAGACAATCAGGTCGCACATGAAACTACGTAGACATAATACAATAGTTAGATAGAAAAAAAAGAAAGACAGTATATTGCTGGTGGTCGGTGGTCGGCGTTCATCCTTCAGGATCAATATAGACAGTGCTCTTCTCCCTTCCCTTCCCTCCTCAATTATCCAAATTGGCCGACCAAGCCGGTACATGGCTAGTGTCTCTCCTTTTCAGTCAGTGAGTACTAGTTACCTTGTCCCCCTAGTTTGTAAACACTCGTGGGTCGGGCTTCTGAAAACCACCACTTTCCCCCTTTCCCTCCTGGAACAACCCCTATTCGCCTCCTTTTACCGATCTCTTGGTGGGGTTCTTTCAGGGGGATTAAGGATCCCTGAATAATGGTGTAATCCCATCTATAACGGATAGGGGCTGCCTGAAACAAGCCTCAAGCCATTTGTTGGACACTGAAGGCTACACCACTATTGGCAGTGATCCCCACTACTACTGGCATTGCTATAGTGAAAAGAGAGATATGTGTGTATTATATAATGGAGCAATTGTGACGTCGTGATTGAGGGCCTCATTACTTCCGCAAAGCATATCCATGCAAATGTAATATTGAATTCGCTTTTAAATAATCATAGCTTCGTTAGTGATCTTCTGTTCATTCCTCCATCAAATGGTATGCCAGAACGGGATCGATCATGGCCATCTCATTGTGGCCAGGTACCATGGAGACAATATCACCAGTCGATTCCGCAGCCAACGAATCTTGCATCAAAAAATCGGAATCCAGGTCGGTGTGTCCAGGGAAAGCAGAGAAGTCATTGGGCGGTAGCGCAGCAGAACTATCGACCGCGAAATTGCTCGTGTTTGCCTCGTCTTCGCTCTTGTTTTCATGAGGAAAGGCGGTGTCAAAATGACCAAATTCAAGACCATAGATGCCGAGCGCATTCCCTCCGGTTCCGGTCTGATCAGCGAGTAGAGCGCGCTGCATAAAAAGACCTTGTACTTCGTCTTCGGTGCAGCCATGCTTGGAGGTCATATGTACCCACAGATCATAGTCGCGGTGGAATCGGTGCTGGCACGAATCATAGAAGCAGGCAATATGGCGCCCAGTCTCCTCTGCATAGCCCTGACCAGTCAGGGCCGTGAGTGTGGAGACATGATGACCAGGCGTCGAGCTTTGCAAAGACTTCTTGTCCAGCCCAAGTCGCTCGCGTCGCTCAGCTTTGGAAGTCAAATATCCTAAATGTACGGTGCGAATGTGTTCTTCGAGCGCGAGTTTACTACCGTAGCGCTTGCCGCAGCCATCGCCGTTCCATCCTTCCACCTTTTTTGAGCCGGACAGGTCAATTTCGCCGCAGACAAATCGCTTTTCACCTTCATGGACAGTGCGGATATGGACATTTAGGTTGCCCTTTTTGGTGAAGCTGCGGTTGCACCCGGGAAATGTGCAGTCGAATATCTTTCGGTCTTCGAGGGTGACGTCGCCGTGGGCGACTTCTAGATGGCGTCGTAATTCCCGAGACGTTGAGCAAACAATTGGACAATGAGGACATTGGGGAGGGTGTACGACTCGAATATGTTCTTGGAGAAGAGCATATGTAGGGAAGGCGACGGACTGTTCGACGGCTTTGCTTTCAGCGGTATCGATAATTGCTGACTGTTCCCGGAAATGCTCTGAGCATTCTGCACAGCTAAATCGCTTCTCAGTATGAATGCGACTCTCGTGAGCTCGAAGATGGCCTGCGGTCTCAAAAGCCATCTTGCAATTCTCTCCCGTTGCCTCGTCGACGTGGGTACAGGGAAACGGCTTTTGCTTCAAATGAACCATAGTAATGTGCTTCTGCAGGGTCGTATGCTTCCGGAAGGTCTCGTCGCAAGGTGGATATTCTGTACAGCGGTACTTGTCCCGCCCATCATGTGCAGCTAAATGGCGACGCAGTCGTGAGCCAGTGACAAAGCTCTTGCCGCAGTTTGGTCGATCGCAAACGTAGTCGCGGACTTGAGTATGAGCACTCTTCACATGGTGCGCAAGATGAGAGGCACGGAGGAAAGTCTTGTCACATCCTTCAGCTGTACATGGATAGAGCCTTTCATTATTGTGAGAACGAATATGTTCCTGTAGTCGAGCGGGGCGATTGAATGCTTTATTGCAGCCCTCGAAAGGACAGTAGTGTGTTTTGAGCTCTGATGGGTATCGTACGGAGGTGGTGGAGAATGGTGTTGCTGGAGTCTCATTCATCTCATTACTCATCACACTTGGAGTTCCTGGTCTCGAGTACTCGGCGTCAGAGTAGTTTTCTTCGAAAATCGGGTCTTCTGAAGCTTGTCAGTCACTTGTCAGCCTTGCCGTAGGACCATATCGCGACTGACCATCATTGTCTAGTGAGGACTTCTGAAGACGTTTGGCCGGAGAAGCCACCTCTTTTGGTGCCTTTCTCTTCTGGGCCATAATGAAATGCCCCTCAAAAAGACCAAGGCATACACTATGCAGTGATGAATGGATGATGTTGCATCCTGCGACTGAAATTAAATTATTTTGCCGCGGTGAAAAGGCGGTGGCACCGAGAACGGATTAGCGTCGTGGAAGATTTTCCGCCTTTTTTGCATCGCGAACCTTCACGTTGAGACTCAAAGCTTAGGGTTTCTCTCTCTTTGATCCCTCAGAACTCGCTCATTACAATTCAACATGTCTGACTACGGTGACAACGACGCAGAGGAGACGTAAGGACCCATTTTACCGAGACTCGACAGGAATGGACACGAGAAGTTCTTGAAGACAGCTTCGTCGCTCTGGAGCCTCTGGTCGCATTTCTAGCCTAAAGCACTGTCGCTGACCTTGTTTGCTTTGCAGCAATGATTATGAGCCTTTCGAGGAGGTCTTCGATGACAATGAACCCGACGATTTTATCGACCAAGAGGGCCTCGGAGACGGTGATGATGGGGAGGATTCGTATCAGCCACCGGTCAATGGTGACAATGAGAACGTCGTTGTCTCGGGCGACCCCAACTCGGGATACTCGGGCAAGGTGATGGAGCAGTCTCGCGAAAAGAAAGTGCCAAATGAGAAGCGCACGACCACTCCGTACTTGACCAAGTATGAGCGCGCGCGAGTTCTCGGTACTCGGGCTCTGCAGATCAGGTGCGTTTGATCGCGACATGAACAAACCAGTTCCCTCTCGATGCGACTATCCCCATACTGATTTCTGGCTGTCAATGTAGCATGAACGCTCCTGTACTGGTCGACCTTGAGGGCGAAACCGATCCCCTACAGATTGCTATGAAGGAATTGAACCAGAAGAAGATCCCTCTGATCATTCGCCGATATCTGCCCGACGGATGGTAAGATGACCTGGATTTTAGCTAAAAAGACACGTTGACTAATATTGTTTGCCTAGGTACGAGGATTGGTCCTGCGAAGAGCTGCTCTAGATCGGATACTGCTCTTCTCTGGAACTTTGGAATTCTTTTCTTTTGGGTGGGATCAGCATAGCGTTCGGAGTTTGGGAGTCCAGAAACCGTGCCTCGAAAGAGACAAAAAAAAGTCTGCGTTCAATCGCTATGGATCTGGGCGCGAATTGTACATGAGAATGCCTTAGAAAGACCAAAAATAATAATGACGGTTTCTACATTACCTGGTTCTCTATAGCTGGCATCCGTAGCTACGCAGAGCAACTTAAAGTAGATATACACCTGAAACAGGCTTTCATGCTCAATGGCTGCCCAGTATAGTGGTTCGAAGTACATAACCAGTGCCATCCTACAAGAATCCAATAATGTCTGCCAACTCTTTCTGTATTTCCCCCGTTTTAGTGCTCGCTCTCGTCGCAGTTTCATCGCTGATTCAGTAACTAGCAAGCTCTGAATCCTACCTAGTGTAGTGGGGAAACAGCCTACTAGTAGAAGCATTTTGATTGATGGATTGGATTTGGTGCACGGTTGCTCTAGTTAGATGTAGGTTTTTTTATGTTAGATAATGTGAAGAACATGTTTCGCCACTCCTTTCGAAAACCAGCCTCTATTTTCTAATTGGGAACTGCCGGTACGTGCACGTGTAGTTGTGTATGATGGTTTAATGGTGCAGATCGTCCCGTCAGCTTTCTATTATTCGTCATGGAGAGGGAGGCAACAGCACAACATTTTACGTATCAGCGGCTGCATAGCCGAAAGGACCCTTTTAGCACAAAACTACACACGAACAATATAGTAAGCATGCCACTTCAATCTCGTTTTGACGAAGATCAACATAGAAAAATATATGACCCTAGTTTTTAATACTGTCCAATCTCCAACCCCACTTCTGCTTATTCTGCTTATTGAGTACATTTCACCAAATCCGCTCCAACGCCGCGTCATAGGAAATCCCTGCAATTGATCGAGCTTGGTCTACCCAGGTAAGTACCCGAAGAGACTCCTTGTGACCAATCACTATGCCTTCATGAGCTCCCGAAACCGTCTGTTCTCGCACTCGTCGTGCCATGAAGTCAGCTTGATAACCAAGACCCCAACCAACTACAGGACGAGTGATAGACTCTTCTGATTCTCTTCCGTGGCTATCAAGTTTATCGGCCGAATAGTACTGCACGCTGACACTTTCTGGTCGTATTGGGGGAAATGGTAAGGCGACCTCTGCCCTTGTGCCCTGGATACGGATACAGGGGGCGTTTTTAGCCCGCAGCAGCCGCTCTTGTATTGGGAGTACGGGCGACCCCGGTAGCGACGACGAAATAGTTACCACACAAGTTACTGGGTCAGGGCCCCGCCGCGAGAGAATCAGGGTTGTGAGGTCGTCGATAGGCTCACCCACGCCGGTTTCATGCTCAATGGTTTCTGCATACTGCACCTTCACGTCGGCGGCGGTTGGCCCCAGTGCTAGGTCACACCATGTCAGGGGGTACACACCCAAATCGAGCAAGGATCCGGATCCTGTGCTTTTGTCAAGGAATCGAGAATGCGGATCCAAGTCCGGATCTCCAAATAATGGCAAGGAATAATCGGCTAGGATTCGACGGACCGGTCCGATTCGTGGCAGAAGGTTCCGTGTTAAATACTCCGTAAGCGGGAAATAGCGTGTCCACATTGCCTCCATGAACACAACTCCTTGCTCCTTTGCGAGATCTGCAAGTCGGGCGTACTGATTGGCTGTCATAGTAGCTGGCTTTTCCAAAAGCACATGGCGCCGCGCCATTATTGCTGCACGGGCATGCTCAAAATGCACTCCGTGAGGGGTGGAGATGTAGACTATATCGAATCCATTATGGTGAAGAAGAGCCTCATACTCGGTATATACCCGGACTTCATCCACATTTGGCACTCCCTCTTCCAAGAGCCATTGCTTTGCTCTTTGAACCGTGCCCGTAGTTGAAACAGCCACGAGAGAATGATTCACAGGGTCATCATCGCTGCGAGAAAGACAGAGGTCGCGGTAGAATAATTTCGCAATGCTAGAAAGGCCAAGAAAAGCCCAGCGAGTGTCGAGAGCGAGCATTTCTGGTGAAGTCAAAATATTTTTCGCTCCAGACAAAGGAAAACTCGTGTGTTTGCGTCATCATAAAGCTGTGTATAAATAAGTAATGATTCGCCATTACGCGGAGTTCCCGTGTCCGCTTCTGCATGTCAGAGGAAGCTTTCCGTCTCTTAGCGGGGCAGTCCGATGGTTGATATATTAACCAATGACCGTAGAAGATAAGACTCGTCTGAAGGATTTGATTTCTTATTGGGATTAGGGAGCAGGGATGCTGCCTCACATGAAAAACTTGGAAACTGGCAAGGTACCTTTGCATGAAAGTCAAGTCATTATTTGTCTCAGCGAATGATAATTAGATCGAAACATCTTACTTGCCGCTTTCGACAGAGAGAGTGACAGACACGAATACTGGCGTGTAAAGGCCCTTTCTAGTGTGTAATACTGGCCTCTCGCCTTTCAAATGTCATATTGAGTACTAATTTCGTATAAGACGGGATAAATATTCAAGTTAGCCACCCACTTTTACCGACGGATAGAGAATTCACTATTTTGCAATGTATTCTACCTTCACAGTCGCAACGGGTGCTCCCGTTGGCGGAGATCATGGCCGTAAAGCTGACCAGCCGAAGTCTAAACGTCCCCATGTTCTAATTGCATGCGAACACTGTCGGAAAAATCGCATCAAGTGTGATAACGGACACCCGTGTCGGAACTGCAAGCATCGCAATATCAGTTGTACCAGCGGTGATTACGCAGATACTCGTGCATTGAGCAGGTATGGGCTCGATTCGTAAGCACGCATAGAGATGCCGGCTTATCAGACTTCTCAACAGACAGGTCCAGCATCTCCTCAGTCGTGTGAAGTCCCTTGAGGAACAAGTGGGCGATGTGAACAGCGCCTTGGCCGAGGCCAAGCATAATCAGTCCTTGTCCACACGATCGAGCCCGATCTCACTTCCTGCTCTAGCAAATGATCTTCAGCCAGCTCAGAACTTGTCGTCAACTGCCTTCGCTGCCCAGCTTCAGCTTCGCTTGGGTGTTGACTTCCTACTAGTCCTGTGCATGGAACCCCACGGCCCACCAACTTCGACCGACCCTGGCTCTTTACAGGAAAAATTGCCTCGAACACTCACCGATTATTATATCCGAAGATATTGGCGCACAGTGCAACGACTCCAGCCGGTATTGGATGAGCCTGATAATATCACTGTGAGACCTGCATATTTGACGGACTTGATGCTCGCTATCAGCCTTCGGCTAGATGCCATGTCAAAGCCGCGGGACCACCCAGAGCAGCCAGAACAAAGTTGGATCCTGGCTCAACAACATTATGAGCGAAGTGTCCAAATGCTGGCACAAGAGCCACCCACACTAGGACATCTGCAGGCCTGCCTCTTGATGGTAATATATCAGCGTCAGGATCATCATCGAGGGGCCGCTTCTGAAGCTCTGACTCAGGCCCGAAATATTGGAAATCAATTGGGGCTTTGCGGATTAAGCCGACCAAAAATCGGCTCTGATAGAGAAATACACCTTGCAACCCGACTGCAAGCTATTCTGCTTAGCTTAGAAGCGCAGCAATTGTTGGAATCAGGCTGTCCATCTGAGATTGCAGAAAGCCCAGCACACTGGCTGCAATCCCCACCCTGGGATTTGATTCCAGTTGATGGGGGTGAGGGAACGTTCTTGAGCGCATATGCCAGTCTTCTTCGCATCGCCAAGGCTACTCATCTGTCTTTCGTACAACCAACTATTTCCGCGACCCTTTGCCAGCTTGATCAAGGATTGCCGGATCTTTTAGAGCTGCTCGACCATTGGCGGCAAACAGCACCTGCGCGCTTTCAACTTCGACGAAAAAATAACATTCCGTCAATGTCCACGGATTCATGTGCTTTAGATTTAGATGCCGACCAGACAACCGTAATTTTGAGACAATGTTTAATACTTGAGCTGACATACCATTGGATACACACTGGCTTACTTCGCAGCTTCTTCTTGGGCAGTGGAGAGGAATGCCACTCGACTTCTGCAACCACAAATGCCACCAAGCATGCTTTGGCAATCACTCGAATTATATCTCAGGCGTTAGAAGAGACCGAGGTTGTACACGGCTGGTCAGATGCGCATTTTATCCAGTGGGATGGAGCAATGACGTTAATGGCCTCGATCGCAATCGAAGGACGAGATGGGGTGGCGATGGGAGAGAAACGAGAAGCGTTAGCTATCAGCAAGGATGTTCTAGACATGCTTGGTACACGATTCACCACTTGTGCGGCCAAAATTATTGATGACTTTTTAAGCCTCACTGCAAAGGAGGGTAACGCCTCCCTCGGGAGGAATAAGGGAGGGAATCGGGATGGGAAAGGTATTGAAGGCATTGAAACGTTGCCGCCGGAACCGTTGATGGACTATCGGCCCACACTCGATAAAGAGCTGGAGCCCCCTTGGCCAGAAATCCCCAGCAATCTGGAAATGGGATTTGATTTAGAGGGCATAGATCTATCAAATTGGACGACACAGGAGTAAGTCATCGGCTCTGGGCGTGGTGGGTACGAAAGGTTGAAGTCATGGTAGCAGGAACAGGACGTCGGGGGCCATTGAATATTGGTACTGCTTGGGTTTATAATTGTTCAACCTGGTTTATTTATAAAGACGAATTCGCAGACAATTACAATTTCATCGGAGCCATCTGCCTCCAGCTCCCACGGAGGCTGTCACTGGTCCGTGTCATCCATCCCAGACACCCTAGACCTCTGACCCGATCGGGAAATAGCAGGGACTATCAGTCACCACCGTTTCCTTGATTCAATTTTTATCTGCGCCAATTTTCTTCACCTCCATCAGAGTGTCTGCGCTGCCACTGGGTTGTACAACTCGGACCACTTTCAGTGTGGGATCTGCAGCAATGAAAAGTTTCTCCCAATCCACAGCGGTGCGCTCGCAGCTACCAAACTGCGTCATCATCTGTAAGTCTAGTGCGCGCATGACACGTTCTGTTGTCTTGTCGAGGGATCCTGGAAGAGGTAAAATCTGTTCAGCAATCACAATTGATGCACCAGGCTTAAGACTAGCAGCCAGCAGACGCAGAATGACTATGCAGGAGTTATCGTCCCAGTCATGCAATATATGTCGCAGTAAGAAGACATCCGCTTGCCGTGCAAGTGAGCCTTGCGGTTCAAAGAATGAGTGTGGCATAAAAACTACGCGAGAAAGCAAAGCTTCGGGGATACTGGCATCCGCTCGTTCTTTGAGGTGCTCATTGTCCTGAATCAGTACAGTCAGGTTTGAGAATTCCTCCGCCAGTCGTATGCCTACGAAGCCATCGGCCCCGCCAACCTTGATTTTCATCAGTATGCTTGCAGAAATAGATAATTGTGGTTGTCTTGAAATCTCACGTCTACCACAATTGCATCCTGGCCCAAGTCCCCCCAGTGATATCCACTCACAACGTGACTCACGTCGTGCGGACCTCCACTAGTGATGAGAGCCATATATTGGCCATAATTATGCAGAAGGTCGGGATTGGCTTCAGCAAAGTCCCACCAGTTCTTGGTAGTGTCGTGGGCAATCTGGAAGGGCGAACGCATTCCACGGTCTTTCGCCCCAAGCCAGTCAAGCAAGCGCAGACTCGACGGCAGACAGACCTCCAATTGGTACGACAGCAGTGGAGACATGCGAGCCATGGCCTTTGATAGGGTTGTATGCGCCACATGATCTAGTTCCGGCTCAGTGAAAGCACCGTAAGACATTGCCTGCCGCAGAATTCGACAAAGCAAGTCCTTTGGTAGACCACAATTAGCTGCAACTTCTTTGATAGAGACGGAGTCCTCCTCTGGGACCAGATCAAAAATGCGATAATGGTTGATCACTCTCAGAGTTGAGAGGTTATGCCTATCCTAGACCCCAAGTCAATAAACATTCTCCTCGAAGTATTACTTGAAGAGAGCGGAAAAGCTTACAATCAATGCCATTTCTTTGAGAACTTCAGTTGGCCCGCTGGCAGTCCGAATCATACATCGGCAGGCATCTAGCAATGTCTTTTTTGCATCATCGACTTCTTCTGCCTGTGTCGTGCTAGGTAGCAGCTTTAGAGAAGCCCCTTCGAGGATCTGAGATGATGAGGCAATAATGCCGGACAGTTGACCAATAGAGAGTTCGTGCATAGTGCTGGGATAAAAAGTGGCAATTCTGTAGGCGTGAGATTGCAGGGAATCCGTGGAAACTATTGTACGCCGCTCGAAATCAACTGGACGAGCGGCGAGTTATCAATCAAGGAAAATGTTTTGATTTGCCTCATGACGGAGCTTTCGGGTTTCTTCCGGTTATTACTGCTCTTGGATTTCGGAGCAAACCCGGTCAAACATCCTTCCCCGATGTGATGGTTTAAAACTCCCAGACGATGATAGACCCTATTTCTCCAGAAACGACATCATGTTCGGTATTCTGGTAGCACTGTCCGCTTTTGCATGCCTCGTGGTCCGACTCGTTGCCTGGCCAGGTTTGGTCTTCCTCTATGACGCCAAAGGCCTTCGCAAGTATCCCAAACTCCACTGGCTCTCGGGTGTGACCAATATCCCTTTCATGGTTGAGTCAAGACGTGGATTTCGCTCGCAACGACTCCTCCAACTTCATCATCATCAGGGCCACCCTGTCATTCGTATCGGTCCGAACTCCCTGTCATATGGCGGCGTGGACGCAATTGCATCCATATACGGCCACAGCACACAGACAACAAAAGATCGTCAGTATATAGAGGCATCTGGCTCACACTATCACCTGGCCGATGTTGTCGACAAGAAAGAGCACGCTCGCAAGCGCAAAGTACTGTCAGCCGCTTTTGCGGCGAAAAACCTCGAGGGCTGGGAGTACAAGATTGCGGCCAACGTCGCCCGCCTGCAGCACCAATTTGACCGGCACATTCAACAACACCCCGGCGACCCCATAGACTATCGGTTATGGACGAACCTCTTTACATTTGAAAACTTGTGTGATCTGTGCGTCAGTGAGCGGCCCGGCTGTCTTGATCGCGGCGATGACATGGTCCTGGCCGAGGACCTTGCTGGCCACCAAGAACTTGTCTCCTTTCGGGATTGTTTGTACGCCACATTCCACGTAGTTGGTGACCTTGTTTGGGCCTATGAGTGGTATCCATTCCTAGTTCGTCTTTCTGGCTGGCTGAGTCCCTTTTATTCACGCCTATTTCGCCTAGCAAGTGGGTGGGGAAACATTATCCAGCACTTGTCACGCAAAAGATGGGAGCGATACGAGCGTGGGGAGAAGATTGACGATATCTTCGCGGCCCTAATGGATGACCCAAGCGGCGAGCCACACAATCTAGAATGGGGCGAGGTCATGGCAGAGATATCACTGGCTATCAGTGGATCATCATCGACGTCCAATTCAATTGCTAGCACGATGATTCTTCTGGTCGAGCACCCGAGGGTGATGCAGCGGCTTCAGGAGGAAGTAGACGCTGTTCTAAGCCTTGGGCCCAATGATATGGTCGCTTCCTACGACTCGGTCAAGTATCTGCCGTATTTACGTGCTGTACTTGATGAGAGTCTGCGACTATTCCCTCCTATATCGCATGGCCTTCCTCGCGAAACACCTTCGGAAGGAATGGCAATCCGCGATGAATGGGTAGCGGGTGGCACGACAGTGTCTATTTCAGCATTTGTCGCCCACCGTGACCCGGCAGTATTCCCTGACCCTGAGGCATTTGTCCCAGAGCGATGGCTCGACGAAGCCGGAAAAGGGCTCCAAACTAGCTTCATTGCGTTCTCAGCAGGCGCGCGAGGATGCATCGGGCGACCTATTTCGTACCTCCAGGCCACAGTACTGTTGGCGAGCCTAGTCCATCGCTATGACTTCGAGAAGGTACAAGATAACTGGCAGCCACAGCGACGCGAGACGATGAACTTGATTCTGGGGCAGGTGCCACTACATATTCGGCGAAGGTCCATTCATTGAACCAACCCATTCGGATTCAATGAGACTTGTTGGATACTTTTTGTAGAATCACAAAATCTAGAATGGTCGGATGATCAGCGGTAGCAGCTCAACCTGTCGATGACTGTCCCATTGTGTAATATTTCAAGTTGCGTGCATGAAACTCAATTCGCTTTGTTGTCTTTGCGATGAACATCCAACGTAACCACTCAAGGGCCCAAGCAATCGATTCCATTGTTGAATAGTCGTTTGGCCCATATTCCACCAATCATAAAGGATTAGGGGTTCCCTGACTGGGAATCAGTTCTTTGTAATCAACGATGACTGGGATGGAAACATCCATTTACATCATCTCATGTGACGAGGCGCAATGCCCAAAGCGGAGCGACTACCCTCCACTTCGTTATTACTAACGCCCAGATATCGAGGCCTTCTCTGAGCTACGGCATATTCAACGTCGACTCGATTTAAACCACTCTTGGTGAATGATTTAAGTTTTCCTGGGTTATGTCATTGTAGTTGACAATGTCCACTTCCGCCCCTTGGGTTTTCATCACGACCACCCCGTCGCACACGCGCCCATCCAGCGACCAGCGGTTGGAGATCCAACGCCGAGTAATGCGTGAAATAGGCGTATCTCGGCGTCGGCCCAAAAAAAGAGAGGACCAAGGCTTCGCAGAGTTTAACTCCAGAGGATTGGAATTTGGTTGAAGGCTGCGCGGGCAGCCGGGAATTGTGCTCTCCTACCTCTTCCCTGGCCCCGATCGCCTTGATAGCTCCTTCTACATTAGACGGCGACTCTCGACTTCTACTTCAGCATAGTGAGTCATAGGCCGCATGATATATTTCTAAAAGATTTTTACTAACCATACAAGTGTTTTCCGACGCTTTGCCCAGCTATTTCCGCATTTACCGGGACCGCTGGTACCCACTTTGCGTTGCGCATTTGGGTGCATTCAATCAGATGTTGGCGACATACGCAATGCACTTACTATCATGGCGCCGGGATTCTGCTGGTGTATTGAGATGTCTTATTCTCACCCACCATGCCAATGCATTGGCTGCAGTGCGCGATGACCTATTATCTGCCTCGGGCGGGCCAGAGTGTGAAGGAATGCTTTGCGCGATCGTGGCCCTGGCATGCTATGCTCACCTCCAGGGTGATCCATCCTGTTGGAAGCAGCACATGCTTGCTATTAATCGTATTCTCCAACACTTCTGCTTGACATGGGATGACCTGAGTCCGGAAATTAAAAAACTAATCCAATGGTATCTCTTCCTATGCTTAATCCATCTTCTCCGTACTCTTTAGCTGATGGCAAAAGGGTTGATTGCATTGGTTCATATGCTTTCGACATTCCCCCTACTGTGAGCCATGCACTCGAAGATAAAGTGCCTGCAATGAATGGTTCACCGACAAGTGCCCCCGCTGCGATATCTATGCGGCTGGCGGGGTTGTGTCCTGCGATGTGGGAGGCGTTCGGTGCGCTGGAGATGATGAATACGCAGATCGAACTCCTTTATACCCAACAAGGAGAGGAGTTATGGCAGCGGCCAGGGGAAGTTGATGCTATCGTACATCCCGTTACCCTGAAATTCCTCTCCTTGCCAAAATACTTAGACGCATCACCGGCATGGATATGTCTGCGCTCGGGTGCACTTTTGTATCTTGCCGAGTTTCGACGCCGATCTGGAATTAGCCCTGTTGCTACCGGACTGCATGTTCAGCAGCTATATGCGGGTCTGAAAACCTGTGGGATATTAGGACCCAGACTGCGTTTGTGGCTGCTAACAGTGGGGTTCATCGAAAAGTCTGTTATCTCTGAGGCGGATTCATTAGATCTTCTCGAAAAAACTCTTCATGAGATGAATATTGCGTCAATGACAGAATGGAAAAATTCCTTGAAAGAGATCATTTGGCTCGATGCTCTATTTAACCAGAAGCTCCTGCCGATGTCTGGGAGCCTTATGTTCTCGCCCTTCTACTTGCTTTGTGATACTTAATGAAGGACAGACAATGCCAATGCAAATACTTTATTGGGCAAGCAAATGCCTCTCTCTCTCTATACGTCAAAGCAGTAACGCCGCCCTGCCGGGCCGGCGCGGAAATGCATCCAGAAACTATCCTAGGAGAAATATTATTTTCTGTTCCATAATTATCCGCTAGCAAATTGACCAAAAAGAAGATAGAAATAACACACATAATTCCAGGTACTAAGAGAAACCTCGACCTAAGGGCCATCCCTGTATTACCGCCTAGACATATCTAATATTGAAGCCTCGAACTTACCTAAAATTAGCAACCTAAGCTCGGTCAGGAGCAGCGTGTGAGACTGACAGAATTAGTATCGCCTAAAGGGAAAGACTTAGTCTAAATAAGAAGACAATGATCATAATAATAATAAAGATATAGCTAGTATAGCCTTTATAAGCGAGGATTTTTGCCAAAAAATCGAGGCTTCCTAATCTCCACAAGTATAAGCTGGATATATCTCCTGAGATATTAAGATAATATTAAAAAATTAAAAATTTACCTCTAGGTTTAAGATTATCTATTTATCGAGCGCCCTGGTCCAGCAGAATATATCCCGCGTAGTCGGCCATTTTCGGCTGCGGGAGTCGAAATAGCTACTAAACCTCATTGAGTACTAACACTAAACCAACATCACTCTTCCAGTACACTACGTACTACTACCTTTCCGCACCAGCTTTTCGTGAAATCCTTCAAAAATCCTCAGAGATTCTCAGACTTTCACATTCACTATGGCAGCCACTAGCGCAATAACTCAAGCGCAGTTTGAAGATGCGATCACTCGCGCTGTGAATAATCGCAGCCGAAGTTATAATAGCTCTTTTGCGCTGAGTATTCGATGGGAGCGAGACAAAACGAATGCCTCTGCAGACACCGAGAAATTTCAGACGATCCTGAGTACGCTAAATCTCAAGCAAGCCGAAGTTGAGATCTTGGCCGAACAGGATCAGACTCCAGGCTGGACACTTAATGATAAAATTCGGTCTATTTTCCGATCAGCAGCAAACACGCCCGGCAAATCTATCGTATTAATTCACTATGCCGGACATGGAGAGATTAGGGGAGATCAGCTTTTTGCTGTTGATGATCTATCCCGCCAACGTATAAATCTCCAAAGATTCATCGATACTGTGGTAGCAGGTGATGTCCAGGACTTCGATATCGCAGATACAGACGCTGTGTTCTTCTTGGATTGCTGTTACTCGCATATAGCAATACGCGCGTTAAATTCTACGACTCGCGTGGTCGAAATTCTTGCTGCGAGTGATGACAGTACTCCAGAGGCCTTTGCACCACCGCGGAATACCTTAACTGGAAAGTTACGGGGCGAGATTGCTCGGCGTAAGCATTATGGTCACCGCTTTGTGATACTTTCGGACGTAATGGCGACTATTCGAGCGAATAGCCCAGTTGTCAAGCCAACACATCATATTAAGCTAGGGGTATCTGCCTGCTTTCCTTTCACTGGTGTCACACGGATTAATCCGAACACGATTGCCCCTTCGCTACGTGCAGTCTTTTCGGTTCGTATTACCGAAAATATGACCCGGGAACAGCTGGATAGATTTATTACGTGGATTAGCACCCTCCCGCCTGGGATCGATATTGAACTCGACGGGGTCTACACTACAACCTCGACTCTTCTCATATTCCAGAGCGCATATACGCTGTTCACGAATGTTGCTGGGTATCCCGGTCTGACCTTTATTTCGGATGTGACAAGCCCGAACTACCGCAAATATCTCGCCCAGGAGCAGCGGCAAGAAGGTCCTTCTACGTTAAAGGAGAATGTCCCATTCTCTATACGCTCTGAGCCATGAACCATCACGAGGAATTTTAACATATCTTACAGGAGGGGCATGATACATTCTATTTCGGAGATCGTTTTCACCTAGGAAGTGCTTACTATCTTCACAACTATATCTGTATCCTCCTATTTAGCTTAGCTGATATAGGGGTTAGTCTTAGTACTGCACTTTTCGAAATCAGTATATGGAAAACGAGGCCGATGTAGTGCGGGTTTTCCACTAAAATATAATACCACTAGTCGCTTTGGCTTTTTCGGGACCAAGAGCTGTTACTCTGCTGGGCCCCGAAATGAGTCTTCAAAACCATAGTGTTTTAATGAATCAGCGATCTGAATCCAGCGCTCAGGAAGCCCCGTTCAACGTCGACTTCTAGATAGTGATGCCTTATTATAACCCATCACTTAGCTCCCTAGCTATTATTGGGGAATTCAAAAGCCCTGCTCAATATCACCCGACGAGTAGAAGTCGAGCGACCGAGGGTTGTTTAGGGCAGTAACTCGGGCTCTCCAGAAGGAGCTTCGTGGGTAAGTTTTACATCCTCCAGGGAAACTTCGAAACCCACTGAATTGTTTGAGTTATGCCTGGAAGTACAAATGCCCCTAGGTCTTTATTTTCGATGGTAAACATCTGGTTCTTTTGCAATTCAGAGCTAGACGTGTGGATAAAATCAGGGATCTAATTCGTGAAGTGTATATCTTTGTGATATCTTATCCTACTAGATAGTCCTTGCAGGAATAGCTACTATATAGTATAGGCTATATCTAATATGTTAGAGTGGATTCTAACGATTAAATAGAACCTTAGGTATTCGAAATATCCGGGGTGTTCTGGAACGAGCGCTGTTAGAAGTTACAATCGACAATTTAGCTCGGAATTATGTTTTCTTTTCGGGGAAACTATTATAGTATAGCACTGATAGGAATATATTTAAACTCCAAGGGGATGGAGGCGCGATTTCTAATAGCGGTATCGATCGAACGGTAACCGGAAAGGCTACTAGTATTGGGCAAATAGCTATAAGATAGTCCGAGACACTGAAGATTGTTTTATTACTTTATGATGGGCTTTAAAATTCAATTTATACCTTTCCTTATCCGATGTTAACCTTCCGAATCATAGTCTTCTAATATTGGAAATATAATTACCCCTTGTGTGGATGACCAAGTGGTTTGTAGCCTAGGGGTACCAAGCATTCCGGATCCATGGATCCTTTGAGGTTAGGTGGCTTATTTATCTATAGCTTAGATCTACCTAGGTAGCACCTCAAGGTGATTTATCCTCTCGGCCTACTTGCTATTTTGCGAACATTTCTGTGCGGCTTTTCGCTATAGACACTATCTTCGGGTAAACGCAATCTAAGGTATATAGATATTAGTATACTAGTACTTATATCGTGTAAGGTATTCTATTTCAACAACGTTCCTAGACTAGAGGCTGGACAATTTCTTTCTCTGTGATATAGGTAGGGTTATGATTATTGATTTAGAGCAAGTTGATTTTCCGCCGGCTCTAGAAGATTGGAAAGAGAGTGTCAACTATAGAGGTGTAGGTTCCCTTTTATATCTTTTCAATAATGTAAGGGAAAGGGAGAAACCTCTCTTAACTAGTACTTTGCTACCTAGGGAATCAAAAACTTTGAGTAGCCCGGTTTACTGATTACTAAATGATTTCCCCCCTTAATTAAGATTATGAACATTTACTCCTACCTAAGCGGAGTGGGAATATAGGTATTAGTAGGTAGCGTTTGACTGCTGGATTTAAACTATATCCTTATTTGCCTAGTAGTACCGAGCGTATAAAATTATTTCTTTAACATGATAGCCCTTCTTCTTTCCTTCAACCTATTAGGGATAAGTGGAAATAAAAACCGCCTACTGTAGAGTTTCACGAGATGAACGTTGACTTATAGTACAATATAGGAACCGTACTGCCTATTAAAAAATGACTAATAATTTCAACTAAACCCTGGAAAAAGCCTTATAACGCCAGCTATACCTAATCTCAATGATTTTATAAACATCTATTGCTTTCTTCACATTTTGGACCCAGCCGGGAATATCCTCCACGAAACGACGGGCAATACCTTTCTTGATTCCCTTACTGATGAAGAATTCCAGGTTTTGATCTTTATAGACCTGCTCAAGATCAAGGCCATCTTCAAGTGTCTAGGTGGGGACGGAGAAATTCTTTCTGAGTATACGACGGGGGAAATCTGATTTCGAAAAGGGCAGTACTCTTTTTTTGCTAGAGATAGCTCTTCTGCAAACCTTTTTGGTTTAATAGCTAGTATCAATTTCATGAATATCGTATTTAGACCAACTGTGGATTATAGCTCTAGCTAATACTTCGTATTTTAGGTTTAGAATGATTTTCTATATATAGTATTATCTAAAGCATCAGTAGGTGTTATATAATATCAAGAAGCTAGTGTAATTTAGACAGTAGATGGAGGTTGCATGATATTAGAAACCGTCAACATAATAGGATACGGTCTCGGCTAGGAAAGCTGGAATCCAATCGAACGCGATGCTCAATTTGATGATGCCTAACTAGATGAAGGTGTGCAAGCGGGGGAATGTTGAATATCCCCTACCTCGCTGTCTAGCGCGTTACGGTGCTGGGTTCCGAGTATACCAAGGATACCATAAAAAACATGCAGGAAATCGAGTATCCCTGTAACAGTCTGACGCACATGGGGGATATGTGGGTCTTAGCGGTATTATGCAGTCTTCCATCTCGACAGAATCTTGAGAAGATTCAGTTCGAAAGAAAGGAGGGTTCTCCTTCTATATTAATCTTGATGTGGTCATTGCAATGTTCACCAAATGTATGACGATAAATGGGATCCGACTTGGTCATATTTACGCCTTATCTGTAGGGTTCGATAAGCGTGTGCGTCATGCACACGATTCGTATCCGAAGTTGACCCGAATAACATCAAGTATTATACATTCGGTTGTTCCATAACACATAAATTGGGCAACGGACGGGACTACCTGAATGACCAATCAAAAGTTCTCAAAACTAAGTAAAATTGGTAGAAGGCACATATATCTATTTGATTGTCACCATATCGCAACGGAATCTTTCAGGATATAACCAAGTTCTCTCCGGATGAATATGGCAGATAGATTGATTCAATGGAACTCTGTGCTGATTGTAGGTCAAGAAACAGGCAAGAAAAGTTTGATAATATAATGTATATAATTTTTCAGAAGCCCAATTCATATCTGAAGTAAAGGAGATCCAAAAAAATCTTTGCTCACTGTGGTCTTATTACCTTGTGCCCACTCCTTAGCCATGCGTCTCCAGGACTCACTTGCCCGGCCTGCATGATCGCTTGGCACAGTAAAATCGGCCTTAATCGCCGTCCAAGAAAACAACTCCATTGATGCCCAGCCCAGATACCCTTTTCGCAGGAAGACTCGCAAGATATCCATGACTGGAAGATAGCCACCCCGCTCCGGTTCACAAGGGAAGAGGCGGGCATTGCGCGACCAGCTCATGCGAGGCGGCTGCAAAGGGACATGCCAAGGATGGCCATCAACCAATGGCGAATCCAAACGCTCACCGTCAGCTATCTGGAGTAAAAATAGCTTATCGATTTTGATCCAGGCCTCCAGTCGTACTAGGGAGTTATTCAGCTTTCGCTTTCCACCGGGCACGGTTCCTGAGCGCCGAGTTGGGTCCGCGTAAACACGACCCGCGACATGAAATGTGTCAATACATAGACCAAAATTGGGTCGATTGACACATTGGACAACCTTCCACGCTTTCTCCCATAAATTAATGTGACTTCCCCACGCTAAGGCTTCATAGGCAAACCGAATTGGCGGCGACTGGGCACGACCCAGGTCAGCCAGCTTTTGAAGGTCTTCAACGATAACGGTAATATTGCTCGTTGTTTTGGGTGCTCCTGTCTCAATATCTGTGCCCAAGGAGTTGGATGGTACGAGAATTAAGTCTGTCTGGAGGAGGTGACAGATGTCGAACCATAGATGTGCGTGCGCAATGCGCCGGTCGTGGTCGTTACGATTGAGGAGACCTTCATAAAACTCGAAAGACTGCAGGCAAATGACACTCAACCTGAACTTGTCGCACAATTGCCGTGCTTTAAATGCCGCGATTTGAAGATTCAGTGGTGTGACTCCACCAGGATGGCGACGGGCCATATACTCAAGATCTCCGAAAAACAATTCAATGCCTCGGAAGCCGTGGGAAGCTGCTTGGGCTAGCCTTTCCTGAAGTCCATGTGCCGAGGGATGACCGAGTGACATGGTGGAAATAGCCGGATAAAGAGACATCTTGCCTTTGAGCCTGTGTCCAGTTTTCCAAGTCTAAAGCTAATCAATCTCGTGACACGTGTGTAAGTGGTGCGGGGATGTTTATATATTATTTGCGCCTCAAATGATACCCCTCGAGAAATTGGGAGCTAGATGCCAGTGTGATTGAGTGTACTTTGAGGCGCAGACACCTTTACTCATTCCAGAATATTCCGATTTGGGAAATGATGCAACACAATTCAATGTCTTCCCGGTCTATCACACTCTAGAAATAAGACTCCAGGCATTCCAACATCAGACAACAACGCCTGATCGATCACACAGTTTCCGTCTTTTGCTGTACCTCGGACATTGGGCTCGATTTTCCTCGGGGCAAAATCGTGCATTCAGTAGTGGATGCATAAAACACTGCAACGACAAATGAGGTGCCTGACAACCCGACGGAGGTCCAGAAAGCGGCGCGATACCCTGCAAGAACATCTCCGTGGTGGTGCTCCTGGACTTGAGCTTCAACAGTACCTGCAATGCCAAGCCCGATAGCGATAGAATAATTCACTACTGTGTTAACAAGGGAAGCGGACACCCCTTGATGTTTCGGTGGCACTGAATTACTTAGGATAGTTGCAGAGGCTGGAAATGATATATCCATGCCCCACGCCGTGACCACAAATGACCAGAAAGTGTTAAACCAGTATGACTGGGCCACAGGGGCCGTAGCCTGTAGCAAGCACCCAGTGAAAAATGCGCCACATGCTACTGCCATCAGCCAACCATTTGGGACAAAACGCATCAGCCAGGGTGTCGCAATAGCCGCCAAAATACCAGACATGGCACCAGGAGCAAACTGCGCCGCTGAGTCAAGTGGACTGACCCCTCGGAACTGTTGGATGAATTGGAACAAGTAGTAGAACCAGACCGCAAAACTGCTCCACCCTAGTCCTGTTGTCACCAGCACAGCAGCCACATGTCGGTTGAAGATCGTGACATCAAGTATCGGGTCTATTGTCCGACGCTCCTGGACAATGAACAGTCCAAGAATAAGAAAGCCAAGAATCAGTAGAACATATACATAAGGCGTGCTCCATCCGTCAATAGGAGCTTGATTCCAGGAGACATTCAGTAAAAGCAGTCCACAAACTCCGAGAACTGCCCCCAAAATATCAAAAGGTGCATCAATGGCCCCCTCAGCAAGCTTCGGACGGTCATGCGGCACGATCCACTGCGCTAAACTTGCAAGCATGAAACAGCCCAAGGCGTAAACACCCATTACCCAGGGCCACCAAACATACTGTGCAAAAGCAGACCCAATGGCGCCGGCGGTGCTTGTCCCCAGGGGGGCAGCAACGGCGAATGCTGAAAAGATGGCGTTTTTCTTTGGACCAGGTGGATAGGTGCGGCCCAGAATAGCGAGTGCATTAGGAAGCAGAAAAGCCGGTCCAATTCCCTGTAGTGCGCGAGCTGTGTCGAAGAAGACCGGGGAATGTGTCAATGCACTGCAGCCACCGATGATAGACCACACCCCGAACCATGTCCAACCCACCACCAAGATACGCTTGGACCCGTAGCGATCGCCCAGCTTGCCTGCGATCAAGATGAATGTTCCTACCGTCAAACTGTACCCACCAACATGCCACGTCATGCGGCTAGCTTCCGTCGGGCCTTGTCCGAAGGTTGATGCCACGATACGCAGGGGTAGAAGAATGTAACCGAATGCGCCCTGAACAAATAGCTGTGTTGAGCATAGGATGGCGATGAAGATCCATTCCCTGAACCCAGACGGCGGGGTCTGGAATTGATGATCGGGCTCTGAGGTGAGTGGCGGGGATAGTGAGGAGCTATCTGCCGTGTTTGTCTTGGATCTGTGCATGTCGCTCAATTTCCCGGTTTTTGCTGAAAAGAGGCGGGCTAGGAGGTGCTCCGAAAGGCACTTCGTTGCCCAGCTGCAGATTGTCTGTCATGGATCTTTATAGTCAACGCACTCCGGAAATTCTGGGGCGAATTCCATTCGGGCCACGTTGGGCGGACGTCGGGAGCTGGAGACTGGTATAGTTCACCACGCATGCCCGTTTGGGGCAGTCCATGTTTCTGTCTCCCGCGATCTGCAGGTGGGGGGCGGTGGGTCTGACAGGGGGACCTCTGACCAGATCCGGTATAGAAGAGAGATCAAGTGTGGAATAGATCCAAGATGATGGAAGCGCCCCAAGGTCGAGAACCAGCGGTCTGATCATTCTTCCATCATGCAAATGCGCCACTTGGACACCTGAACAGGGTCCGTTACATCGATTTGGAAGCTGGAAATCCATCTCATGGAAGCCTCAAAGGGAAACACTCGTACCGTGAACCGGCAGTTTATCGGTTGCGGCCGCCAAGCTTTGACGTCATACACCACTGAATGAAGAGCGGGCGGTCTCTCGCAATTTAACTCCGTTTAGCCTAAACATCTCGTGGCAGCTGCCCTGAAGAATTTTGAGTCAAAGCGATAATGGAAAGACATGCTCTTCAATTCTACTTGGTTACACGGGGAGAAGATTTGAATCCTTCGGGCATACTTAGCGATCGTTGATCTGAGGGTTAGAAATCTCAATTAAGGCACAATCTAACATATTCGACTGAACAAGCTCGAACCAACGGGCTCTTTCTACAATGTGCTAAGGAAGCTGTATGCAGTAATTGAAAGGTTGAAAATACATCGATAATGGTCAAAGTCATACACATAATGATTGCCGAGATTGAAACCCATTTTCTCCCCTTAGCAATACATCTTGATTTCTCGACGAAACAGGACCGCATCAGCCAGAGTTTGGAGACAAGTGACGGTGTCATCCCAGCCCAGACAACCGTCTGTAATGCTGACACCTCGTCGAAGACCGGCAGGGCCTTCAAGCGGTATGTCCTGTCGACCCTCATGCATGTTGGACTCGATCATCACTCCAACCAGACTGTTCTCACCACTAGCGATTTGTCTCCCAACTGCGTTCACCACTTCCTGCTGACGCCGGAAATCCTTCCTGGAATTCCCGTGTGAACAGTCGATCACAATGCCAGGGTGTTGTGGGCCGTGTGCAGTGGCTAGCTGCCTATGTGTCTTTTGAACAGCGGCTTGGTCATAGTTGGGGCCGCTATCACCACCGCGAAGAATAACAAAACAGTCTGTGTTACCTCGCGATTCAACTCGCCGAGCACCGTGAAGAGTCATGGCACGGAAGATATGAGGCACTCGAGCAGCACGGAGCCCGTTCAAAGCGGCTACCACGTTCCCATCTGGGCTGTTCTTAAAGCCTACTGGGAAGGGCATTGCGGATGCAAGTTCCCGGTGCGGTTGAGACTCAGTAGTACGAGCACCAATAGCACCAATAGATATCAAATCCACCAAAGAAGCCGGGGTTACCAAGTCAAGTAGCTCGCTCGCAACAGGCAATCCTAGCTCTGTTAAATCTGCGTAAAGTTGTCGGGATTGGACAAGGCCTTCATTGAGTCTAGCGGAACCATCGAGGTCCGGATCATGGGCAAGACCTTTCCATCCGATGGTTGAACGTGGTTTCTCAACATATGCGCGCATTATAATGCAGAGATATGGCTCTAGGCGATTTGCAACCTCACGAAGGTTTTTGCCGTATTCAAGAGCGGCATCTGGATCGTGAATCGAGCATGGCCCTACGATTACCAGAAGGCGGTCGTCCTTTCCGTTGATAATGGCCCTTGCATCATGTATACCTTTCTGTACAGTTTCTCGAGATTTGGATGACTGATGAAATGACTGTTAGCGATATCCGACTTGACAACGCTCAATACCACATTTTGATCTCGATTTACAGCAGAAATATTTTTATGCAGATCCACCGGACTGATCAACGGTCCTGTGTCAAATGCTGCAAGAATTGATTAAAAATCCCATCAACCATGAAAGGAAGCAAAAATTACCCCTCTCAGTAATGAACCCATTCGAGGGCTGCGCATAGAGCTGCCGCATAGCTTGTGCCCACGAGATCCGCACCTCCCATCGGGTCAGTTGAGGGACTTCAATTTTGGCAGCCATACCGAAGACACAAGAGATGATCGGTAATTCTTTCTGAGATGCATGATATACTTTTCAAGATACTTATATTCACGCTACATTCAAAATAATCTTTCCTGAAGGAGTATTCCGCTGATTCATTCTACCACAATCCGAACTATCATTTCCAGATCTAGAAATCCGTCCCAACGTGCACACCACCGTCGACCATGACATTGGCCCCCTGCACATAGGAACTCAAAGGACTGGCGAGAAATATGGCGACCTTGGCCACATCTTCTGGAGTTCCAAATCGTTTCAGCGGCACTTTCTGTCGCTGCTCATCCACCCATTTGGGATCGACCCGGCTATATGTCTCCCACGCCCCATCAAGCGCCCAAATGGGGCCCGGGGAGATTGCGTTCACCCTGATACCTCGAGGCCCCAACGAATGCGATAACTCCTGTACATATTGTAACTGCGCTGCCTTGCAGGCTCCATACGGTGCAGGCGGACTGCGGAAGAATTCACGGCCCATGAAGGATGACTGCACCAAGATAGAGGGGTGTGGAGATTTTTCCAACCATGGCATAGATGCATCAACCAAATTCACAAACCCCATTATGTCGAGGTCAAAGGATGATTGCCATGTCTCCGGAGTGGACTCAAAATGCATATTTGATGCTGTATTCAGTCAACGCTCGGATATTCCCCCGAGGCGGGTGTATAAACCTTGAACTTACCATTCGCGATTATAACATCGATGCGACCGATTCGGGTACCGCAGTCAGACACCCATTTCATAAGAGCACCTCGATTACTCACATCCACAGAGGTGCCATGGACATGGTGTGCAGTGGGCTCAAGAGATTTGTGTAGCTCATCGAAGTCGCTATCATGCACAGTACGAGCACAGTAAGAGACATGACAGCCTTCACGCGCAAAAATTTCAACCATTCCCCGCCCAAGGCCTTTGGTACCTCCGGTAATGAGGATGTGGCTGTCTGCGAGATCGGTGTTCAAGACCATGGTGTCGGAATTTTTTTAATTGTAAGGCTTATATGCTGGACAGATTCGAATATCAAGTTGAAGTCCTTTTATTTTCATTCCTATCTCATAAATAGCCAGACACATATGTTCGCAGAAACAGCCATCCTTGCGTAGACGATCGGCCATGTTCCGGTCGCCTAATTCGGCCGCCGGGCCACTTGCGATGATTGAAAATAGTCCAAACCTGCTTCAATCTACCAAACATCTTCCTGCCATTGTCCTCTCTTCTTCATTGTGCTCATAAAACGTGTGACTTGTTCCTTGTCACCATTTCCTGCTTTTGCTAAGGAGTCGCCCACAACTTCTGCAACCCCTCGCCCCATTGACCTAGACCCACAAATGTAGAAGAAGTTCCCCTCTTCCCGGAGATGCTTTACGATCATGTCAGCATGCTCAGTGATCGCGTCTTGGACATAAAGCTGTGGTGGATCTCGAGAGAAAACTACGTGGATATGGAATAGAGATTCCAGCTGTCTCTGAGCCGACTCGAGGTCATCTTTATATAGATAGTCGTTTGCAGTTCGGCAACCAAAAAACAGTGTCATGCGCCCTATCGGGCGCCCAATTGTATGTAAACGAGCTCTTTCTTGAATAAAGGCACGAAATGGAGCAATGCCACTACCAGCTGCCACCATTATGAAATCGGCAGATGCGTTGGTTGGCAATTTAAATTTTGAACGTCGCAGTTGACCAACTATTGAAGCTGGTGCATTCCGAAGTCGATCTGTAACCAGACCAGATCTCCAACTCGGAGTCTCTTGTGGTAAAGCCACTGCAATACTCAGGAGGCGAGGATGTATCACTGCTGAGGATGCTATGGAGTAGGCTCGAGGCTGCAGTGGCGGTATATTTTCCACAAGCCAAGAAAGAGGTAGGGAATGCCAATCTCCTCCAGTCGCTGCCTGGACTCGCTCCATTACTTCACCGAGCGTCCATCTTGAATCCCGAACACGATTCCATTGGTCAGTCCGAGATTCAATTTCAGAGACTCCATCACGGAGAGCTTCCTCGGTATTTGGGGTCGCCTGTACTAGAGATTGAAGCATTTGCCGGGATACCGGGCTTGTGATAGCCAGATAGCATCGAAGAAGAACGCCCAGTGAGACCGGACTAGGCGGAATGCGACTATTGCATGATTCTGATATAGGTAATATCTTCCAAACTTGATCTGGATCACAATCCAAGAGACGAACAAGCCGGTTCACTTCCTGTTGAGGATTGGATGGCCATATCAGAAGATGGTCGCCTGTATTATACTTGAGTTGGGGATGTTCCGAAATGTCGATTTGAAAATATAGACACGGCCAAGAAGATGACGGATTTAGTATTCCTTGATCTGTAACACCCAGATCGTACGGAGGAGAAGCACGATGGGACAGCTGCAGGTCCTGAGGCTTTCCCGTCCACGTTCTCTCATCCAGAGAAGCTGGAAGGAACCGCATTGCTGGCTGAAATGATGCTGCCTGCCTATTACTTATACACAGATGTTTTTTAAGGACGTTCAGAAGCTCATCTTGCCACGAAAAGAATGAGTCCTCGGTGCTGCCGTCGGCTGCATCGCCTTGACCGAGCGAGGCAATGCGCACTGCCTCTCGTGAATCAAGTTGCTGGACAACCGATTTCACAGCGCGATTGAAGTAGAGGTATGTGCTGTTGCCTAGCCCAAAGGCTGCATAACGAATGTTCGAGAGGTTTGCTGTGGTACGTGAAGATAGAATCCAGCGATGGAATGCAATAGTGTTATCTGTCGGATCTCCCTCGCCATAGGTGGACAATAGGAAGATCAAAGGTGTCTCCGTGGACACAGATGCCAACGTATGTGGGATTATGTGGCTCAAATCTAGCACTCCCACTTGAATTCCAAGATGCGATCTCAATGTTCTCCCAAGCGTTTGAGCTAGGCCCTCCGCGGTGCCTGTTTGAGAGCCCCAGAGAATAACGGCTTGGAGGTTATCCTGTTTCACGCGACGCCCAAGATGTCTGCTTTCTCTTTGCACCTTTCTTGTGCGTCCCAGAAAAGTCTCTTGTCGGCGCTCGTACAATTGTCGAGTGAGCGGGTTTGGTCGATCCCACAGCAAACCTTTGGAACCGAATCCTAGGATGGCAGCAAGGAGAACCGCCAGTGCCAGGAAGTCTCCCAGGCTGAGTCGGGGAAATCCGTATTGAACAGGAAGTAAGAAACTCATGATGGCAATATGAGCAACTACGAGGAAAGAACAGTTATACACAGTAATTTCCCATGGTAATGGGATTTTGAAAGTTCAAATTGGAGTGCAACGTGATTACCTAGGAATCCCCTCTAAAACATTTCTCGCCCCATTAGAGAAAATCAATTTTCCTGAGCACGTCGACCGATACATTCAAACAGAATTTGAAGTTGGAACTACTCCTAGAAATCAACTTTGGGAAATTATTTTACTGGAACCATTCCGAGACCGATTAGGCAATCGGGCGGCTCCGATAGCGGTGAGGGCAATATAGATATAGGATTCCACTGATCACCAGCGGATCTTTTATGCCTCAGATTGGGCTTGTATGGAATTTAATCTTATAAAAATGGGTTCTTTCAAACCACTTCACGTCTCAGCCGGTCAAGATGTTGTCGAGAGTTTTGGCGGAATACTCACAACCGAATTCCTGGACCCACCCCCAGGTCGGGGTTTTTACTTTCGACAGACATACCGAGCGTCTGTCGAAAAACCAATCGACGAGCGTGTACAAGAAGCCCTAGAAAAAGGCGGTAAACCATCTGGTCCACCACCACATTTGCATCGCTACCAGACCGAGTATTTCAAAGTCGAGGAGGGGCTGATGGGTGTCAACATTAATGGTAACATTGTAACGAAGACAGCTTCGGATCCCGAGTTTAGCATCCCGGCGAACGAGTTCCATGGGTTTTTCCGACATCCAGATAGCAAGGGTCCGATGACAGTCTTGCTGAGTGCGTCTGACTCTGGACGTGACTATAAGCTTGATCGCGTATTCTTTGAAAACTGGTATGGATATTGGCATGACGCGTCTATCTATTATGGAGGCATGAACTATATCCAGTGGTTACAAGTAAGTTTGGGACATGTTAGAAGATGGAGAAAATTTGACAGTGATTTTAACAGATCTATGATGCCGGTGACGCATATCCATATATGCCGCACTGGTTGCCGTTTCGTAGAACAATATCTTACTGTTGGGGTGTTGCTGTGGGCCGCTGGCTGGGAGGGATGTTGGGTTACCGGCCGTTCTTCCGCGAGTACACCACTGACTGGGATCTGGCGGTCGAGAAGATGAACTCTCACTTTTGGCTCCGAAGAGATAGGAACCTTGAGTAAACAGTGATTAGAAGACTGAAAACATGCAAACATGCTGAGTTTAAACTTCACATTTTACGTTTATTTCATTAGTGAGCTTTTGACAGATATGATGCCATGTCCAAAGACTTGGTACCAACATCGCAATTAAGGCCCTCGCACAAGCTGTGTGCCCTCATTCGAGACCGATCTGCCCCACAATCAACAACTTGATTTCGTATGGAGAAAGCCTAGTTCTCCAATGCTCTTCCAAATACGCAAATAGATTGCGCTTACTACAGAGATCGACCAGCGCGTTTTCGTATCGAAGCGGCGCTGTTTTGGAATGCGGATGATGAATATGCTTGACTCCGTACAGCAGTTTGCTTTGCTCGGGGATATTAATCCAAGGGTGTGGTTACGCTGACCCTTCTCATTCTGTAGCTCATATTGACTTCGCTCTGAGGTGTCCTTTTCATAGTTCGAGCTTGGTCATTGGCGTCCTGAGCATCGATACTTCGATTAGTCATCTCTTGACGGGGCTGTTCAAGTAAATCACGCATGGGCACATCAGATGAAAGAACCAGTAATAGAAAGCTTTCTGCTTTATGTCATATGCTGCATATTTTCTAATGAAATGAATGAAAAAAAAAAAAAAAAAAAAAAAAAAAGGAAGACCGGTGTTGAATTGAATTGGAAAGCAAATGGTAGACTTTCTATGGGCGGCGGAGAATTGAACAAAGGCAAGTCTGGTCTTCCATCACGCGGGCCATGCAGTTTTATCTCCGGGGAGAAAGTCCGGGAGCCCGAGCCCAGTCCCACATGGTGTGGCTTTGGTACGCCCCCTGGAACTGAACCCCTGCAAAAGTCATTATGATTCATACAGATCAGAGTTATACGTCCCAGGCACCGCACAGATCAGCCCTTGGACCCCCTCTCGCCTGGATAATCGGCACACTTGCCGAAGATCGTCACTGGGCTACACCCTCTGGCCATCCGAACGTCGCTTTCGGGAGATGGCCAGTATGGAGTCCCGCACCCCAAGGTCGTAGGCAAGTGGCCCCCAGTGGGCCACGCTTTCTTGCCTAAAAACTGCTTCTTTTCGGTCTTTCCCGCCCTCTCAATCCTTTCGGCGCCCCGCTTGGGACTCGGGGTCGGTTGATAATTTATAATCCACCTCGTCAATTTTTTTTCTCTGATAGATCTGGGACGATTCCCGGCCATTTTGACTCACTCGCCTCTACCGCACTCTACTCGCGTGTTTCCTTCACGCTTCGTCGGCCTTTATCCTCAAAGGGTCTCTCTCGCTAGAGCTTCTGCCCGCGTCCGTCCCGATACAACTGCGACCCGTGCAGACATGGGCCCGACTAATCTAGAAGTAGAGCAGACTGTCCTCGCCGATGCGCCGGCCGCTCGAGATGAGGAAAAAGCCACTGTTAATGCCTCCAACTCGCCTGACGAAAAGCAAAATGAGGAGCTAACGTTTGACACGGGCTTCTTCTCCTGGCTTCAAGTGCTAGGCTCGTTCTTTCTCTTCTTTAATTCATGGTATGTGGTTCGAGACGAGACATGCGGTATCAGCATGCTACATATAGTACGGGACATGCGCTGACATGTTAATGAACAGGGGTGTCATCAACACATGGGGTGCATACCAAACCTATTATGAACAGACATTGCTCGCCGACACGTCTTCATCCACAATCGCCTGGATCGGGTCGTTGCAGTCGTTCCTTCTGATGTTGATTGGCGTCATCACAGGCCCTCTCTTCGACGCAGGCTATTTCCGGGGACTCATTGGGTTCGCAAACTTCATGCTACCATTTGGCTTGATGATGACTAGTCTTTCGACCAAGTACTGGCACCTCATTCTCGCTCAAGGAATCTGCGTGGGTCTTGCGGCTGGCTGCCTCTTCGTGCCTTCTGTCGCCATTCTACCACAGTACTTTCGCCGCAAGAGAGGTTTCGCGAACGGACTTGCCGCCAGCGGTAGCAGCATTGGCGGTGTCGTATATCCCATCATGTTCAATCAGCTGCAGGAGAAAATCGGATTCCCGTGGGCCACTCGAGCTATCGGATTTCTCTGCTTCGGAACCACCTTTATCTCGTTTAGCATCATGCGAGTCCGGTTTGCGCCAAAAGAGAAACGCAAGCTTTACCAGTTCTCTGCTTTCAAAGATCCTGCATACTGCCTGTTCGCCGCGGCAATGTTCCTGGGTTTCCTAGGCTTTTACAACTTCCTTTTCTATGTGCAGTCTTACGCCATCGACACCGGAATTGTGGATTCAAATTTGGGCTTCTACCTGCTGTCCATGCTCAACGCTGCCTCGACCTTTGGTCGTATTGGACCCAACTTCATCGCGGACCATACCGGCCCCCTCAACATGCTTACGCCCGCCGTTACTATCACGTCAATCTTGGCCTTTGTCTGGATCCGGGTCCACACGGTTGCCGGTATGATTGTCTTGACCATCCTTTACGGTTTCTTCTCAGGTGGATTCGTGTCACTCCCGCCTGTGGTGATGGCGAGCATGACACCGGATGTTCGGGATCTCGGTACCCGCCTCGGTATGGTGTTTGCCATTACCTCCATCGGCCTATTGATTGGCACACCTATTGGCGGAGCTATTCTGGCCGACACCAACAACTACCTAGGTGTCCAGCTCTTCACTGCTTGCTGTCTTATTGCATCTGCCGCGCTCATGGCCTCCCTGAGATTTGTACGCTCTGGTCCTCACCTGGTGGCCAAAGTTTGATTGAGTTCTAGTCAGCAGGAGAAATCTTGTTGCTATAATCTTGTCGTCACGCTAAAAATGCCACTGAAAGTAATGTCAGGATGTCGATGAATGCTGGCCGTAAAATCGGTCGGTTTAATAAAAGCATGTTACCGAATTTAGAATATTATATATCAAAATGAACCGCTTTCTTAATCATCAACCTAAATTCGCTTTTGTCTTATCAAATAGCCAAATATTTCCTCGAACTTTGGGGCTCTGTTGCAATGATACATGTATTCAAAATATGTACTATCAGCAAACCGGGTAGAGATCAGCCTTATTCTCACTACAAGAAGTACCCATGGTCTTCATGAATTATACATGGATAATTGAAAATTAATGTAAAAGTTGTCATTTCCTAATCTCACTCTGTCCATGATGGGTATAAGTGACAGTGCAATCGCGTTCAAATCCCGGAACACCCTGTACAAGTCCCCATGCAAAAGACCAAAAATACCATTTCTATTTAATATACTCACGGTCGCATCGCTTTTTCATTCTTGTATTTTCTTCAGGTCTATGAGACATCTTCTGGGTTGACCAGGAAGTCTTCGCCTTTGTCTCTCACGTGCTCGAGTTTCTTGTCTCGACTACACGGCTTGCGCATGTCGAAGGCGTCTTCGCCAGATTCTGACATGCCCGTTGGGTCGTCGCTGTAATAGTTCACCACTCGTCGGAATACAGAGTACCTGTCGGTGTTAGTATCTGTGGTGATTTGTCATAACATTCCGCATGCCCCAGTTATACGCACCCCATGCCTTTATACATATCCACGGCTACCTTGTTCCCTGCTCGGACATAGAGATCCACAAACCAGGCATCGTTAATGTCTGATCCTTGCTCCAGCTGCTCTGTCAATCGGCTAGCATAGCCGAGTCGGCGCCAGGCCGGTGCAACTGTCAAGACGGTGATATGCCCGTGCCACGGCGTGTAATGAGGAGATTCCCTCATTGATGGGTGCTGCTCTTCCAGTTTACCCATAACTACAACTAATTAGCTCATACTCAATGCCAAATCGGAGAAAGATAGCAATCCATACTGTAGCCCACAACGCCCGCATCGCGGTCTTTCACTGTGCTGAACAGGGATGGCCATTTGGTCAAATAGTTCAGGTAGAAGCCCAGGTCATAGTTCTCTGTCAGAGGGTCAAGGTTGGTGAGGTTTAGCGACAGCAAGTCTAGCGGCGACATGCGCGTAATGGAGCTCATCTTGCCTCTTTGTTGGAGAGGCTCTAAAAGGCTTGAAGAATGTGGGGTTGAACGTTGAAGGCGCCTTTTCTGCCAGGCGGTGACGCACCACGGGGGTCGTTAGATTATCGACGACCGCGGGCTTTCTGATGAACGCACACGACTGGCTCGCCGTGGTGTCTTTTGTTTCGGTCTAGAAGTCGTCTTTCCTTCCGCCTTGTGGGCTGACATCGTTCTCTACTCGGATCATGCTGCGCTAGAGCCATCGAACGTTGCGGCTCCTTCCTCAGCACACAATTACTTGTTTCGGCAGTCTATCAACATTTCATGTCAATGATCTCTTCCTTTCCTTTCAACACCATTTTGATTTGATATCCTAGCTTCAAAATTCGCTCTTTACATCCGAACCATCATTCTATTGTTTCCGGAGGTCTCCGATCCCCTCTATCGCTGCAATGCCGCCCCTCCCACCATCTCCCCTGAAACTCTCTCACCGCCACCCCTCAGCCATGGATGACTCGCCAATCTCCCCTGGAACAGTCGGAGTCAATGGATTTGCTCCACAGAGTCCTATTTCACCTCGAACTCCACGGTTGTCTCTGCCGCCATCTCCCGTCATGTCCCGCCAACAAATAATTATCACAAACGGGGGTCGCAACGAGGGTCCATGGATTTTTCTACCGAGACGAGCGGGGGAGGACTTGGAAATCTTGCCGATGAGCTGGCAGACGCATGGGATCAGGAGGAGGAAGGATATGGCTATGCTTCAGGTCAAGATGGAGCCCCGGGGTCTCAGACGATGGGCCACAGCGACGGAGAAGATGCTTATATGCAGTCCGTTCATAATATGCGCGCCCGGTCACCATCGGGGGAACTCTCGCCAGACCGCCGAAATAGGCTTCGGGCCAGCCAGCTCCGACAGCATCGGCGACAAGAATCCCATTACGATGGGTCGGATTACGGGAATGACTCGGATTTTGACGAGGTCGCCGAAATCTCCCCCGCATTGGAACATCAGATGGCTGATATCGAGAGCCTCGCCCGACGGGGTATCGAAAATAACGGCAGTGAGAATGACCATGTCATTCAGCGGACTGTCGAGGCACTTCGAGATATGGGGGCGCAAAGCGGGATTGAGAATAGTGCTATGCGGTAAGCCTTCTATGGAGACAAGTATCTGCAGAACATCCCTAATATTTCTTATAGACTGATTACTGCTCATTCCTCTATCACATCCCACCTCACACACCAAACGCGGACTCTCCAATCCCTCATTCATCCGCTCCTCTTCTCACCATTTCCTCTCCTCTCCGAAGACGCCATTGACTCTCTCATGCCCCTCATTGACGAAGGTCTTCTACCAAATCTTCCATATCCATTCCCCGAACAGCAACGCCATGGTTCCCGACCAGAGACACCTTCACAACCAAGCTCATCCAGCAACCCCCTTGCCTCATTCCAAGCACTCATCACTCAGACCGCCGATATCACCACTTCACTCCGCAGTCTCGGCGATACTCTTTACGAGTCCCGCCAATTGACTTCCACGGCATCACGACGTCTTCGATCTGCCCGGGAACTCGTTGCAGAGCTGCGGCGCGAGGAAGAAAGTCTCGAAGAGGGCTCGCGATGGATTGAGCGCGGCGAGTGGGATCGACGGCTGAAAGACCGTGAAGCTGGTAAGGTATGCGGGGACGTCGTCAGCGGCTTTGAAGCCGTCTGTGGGGAGTGGCGTGAGAAGCTTTTTGGAGCGAACGCCGAAGTGGCTGCTGCGTAGCCCTACCATTAGACGACCTTTTCTTCATTTTTTGAGACTCTGGAAGTTGTATTCCCCTTCAGCATGCTACTAGACTGCTACGAGGTTTTTTCTTTGGCCTTTTTTCTTGTCAGATATCCATTTCCCTGATTGTCTTTTTTTTGTCTCGAATTTACCCTCATTTCTGGGATGCCGTCCAGATGACCTGTCGATATTATATTTCCCATGTTGCTATTTAGATTGTCTTTCACAATGGGTCCTGGGATCTGAGGCAATTCATTTCGTTTTGGATAGGCTTTTGATCTCGTCCTCCTAATTACAGCGGTAGATGGGCTTCGATCAAATGCTGCCACTCATGTCCATATTGTCCAATATCGCCGCCTTCTAGGATCAGAGGTGCATAGTATAGCTAGAGCTGCCAGCAAGCTTCCTATAGAGATAATATTTTTATTCCTTCATTCAAGATTCCTGTCTGACTAATTCGATATGAGTAGGTCAAATAACGTAGGTTCTTCGAGACTACTTGGACGTTCGTTAATTTCCCCAATCTTCGGCATAAATCTATGGAATCCGCCTGAGTGAATTCCCGCCTTTAAGACTTGCCATTTATCTGGTTCCTGGCGAGCTGCTTCTCGATAACAGCCTGGGTAGCAGTTCCTGCATGAACACAGCCAGGGATGTAAAGCGTCGAGAATTGTGGCATACGCCGCCCGTGATCAGAATGTCATATTGGGCTTGAAGCACTGGCATTATTGGCATCGTCACATAGTAGTTATTCCATGGGCCTCACACACACGCCTGGAATCCGTGATCTTTTCTCTCTAGCTCTCGAATCCAGAACTGTCCAAGTGTGTCGGCCCTACATGCTTAAAGTTGATCATACTTGTGAGACTTTTAATCTAGATTTGATCTTGTGGCTATGTCAAACTACGAGATAAATAGTGGAAGTGTTGTAACTTAGATCAAAGCATAGGATTGTGTCGTCTAAAGATGATCCTATTCACTGGAACCCGCTCCAACCAAACGGCACGGGCACGGAGAATGACAATGGCAAGCCATTCGGAGGGGGTGAGGAAATTAAACAACATTGGGAAGCGCAAATGGAAACAGAGGCGGGAAAAAAAAGAAACGATGGACCACGAGGCTCCCAACAGATGGGCAAAGAGGGGGCCGATGATACAGGGTCATTGCAGAGGTCATGAAAAAGAAACATGCGCCGGATAGAAAAAAAAAAGCTTCCGTGTCACTTTTTTGGTTCGCTCCCTAGAGGTGTGGGTAAAATGGAGAAAAAATATGGATCTTCCGATGCACGGGCTCAGCTTTGCTGCTGCTTCCAGCGCGGCACCCACTTGCCACCAGTGCTGGGCTTCGACTCCTCCGGCTTATCGGCAGGGGGAGCGGCCGGGGTCGATGAGGAGGGGTCACGCAGGTGACGAGGGACGAAGCGGTCGGAAGGGCCGTTTTCACGAGGCGGAGGGGCGGAGCCAGAGGAGGCAGCGCCGCGCAGGTGGGGTGGCACGTAACCACCACCAGCTCGGCGCGGAGCAGGCTCCTCACGAACAGGCTCCCGAGAGGGTTCGGGGGCAGGCTCGCCGGTGGCCTCCTTAGCGGCCATCCGATCTCTCCAGCTAGAGCCACCAGTGCGGGAAGCCAGGTTGAGACGAGGAGCAGTCCGTTCGGTAGGTTCGGCTGAGGTTGGGCCACCAAAGCGGCGAGCAGAACGGCGGGCTTCGGCCTCGTCCTCGCGCTGCTTCTGTCGGATTGCGATCTCGTCGAGTTTGCTGAACCAGGGGGTGAAAAGTTAGTTATAAAGTTATTAAGAGGGAGAAAGGGGGGGGTCAAAACTAACGATCGCTCTTCCTCGCGCTTCGCCTTCTCCTCGGCCAATGCACGACGGCGTTCCTCCTCGCGGGCCACACGCTCCTCCTCCTCGCGTTGCATGCGCTCTTCTTCTTCCTTGCGACGGCGCTCTTCCTCTTCGCGCTCCTGCTTCTCGCGGCGGCGGCGATCTTGGACCTCCTTGATACGCTGCTTCTTCTTGGCCTCGAATTCGCGCTCGGCAGCCTTGCGGCGCTTCTCGAATTCCTCGTGGCGCTTCTCGGAAAGATCCTTGCGGAAGCTGGTGAATTGGGGTACAAGACGGCTCAGGCGGTGTTTGAGGGCAACAGCCTCGGAGTGCTTCTGCTTGGCCTCCTTGAGAGTCTCGGCCTTTTGCTGCTCGTAGAGCTCCATGTCGTGCTTCTTCTGAGCCTCGTAATCGGCGGGAATGTGCTTCAACTCCTCGCGACGGAAAGCACGCTCCAGATGGTCAATACGCTTGGCAGTGGTGCGCACACGGTCATTGAGCTCGTTCTTCTCCTTCTCGAGCTGGGCGAGCTTGATGGCACGCAGGCGGTTGGCATCCAGATCCTCCACATCGAGTTCGCTAATGTCAATGCCCTTAACACCAGTCTTGAGCTCCTCGATCTGCTTCTTGAGCTCCTCCTGGCGAATACGGTCCTGCTCATCCTTGATACGCTTCAGCTCGCGGTCACGCTGCTCATCAGCGAGACGCTGCTTCTCGGCCTCCTGAAGCTGCTGAGTACGAATGCGCTTGCGGGTCTCCTCTTCGCGCTGCTTCTTCTGGAGGGCGTCGGTCGCAGCCTCCTTCTTCTTATCGATGATCACACGACGAGCCAAGGTCTCCTCGTGTTCCTGTGCGGCACCGGCCAAAGCGCGAGCCTGAGCAGCCTGCTTGGCTTGGAGAAGAGCCTCATTATAGGACGGGTCCACGTACATGCAGGTAACGTGAAGGGTCTTGGCGAGGCGAGCGACCTGGAAGCGGGCAATCTCAGCAGGAGTGTGCTGGAGACGCTGGACGGAGCCAATCTCGCTCTCGGCAGAGCCGGCGGCGCTGCCAGCGTGCATAGCCTTGGAGGAAGAGAAGACATCCGAGTCGAACGTGAGAACACCGGAGATGTGATCGACACGGATAGCGAGGTCACCCTTCTTGCAGCCGTTCATGATGAACTTCTCAATCATAGCAGGGGTGATCTGGAAAGGATCGGGGAATTGAGCAAGCTCGTAGACAAACTTGAGCTCAACGGACTCGTAGACCTGGGACAGCTGCTGGAACAGACGAGTCAGGATGACCTGCTGCAGAGGAACAACATACTTCTCCATCTCTGGGTCAGCACCAATCTGCTTCAAGATGGGAGTGATTTTCTTGCAGATGGACAGAGGATGGAAGTCGACCTCAAGAATGTTGTACAGATCCCGAATCTCAGGGCGAACACGCTTCAGCAGACCCTTGTTCAGGGCATCCCGGAAGAGAACTTGACGGGACGGGGGCTGGGCCATACCCAAAAGGTTGGTAAGGCGGGTGTTCTTGTTCTTGCGGGCCTCATCAACGTCAACCAGAGCACCACGCGAGCGGGTAGTACTGATCACAGGGATGGACAGAGCAGAGAGGAGCACGAAGGAAGCGGCCTTGGTCATATCAGCCTCGGTCACGGAGGGGTTTTCCTTCTTGGTGCTCTGGCCGGTAGCCAGAGCGACGGTGGAGAGGCGGAGCAGGTTGTAGTAGCGGTTCCAGGCAGCAGCGTGGAAAAGGTAGTTCTCGCTAACAAGGAAGATGCGAGCCAGCTTCTCATAGTAGTTGGCCATCATGACGTTCTTAGCGGGACGCTTGCTGAGGTTCAAGAGGGTGTGGATGTCCTCGATGCTACGGAAGGCCTCCTGCCACAGCTCCAGCTCAACAGCAACGTTCAGCTGCTGGAAGCGGGTATCCAAGTGTCGCTGCAGAGTATCGGGGTCGCTGAGGTTGATAGCATGCATCTGGGTGGAGTACTTGGCGGCATTCTGAACGTGGTTGCGCAGCAGCTCGCAGAGACGGCGGAACTCAGTCTTGCGAGTGTACTTGAGGCAGAACTGGAAAGCCTGCAGGGCGGTCGACTGGTACATAATCTCGAGACGGGCATTGTTCTTCAGAATCTCGAGAACGGTACGGTAGGTCTCCCACAGGAATTTGAGCCAGGGGGTGACGACGGCGCGGTCGGTGCGGTCCCGGGACTGTTCACCGGAGACGGTGGCCAGCAGAATGGTCTCGGGGGTTTCGATAGCCTCCAGATCATCGACGTTAGCGGTGGAGGGGGCGGAAGACTCGAGGGAAGACTGGATCTCGTCGGCCTTCGCTTGAGCCTCGGTGACCTTCTTCTCAGCCAGTTCGATGAACTTCTTGAGAACAACCTCGATGGTGCCAACGTTGGTGTTCTGGGCGATGTTCTTGTATTGGTACAGGCCGTCCTTGGCCGCCTTGCCCTTGCGTAGGTCAACACACAGCTCGACAAACAGGAGCATCACCGGCTCGAGCGAAGCAATCGGGCTGCTACGGGTCCGCTTGGAGGTAACATGTTCGTGAAGGACGGTCAAGGCGGCGGGGGCCTGACCGACGGCGATAAGTTCCTGGGCCCTCTGTAAAAAGTGACATTAGCATTCATCCCAAAAAGAACCTCCTCGAAGTTGTATGTTTCCATCATATCTCCATCGATCTATCTTTCTTGGTTCCCCCTTTCCGAGGTGACAGGGCGGGTCGAGACGCACCTTGAGGACATTCTCAGGCTTGATATGCGGTGGTGGCGGCATGATGGGCAATCCACCCCTTCGGGCGATGGGTTTTCGGGGAAAATTCGAAGAGTCGAAAACGGGGAAAGAGTTGCAGGCGTCTCGCACACGGGCAGTGGTCTAAGACCGACGTTGAAAATGCTGCCACGCGAAGTCCCTTGACCTAGAGGGGGAGAAGTGCCTGTTGTGCGTGAGCCAGCGAAAATTGCCCGAGTGTTCCCACTTCGGGCTAAGCGATGGGGCAGTCACGTGTAAATTTTCTGCCTGAGGCGGTCGAGTCGGAACTGTGGAAACTCATACGGCGGTAAATCAAATACGATTGGGGATGGAGAATGGAGCCAAAATTACGCAACAAGTCTTTCCGCGTGAAACTTTATTTGCGAAGATTAGTCCGAATGGAGTACGCCGCTCACACTCCTCCCTCCATTCTAAGTCCCCCTCTTGAACGATGACGATACGACCCGACGGGGCTGCCAGAACAAAGGATATTAGCGAGTTTATTTAGCAGTGTGTGAGTTCGGTGTTAGCCAATGTTATATCTTCATGCATCATTCGTCTTGAGATCGAGGTGACACATTTTATAGAACATAAAGATAACTAGGTACATTTCAGCCTCCAAAAGGAACAAAATGGACGATCATGAAAACACAGCAGGTCTCGTACATGGACAATGTGCGTGGATGGCCCCAATCAATTAGAGAATTGAATTCCGCTCGAGCGGTCCTAAGAGGGATTACTGCCGGACTCTACACAGCGAACTGTCGTACTACCAGGACTGGACAAGGGGGGGAAGGTGGCTGATGACTAAGGATGCTGGTCTCCAAGCGCTCTGAAATGAATGGCATCAAAAGTGAACGATGGTATCTGTTTCGATAACGAAATTGACTTTTCAAGGCACTGAGAGGCATTGAGATATCAGGGGACCCAAGTATGAGAATATGCGATCGGGAGTTTCGTTTCCTTCTTTTAAAATCATAGGACCCCTCAGGCAGGCTTGACAGGGAGTTCTGATTCCCATCTGGGCGACTGGCCAGCAACCTATGATATGATCCTGTACTCTCTGTCGTCTGCAGATAATCCGATGGGTCAGATTGTATGAGGGATGTTTGCAGGGTGAAGTGGACCACATGGAGGTCACCGGTACCTAGGGTAGCCGAGACCAACTATTGTCGCACTATCGAGGGGGTGAGGCCCCGGTCGGTACCGGGTACCTCTGTTTCGCGTACGGGGGAAATACGGGGGGATTACTTACCTGCAGCGGCCAGGACGAAAGCCAAGAGAGCAAAGACCCCCCGAACACCAACGGGGAAAATCCCTCTCCAGTTGTTGTTCCTCTCCCCCCGACCTCGTCCCTTCCTTTCGACCTGCCACTCTCTTTTGCTATTCCTTTCTCTGTTCAACATCGTCGATTCCTGCCTCGACAACCTCTCCGTCTCTGCCTCGCGAGACCTGGTCCCCTTGTCTGCCCTCTCGTCCAAACCCCCTTTCTCGACTTGCGCGCGACCGACCACCAATCCACCACCCACCATCCACCATGCCTGCTTACGAACTGCGCTCCGGGGGTGATGTCAAGAACAAGAAGCAGAGTGTTGCCGACCTCAAGTACCGCCGATTGACCGAGCTCAATGCCCGCTTGAAGGAGGATTTGGACCGTCCGCGGGTCAGGGTGTCCGAAGCTGCTATGTCGTGCGTGCCCCCTCTCCCCTGGACAAGGTGCCGTGCCAACACCACACCACACCACACCACACCATGATGGCACCCCCATTCATTTTAATCCCCCCCCTTTTCACCGTGCTGACATCTCTCGTCAGGCTCATCACCTACTGCAACAACACTCGCGACTTCATGGTGCCCTCCGTATGGGGACAGGTATGCAACCCCGAATCCCCCTCGGCGCAAATCCCGCTAACCCACTTGCCAGGTCGAAAAGCGGGAAGATCCCTACGCTCCCCAGCAGCAAAACGGCTGCTGCACCGTCATGTAATGGCCCTCATGACGAAGACCTCCCTCGATCGCCACGACACGATTTCTCTATTTGTTCTCCCACCTTTTCTTCACCTAATTTTTTCCCCCGGATTCCTGCCGTCTGTCTTCAATACCACCCCTTGGGCCCAAACAAACACATTCGCCGATCGCTGACCTGCCGGGCGCGGGCTTGCGAGACGTGGATGTGAAGAAATCATGTTGCTGGCCCTGCACGAAGCCCTACCGACATCTCCGGCGGGGGGTTTGAATGCGATCGCATCTTGGTCCATCTTGGTCTCGCGTGCTCCATCATCAGACCCCTCGCTTTTCCCCTCCATTTGCACTGGAAAATGGTAGCTGGGTATAGATCGCACTGGACGATGCGATCTGTTTCCTGCGTTGCCCTGTCTCTTTTACTACTTGATTCACCTGTTTTGACTTCTTTTTTTTTTCTTTCTTTTTCATTTCTTCAACCTCTAACCTTCTTCACTTTGATCTTGTTCTTATCTTCGATAGCACCATTCCCCCTTTGTCGTCCATGTGTTTTGGAGCCAACTTTCCTTTGTTCTCTGGGATTATTAAAAAACCTCTCTACGACCTCTGCGACCCTGCCGCATGAGACTCGGGTTGTCATTCGTGTATCATAGATTCGATTCGCATTCAATGACCAAATACATTCTAATCGCACCTGTATCCAGTAAACCGGTTTGGGCCCTGGAGGCTTTTTGTTTCCTAGTCAGCATCAACCCGTGCACTCTTCGCCGTCCCGACTGAATGGGTCGTTGGCCCAGAACCCGGTGTTTCAGCCCCGAGTCCCAGGCCCCTGATATGCGTCCCCGGGTACATGCAGCGTCACCGAACGCACCGAATCCTCGCCCCACTGACATCATTCCCTCAGTCCCCCTCCCTTGGCCATCACCAATTCCAATCGCACACTATACTTGTATCCTTGGCCGACAGAGCACCGGCTGCCAATTTTCGCCCGATGCTTAAACTCCCAGCCCGTTTAGCTCGTGGAAGAAACAACCCTGGGCCCGCTCGACCCAGCCGTTCTGCAGGGGCAGCCCCGTAGTTTCTGCACCAAGGATCCGTCCGCTCCACTTGCGTATCACATCGCGTCCGTGAACGCTCAGCCTTCCCATTTCACCACCCTCTCTCGCCATGACCGAGCCTACCCCGCCCATTGAGAATACCCTCGCTCAGGGCCCGAGTGTGGCGCCCCCAGCGTCCTCGGCCCCGCCCGCCGATGCTGGGACGTCGGCGCTCGAACGGGTCCAGCTCCCGCGCATTGCGATCCAGTTCTGTACGCAATGTCGCTGGATGCTGCGCGCCGCCTATGTACGTGTCTTGCTATGTGCAAGTGACCCATAGCACCACTGGCAAAGGACTAACTCGAAACCCTCTAGTTCGCCCAAGAGCTCCTCTCCACCTTCAGCACCGACCTCGGCGAAGTCGCCCTGGTGCCCCGGACCGGCGGCGTCTTCACTGTCACCATCTGGCATGCCCGGCCGAGCTCCACGGCCGGCACGATCGAGACGCAGGAGACCCTTCTCTGGGACCGCAAGCGAGACGGGGGATTCCCAGGTGCGTATACCGATATACCGATTATCCCCGATGGTTGGACTGGTTGGGGGACTGGGGAGCGAGTGCTGATGAATTGTGACGCTACAGAAGTCAAGGCGCTGAAGGCGCTGGTGCGGAACGTGATTGCTCCGGAGCGGGATCTGGGGCATACGGATCGGGCGTTGAAGAAAGATGCCGAGAAGAAAGAGAAGGAGAAGAAAGAAGCAGAGACGGAAGGAGGTGAGGCGGGCAAGAAGGAGTGTGAGGATTGCTCTTGAAGAGACGTTTCATTTTGTAGATTGACATGATGCATATTAGCGAGGTTTGTTCAGTTGTCTATTTGAAATACAGAGCTATCAACCACTCTCGTGGTCAATGTATATACACTGGAGTTCTTCCAGAAGGATTGGATGAATGTAGTCGACGTGCCGCTATCGTCAGTCGCCAGAGAACCCAAGGGAATGCATGGAGGTGACCAGGCTTGTCGATTCAGCGAATTCAAGACTTCCGTTGAAAGATACTTCCTATTGATCCCAATACTTGGTCTACGGATACTGCAAGACAAGCATAATCCACACATCAAAGTTCAATATTTATATTGAAAAAAAGGAGCACACCAGCGAGGTTTTGCCAGTATCAGATCTCCGACAGAGGCGAGAAAGCCCGAGGTATGCCCTCCATCCAGTCAGATGGGGTCAGAAACAAAGGATAGAGGAATAGAATAGAAAACAGATCCAAAAGAGCTAACGCCACCTATTCCCGATCCAGATTCTAAGGTGACCGATCCATAAACCACAAATGCAGCCTCCAAATGTGCAAGAAAAAAAGAAACAAGTAAGCGAATAGCACCCGAAACAAGTGCATGATGGACGAGAGTGGCAAAAAGCCAAGCAAGAAAACAAGTGCGTTGAACCATGTCCAGAAATGATCATCGTAGAGGCAAAAGTAGAAATAGGTCGAAGACCCAATGCAAGAAGAGTAAATAAATAATATTAAATACCCGTGGAGCAAGAAAAAAAATAGCCCCCCCCCCAGCAGCCAGTATGGAGCTGGTCAGGTAGGCCCGGTATATTGCTCACCAATAAAGGGGAGGGGGAAGAGAACCGTGATTATAGACAAGTGAATCAGTTCAGCTTTTTCTTGCACAAATGGATCAAGGGCAGACAACAAAATCCAGTCTTTTGGCCAAAGAGGTTTTTACAACGGGGCCTCGGGCTCGTATTCAACCAGTAAATCTGACATCGGCGTCCTTCAAATCATGAAAGGGATCATCAGGTATACAGTCTGTCAGAGACAGCCCAAAATCGTTCTCCAACAAGTCTGAGTCGTGAAATCATACAGCACCGTCAGAATCAACAACGCTCATCACAACAAAAATGCACCATTCATGAGACCATGATCGCATAATACAGCCAACCGGAAGAGGGAAACCGGTCGGGACGTGGAAGGGTAAAACAGGAGAAATGACAAGAAAAGGGAGGAGAAAATTCAACTCTCGCCATGGACTTCCTGCTGATGGTGATTGCGGCGCTTCCAGAACGCGAGCCGGAGTCGACTACGGCGCTTGGGCAGGCGACGCAAGACACCGTTGTGAGAGTCCTCGTGAACTCCTTGCGGGAATTCATTTTTGATGCTCTCGCCAGTAGTGGTGGACTGGGTTGGGCTGCGGGTGCCATTTGCGGTCGCATGAGATGACTCTTTGTGACTTCCATCATCGGGATGTGAGTGGCTTGTCTCCACACCACAGCTGGGGCTGCGACTATAGTTACTTTCCTGGTCCCCTGCATGCGAAGCATACGACGTGCTTGGACGAGTGCTGCTGTCATCTGGGGCTCCGAGGTCGCTTTGAGGAGCGCTGTCATCCGAAACCCGTTTCTCGTCCCCGCTATCCACATGCAAGAAGCTCGTGGCATTAGTCGCGGGTGAGATCGGTGTCATATTGTTGCTATAGGTACTGACGCTGTGCGTCCGTGTGCAACTATTGCGATTGGAATTTGACGGGCCAGATGTACGGACGGACGAGCTGTGATGAGCATGGTGACGGGTTGAGCTTGAGGTGGGTCCTTGGCGGGAGCTGCTTGGTCTCTCGGGTGCAGATTCATTCGTATAATCGCGATCTGTGATGCTTGGGGGAATACCTCCACCGTTGGTGGCTGAGTTGGCATAAAGTACAGCCGCCAAGACGGCTGGGTCCCCTGGGGGGCGATTTGTGGTATCGGTCAAGGCTGTATGATACTGCGTACTCACAGACCCTCTTGTTGACTGTGGCGCACCGGGGATCGAGAAGTATGAGAGGTCTGGCATCGCGCTAGACGATTTCCGGGAGGCAATCTCCGGCACGATTGGGCTGCCTGTAATCTCGATCTGAGGACCTGGTGTATCAGGCGATACTACTGGCTCGATGTTGTTCTCGTTATATGCATCAGGTGAAGTTCCATAGTCTGATGACCCAGGAGGATGAAATACGTCCTTTGAGTCGTCCGTGGACTGGACAGGAAGAGCTTTTGGAGTACTCTCCTCAGATTTGGCTGACTGTACCGCCGGGCTGCGAGAACGAGGGGAAACCGCGGTGCTCTGAACACCATGCTCGATAGGCAAACCTTGTTTCCGTAGCTCATCGTTGGCATGTTGTTTCCACTGAGCCTGGTTTTGTTTAATGTGATCAGCAGTAAATTGCAACTGCGGTAGAAGGTCGGAGATGCCTTCAAAAAGTGGAAGAGCGAAAATAGACATAAATCCAATTTGGCCCGTAGCCAATTTGTAGATATTGCCCAGCTCTGGCGGACCGCCAAAGAGCGCGGTTTCCATGCCCACTTCCTTCTCCATCTCGCCCTGGTTGGCAAACTCCTCTTGTAAAATCAGAGTCCATTTTTCTGCAATTTTCCAGGGCCGCGCCACGTTGCTGATATCGGCACATTTAATCAACAAACCACACAGCAGAGTCTTGTACATTTCGATATCTTGGGGCTTCCAGCCATCAACTGACTTGCCGTTCTCATAAAACTTCTCCTCCAAGAAACCCATCCGTTCCATAAACTTCTGGTGTACGCCCATATCGGTTGCCAAAATGGAACTGATGAGGAGCTTTCGAAGTTGCTTGTCTTTGAAAGCAGCGGGCCAGTGACGACGAAGAATCTGGGAGAAGGCGGCGCAATGGAAAGCTTCGAGGACGGAGTTATCGTTGTACAATTGAGCCAAGGGTGCGTTGAGCTTGACAAGGAAGAAATTGTTGACACCAGGGTGACCAACATCATGGCCAATCGCAGAGATGAGGAGCGTAAGAGCGTCGAAAGGAGTGAGAAGAGTAGCAATGGGAGTTTGCGATACGGTGTTTTGACCAATCGGTTTGTAGGGAGGCAAAGCGCCAATGCGAAGCAGGAAGCAAAAGACCGACTGCAGAACATCAATGGCGTGGCGGAAGTTGTGGTAGAGGACGAAGGAGTTGTAAGCAGCCCGACAGGCGAGCAAGAACGTTTGCAGCTCCCCTGGAGTCAACCGCCAATGTTCTAACCCGGGCATATCGTAGGCATGAGAAATCATCTCACAGGCAGCAAAGACTAGTTCATCCTCCGAAAACTCATGTGCCGAGAATTCCCATCTGCCAACTTGTTCCTTGATATAGATGGCACGCTCAGGTCCCACATCAAGATCGGGTTCTTGAAAATCATCAATGATTTCCTCGGGATTGCAGATTCCTTTCATGAGTTTGGATACCATCGCCTCTCTCAGATAGGAATATGGCTCTTCCTCATGAACCCCAACCCAAGAAAGCTTGCGCAACTTCTTCCGCGCTAAAAACCGAGACATCTCCTTCTGGGCGGTCCGCCGGGTCCGATATGCATGGACGACCAACCCCTGGATCCGGGACCGATCAAGTGGGGTCATCAGGACATCCACCGCGCCGGCATCGAGGCACCTTGCGATTTGTTTGTGCTCGAGAGTCACTGGATTCCGAGCTTGCGGCTCGCTGATTGGCTCCGATGTGGGATCGCCAGACGCGTCCGAGCCAGCGGCGCGCAGGATGGCGATGGGAATGACAAGGTTCGGCCCATCATGAACTTGTATATCGGTAGAAACGCCGGAAAGAAGCGCTAGGCCGGGCGCTTCATCTAAGTGTGAGGAGAAAGTGAAAGTACGCTGAATGGATCCCGGGGATGGGGGCGCATTGTCCGTCCACGAGGCCCGGCTCGCCTTGCGTCGGGCCAGATTTGACTCATCACTGCCAAAATCAATGCCAAAGAACGCAAATATCGGAGGACAATCACTGCCTGATCGGTCACTGAGCTCGGCAAGTTTGTTGGCAAAGGAGGATCCGGTCTGGCATAGGTAGACTAAGCCATCATTAGCAAGAGGAACGACCGAGCCAGGGGGCAATCCAAAAAAAGAAAAAAAAGTATAGACCAAGGCAAGAACTCACTCATTTTACACACACCCAACAGGTGCTCTACATCGGCCTGTAGCGCTTCCGGTTCCTCAGGAAGATTCAAGGACCCGATTGACGACAGGGTCGATGTGTCGATGGAATTTCGACGCACCCATCTTTCCGATCGGACTCGGTCGTCAATGTAGACGCCCGAACATTCCACGGGATCGACCATCATGTAACACACAGGAGGCGTTCGCACCGATTCAGGCCACGCCGCTGGAGTTGCGGGACTGTAGCCAATGGGTTGATTGAAGAGAAAAGGAAATCGAGGGGATTGGATCTGCCCTGCTTCGCATAAGGCTCGAACGACCGTGGGGGGAGAAGAGGGCAGTAGGGAGGCGACTCGAGGGAATCCAGAGACGACCGAGACAAAAAGGCGAGGAGATTCGGTAGTCCGAGGAAAAAGGATCAGGGGAGACCAGAGACGTGTGAGTCGTGGCGGACGGGTGTTTCAAAGACGGGGGTCGAAGAAAAAAGCGGAGGGAATAACGAGCGGCGAGACGTGAAGCGACCCGGATCAAGCGTCACTGAATGGATGCCAGAGAACAATCTCTTTCTCAGACAAACAAATTATCTCCAGCGAAGGAACGACAAGAGTCGGCCAGCCTAACACACAGCGCCCGAATCAAACAATGGAGTTGTTCGCTGCAGCGATCCAGCCCGAGTCGCGTTATGGACTGGACGATCCGAGACAACGCAGCGGCCGTCGCACCTCGCACTGGGAACAGATCGCGCGCAACCCGACCGGTGGGCGACTCGGAACAGGCGATGATTCGACCGGAGTGCCGGTCCAAAGGAGCGATAGTAGGATGGGCTTGTGGAAGCGGTCCGTAGAATCGGAGGAGGAGAGCCGAAGACGTTGCTGGTCTCTCGGGCTTGGGATGAGATTGGGGAGTTCGAGTTTCGAGTTTCGAGTTTCAGAGAGGGAGCGAGTCGTCAGGACGACATGATCGAGGCTGCAGCCGAGCGGGTATTGGGATTCAAGTATGGCTCTCGGGTTAGAGGGGAGGGGCGAAGGGTGGAGGATGGGGCGGTGGGTAGTTTGGAGGGAGATGGAAGTTGAGAAGTCAAGTAGTCAAGAAGTTCGAGGGCGAAAGGCAAAACAGCGAAGTGGAGGGGGAGGAGCGGGCGCACGGGGAAGGGGCTTCTTTGCTGCTTCCAGAAGGCCGAGGGGGGCGGGACGGGATGATCGTCTCTGCACGTATTTTACATTTCGTTCGAGGCCTTACCTTAAAATTACGGCACAGAAAACGTCGCGATGTGCAAAGATACGAAGATACGCCTCCCCCGAGATACCCAAGATACCCAGGATACGCAGATAACCAGGGCCCTTATCGATAGACGACGATCCCATGACCACGAATCTCTCTTTTCTTTGAACTCAATCCTCAGCTCGTCTCATCTTCATCCTACTCTCATCAGGTCCTTCATATACACTGTGTACCCTGCAGAGCCTCGATCCCAGTTGGTGGAGCCCTCCCAATGACGCTCGCAAGATTTTTTTCTAGAAGGCCCACGGTCTTAGGTAAGCCCCCCCGAAACACTCCAAATTGGCAACATCCTCCGTTCTCAACGCCTGTCATTGGCTGCGCCTACAGTATCCCATCGAGCCTCCGGGGAGTCCGCCGGGCACTTTGGGTGCGAGCGCCAGAGCGAGGCCAGACGGCATGCCTCCACTGGCTGAGACGCTGCAACGATGAAAGTGGATAGTGGAGATCGGGTCCGGTGTGAACATGCTTCCCAGCAGCCCCCTCCCCTCTCCCGTCGCGTTTGGGGGCTTTTTTTGTGTGACTGGTGAATTAAATCCCTTGGTGGCGGTGTTCGTGTGTGCGATAATTCAACCGTATCCACTCATCCAGCTTTCTACTACTCCTCGACAGTCTTTTTGCAATGTTTATATAATTCATCCCCTATCGGTACCAATCATTTGTCCCCAATGTTCAGCTGTGATGATTTCCTTTTATGATTTTCGCCAGGACTCTCTCCATGGTCCTTCCCTCGATTTCCGGCTGAGACTGGCTGATCCAATTCCGCAATGATCTCATCGACCTCTGAGGGGATGCGTCACTGTTCGTCGTTCCCTAACTCTGTTCTGTTTTTGAAGGGGACCCCCCTCCCCTTTCGTCAGCTTTGTCACAGTGCTCACTCCGCGTCACTCCCGACTCAACTGGGGATGGCCCCTGCACATTGACTGGACCAAAGCCCTCGTCACTGACGCCAGGCCGGGGTTGGTCAAGATGGAACACGCCACCGTTCCTGGGTCGCTGCATCTCTCTCCTCCTCGCTAACCTCCTTGGCCACTCAAGGGTCCCCAACTTGCTCCCGTCACCCAGCTAACTTTCAGCCGATTCCTGTGCGATCGTCCATGGTTCAGAGGGCGATCACAGCACAGCTTATGGGTGGGTGACTGTCTCAATCACCCACCCCCACTCCGATCCCAGTTCGACCTGACATGGGCAGCGGAAACACTAGCGCAGCCCCAACGTCCCTAGAGACGTATTGACGGGCGTTCCATTTCATTTAATTTGGGTTTTATTTCATTTGAATTTGGAATTGCTTAAATCCTTGTCATCAATTTCCGTCCCGTTTTCTTTTTTGCTGCGATCCATCATCAAAGCACTGATCTCTTGATTTCTTCACAAGATGATAACAACAGACTCGATCCTTGGGGCATAGCATCCCAGCTCCCCTGGTTCGCATCCCCCTCACACACATCTCACTCAACCACACAGATAAGCTTTCCCTTGGTTGAATTGCTCTCCAGCAGCTGATGCGCCTGCATGATCTGCTCAAACGGGAATACCTTCTCCACAAACACACGGAACGTGCCATCGCAGAATCGCGGCAGTGCATGCGACACCAGCGTGTCCCGCAATTTCCGCTGGTACTCCTCGTCCCGGCTGCGCAGCGTGCTGCCCTCCCACCCGGATGCGCTTCATCAGCAGCGGCGCGATGTTCACCCCGTCTGGCAGCTTGCCTCCGCCCATCAGACCTAGCAGCACCACGCGCCCGTCGCGTGCTGCCACGTCCAGGTTGCCTTGGAAATAGGTTGCGCCGATAAAGTCAACCGTGAGATTAACACCCGCCCCGCCCGTTGCGCGCTGGATCTCGGTGGCCCAATCCTCAGTCCGGTAGTTGAATGCCTTGGTCACGCCGAGCTCTTTCTCCAGGAAGTCAATTTTCTCCTGCGATCCAGCTGTCGCGTAGATGGCCTTAGCACCCGCTGCTTTGGCAAGCTGGATGCCCGAGATGGAGACGGACGAAGCGCCGGCGTGCCACAGCACTGACTGGCCCTCTTGGAAATCGCCGATTAGGAACAAGGCCTGGGAGGCGGTGATCCAGGTCTATAGTAGAATTGCGAAAAGGTCGCATTAGTTTCAAGTCTGGGTCCGCTCATCTGTAGATGTAGAAGCATGGAACGCAATAGATAGCACAGATAGAGAATGAAAGAACATCGAATAGGACAAAATGGCTCAATCATAACGCATGACGGTGACGAGCAGACTCAATGAATCAAACTCACCTCGGGCACGCCGGCCGCTTCCTCCCACGACAAGTCCTTCGGCTTGTGCATCAGCATCTTCGTCGAGACAGCAAGGTACTCCGCATATGCCCCTATGTCACCCTCGTAGATCAGCAACCCCATCTCCCACCAACCATCTTGACAATGTCATGAAAAAAACGAAAAGGACAATGCCACTCAAAAGGAGAGCACGCAAGCAAATGCATCAAATATGATGCACCATGAGAGAGAAAAAAAAAACATACCGCCATACGCCAACCCAAACACCTCATCCCCGACCTTGAAATCGCACGGCTCGTCCCCGCCAAACCCCTCCACCACGCCGGAGAACTCCACGCCCATGGTCGCAGGCGCTTGCGGTGGGACCGGGTACACACCCTCGCGCTGGAGCAGATCCATGCGGTTCAGGCCGAAGGCGCGAATCTTCACAAGGGCTTGGCCCGGGGCTGGAGCGGGCTTGGCGATGGTGTCGATGAAGAGGGATGTTGCGGGGCCTTTGCCGCCTTGGATGCCTGGGCGGGGGGGGTTAGTTTGGGGAGATCAATCGTGGACATGTTGAATATTGTGAGGGGAGAGAATGAAGGGGGTCGAAGGGTGGCTGTGGTTCGAATTGGGATCTTGGAGTGATGTGATAATAATGGTTTATGGTTGTACGTTGGAGGGGAGATTTATGGTGGGGGGAATTGTAGCTGGTGAATCGGTGATGAAGCTGGCTTACCGACTGCGCGCATTGTGGAAGCCATATTGAGTGATGGTAGTAGGTGAGGAGGAAAAGAGAGTTAGAGTGGGAGGTTTGAGTGGAGATATGGTTTTTTGAGATCTCTTGTGTCTCGCGGCAAAAGGATCAATTTCTTTTATATGCCGCGCAGCTTTGGTTGCTGAGGCAGCTTGGGCTCCGTCGGAGTTGTGCAATGCCAGTGCCCACTGGGGCGTGCATTTGTCAGCCTCTCTTGCTGCCAGCAGTCCCAGTGGAGACCCGAACGGTTAGTAAGTGACTGCGAGGTATCTCGACCACTTGGAATCCACGTCTCCCTACTCGAAGCCGCGGCATCAGCGGTTAACCGGCACAGCAACGGTGATTGCCGAGAAACCGAAGACCAGAGAAGAGAGAAAACACCATGATGACAAACTACAGGGAACACTGGAAGGTAGGAGGAGATCAAAGGGAAATAGCAAATGCGAATCAATTCTTCTAGCCGTATAAACGGGGGTAATCAATCAGAATCATCATAGCAGAGAAACAGGGGGAAAAAAGAAAAGTAATTTCACCAGCCCGACAAAGTACTCCATGCAACCCGTCACACCACGAAAACTTCCCATCTCCCAGTCCAGTCTGGTCCAAGGAAAAAGAAACCGCCGTCACACCTGCCGTCAAGACTCCACGTTGTTTTTCCAGCCCGTAATCGAAAGACGCCGAGAAGATGTCAGACAAAGGGAAAGATGGGTTGAAAGTAAAGGATTCAAAAGAGAAGAGGAAGAGGAACAGGTGGAGAGAAGCCAAGAAAAAAAGAGAAGAAAACTGCTAAAGATGGGCCCTGACATGAGTTCAAGTAGACGCCACATGGAAAGAAAGATTCATGGGAAACGGAGGATGAAACAAGAAAATCTCACGGGGAAGAAACAGACCATTCCGCGGTGCTTTTGGTGTTCAGAGTACCACACACATATGCAATAGACCAGAGCAGAAAAGTAGACAAGAGGAAAAAGGGGAACACATAAGTATCATACAATCCGATGAACGGACACTCCCGAATCCGAAGTCGCCAACGGACGAGATAGGGAAGCTATCACGAGAGAAGGTTCTTCAAAGACGGGCTCGCACTAGCACCAGATCCAGAGCTTGTGCCATTCACGCCAGGGTGCCGACCAGCCACCAGCGAAGGAGGCGTATCACCCGGCCGGTTTGGAGGAGTGGGCCCGCGCGGGTCAAGCCGTGCTTGGGCGACTGGCGGCGAATGCGACGGCGCACCTATTCCACGGTCCACTGAGTACATGCGATGCGGCGGGCCTCCGTTGAGTGCACTAAGCGACGTTTGCGGAGACCGATTGACGGTTGCCTGCACGATGGGTGGGGATGCCGAGGATGGGTATGGACGAGGCGGAGCCTGGGAGAGATGCGGTGATCGAGCAGTTACAGGACCATAGGGACTCTGGTGCTGATGTGTGGCATACGGCTGCGACGGGGGTGGCGGAGGGGGCCCTGCGTTGGCGTAAGGAGACGGCGAGGGTCCCGGGATGTGCGCCGAGGGGTAGCCTCCGAGGTGATGAGGTGGAGGAGGCGGAGGAGGCCCCGCAGAATACACAGGGGGTGACATGCCATTGCGCAGGCCGGAATCAGGACCCGGTCTTGGATCATAACCTCCCACATATCCCGAGTGCGCGCTGTGTGAATGAGCAGGGGGAAGGGGACGCCCAAGTACACCGGTCGGAGCAGAATGGGAGTGCGGCACAAAAGTGTGACCAGCACCGATACGCGGAAGCATGGGACGCTGAGCGGAATAAGGCGAAGGTCGAGGGTCGGGAGCGGGCTCGGGTACAGGTGGATTCTTCAAGTGGCATTTGTGGCATTCGTATGCTGGCTCCGGGGCGTCTCCATTGGGGTGTGCAGTGAATGAACCTTGTGCCAGATGACGGGAAGGGAAGGATGGGCTAGCAGAGTTAAGTCCAACTCCATTTGACAGAGGACCCCGAGGATCGGTACGGCGTTGACTAGGCCACCATCTGGGGCTGTAGTCAGCCGAACAGCGCACACATCTTCTAGAAGTCGTGACTCCAGAGACAGGCTGAGGTGCCGGAGCACGGTCTTCAGTGTCGATATCCATCTCGTCAGCCACATCCTCGGTCGGTGTGGGTGGGGGCTTATGGGTATCTTTAGGCGCTGCCAATGCACTACTGGTCGAAGCACGTCGTTGGGCTGCGCTGATGCCAGGGTGAGCCGGAGGCACGATTGATTGTTGCATATATGCCGCCTTGCGTGAGGTTCCCGTTAAAGTGAGATCAGCTTGCTTATATGTCCGAGCGAAGAGCTGCAGAGCATTTAGGCCATCCTGGCCAACTGCCTCACTGACCTCATGAACCGTGGTCGAGACACTGTGATTGGGACAGTAGATGACCGGCGTGGCCATGCCAGCCTCACTGCCCAGGCGGATAGTCTGCACGCTGTCCTTACGAGAGCCCTTCACAGGTGTGACATCAAGACCAAGGCGATACCCTGCTTGGAAAGCACAGCCGACATGGAAATGAGCATTGCATCCAGTAAAATGGCAAGGAACACAAGCGCCCTTGGACGATTTGCAAATCTTGCAAACTTCTCGCCATCTATCTTTGGGGATGGATCCAAATCCCTCTGCAGGCTCCAATTCAACCGCGTCACCGTACTTGATTTCAGGAGTCCACAACGTGCACATCACGTGGGCCCAATTGTTGCCGGCAGTGCGCTTCAGAGGTTCCCGAGGACCGACGGGTTTGCCGACCGCTTCCTGTCGCTGGCGGTACAGCTTAATGGCTTCGGTGACCATCTCCTTCTCCAGGCGTTCCTTCTCCTTATCTCGATCGGACTTCTTTCGGCTGTTGTTCTTCGTGGTTTCCATAAGGTCATGCTCGGTCCATGTAACAGGGCACAGGACACATTCATAAGTCGTAGAAATCGAAGGACTGCGGTCGTTAGAGCACATGTCACAGAGCCACTTGTTTCCGGCACGGTATGATGGCACTCCGTAGCAATTCCGATGAACAGTGAGGCGACAGTCTCGGCAAGAGACATGTTCTTCACCCATTGGCTCTACCTTGCTGCATACCGCACAAGGAAGAGTCTTTGCTCTTGGCGGATCAGGGACCACAGGAAGCCCTTCGGCGGTCTTCTCGGCCACCACAATCTTCTTCTTCGGCATAGGCTCCACGGATGTCGCGGTAGATGTCGCTGTACTCGGGACGTCACTGCGAGGCTTCTTCTTGTCCAATTTGTTTTCGGGCTGAAGCTGTGGGTTAAGATCAACTGGAATGCCGATGGCCACCGCTGTAGCTGCCGTAGCACTGCTGATGGAGAAAGGAGTCTCGGTAGCAACAATCATCTGCGCGAGCAGCTCCTCGTCAATACGTCGCCTCCAAGACTTGTTGCCACTAGCAGCAATTCTCTTTCCAACCTCATCAATGTCCTCATATTGGAGGGCGTATTTACGCCACAGCAAGGCACAGCGGAGACAAAGAGCGACCGCGAGCATAGGGCCCTTGTCCTTCTTCGCCGAGGGCTCAGAAGGAACCGTAGTGCCTGGAGGAACGCCGGGAGCACGTCGCCATTGTCGGGAGCTCCGCGTTGTGCAAAACTTGCATTGGAACCCACGCTTCTGAATCGCCGCTTTCTCGTTGTCGAAAGCGGAATCATCGTGGTCATCGGCAACGTCGTCAAGCAACTTGGATGAAACAACACTCTGCCGCCGCACCTCCTTCTTGCCGCGCCGCCCTTCATAGCTACCCCATATTTGTCGACCACGGGGAGTCTTCTTCCACATATAGTAGAATCGAACGATCTGGTAGTGTGGAACGGTTTTGACATGCTTGGTGATATGGCGCCACTCCGATCCGAACTTACCCACAGCCTGTTCGAAGAGTTTCAACTCCTCGGGCCGGAGATGAGGTTCCTTAAGATCCTTATATTTATTGACCTTCTTTAGCTTGGCAAGTGCGGCATCGGCATTGAAGCTTTCTGAGTATAGAAGCTCAAGAGCCTTGTCCAAGAAGTTGGTACAGTACTTCTCTACTCCAACATCAGGAGCCAACTCCCTTGCTTGACGCATATAGTCGTCAATGAAAGCCTCCCGTTCAGCGTCGCTCAGATGGGAGCCGGGCGCATCGTCTTCGCCACGAGCGGGAAGCTGGTCAGCGGTGGGCATTTTAAACAATATTTCGGCAGTGCGCGCCTGCTTTCCGTTATTCATTGTCACTGGTTCGTCCTCTCCGCGTTGAATATAACCGGTAGGTTGATCTTGAACCCACTTGGGCCGGGTGGCCTTCTCTTGCTTCGCAGCCTCCAGCGCTGCTTTGGAATCGCTGGTCAATTTGGTCACTTTCTGGCCGCCGCCCGAGACACGCGAATACTTCTTCTTGAGCTCGACAGGCTTCACGTATTCCACAGGACGCCCGGGCCAGGGATTGACAATGGCTTGGTGACGAGGTCCGAGACGGGAACTGGCTCGCGGGTAAATTCGATCATCATAGTCAAGAGCATCCTCCACGCGGCAGTGCATGCCCAGGTAGCGGTACGGCCACATCCGAGCCTGGGCCATCTGTTCTGCGGTTTCGGGTTGGGGCATCGAATCCTCGATCGCGGCTGGTGTGCTGACGGAGGTCCCATTTGTGACACCGTTGAGATGATGATGATCTTCTTCCTCCTCCTCCATCACCTCGTCCTCACCCTCGGCTCGGGTCTCCCCAATGAGAGGAGTATTGCGCGCCTCGAGTTTGCGCTCCTGGGCACGGCTGCACGGTGCACAGGCCCAAGCAAAGCCACGGGCAGGCTTTTTGGTGAGCGCCGGCCGAACACAACCCATATGGTAGGTGGAGCGGCACACCGCGCAATCCACCGACTCAGCATTAGCGGCGAACAGGTGGCAGCGCTTGCAGGTCTTGACCGCACCGGTCAATTCCTTGCCTTTCCCCATTTCCACCAGAATGAATTTCCAGCGGTCATCCAAGACACGCTTGACATTGGGCGGGACATTGACCACATCCTTAGTCGGAATGACATCGTATAGTCGATGGATATAGCGATCAAACATCTTGTCGTACCAGAACGAATCGCGGCCTTTCTTATACGAATTCATGTCGTCGATTTCGGAGACATGTTTAATCAGACACTTTCCGCGGAGGGACGAGAGTGGACATGTGTCCGAGTGCATTGATGCATACAAATATCGGGTGTCGGGGCTGTGACGCTGAATGTCACGGGGGCGATAATACCAATTCACCCGTAAGGCTTCGATCACGCCGGACTCTTTAGTTTTGGACGGAAGAAATTCCATAATCCGAGCCAAATAATATGGCTCGCCTGGAGGTTCACAAATCAAATACACATGATCTAAAATGCGATGATTAGCTTGAGCACTGGTTGGTGGATATGGTAGACGCTGGAGGCTCGCGTAGAATTTTTTTTTCCCTCCTCGTTCTCCAGAAAAAAAAAATTTTTCAAATAAAATACAACTTACCATTGACAGCAAATGTGGTACCATCATCTGATTTAATTTGGCCGTCTCTGAGGAAGGGGCCAGAAGCCTCGAAGCTCATCATATTCGTGAAATAGCCGCTGTCGGACTCGCCCGGGGCGGACGTGAAGATGCGCTTCGCGGCATTGCCGGTATTAGTGCTCGACGTCGGGGTGCTGGCAGGCTGTTTGCGCTTCCGGAGCGAGCCCGCGCCGTTGACATCCTCTGGACGCGCCGAAAATGACGAGGTGCCGGGAATTGACTCTTTCGGGGCAGACTCGGCCGCGACGGTACCCTTGGCGAGGCTGACGCCGTTTGTTAGACTCTTCCGTGGTGGTGCTGATGCCGTCTTTTCCGGAATGACGGGCGTGGAGGTCTTGACGACCGGTGACAGTTTGGCGGTCTTGGTGGGCGCCGCCTCTAATTCCATGTCGATGTCACGATCCTCAGCGTAGTTGGGCCGAGGCGCATTGCGGCCTCTCGATCGCGTCCCATAAGGGGCCGCAGCGGAGGCATTGGCCGGATCGGCCACAGCCTCCGGGGAGTTGCTGGTGGTCATTGAGTCGAAAACTTAGTCATCCACGGCAGGCATGGGTTGGAGATCCCAATTCCTGGATTCAAAATAGAGAGAACACCCCGCGTGACCAGCACGAAGGTGTGGTGGTGGTGTGGTGGGAATACTGTGGGCAGTCAGTGAGTGCGGACCGACGCTGTGGCGCGGATGCATGTACGTGGATGGAGCGGGTGATATGTGGGAAAAGTGGAAACCAGGGCCGGGGGGGGCGAAAATCTCAAGGCGGGCAGTCGAGAATGATATTGGGCGGGATGCGGGAACACCAGGAACAGGGAAGAGGATACGAGGATCAGAGCATCAGGGAGCAGGAAAGGGAGAGGGGGGGGGAAAGGAAAAGAAAATAAGGTGGGCACAGAATGCCAGAGTGGACCAGACACGCCCGTGTCAGATTGGATGCACTGCAGGGGTTTGGGAAGGGTCATGGTTGGAAGAGGCAAGATCTCGCACGGCTTCAATAATGAGCGGGATATGGAGGGTCTGGAGAGACAATAGAGAGGGCCAAAAAAAAAAAAAAGAAGAAAAGAAAAGTGACGGCTGGATTAGGCCGGATAGGCAGCGTCGACAGCGTCGACAGGGCAGCAGCGGCGAGAGGCAGGATGGGCCGATATCAAGGGAAATCGCCAGCAACCTAATCCAGGACGGAGATCACGAAAAGGATTCCGGGGGAAGATGGCGGTATATGGGAAAGACGGAAGAGGGAGAATAAGGCAATCGACGGAAGGCCGATGGCAGCATCGATAGGGAAGGGGGACTAGGAAAGATACGACTTACCAAGATCGAACTGGCGGAATGCGCGAAGGGGGAGGTGGAGGAGAGAAGAAGAGGAAGAGGTGGTGGGAGGCAAAAAAAACGAATCTGGAGAGACGCGATGGGGAAGAAGCGCTGCGGTACGAAACAAAACAAGCGCGCAGCCACCCGGCACCGAGCCAAAGGACAGCAGGGAAATTTCCCTCCAGAGACCCGGATCGAGCGAGATCGAAAACGGGTGATGATACACAAGACCCCGGATTGTCAGGACAGGAATCAGACGGCGGATACGCAATGCCCCAGATCGAGGCGGATCAGAGACAAGCGAGGGCGCGCGGCATATATAGAGGGCAGGCGGGAAGGGAGCAGAGGGGGTCGGAAGGGGACGAGAGACCGATGGGAAGTATAATCAGAGACGGAGACGATAAGAGGAGAATGGGGGAGTATGACGGGAATATAGATCGAGGGGAAGAGAGGGGGGGGGGAGACAGAAAGAGAAAGAGAGAGAGAGAGAGTATCAGGATCTAGAAGAGACTCGCAGACCTGCAAGAGAAAAAAAAAGACGAGGATCCCGAGCGTGCCCCTAGTCCCGATAAGTGAATATGACGGATCCTCCAACGCCGTCGAACGGTTGACCCAAAGGTCATCGAGGGAAATCAAATCCAGGCGAAACAATGGTCGGCCCCCGTCTTCGCGGCAGACCAGCAGGAGCCCAGTCCGAATCTACGGTCAAACGGAGAGGAGGGGGCAGGCTCCGGACAATAGCAATCCAAAATTGCGGAATAAGAGAGGTGGACTAAGTAGACGAGGTAGACGGGGGAAACTAGGGAGACTAGGTGAACTAGGTGGACTACGCAGACTTGGTAAACTAGGTAGGCTAAGTAGACCACGTAGAATACGTGGAATGCCCAGAATACTCGGAGTACGTAGAACAGGTAGAGAAACAGCGCAGGGGAGAAAGAGAAGGAATCGTGCAAAGGGGAGAAAGAAGAAGAAAAAAAAAAAAGGCCGCGCGAGCGATGTATTGGGCCGTTACGTCTCCCCTTGCTCGTCGATCTACGTGCTGCCGCGATACAGAGTATACTGGAAGGGGCAAAAAAGAGCAACAGGCCTGACCGGGATTGTGAGGAAACGGTTCTCGCGGCGATCCCCAGCACGGAGTATAGGGATCTTGAGGGACTTCGAGAGATACTATAAGGTTGATCCCCCGAACGGCGAATCGGGCGGGCAGCAGAATACCAGACCCGATCTCGTGTGCAGAGAAGGATGGTGGAGCCCGGAACCACTAAAGGAGAAACGGATGGTGTAGTTCGCGAGGACGAAGGGCATCCCAGGACCCTCCGAAGCCACCGGGACGGGGATTTCCTCACGAGGGTTCCTCAAGACCTCCCATCAGTCTCCTAGGGAATCAAAGCTGCAGACTCGATCACGCTTCTCGTCGGTCGGGGCTCTTGAGTCCAACCCCGACGGAGCCACTCGAGTCGAGTAAATGCTATCACGTCGGAGGCGCGCGTTTGGGGGCAAAAGGTTGACCGCACCTCTCCCGACCAAAGGGCCGGTCGTCTGCCCAGGCTGAGATCCGTGGGTTGCGCCAACAGACAACGCCAGTCATCTTCTCGCCCTCTCCATCACACCGTCACGCGAAGCTTTCCGATCTCTGCCCCATTTGAAGGGAGAAGGGGAGGGGGGCACCCTGTTGTGTGAGGTCTGGTTTGAGCTCTGCCACTTGCAGTTCCCATCCCGCCCCGTGGTGGATTTTCCCCGGGGCGATCGTCTTGGGTCCGACCATCGCCTGAGAATGGCCTCGGACGAATACGGGGGATCTCCTATGAACATTGCTGGGCAGCCAGTCTGTGTCTGGGCTTTCGCGTGTAATGATTCCCATCCAAGCCCAGAGGGTGAGGGCGAGGCCGTTCGTGATATTGTGGTCGACGTGGGCAAAAAGGGCACTAGCCGGACTCCACACATCAACGATCCCTGCGGAAAGATTACGGTACGGCAGGGTACGGCAACGGTACCTGGGACACACTGCGTCTCTGTGACGGAGCTGGGAAGGGACCTCCTGCGCCAGAAGCCTGAGTTCCTCCCCATCTACATGATATTCATTCGAGTGATGGAGCGAGTAGAGCCGTTCTATTTAGCCCCAATATTCCCTGGTCATCTGTCCTTTTTTTTTTCTCCGTAAATTTTTGGGGAGAACGGGGGGGGTCGAAAGGGGCTGGGCCAGAGCGATCGCAGATGGGTCTTTGTACCACATTGCACCCAAAGTATGGGCCGTCCTATCCTCCCTTGTTGCTGCGCGAGGGGAGGGGAGGGCCTGAAGAGAGAGGCCCAAGGTCCGAAAAAAAAAAAAAAAAAAGGAAAGGAAAGAAGACACCCGAGAGCGGATTGTCAATAGTGTCGGAATATTGATCGCATATCTCGCTACCAGTAGGGAATGAGGTTAATTGAAGGAGGCGTCGTATAGCCCCGATGCCGGATTGGAATTCCACGAGGAAGAATATATCGGTCAGTGTACCTGGATTATTATATATATTCATATATCTATTTATCTGATGTCAAAGAGAGAGGTATATATAATGTCTTCAATTCGTGTACCATGCAATCATGATGAAATGATCAATCGGTGAACACTCAGTCATCCATCCAACGGAGTCGTATGCTATCGTACGATTCATTCTTAACGAGGGGCTGTGACGCCGAGTGGGGGAGGTCGACTATTTCAGAAATATTGCCTGCCCGCGTGCGCGAGCCCCATCGGAACCATTTGGGCCAAGGCCCAGCAAAGCGAAGCAAGGGCGACGGGCCCCGCTATCGCTATGCATTTCAGACAATCCCGACGACAGAACTAATCAGAACGAATCGAAACTAATCAGAACAGAGATATCGGGATCGTATCATCTGTTTTATTTTGACCATGTTCGTTCCGCTCGATGGAAATGGTGTTTATGCTCCAAAAATGGTTCTGTTACAGAAGGATAGTGTGTGCGCGAGTGTGTGGTTCGTTATGAAGATCCTAAACCCCCATCCCTCCTCTCTTGTGTGTCCTTCTAATTATGCTATTTTATCCTCTACTTTGACTGAATTAACCATTGACATCAAAGCCTCGAAGATCGCTCGAATCGTTCAAATCCCTGAAAAAGAAACCCCCCTAATTTCCCTCATTCCGCATTTGCCTCGATTTTCTCTCATAAATTTCCCAATTTCGTCTTGGATTCCTAATTTAAACTTCTACCGCCCAGGCGGTCCAATGATGATCCGCCGCGCCGACAACTGGCCGCTGGTGGCCGAGAATGATTTGCTCCCGGCGGCTGTTGCGTGTCGCCACCCTGCATTTGCGTGGGCCAAAGCTCCCAGAACGTGCCGATAGTCCAGGGAGCGTGTGTGAATCAGACCGCCTCCGAGAAGGGGGCAAATTGCCGGACAGAGTAATATGCTCTCCCAATCCACCCTCCCCCCTCCCCAGCCCAATTACAGAGGGTCAAGCTCACAACAGTTTCAGTATGAAAAATTTGGGCTTATGACATGAAAGCCCGGCCCTGGAGCATAAGCCAGCCAACGTAGGACCATGAATTATGATCGCGGGGCCTAGACAGTCCTTTGTCGCTCCCTAGTAGTACGAACGATGCATCCTTTCAACCTTGGCATGACAGGGTAGTCCGAGACGAGAAACCCAGACCTTTGCGAAGCCTAGAAAACTAGCACGAGGTCATCTTACGAGAGAGAGTGATGCTGGTCCTCTATTGCAGCTCTCGCTGTCTCTTTCTTTCTCCTTCTCTTTCTTTTTCTCTCTCATATGCATGAGAACCCCTCCAACGCGACCGGTTCTCTCTCGATGCACGCTTAAAATGCCCGCCGCCCACTCCCTATCAACCTGCCCGCTCCGGCCAGGAATTTGATTCGCCCACGTTGCTCGAGTGGGATTTTGGACGGAGGATCCCAGTCAGGCGGTAAAAACAAAGAGCGGCTCGTCGGCAGCCTAACTGGGGTCTTCGCGACAGGTAACGAGTTGATATAGTTGGTTTCAGGGTAAATGACAATGCCTCTGCTGGATTGCCAGGAATGAGAATACGGACCTACATTACAACTCCCATTTGACATGGTAGTTTCATTGCCCACCAGTCTAGACTGAGAACCGTGTACTCTCTCCTTCTGATGGCATTGTGATCGAGCCCGCCATGTTCTTCGAGCGGAGGAACCCAAGAGAGAAAGAAATTTTCCTCGACTTGACGCCACATGCTCCGTTTCCAGGCCGGACTGGTTCCAGTCCCGCGGTCCACCGACGATGAAGTGCGCCCACACACAACCCACTAAGCCCCTCGTCGACATCTGTACAGATTACTACAGTACTCCGTCCCGACACCGTACTCGGCCCAACGTGCTCTGGACCAGGCAGCAGACTCAGCACACCGTAGATGCGAGCCCTAGAGTCAATCTGGCGTAATCACACCAGGCAGACTTATCGTGGGCCCGATCGTCATGAAATCCCCCACCTCAATGTGGTACGGCCCCTGCACCCCGGGCCCCATCTGCCGGCGGGATGTTGGTCATCATGCCCATGCCCATGCACTCGATCGACAGACACTACTCATTCAGTGCAAGGGGGCCCTGGGTTGGGGTCCCGGATTCCAGGCGATTCATTGTCAGCGGAGGAGGACATCATTCTTCCAAAAGACACGCCATTCGGCTTATATGATCGGAAGAGAGAAGCTGGTCTGGTTCAAGCCCACTTGCATTGACGGAGTTCTGCCTTTTGGTCTCGTGAACGCGGCGATCCAGGAACCGATTATCTAAGCTTAAGCTTATACTGTACCTCCTTGCCTGAGGCACCACATCCGCGACCAAAACACGCTCGTTACGTTGGAAAAAAAAACAACGAAGGGGGTGGGCAAAAAGGTACTGAAACGATGGACGATCGGCTCATTTCAAGTGTGATGCTCCCTCAGCCAACCTCATTCTTGCGTGAAGAAGCCCGAGGCGCAAGGCATGTCGACCCCGCTCCGCCATTCCAGTCCCGCGGCGTCGAAACCTCGATTGATATCGCACGTCGCCAAGCGTATCAGGTACCTCCAGTAGCGGGGACAAAGCGGCCATCAACGGCGACCACCGAGCAATCATTTTCTGAGACCGTCCTCGTAGGAACCGGCGAGTCTAAGCCTTTCTCACGGTGGCACGAGCTAACGGATGATGACATCGTGGAATCAACACCCTTGAATTCCGCCCGAGCTTCGCCGGCCCCTCCTGTAAATCGATTCCGGGCCAGCAGAATTCACCCAGGCCCCGGTTCAACACCCACCGACGAGGGATTGCACCAGCAAAGAAGCGTGTCCACCGCGCCGGGATCCAGCCAGAATCCTCTGCTCTCATTGGCCAATCCCAAGTACGGGCTGCCGGCGGCGCTCACGGCCAACTTCGCGGCACTGGGCGTCCAGAATATCTACCCGTGGCAGGCATCGTGTCTATTAGCCCGCGGCTTACTCTCGGGCGAGCGGCATCTGGTCTACACGGCCCCCACTGGTGGGGGAAATCGCTGGTGGCGGATGTACTCTTGCTGAAACGGATCATCGAGAATCCCGCCCGTAAGGCTCTCCTCGTTCTGCCTTATGTCGCGCTAGTCCAGGAGAAGCTGAAATGGATGCGCCGGATCGTCCAGGAAGTGGAGAGGCAGGTCCCTGGGGATGAGCCCGACGAGACTTCGTTCCCGTCCAAGCGATGGAAGAAGCTGCAGAAACAGATCCGCGTTACTGGGTTTTTTGGCGGAAGCCGGACCACGGCGACCTGGGCGGATACTGATATTGCTGTGTGTACTATAGAGAAGGTGTGCCGTCAAATCACTTGCTTTGGGTTGCATACAGCCTTTTTTTCCCCATCTCTTCTAATGTATGATGATCCCTAGGCAAATTCGTTGATAAATTCTGCGATCGAAGAATGTAGCATAGGGGACCTGGGTGTGGTGGTGCTCGACGAGTTGCACATGCTCGACGATGAGCATCGCGGATATTTACTCGAGCTCATGATCACCAAATTACTGCTCCTTCGGCAAGACATTCAAATTGTGGGCATGAGCGCCACTCTATCGGTATGGACCCCAAAAATTCTGACAATTCAGTTGCGATCGACCGGCTGATGTGGTTTCAGAATACGGAAATGCTAGCCCAGTGGATGAACGCCAAGTTCTACATTTCCACACATCGGCCCATCCCCATTGATGAATACCTTGTCTACGACAATGCCATTTATCCGGCAGCAACGTCCCGACAACTGTTTCAAACGGCATCCAAGCTGACTGCCTCGACCTCTTTGCACGGCTCGATTCCGCCGGATCGGATCATCGAGCCCTCGGCCTACGACGAACTCAGCAATGCGGCGACAAATGCCATGGTAGCATTGGCTGTGGAAACTGCGTCCGCAGGCTATGGTGCCCTCGTCTTCTGTAGTAGCCGTGGATCATGTCAGATACACGCGGCTGCCATTAGCGAAGCTATGCCTGGGCTGTCTTCAGAGCAAGCGGAAGAATTCAGCAAACGGTTGGATCTACTTGCGGACCTTCGGAGTCTAGCATGTGGCCTGGACCCCGTGCTAGAAAAGACCATTGTCAAAGGGGCCGGATTCCACCGTGCGTTGGTTCTGATATATCCGATGAGATGACTTTGCCCGACTGACAGATTTGATTAGATGCTGGGATGACAACGGAGGAGCGGGAATTGATTGCACAAGCTTACGATCAGGGTGTATTGAGAGTGCTTGTGGCTACATGCAGTTTAGCTGCTGGCGTGAACCTCCCTGCTCGCAGGGTCATTATTAATGGTGCACGAATGGGGCGAGAACTGGTAGGGCCCGCGATGCTGTATGAAGCCCCCCCTGTATTTTCTTTTTTGTTTCATGTTCATTCCAATGAAAACCCCCATGCTAATTACATCAGACGTCAAATGCGCGGACGTGCAGGACGCAAAGGGAAAGACGAAGCGGGAGAGACATATTTGATATGCGTGAAAGCTGATCTTGGAGCTGTCTGCGATCTGTTAGATGCAGATATGCCCGCTATTGGGAGCTGTCTGGCCCCCGAAAAAAGAGGAATGAAGCGGTATGGTCACCTCTTTCAGCATGCTTTCCGCCCCTCGCTGACTAGTATCTGCTCTATAGAGCACTTCTGGAAGCAGTCGCCACTGGCCTAGTATCTGGAGACGAGGCGATTAAAGAATATGTCCGCTGTACCCTTCTCTACCGAACCCTCGACAAAAAGCTCGTATACAGTATCATGAAATCAGCCCTCCAGGAATTGATCGATGAAGGGCTTCTGCTCTTCAGTGAAGACGAGTCCTACGAGGCAACTCACCTCGGCCAGGCCGTCGTTGCATCAGCATTCACCCCGGAAGACGGGCTCTTTGTACACGAAGAATTGAAGCGAGCCCTGCAAGCATTCGTCATGGATGGCGATATGCACATATTCTATATGTTTGCACCCCTGCAAAATTCCATGGACACGCCAATCGATTGGCAAATCTTTCGCGATCAGCTGGACCATCTAGACGAAAGTGGCCTCCGTGCCCTGCAGTTCATCGGTGTCCAGCCAGGATTCGTCAATAATATGTAAGTTGTCAGCATTCCTAAAGACCTATATCACGAATCCCAGACATATATCTCCAGGTCTTCGCTCACCATGTCCGCCACAGGGTTCAATCTGGCGCCTCTCTCAAAAAAACCAACCCCATCCAGATCAAACAAGCCCGCATCTATCGCCGCGCCTACACGGCCTTCCAACTCCGCGACCTCAGCAATGAAGTCCCCCTCGCCACCATCGCCAAGCGCTACCGCATCCCGCGCGGCGCCGTCCAAACCCTCGCGCAGCAATGTCACGGCTTCGCCGCCGGTATCGTTAAATTCTGTCAGCGCATGAATTGGGGCATGCTTGCCGCCGTGCTCGACCACATGCGTGACCGGCTCGAGGCAGGCGCCCGGGCGGATCTGCTCGAGATGGCGCAGGTCATGTTCGTCAAGAGCTGGACGGCGCGCTTACTCCGTGAGAATGGGTTTCGGAATCTACGCGCCTTGGCTGAGGCAGATCCAAAGGACTTGGTGCCAGTGCTTATGATGGTATGTCTTCGCAGTGCTTCCTTGTCTCCTTTCTACTGCTATGTTACGCGGTATAGTGCAAGGACTAGGTACTGACATGGCGCTCTAGGTGAATCCGCGGAAGACGCAGAAGCATCAGCTTCACCCTACCGAGGCTGAGAGGTTTGCGGCGAAGTTACTGGATAAGGCAGAGGCCATTGTTGCTTCGGCGAACAAGATATGGGGTAGGTGATTTTTGCTATCCTTGATTACGTGGGTATGGATTGTTGACTGACCGTCGTTCGGTAGACCGAGAGATGCAGCTAGAGTTGGAGGAATAAGCATGAAGCTTGGATTGACCTATTTTGAGCAATATGGCATCTGGAAAATCCAGTATTTAGTGATTGAATTAGCGTATGCATTAGAGAGCGTTGGCGCTTGGAGTAGATATTTCCTTTCATGGGATAATTCATCGAGATTCAGTCAAAGGGTCACCATACTATAATGCATTATAAACATTCTCTAGAGCCCGTTCAGTGCATTCTGTGCGTCAATCACCGCGCCCTTGTCCACAAAATCTGCCAGCACGACATTTGGAGCTCGGTCATACAATGCCTCGCACTCGGATGCTTGCGCCCCAATGCTGCCCTCACCACTCACGGCGTTGGTGGTTGATGCAGCGTCGCGGTCCGGGATATCAATCCCCAGGATATCAATATCAAGGAAATGATTGACGATGTACATCCGGCCTGACGCGGAGGCTCCGGCGGGCCGGTCAATGCTACAGCTCGGAAAGCTCGCATCAGTCACATCGTAGGATGTCTCGAAGTAATAGGCAAATTCATCGAGGATATAGTCTACTTGGGTGGTGTCGGCACCGTAGTCTGTGATGTTTGTCGTCAACATGATGAAAAAGAAATTGTAGAGAGAGCCACATAATCTGTCTCTATCTCTTTGAAATATGATTAACTTACCCAAGAACACAACTAGTCTCTTTCCACTCGAAATCAGGTCGCCGATGGTCGGCCAGTCGTCAATAGAAATGGGATTCGACGACGGCACATACGCATAGCTATCGATTCCACTGCTTGCAAACGTATCTCCGAACTTGGAGATCGCGACAGAGTCACCGTTCGTCAATAGCAGGGTGACAACTTCGTCCGCATTTGAATCCAGCCAGCCCTTGACGGTGGACAGGTAAGACTCCAGGGTACCGGCATCCTTGAGCAAGCAGGAAGTGTGACATAGCTCTAGGACATCGTCGTCTAGGAGCGAATGATGTGTTTGTGCCTGCAGGAAACGGATGCCCATGTTCAATTGCGCCGTGACATCGATATTCTGATTGTCTTGGGGGAGGTCCCCCACGAAGGCCGAGTCGTGCGAGCCCACGAATGAGACATTTGAGTATGAACGGCTACACAACTCAGAGTGACCATTGCAGGTGGTTGCTCGCTGCAGTAATCCGGGCCATGGAAACGCACCCGCCGGCTGTAGGAGCAAGAGGGTACAGAGCAAAGCTCGCGTCAATCCATAAATAGAAATTTTCATTGTGGTAGGCTTCGGCTTCGACGCGAAGGGGTAGAAACAGATCAGCCGCGAAGCAGGTATATATGCGCGAGTCTAGTATGCCCTCTCCTTGGGATTTGTTCGAAGGATTCGTAGATCAGTCACCAGCCCACTTATAGACACAGTCCTACCCCCTATGGGTTGTTGTGACCGATATATAGGTGACTTTGGCGGTCATGCCGGCCAACGAGGTTGCGGGAAGATGACCAGCTCCCCCAGCATTCCACATGCCGACGATCCCTAGCCCGAACAGAACGGGCGCAACTGATCGAGATCATGGCCTCATGTTGGCACTGGCTATGGTGATAGGGCACCCCCGGTCACCAAGGCGCCCTTGTGACTCGATGTAACAGCAAGCCCCGCACTAAGGCAGGAGTAGGGTAGCCGGGAGGAAGATAGGGGGAAATGGAGGAGTCAAGGAACCGCCTGGGCAGGGAAGCTTAGCCCAGGAGCGATTCCGATCTCTTAAAATATTCACGGATGAGCTTGCGATCCTCCGTGTCCTCCGTGGTTGCATTTCGGCACGGGAGAACCCGCCAATGATGGTGTCTGATGGGGGGCCAGGAGGATTCGTCGGGGAGGGGCACGTTCTAGAGGCGATTCTTCCTGGTGCTTAGATGAGATGTGCCACGGATATATTCAGTATATTCGCCTCGTGGAGGAGCTAGTTGTCTGTATATGGAGTATACTGCGTGGTATGACATGAGAGATGCATAGTGTAATGGTGTTGGTGCGAACGATAACCGAGTTGTAGTATATATATATCTCTCTCCGCCGAGGCGATCGGTAGTCGGAATACGCATCAGATATTCATTCATACATGACAGGAGAAAGCAAAACCCAACCCATATTATACCGTAACTTATTTTTATGCGTCCAAAAACCGACCCCCCAAAAAAGCGACTGATGTCGAGAATATTGCCGCCGTAATTAACGATGATGATGGTAGAGAGAAAGAGGCGGAAGAAAAAGAAAAAAAAAAGAAATGCCTTCAAGCCGATTCGAACGACTGACCTTTGCATTACTAGTGCAACGCTCTACCAACTGAGCTATGAAGGCTTCAGTTGATATAAGGGGTTGATAACTTGGCTATATGAGAAATCATTCATTAGATGGCGCGTCACCAACGCAACTACCAACCCGGGCTGCTCAGAAGGTATACATAGATCACCCTCTATTACCCAAGTAATAACCCCTCGACTCCTTTGAATATCCGTCAAGCAGTCGCTAAGTCTGCCCACTCACGTATGCAGACGAACGTTGGTGAACAGTGTAGGTATCCGTGTAGAGTACATCAGTAGTCATGCCGCCTTGGACTACCAGAAGTTGGGAACAATCCGAAATCCTGGGTACATGGTAATCTAGTCTGTCATCGGATAATTTAGCATCCCAATGTACTTATAAATCGCACAAGTGAGATCTTCCGGAATCCAAGGCTCTTTCTAATTGTCCAGGTGTTTGACTGGAAGTCCTGTCTGGTGGCCGCCATTGATGTAGAGACTGGGGCTCTTAGCCCCTAAAACGGTCCGATCCAGGCAACCGGAGCTTCTGAACTCGCGCGACTCCACATGTTTACGACGTCCGAGCTCGAACCCCCATCCACCTCCATTTGTTACGTCCCCCCGTCGAGACAGGCCAAACCGAAGGCGTCTCTCTACCACGTCCGATCGCTTCCTTGACCTCTCTTATCGGAGACCCACTGGTCCGGAAACTCGCGCCTACTCCCTGACCCGACGCTAGCAATGACCAGTCGGAGACATTGCTCATGAGCTCGATGGCTGAGGGCAGTGAGGGCAGGGAACGAGAGGATGAGCTTGACCTGGGCCAGGCAGACGGTGACTCTCCACAACCCGAATATGGCGCTGCCCTCGACGATGACCGGCCCGGGCCTTCCCCGCAGGAGCTCGTCGAACCGGAGGAGGAATTGGATACAATAGACAACAGTGCGCAGGATCGGGTATCCCAGAAACCCCCCATAACAGACGGTCTTCAGCTTCCCCAGACCCCGCAGCCGCGGCGCACTCAGTCGAATGCAATCCCGGGTAGCGTGGATGAGACGCTTTCCACCCCCGACGATACCCCGTCTCTCCATGTGAGTAGCCACACACCGTCGCGCATTGCTTGAAATGGCATTCTGATTGAATAAGGACTCGGTTCATTCATCCCAGGGCAGCAGTGCTCTCGCGCTCCGTGGCTCTCCGCGAGTAAGCCCCAGCCCAGCCCACCGTCCGTTTGACCTCCGCTTCCAATCTCGGCTGTCCTCCTCACCTCTAAGTGCATCACGCTCCGGCTCGCCGTTCCTAGCACAATTACATTCTCGACAGTCATCTATCACAAGCCAAGTATCGCCAACCCCGGAGTCAGACAATGAACCGCCTCAAAGCCCATGGGATGTTGTGCGATGGACGAAGCTGCGAAAGATTACCGGACAGGCGTTCTCGGAGATTGGGAGGCGCAATTTTGGGCGACCGACATGCCTCGCGGTTTCTACCACAATTGTGATGGGCACGTCGAAAGGAATCATTTTAGTCTTCGACTATCAGCAGAGCCTCAAGACGATTATCGGAACAGGGACAAAGGGTTCGTCCAATGGTCCGGTCCTCAAAGCATCCGTCAAATTATGCTAACTAGATGCGTATAGCTGTTGAATGCGGCCCAGTCACATCTTTGGCACTATCAGCTGATCACTCGACTGTCGCCGGAGGCCATGAGTCGGGCGATATTTTCACGTGGGAAATCTCGCGGTCGGCCCGGCCTTTTCTTCATATCCCCCCGATCCCTGCAAATCAAGTTGAAACGCGAACATTCGATGGCCATATTGCCGGCTCTTCCGTAATCCATGTCGGGTTCCTAGGCACCCGACGGACGGCGGTTGTTTCGGCTGATACGCGGGGGATGGCATTTTCACATTTGGCAACACGAGGCATGGGGGCAGTAGGGCGAACGGTGAAGACAACTCGTATATTGGGTCGGTATCCGCAGAATGCCCCGGAAGAGATTCGCCGTCGAAAACCTAGCTCTGTGCTCGCTTTCTCCCCCCTCCCACTTGGTAATGTGGAGCAGCCGTCTGATTCACTCGGGCTCGTCGCCATGTTGACACCCTATCTCCTCGTGATTGTGTCCACGACCCCTGTTGCCCAAACCCAGCATAAAGCGCCTCGCCCGAAGGAAGTTCCGGCCCACAGCGCCATGACAGGTGCATTGGCTTGGTTCCCGGCAATACGGCTGAAGGGAAAAGACAGCCAAACATCCAACACCAAACTTGTCTATTGCTGGTCCAACGTTCTAACTGTGTCAGACGTGTCAGAAGCAGAGACAGACGAGCCCGTGGATAGAGATCGTCCACCCAGCCTTGTTTTCAGAGCACGCAGTAGATGGAAGGCTGATGAAGCTATTGTGGCCGTTCAATGGCTTAGTCGCTCCGTTCTTGCGGTGTTCACAATAACGCAACGACTACTCATTCTTGAGGACTATACCATGCGTGTCACGGAATCAATTGACCTTGCCAACCGACATATCTATCATACAGATCTCTTCTCTTCACAACTTCACAACTTGGTGGAACAACTTGATGAAGAAGATACCTCCATGCATGGCGTCGTTGCGGACGCATTTTATATGAGTTTCCGTGCTTATAAAGGGCGTCTGTTCTTGCTCGGCTATAATGAGACCCTAGTCGGCAGCCTTTCCAATTGGGCTGACCGACTCCTCGCACTAATGGAGGCCGGTGATTTTATTGGTGCCATTCGATTGGCAACATCCTACTACACGGGTACCGCAGAGAAGCTTACAGTTGGTCTTCCAGACGAAGACGTATTAAGACGACCAATTGTTCAGGAGAAGCTTCTGGAGATGATCTCCGCGTCTCTAAAGTATGCGTTCGGCCGCAATGTTGAAGCGAGCAATGGACAGCTAGAGAACCAGCAGCTCGAAGAACTCGCCGAAGTATCTGTCGCCGCCTGTATCTATATGACAGATGAAGAATTTCTCTGGGAGGAAGTCTTCAACTGGTATGAAGAGCATGATTCAGCCGGAATTTTCCTCGACGTGCTTGAGCCTCGTATCGTTGATGGAACTATTCGTTCTCTGCCCCCGACGGCGGTCAAAGCACTCATCAACCACTTCATTACGACTCATTCAGCTGGCTACCTTGAAGAGATCATCTGTCTGCTCGATACGAGTACAATGGACATTGATCAAGTCACAACGCTATGCAAACAACACAATCTTTACGATGCGTACATATATGTTTGGAACCGCTGCTTAATGGACTATGTGAGCCCACTGGAGGAACTCCTCTGTCAAATTCCCCCGCAAACGGAGGATCCGCTGGCCAACGGCAACTATGCTATTGGAATGAAAAGGTACACCAATGCGATGAAAATATTCCCTTACTTATCATTCATCCTGACGGGCCGAGTCTATCCCACTGGAGAGGCCATGGACGAAGCTGAAGGGGCGCGTGCAAAAACTGCCTTGTACCAATATATCTTCTTGAGCCAGCTGTCAAGTCCAGAACCGGCCAATATGTCGTCCAACGGCGATGCCGGGTTATTTTCGCAGCTGCGGGCCATGCTCAAGTTCGACGCCTCAAGTTTCATGAGCATGCTCAATGAAGCTTTTGAGGACAGCTTCCTGAATGAATCTGAAACCGAAGAGTTTCCCTCTGCGGCTGTGTCGATAAATCGGCAATATTTGATTAGCATTTTGCTCCAGGTCATGGAGTCGCCGTTTTTCACACCCTCCGATACCATTTACTTGGACATGTTTGTTGCGCGCAATCTCCCTAAATACCCCCCAGTACATTCTTCTTTCCGGCACAACTCTACATCAAGTACTGGTCCGACTATGCCAATATCCGGAAGAGGATATGGCCGAAGACTGTGAATTGAGTGCCGAGTATTTGCTGTCCTTTTACCACCCCCGGAAATCCAAACATTGGTTCCGATGTTCAAGAATGCACGCTTTTACAGAATCTTGAAGTCGACGTACCGCTCTGAGAAGCAGTATCCTCAGTGGATTTTGACATTTCTCGATGATCCGAATGATAAGCAGGCCATTTTTACCGCGCTAAACGACTGTCTTCGCTCAGGATCAGGGCTTGGGAAGAAGCAGCGAAGGGACGTGATTGACGTCGTCAAACAGCATGCTCGAGACATTGTCATTATTGATGTCCAGCGGGCCGCTCAAATTATGCAAGATCTGGCCCCTGACACCCACGGGACATTCCTGAAGGTGTTAGAAGGGGATAGCTTCAATCAATACCAGTATCTCTTGGTTCTTGTTGAACCACATACACAGGTCGGCGAAAGTCGATCTCTTTCGCCTGTTGAGAATTGGATGATTGAACGCTACGTGCAGCTTCTTTGCAAATACAATCCGTCCCATGTCGCAGATTTCGTTGATGGCCTGCGAGTTGGGGATATTCACCTTGCGGAACTGCTTCCTGCTATCGAAGAGAGTGGAGCGATCGATGCTGCTGTGATTCTTCTTGCCCGCCAGGGCCAAGTCCAGCCTGCCTTGGACCGCCTTGTAGCGCACTTGAGTACCCTTGAATCCGGGTTGATCGGTATTCTCCAGAGCATGAGAGAGACCCCCGATACAGCCAGTACGGCGGAGGCAATCGATGATCTTCTCGAATCTCTGAATAAGTATGCTGGAGTCGGTACCTGGCTTTGCCAGGGCCAAACAAAGACCGCCAAGCAATCGCGAACAATGACACATGGGCAACGCGATGGGCTTCCTCTTGGACAGTCCTTGGCCTTTGATGAGAGTCTCTGGCTGAGCCTCATTGAGGCGGTTGTCCGTATTGCGAGCAATGTCTTTGCCTTCATGCGAGACCACTTCCAGGACCCTGAGTCAATCCAGTCGGCCAATATTCTCGGTGGAGATGCGGGTCGGTTGACCAGCTCCTTCCGGATGCTGGTCCAGCAGATGTTCACTTCACTATTAGCCAGTACTGTGAAAGGAGGCAGACCGTCCAGCAGCGAACGCACCGATCTATCCTTCCTCCGCATCCTGCGAGCATTCCTCAGCCGCGCCGCAACTTGGTCCCCCTCTCTTCTAGAACTGCGGGCTGTGCTGGCCTCTATCTTCTCCGCATACTCCTACGAGAAGTCGCTATTGACCCTAGCCAACGGTATGCTAGACCGCGACCTGTTCGTGCATGTGGACGAAGTCACCCGGCTGCGGCAGCACGGATGGCGGCCCCGCGGGCAGGTCTGCAAGGTCTGTCGGCGGCGCATCTGGGGTCCCAACGTGGGCTCTGCACTCTGGGACGCATGGGAGGAGAAGCAGACAGATGCGCACCACCGTCGCATTGCTAAGCGAGTTGCAGAGAGCTATGACCCGGCGACGGAGCGAGGCAAAGGCAAAGCGGCGGCCGTGGGTGCGGGTCAGCCGCTGCATCTGCTCGCTGAGCATACCAGACCGAACCCAGCTGACCACGAGCTGGATGACGACCTCTCAGGGGTCAGGGCTGGCGGGGCGGAGGCACCTCCTCCCTCTGAGCCTGTCGTCGTATTCTCTTGTCGACATTTGTATCATCGGCAGTGCGTTCTCGATGCGACCAGCGGCCTGACCCGACCCGCCCACGGCCCTGAGTTCCGCCGTGAGCATTCCGACTGGTCCGTGACCGAACTTTTCTGTCCGGCATGTACATAGTGAGGATATCTTCTTTGCCTTTCTTCGTTTTCCTTTTATATGTGTTTATTTCGTATTTGCGAGTGTTCTGTTGAGAAACGAGATCATATAGCTAGCATTTTGCACGAGATGGATATGCCATATAGTCTAGGCCTCCATTTCTGCCCCTGGAACTATCTGTGAGCGAGTCGAGACCGCCCTGGATCCGTCTATTTCGTTCTATTCAATCCCTAATCCCCCGTATTTCGCGGTTGTATTTCCCAACTCATCTCATGAGTAGTAATACCCCTAAGACCCCCTCCCCGGAGATCTATGACTTGCTGTCTCGGGGTAGTATCGAGGAATGATCTTGTGGACGAGCCCAGCATACCATCAATGCCCGATGTAGCTTTCTGGCCCCCTCCTGATACTCCTGAGGCCGTCCCCCGCAGTCGCTTGCATCAGTGTCGAGAACGAACAGGGATGAGCAACACGGCAACCCTGGCGCCGTTGCACCATTTGTCCCACCCAGTACGACCAAGTCCTCCGCCCCCGGAACCAGGAACGAAGCCCATCACGAACGACGTGCAAGGGGTTGAACGTGGCCGGTGATCGAACGTGCCTTAGTTCAGCCAGCTCACCCAATTCTCCCAGAGTAAATGCGCCCCGAGACCCTTAATCTGCGACGACCGGCCCCCATGAGCCTGGAGCGCCGTGTGGGGTCGCATCGAAGGATTTTAGATCGCGCGTTAGCACGCGCTTGGTAGGGATCAGCCACGGCTTTGTCCGAACGGGGTATGTCGAGAACGCCGGCTCGGCGAGAGCGATGTGACTTTGTTTTTCGGCACGTTCTGCAGACCGGCATATTGCGATCAACGTGCCTGTTCGGAGACGGGGAATATGAGCTCTGCTAAGCCCAGCTAGTTCGACTAATTCTATAAAGAATAAAGGAGAATCCTGAGACGCGTGAGTGGGGTGGTCTCGAGTGATACTGTAGTATATTCTAGTATCTACTACGTCTTCTGACTCTATATCTTCTATACTTCGAGCCGATGCCGAGACGGGCAGAGACCATAACCCCTGGGCGCTTACGATGCTCCTGAATATAGTGGATGTCGTATCGACTGGATCATTCGGCATGAGCCTATTCAGGGCAAGAAACCGTTTGGGCTGCAGATGAGATGTAAAATGTAGTAGTCCTACACCAATCAGCGCGTGGTACGGAGGGGACGACTCAAGGAAGCAAATCCAGGATTCTCGTTCTAATGAGATCGAGGGGGATGTATTTTGACAGAGAGAGGCGGAGGGAGATTAGTGAAGTGCTAGTATAGTTTCAGGTTATGAGTCGTGATTCGTGAATTCGTTGTGAGGCCTGGACGAGGAAAGAGAATTGCACCGCTGGCTATCTGATCCTTCAACCTCCAACCACCGACCAACCACCGACCAACCACCGACCAACCACCACCACACCACCAACCTCCTTTTCGCCTCCCCCTGACATTGCACATCTGCCGAACAGCTTCACCGAAGAAACCGTGGAAGTCGTGCTCTCTTCCAGAATTCTCAAACCCAAATCTTCAAGAATCGAGAGAGAAAAAAAAAAAGAAGAGAAAAGCTTAATCACAGGACGCACCTGAAGATTCATGGATTGCCTCTTGCCACCGTTGGTGCCCGGCGTGATTGGACCAGCCGCGCAGCTGAGCCTAACCAGTGATGAGCCAGGCCTGCAGTACCAGCCAGTGATCGACCAGATCTCCGAGACTCATCCAGATGGTCCCGAACTCCGCTGACCAGTGGGCGGTCGCGAAAGGATTCTTTTTGCGCTCGGCACCATCTCTTCCATTTCCGTCCATCGTGGAGCCGGGCGTGAGCGAGTCAGCAGTCGTGCCGCTATGATCGCCCTGCGGTTCCGAAACATCCAGGAAGACAAGTGCAAACTTTCACAGAGGCCCTCCTCCCCGGCAGATTCGCGGATATGCAGATGCGACTTGAAACTTGGAGAGGTCGAGAGGCATTCCCTGCGATACGACTCCGCCAACTTGTCCTGAGCCAAATGGGGCACGGACAATTATCAACCCTCCCAAAAAGAAAATCAGTAAAAAGCCAACGGAAATTAGAATCTGACAGGGGAAAACAACACATCGGTAATGGGGGTGACCACAGGAGGTCATGACACACCCACACAATTGACTACCCTCCATGGCAGTCCCGAGGAGCAGGAGAGGTGGGTGGCGTGTCCTTGCCTTCTGATGCATCTGGCGGACGAGTTTGCTGTGTCCATGCCGCGCAGATGATCCGCGCAATCATCCCCAGCTTTTTGATGGGTGCACCGGCTTGAACGGCTCAGTAAGCAGTCGACTCAAGGGTCTAGCCAGTTCGAATTGCCCCAGGACCCTTCGTGAACCCTTTCTCGTCTCTTTCTGATGTTCGGTTCCGGGCTCCACGACGGCCCTTTGGGACCGGCTGGTCCCAGCCATCGGCTGCCATTTCCACCGGCCCTACGAGGCCTGATAACGCGGCCACGGAGAAACTCTATGGATAAGGTCTCATCCTTCTTCTGGAACGCTGGGTTTCAACCTCTTGGGACCCGCCGTTCGGTGCAGGGATGGTCCCTCTTACCGCAGTCGGGAGCCCTCCGCGTTTCGCATCGCTCACATGGGACCCGGGCCCTGTCATGCATGTCCCACTGGAGTCTCAAGATTGGGTCGGGTGGGTGCTGATGCAGGGCCAGTGGTTTGTAGTCCCTGGATTGCCGCCACGCGGTGGGTATCACCTTTTCGCCCTTTATGCTCACGCTCTTTATCCTTCCCCCCGCCTCCTGTATAAAAGATTGGATCGACTCCCTGTTCCTGACAGCCTCTTTTGTTCCTGACGATGTCCACGAGTGCCTAGTCCCTCCTTATTTCTTGTTGTTTGGTTTCTTTACCACTTTTACATTCCTTCTTTTCGTGGTATATACTCTCCTTCGCTCTCTGCGGGTTGTATATCGCCTTACTTGTTTTACATTCCTTTCTTTTTGCTTACCCTTGGGAAGCATTAAGCATTCAACACAGGGCTGCTCGTCTTCGATAGGCCGCGTCCAATCTTTTCAATTCGTTTTCGACTTTCAATAGAATTCAGGAACAATGCACGCTCTCTCTACTCTCCTGCCCACCTTGGGCCTCTTTGCCCACCTCGGCTCCGCTGCCTACTCGTTGGTGGATGACTATGGCAACACCGATTCGTTCTTTGACAAGTTCGATTTCTATACGGTACGTGCGGCTCATTCCCTCTATATCTGAAACGTTCATGCGGCTGACCTTCCAATTCCCACACAGAGCTCGGACCCTACCAACGGATACGTGAGCTACGTTGACCAGTCGACCGCTAGCAACGCTGGTCTCATCAATGCTTCTGACGGCTCTGTCTACATTGGTGTCGATACCACCAACACCGCCAGCTCTCCCGGCCGCGAGAGTGTGCGTATCTCGAGCACGAATACCTACACCCATGGGCTCGTAATTCTGGACCTCGCCCACATGCCCGGCAGTGTCTGTGGCACCTGGCCTGCCTTGTAAGTTTCCTATTTTCGTATCAACTTTGGCGAGAAATCAAAATTCTAACTCATTATGTAGCTGGATGCTCGGCTCGGACTGGCCTAACAATGGCGAGATTGACATCATTGAAGGTGTCAGCACCAATTCTCAGAATCAGATGACTCTACACACCAGTGACAGCTGCTCGATCACTAGCTCTGGTTTTAGCGGCAACCTCCAGACTAGCAACTGCTATGTCGACGCCTCGGGCCAGTCTGAAAACTCAGGTTGCGCAATCCTCAGCAGCGACGACTCGTCCTATGGAGACGGCTTCAACTCTGCTGGTGGCGGCGTCTACGCCACTGAGTGGACCAGCTCTGGCATCAGCATCTGGTTCTTCAGTAGCGGTAGCGTTCCCTCAGATATCACAAATGGCAGCCCCGACCCCTCTGGCTGGGGTACTCCTAGTGCGGCGTTCTCCGGCAGCTGTGACATTGACTCTCACTTCAACGAGTTGCAGATTGTCTTCGACATTACCTTCTGCGGTGACTGGGCTGGTGATGTCTGGTCCTCCGACAGCACTTGCTCCGCCAAGGCTTCCACCTGCAACGACTATGTTCAGAATAACCCCAGTGCCTTTGACGAGACTTACTGGCAAATCAACTCCCTCAAGGTCTACCAAGACAGCTCTAGCACCAAGCGTGATGCTATCCCGAAGCCTCACCCGCACGCTGCCAAGCACGTCGGTCGCTCTGCTCACGGTGCTCGTCCTGGACCCCGCCCCGCGTGGAAGCACCGCCGCTCGCAGTACAAGAATGCCCAGTAGACGGGCCTGCTTCTGCAAGAGATTGAGGATGATGTGATTATGGATATATCTGGACATAGGTTGTTCATATGGGTTAAGAAAATTGGATCTGCGATCCTTCCCACGGTGTTCTTGGTGGAATTTTTTCTGGTCTTTGCTTTTTTCACTTCTTCAGCTGGACTTTTGGTTTGATGCTTTCTTCTTTTTTATTGTCGAAGACTTTCTACGCGATGTTGATGTATTGTTGATGTGCCGTTTTGAAATACCCCCCTTACACTCGTTTAAAGCATTTAAAAATAGCATTGCATGTTCATATATATGAGATCCAGAATTTATTTTTCGTAACAGCAAACCTATCATCAAACGCCTGAGCTATCTGACTTACATGATTATGGTAAATTATGTGGAGATGTCTGTCATACTCCATGTATGTGGAGATCCTCTGTGGAGACTGCTCCACTGCCAACTGTGGCAGATACATAGCTTCAAGAGCCCACCATAAGCAATGTTCCAAAAAATCGGGTGTAATATGTATCATTTCGAAAAAAAGTAGTCTAAATTACATCCCCAAAGACTGTCAAGGTATTAAAATTAAGATCTAGCTCAAGTGGCTAGTTTGTATCCAAGCACGTCCCTCTGGTCATCGGTGAGTCGACCCCACTCCAGCAGAAGCCGGAAGAAATAAATCTCCATGTCCTCCTTTCGCAATGCGATCTCCGCCCATTTGCGTCCCTGCTCGGCGATCCACCAGCCTTCATTGATGTGAGCCTCCATTCTCATCGGGGGCTTATTATCGAGAAGGTCCTCTGCGTTGGGATTCGGCACGCCCGCGAAGTATGCGAGTGTGCTCCAAAGTCCGTGGAGGCGAATATCGACTGGGACAAAGTGCAACCACGAGACTATGCGCGAGTCAAACCATTGCCGAAAAAGCCCGGTTCTCAGGGGAAGACTTCGGCTCTGCAGGAATGGGAGGAAGCGGCCGCTGAACCCAGCCCCGTCGAGGTCGAAGAGGAATCGGTGAGACCAGTGGGCCTGGAAATCTACCCAGGAGCTGGTGCCCAGTTCGTCGCGTTGGGTGTCGCAGTCGCCGCAGCGGGTGATCGGGCTAGCGAGGTGGACTTCTGCGCGCAAGTTCAGCTCGCGAGATGGCGCGGATCCGTCCATTATTTCGTACTCCCAAGAGCGCGGACCTGCAGGCAAAAGGACAGAAACTTGATTGTCGGTGTTGTTGTTGACGAGATGAGAAAATCGCTGTCGCGGCATGCCTTTCCATTCGTTGAAGCGGCTGTAGCCTTCAGATGTGCTGCCGACCCAGTACAACGAGTTATTCTTTTCGGAAAATTCTTGGTCGGGGTGCTCATACGACGGCTCATACTTTGCCTTATCCATGTAGTTCCATGGACTGGGGAACAAAATATCGTTGAAACCAGCCAATGCACTTTGGCTGAATACTGGTATCAATTCTTGAGACACCTTGAACGAAGCAGGAGAGATCAGGAGGCCATGAAGAAAGGCCAGGTCGGGTTGATGGCAGAGTTCTGTGGCGAGATCGAAGTTAATAGGGAATTGGCCCATGGTATGAGGCGCAGCGCAGCTAAGACAGATGTCATGCCGATTCCAGACACGCCGTGTGCGCACTCGTGAAGAGGGAGGGCAAACCGCGCTAACGTATGGATCAAAGATGCCTCGCCAGGCTCCATCTGTAAAAATCGTTTCATTGGTTTGATGAGCAGGCTCTATAGGGCCCCAGCCATCCTGTCGGTCCGGTGACCATCGATCCAGCACTTCTCGTTCAGGAGCTGGTTCTTGCGGTCTTGCAGCCTGAAGGAGCGGTTGCATCTTCTCCCAAGGAACTGCCACTCGTGGCTCGTCATTGAGGTTAAACACAAGGTCCATATCTGGGAGATGCTCAGAGAACTTCTCAATCATATTAGCTGCTCCGCTTATCATCCATGCGTGGGTCGGCTTGATGCCTTCTTGGACATGCACTTGGCCTGCACGGATGCTGATTGCGCCGAGGTCGTTAAAAGGATTTGTTGCCAGTTGCTGGGTCATCGATCGAAGCTGAGCCGGGCTGATTGCTTGAAAAGGAAGCAGATTTTTGTGGATTTGATCAAAATCATCAATTATGACAGATGATCGGCTTGTCGCATATTGATACCACTTGTCGAACCCAGGCGGCGGGTCTCGGCGATATCGCCTTCGATATTCCCAAACAGCATCCTCAAGATTAAGACTGGAACGAGCCCGGAGGATGTAATCGTCATAATGAGCGGTTCCCTTACGAATGAGGATATCGATAGGATGTGTATGCGAAAAGTGGTGTTTGGTCGAGGCAAAGATTAGACCGGTCACGCACAAGACGACCACGATAACCTGGAGAACAATATTGGTGCGATTGAGAGATTTTGAGGACTCTTCCCAAAAGATCCGCGAGAGGAGAAATAAGAATGCACCCGTGGAAGATGCAACCACGGAAACAACGCCCTGGGTTTGGGAAATGTAGGGAAAAGGCATTTGCTCGAAGAACAAAGTCGATGTCGAGGAGAAGAAGACAAGGACGAAACCAGCTAGTATCGCTAATCCTAGAACGCCATAATGCGGCAGCTAGACGAGTCAGCGCAATCCAAAAAAAAAAAAAAAAAAACAACCAAAGAGTGCAGAGAGAGAGAAAGAGAAAGTCATTATGCATACCATCTGCCAAGCTGATAGAACAAAGAATAGGACCAAGAGCGCCTGTCCAAAAGCACTGCGTGAATATTTCGCATCCAGTAGGGGCTGACCACTGTGCTCGGGACGGGTGTTCGTGACAAAAATCCCAATAATCATCCAAATCACGGCAACAAGCTGGGTAAATCGATCAGAACATGAAAATCCATGAAAAGCCAGGTAAAGGATGGCTAATTATTCTCTTTCAACTTACAAGAAGCCCTGCCCCGAACCAAATCAGTGGCCGCCTTCGGCGAGGCTCTTCAATCGCCATACCATTTTGAAGAAATTCCGTGACACCAATCAGGAGTAGTGAGTCCACTATCACATTGACAAGCCTGATTACTTGAAAGTGAGATGCTCCCTTGAGGACAATTGGGCAAATGTATGTGGACCGACTACCCGCTAGAAATGAGGAGGCTGTATATCCACCAACTGAGATCAGAGCCGCAGCAAATATTCCCCTCAGGCGACTTTGCGTTAGGTAATAGATGACTTTCCGACAGCTCGAGGAAATCGACTGGTTTGGAATGTTCTGAGATTGTTGCAAGAGGGTATATCCATCCCGTGGTCGCGATCGTTGGTTGCACCAATAATCATAGAGTGAGATAATGAATGGAATAATGTAGGAATATCCAGCAGGAGTGCACTCAGTGTTGAGAGTAACGCGGCGGAACAGCTCGACTCGAAGGCCTAGAAGAATCAAAATGAAGGCAAGTTTCAGCCAAAAGACTGTGCGGAATGATACTCGTTGGTCGAGACCCAGGGCAGGCGAAGGAGAGGATGCCCGCGATGGAAGTTCGAATTCCTGGGCGGGCGGAATGCCAAATCGTTTGCTTGAGGGCGATGAGCACGGATATGATGATGGGTAAAATCGACCTAAGAACGTGAAGGCTATTCCAAGAAGAATGTAGGCCAGAACAGCTGTGCTGACTGGACGGTCTTGATGGTCATTAGGATCAGCTGCGGGAATTTAACTAGATTGCCATGACATACCAAAGGCATATGTAGCGTTATAGGACGATGTAAGGAAGAAAGATGTTAGAAAGAAGACCCTATGTCAATTGCGATCGTAAGTACTATAGTTCTCCTTCACACTGTGTCGTTGACTCGGGAGATGGCGTTGCCACTCACCCCACAGAGACCTTGAGCCCCGTATCGGCAGAGAAAGGGACCATCGTGCGCCCCATTCTTTATCGTTCTCTGCGATCGATGTCATAGGTCATTGCGCTCCTGAGAGAAAGAGATACCATGGGCACACATGTGTGCGGGTGCAAAGACGAAGGAAAAGTGTCGTCGATGGACATTGATGGTGAGAGGAACAGAATCCAGCACCCCTCCGGTGGAGACTTCAAGGGACTGATAGGGCTTCATGGGCCATCCTTAAGAGCCAGCGGTTTCAACCAGCCCATGGTAGACCCACGGCTAATCATAGGCCAGTGACGACAAAGCCGAATGCAGATTGGCGCTCAAGTGGCGTCAACGGTGGGCATTAAATTTCATTTGAGCACGTAACCGTGGGCCTCTACGGTGCACGAGGAGATTCCACCAATTAGGCGGATAGCATTCTCAGCAATTCCCACCCGTTGTGAGGAGTCCTTGTATGGTGGCAGGGAATGCACCAAAGCAAGCAAGATATGCCTGGGACGATCGGCGGCCAGAATCAAGTCTTAGCTTCCCCTTTTCTCCACTTGGAGTCCCTGAGCGTCAGAGAAGCTGTTGGGTCGGCATAAGTGATTTCAAGCCTCGATATCCCCATTTCCGTATTGATAGGCAAGCACTTTCCCTAAAGACCCAAACGGATTTGGGCAAAATTAAAGTCATCGTAGCGCAAGCGTCATATCGGTGAAAGTGGGTCGAATCAAAGCTCGGAAATGGAATGGGCCCAAACTTCACCATGGAAGCAAGGCATCAAACCAAGTCACGTGATACATGACATAAGCAGCAAAGGCGGTAAGTAAGAATCGTGGAAATGGAAGGCGGTGTATGGAAGCAATATGATTTTTTTTCAGTTTGGTCCATTTTGGGATGGACTGGAGACTGGGCGAGATTCCTGCTCTTTTACCCAAAACTCCGAATTCGCCGTAATCCGTTACCAGGCCGGTCAACTGATAGTTTCGGATCTAACTTGGCTGCCCCTTCCATTTTTATACCTTCAAAAGACCCAGCAACGAGGGTTTAAAGGCCGACGTTCCTCGCGGCCAGTTCCGCACGCTCATCATGCCGCGTAAAGCGATTGACTCGCGCATCCCGGCCCTCATTCGCAATGGCGTCCAAGAGAAGAAGCGCAGCTTTTTCGTGGTGGTCGGAGACCGGGCGAAGGATGTGATAGTGCATCTTCACTACATCATGTCCAGTGTCGATGTGAAGCAGAACAAGTCCGTGCTGTGGGCATACAAAAAGGATCTGCTGGGTTTCACAAGCCACCGCAAGAAGCGAGAAAACAAAATCAAAAAGGAAGTCAAGCGTGGCATTCGCGAACCGAACCAAGAGGACCCCTTCGAGCTCTTCATCACTCTCAACCAGATTCGCTATGTTTACTACAAGGAGACTGAGAAAATTCTGGGTAATACCTACGGCATGTGTATCCTGCAGGATTTCGAGGCTATGACTCCGAATCTGTTGGCCCGTACTGTCGAGACAGTTGAGGGAGGTGGTATGGTGTTGCTGCTGCTAAAGAGCATGAACAGCTTGAAGCAGTTGTACACATTGTCCATGGATATTCACTCGAGATATCGTACCGAAGCCCATGACGATGTGGTTGCCCGCTTCAATGAGCGCTTCATTCTGTCGCTGGGAAGCTGTGATTCTTGCTTGGTTGTTGATGACGAGTTGAATGTGCTGCCAATCTCTGGTGGTAAGAATGTCAAGCCGCTTCCTCCACCCGAGAGTACCGATGAGTCGAGCTCGGGTACTAAGAAGGAGCTGAAGGAGATCAAGGAGAGCTTGGCAGAGTCTCAACCCGTTGGACCACTCGTCAATCTGGCCCGCACTGTCGACCAGGCAAAGGCCCTTTTGACCTTTGTGGACGCCATTGCGGAGAAGACCCTGAAGAGCACCGTTGCTCTGACTGCTGGCCGTGGACGAGGAAAGTCTGCTGCTCTTGGTGTTGCAATCGCCGCTGCTATTGCCCATGGATACAGCAACATCTTCATCACATCTCCTAGCCCGGAGAATTTGAAAACCCTGTTCGAGTTCGTGTTCAAGGGCTTTGATGCCCTGGGATATCTCGACCATGTCGATTATACCATTCTGCAGTCCACAAATCCGGATTTCAACAAGGCCATTGTGCGAGTCAACATTCACCGAAACCACCGCCAGACCATCCAATACATTCAGCCGCAGGATGCTCATGTTCTCGGACAGGCGGAGCTGCTGGTGATTGATGAGGCCGCTGCCATCCCGCTACCCCTGGTGCGGAAGCTGATGGGTCCTTACCTGGTGTTCATGGCTTCTACTATCAATGGTTACGAAGGAACTGGTCGATCGCTGTCTTTGAAGCTGATCCAGCAACTTCGCGAACAGGCCCGTGGTGGTATGAAGATTGACGATACAGATGTTGCTGACCGCAGCACTGGCAAAGCCTCGAAGAGCGCAGACAAGAACCTCGGTGGTCGGTCTCTTCGTGAGATTACCCTTGCAGAGCCTATTCGATATGCTCCTGGTGATTCTGTTGAGAAGTGGCTCAACAAGGTCCTGTGTCTTGATGCGACACTGCCCAAGTCTCGCATGAACACCCAAGGTTGCCCTCACCCATCACAGTGTGAGCTGCTCCAGGTAAACCGCGACACCCTTTTCTCTTTCCACCCTGTCTCCGAGAAGTTCCTACAGCAGATGATGGCGCTCTATGTCGCTAGTCACTATAAGAATACTCCCAATGATCTTCAACTTATGAGTGATGCGCCTGCTCATCAGCTGTACGTTCTTGTTCCTCCAATTGACGAGGAGGCTACCAAGCTTCCCGAGCCGCTGTGTGTTATTCAAGTTGCCCTTGAAGGTCGCATCAGCAGACAAAGTGTCTTGAACAGCTTGAGCCGTGGTCAGCGCGCTGGCGGTGACCTGATTCCTTGGCTGGTCAGCCAGCAGTTCCAGGACGAGGACTTCGCTGGCCTTTCGGGTGCTCGTGTCGTTCGTATTGCGACGAACCCCGAATATGTTGGCATGGGTTATGGCTCTCGCGCTCTTGAACTTCTGGTCGACTTCTACGAGGGCAAATTCACGAGCCTGTCGGAGGACGCTGTTCTTCCTCAAGAGGAAATGGTCCGTGTCACTGATGAAGAGCTCACTAACTCGAACCTGCTGGATGATAACGTCCACGTTCGGGACATTCGCTCTATGCCGCCTCTTTTCGGCAAATTGAGCGAGCGCCGCCCCGACGCTCTGGACTATATCGGTGTTAGCTATGGCCTTACACCATCGCTTCACAAGTTCTGGAAGCGTTCCTCCTTCTCACCAGTGTACCTGCGCCAGACTCCTAACGAGTTGACTGGTGAGCATTCATGTGTCATGCTTCGCACGCTATCTGCTGGTATCAACGATGCGGGCTGGCTGGGTGCATTCGCCCGGGATTTTCACCGCCGATTCCTCGCTCTTCTTTCCTACCAATTCCGCGAGTTTCCCTCGGTTCTCTCTTTGAGTATCTGTGAATCCGCCAATGCTGGTGCCAAGCTTGACACTTCTGCTGTCCTGCGGACTCTGCAGAAGGCCGATCTTGACGCTGCTTTCTCGCCCTTTGACTTGAAGCGTCTGGACAGCTACGCCAACAATCTCCTTGACTATCACGTTATCCTGGACATGGTCCCTGCTCTCGCTGAGTACTACTTTGCCAACCGCCTCGGCGGCAAAGTTAGCCTCTCCGGTGTGCAACAGTCGATCCTGCTTGCAATTGGTCTGCAACGCAAGAGCATGGATACTTTGGAGAAGGAGCTGAACCTCCCTTCGTCTCAGCTTCTCGCCATGTTCCTCAAGATCATGCGCAAGGTCTCCACTCACTTCCGTGGCGTGATTGAGGGCGCGGTTGCGGATGCTATGCCCGCGACACAGATCCCCTCCGGTGCCGGTGTGGGTGCCCACGAAGAGGATGTTACTGACGATCGCTTTAAGCCTCTTGAAACCGGACTGGAAGAAGAGCTTCGTGAAGGTGGAGAGCAGATCAACGAGGAGCTGCGCGAGAAGCAGCGTGCGCTGATTGACTCTCTCCCGCTGGACAAGTAAGTGCTGTTTCAGCTCCCCAGCTTTTGGTCCTATTTCGAGTCATCGAATGAACAATAACTGATTCCCAGCCTTCAGATACGAAATTGACAACGGCGCGGCATCCTGGGAGGATGCTGAGAAGCAGATCCGTGGCGGCGGTGCCTCCACTGTCAGTGTGAAGACAAAGTCCTCGAAGCGGAAGAAGGGTGAGACTGCGCGCGAGATCTTTGACAAAGAGGTTGACGCCAAGCGGCAGAAGATGATCAAGAAGGGCACCGAGGGCCGCAAAAAATAGATGTCTGAGTGATTAGTATTTCCCCCTGGCGTTCTGCATTTTTTGACGGTGTTACCTACGGATTCTATACCTGTACTCTTCTAGAAGCGTGAATATCCAGTGGTTTGGTTTATGTGATCCTGGATGCTCGCCTCTTGTATATATGAATGACTGATATGTCTTTCCAAGCTACTAGGCTGTTCTACGTAGAGCTGATGTAGCGCTTTATAGGATCAATGAGAGACACATGGTGAAAGATAGGATGCAACAAGTAATAGCTAATGAGCAAATGATATTTATAAATCAGAGTAATTATCTGAGGAGGGAGGGCTCTCAAGGCGAGACCAGCCATTCTTTTACAGCTCATCATGCTCTGCTTCTTCCATTGGCGTTTCAGCCTTTGATTGACCAACAAGCCCACCAGGAAGCTTCTCCTTTGCACCCTCTCCCATACGGATGGCGTCCACCCAGCCCTCAATAGCACCGACGCCAAAGTCCTCGGTATTTCCATACCGACGCCACCATCCACGGCGTGCGTTGACAGCGATGATCTCCACGACCTCGCTGCCTTCCAGACCTAGTGCAGTCCGGAGAGTCTGAGAGGCGACGTTGATCTCAGGCACACCATACATTGGGAAGAGATGAGTCCCACGCTGAAAATGCCTGTGCGCAATCTCAGCCAAGCTGGCGAGCGCATCAGCAGCCGCAGGGGTAAGAGGGGCGTCTGGTTCATTTATCTTCGGGAGGAGAGCCAGTAAACAGGTATTGGACTTCGAAGCTAGACAGGCAGACTCGAGCGATTCGGGGGTAGCAAGGGTTGAAATAGGAGGAACAGGGACGGGAACCTGAGCGGATTTGGAGTCAGAATCATCACTCGAGTCGGTTGGTGCATCCTCATCAGGAACAGAAGTCGGTTTGGAGGCGGGCTTGGAGGCCTTGGGCTTGGTCTTCGGCTTGGTAGAAGGCGACGCAGCCTTTCCGTTCGCATCTGGGTTGGGCGAGGCAAACTGGCTCATGAATTCAACGATGGGCAGCTTCTTAAGCTCACCCTCGTAAATCTCAGGGTCTTTGTTGCCCCCAGGAATCACAACCAGGGTTGGGAACTTCGAGACGCCGAATTTCTCCACCGATGCGGCCTCCTTGTTGCGAACCTGGGCGACATCAATGGCACCGAGGAAGTCGATGGCCAACGCGCGGATCAACGTGCTGGTAGTTCCCTTTTCCGTGAACAGAATGGCCTTGGCCTGATCTCCGTTCTGTCCCAGCCATTTGTCCAAGTCCTTGTCGGTGGCGCGTTTCACATGGTTGGGGATGCGGTCTACAACCGCATCGACGATGGCTTTGGCGCTGCGTGCACCTTGATAGTCTTCCACGCGCGGCTTTCCGGGCTTCTTGCCAGGTGTCATGATCTTCAGGGTTGGGAAACCCTGGACGCCCATCTGGCCGCAGAAGGGCTTGTTCTCCTCTTCATCGCAGTTGACCGCGGCGACCTTCGCCAGCCCATTCAGGTTCTGGGCGGCTTTCTCATAGGCTGGTTTCAGGCTCTGGCAATGCCCACACCACGGGGCATAAAATCTGGATGAACGCACAGGTGAGCAAGAGCCATGTTAGTGGACAGTCGTCGGCGCGGGGGAAACTTACTCGACGATCTATATCAGTCAGCTCACCGTTACTGGGGCTCCGATCATGCGTGGTTCTTTTTAAGGGGAGGGATGGAACAGGGTCTTACCGAGGTGTAATTTGAGTTCGCAATGAGAGAGCCATATGTCTTCTGGTTGAGCTGGAGCACCGGCGAATTTTTCGTGTAGAGCCCGTCGCCATTGACAGGCAGAGCCGCCAGCAACGAAGCCAGTAGGATAGTCGAGCTTGGGGGAAGCATCGTGGAGAGCAAGATCAACGGGATTGGGAAAGCTGTGCACAGAAGCTATGCGGGCGCTCCAGCGAGCATCGTCGGAGAAAAGCGAAGCAAGAAAGAAGCCAGGTTGGTTGAAGGCGTGTTATTACGCAAGGTGTCCTGAAGCTCTTGGCATGCGGGGAGACGCAGATTCCCCAATGAAAAGCTTCGCCAAACGTTGCTCCTGCGACTGTTTCTGACACCACTATGCCGCACCACAATGACCGTCCCCTCGCGACAGGACACTCTTCATGATCTGGTCTTTCTTCCTCGGGACATTTTCTGGCTGGTAGTGGGCTATCTGCCCCTCAAGGATGTTGTTCGCTGCCGTCGTGTCTCACAAGCCTGGAACGAGGCATTCGGCAACCCCGCCGTCCTGAGTCCATTGCTAAAATGGCACTTCCCATGGACACAGGAAGCGAAAGATCTCAAAGCAAGCTCTGATCCCTCTGATACTTCTTCTGTACTGGACCCAAGTGGATCAACAATCCGTCGTGCCTTCGACCAAGTGGTTGCGCGGTATGACCATATTGAACGGGGAACGCCCCGCTCCGTGCAAAGATATCCTCTGTGCGACGATTTTGGTCGCTCAGGGGACCCGGAATGGTTCCAGGTGCAGTCGTGGGCGTCGCACGCCAGCCATCCTCGGCTCGACGTGGACCGACAGTTCTCCGAGTCAATGTGGACATACGAGGATGGGCTAGTGGTCTTCCCCAGTGCCGCTCATCAATGTCTAGTGCTATTGGACCTGAATAGCGACAGACAGTTTATGGTACCGTTTGTAGTTCAGGGCAAAGTGACCCGCAGAGTTCGCCTGCAGCAGCGAGTGCTGGTGGTGGAATGGGCGGAGCTCAAAGCCTTCCACTGGCTCAATGAAAGTGATAGCGTACATCGGCACTATGCCTCGTCATTCGATGTGACGCCGAAGAGTGACAATGGCTGGAGCATCACCCCCCGTAACGAATGGAAGATTATGTTCCTAGGTCACCCATTAAGCGAACGAGACCGGTTCTTCTCCGCACACACCCAGACACACTATGTCATCTACATCTGGCAGCCAAACCGCAGTTTGTATACCGCGGATGAAGATGCACCCATAGAGTCCCTTTTTGTCTGGGACTTCTCCAAGACCTCTTCTTACCGGCCATTCTTGGACCCCACAGGCAGCGAAACAGGCCCGGAAGTCGATCAGTCCCCGTCAATCGTGGCCCGTTTCGGCTATCGAGAGCTAGCATTCTTTGACATTCGACAACGGGGCTCTCCGTCATTGCAACATCTCGCTGTCACTACTGATGGTCAAGCGATAGAAGTCACTGAGAACACCTGTGAACGTAGGCAGGGTGCTCCTGAGACTCTCATTACCAGTATTCCACTGGAGGGAAATGGGCCTCATAACTTTTCTCGGCCTCATTCAGTCCTACCAGTTTATCGGAGTAACTGCAGCTTCCAGACGATGTCCTCCGATCTGGACGGGCCAGTGGATCAATTTAGCATCCTCGCACAGGTGACGAACACAGAAGCAGATCTTCGTTTCATTCTCCACTTCGATCACTCCAAGGTCGAAATACAGGATTGGAACACGCCCAGAGCTAGGGATACCATTAATCTGACCATTCAAACATCGTTTGCACACCTCACTATTGGAGCATTAGATTTCAGTGGGCGGGCAAAGATATGCGGCTCTGACAGATACCTGATGGGCGAGAATTGCAAGCGTGAGCTTGTCATTCACAGATTTGATCGATAAAGATTATATCAATCGAGATTGTTCAAATATTTGGCGCAATGCCTGACATGTTTAGTTTGAATTAACCCTTAAATTGATCAGAAATATTTTCATGCTGCAATTGATTCCGCTCGCGAAGAAAGTACGCAAAGCAGTAAAATGACAATCTTGATGAATTTATCAAATAAAACCCGTATTAACTGGAATAGTATCCACCCTAAATAAAGGCCATTGGCAACAAGCCTGATGAAAGAACTCAAGTTTATAATAAACTGTAAAGGAAAGCCACGGAAAAAGGGTTGATAGTATCAACTGCCTACCGTAGAGCTAGAGATACATCACCATAAACTGCTGTTCTCCTTTCGGCCAGTTCAAGAACGTCGTTGCACGAAGCATAATAGAAAAAAAGGGATATGAGTTAGCAGACATAATAAATAGGTATTCATCATATTATGATAGCAATTATTCATCCTATCCATTGCGACCATCATTCGAAAACCTGCACTGTACACATGCCCCAGCTCCACAACCAGGACAAGTCAGAATGTACAGTGGTGCCCAGCAGTGACACTTCTCGCACTCGGGGTATCCGAATCCTTTCAACCAGTATCCCAGATGCAGACAGAGGGAAGGTGATTCTGGAGGAGTCACCGGCCTTGCTCCCGGAATTGACAGACGAAGGTTTTCCATCCACCCGTAGAAAGACTCGATATAAATACCACTGATTTCCTTGAACATGTCATCGGATGTATAGCGTCCACAAGGGTCGTTCAGCTTGGCATCGAAGTACGGGATGAAAAAGTGAAGTATATCCTTGATTCGACGATGATACGATTTGTCATCAGTGTCTTCAATCTCCGAGGTAAAAGGTTCAATGCTTGTGCAGTTGGAAAAGCCCCTGCCATCATTTGAAACAGACTGCTGTGTTTCATTACAGTCGAAGTATACCGATTTCCCACCGTCGGTCTGAGTCTCGAGGTCAAGCCCACCTGAGTCGACGGTACTATCGCCGTGTGGTGATGCAAATGCATCGAAAGAATGGCAGATATAATCGATACCGCCATGGAAACAGGTCGTCACGCTCTCGTACTCAGTGGATTGATCAATCTCGTTAGCCTCGTCGTTATGAGAAAACTCCAAATTTTGATCAATTTCATTCTCGTCCTCATACTTCATCTCTTCCTCGTCACGCATCACTCGAGCTTTCATTCCTTCCCTGCGAATCTCTGCTCGGGCCCGCTGCCCTTCTGAATCATAATCGGGGTACCTATTTTCCAACTGACTTGTTTCTTCCGAAAAATTGTCATACCCCTTCTGCGAATTGTGAGAGGATGACTCCATCTGGTCGTCATAGCAATCGGTTCCCAAATCCTGTTTGTAGAGGTTACGGGTACTCCAGCGGCGGTTTTCATTTTCTCTCCAGGCGTCAAATCCCTTCCAGTTGCCCCAGTCGTCATCAGAATACAATGACTGATTCTTTCGAAATTGACGATAGCCACGGTGACTCCATTTTGAGTGTTGACTCTTATTGGCCTGATCCTGCTCCGAGAGGTTTTTATCGAGATTTTGGCGCAGCTCGGGGTCACGTAGGATCTCGATTGCTTCTTGTCCCTAAGATAATTAGTTGCTTAGGGGTTTCCCCTCTCTGAAAAGAGGTTTGAAAGCATTCTAGATAACAACGGCTTGTGTAAGCACAAGAGGGCATACTTTGCGAAACTCTTCAAGAGAATGATCGTTGGTGTCGCCGCACTTGTCCGGGTGGTATCTGAGGGCAAATTTTTTCCAAGCTATATTGATTTCCTTGGTGGATGCATGACGTGAAATGCCTAGCACGGCATACTGATCAATACCTGAATCTGCCATTGGCGCCCAGATGGTCCTAAACGGCTGTGTGTGCGATGGGAGGGCTCTGTTGGCGAGAAGCTTTAACAAGGCCAATTGCAGTTTGGATGGGGTTAAACAAAGACTTGGATTGCAATATCTGGAGACAGCTGGTATTGATGTAAAGAAAATGTGGACAAAGAGTTGGGCAGGCCGGAAACAGTTGAATCGAGCCAGTTTGTAGTGGTGAAACTGGTTCGAAATCTCCAGAAAGGTGATAGAAGGATAGAGAGGAAGAGGGGAACGGGAAAGATGAGTTGTGGTGAGTGAGAGAAACAGAGGGGCAAGTCTTAAGAGATTAATGAAACAGAGTCCACACAGTAACTTAAAAATGACAGGAGCTTACGCCGCAGACCTCGCAGGGATGGCATGACTCCGAGAGCCGAGAGTTTGGTCAAGCTAAAAAGTCAAGGTAGGCTCTTTCGGCCAAGGAGCACATAAGAAATTGGAATGGATTGACACTGATTTTACACAAATGGAGGGTCGATCTAAATATCAACAAGTCTACACTGAAGGCGACTTCATCCAGTAGAAGCAAATAGAGACTTCTACATGTCGGCAGAAGCGGTGGCACCGGTAATAATCTCAACCAGCTCACCAGTAATAGCGGCTTGACGCTGACGGTTGTAGAGAATCTGGAACTTGTTGATCATCTCACCAGCGTTCTTGGAGGCGTTCTCCATGGCGTTGCGACGAGCCTGGTAGAAAGACAGAGATTAGCCAATTGAACGTCTCTCACAGAGCTACATCATAGAATCATACCGAGATCTCACAGGCATGGCCCTCAGCCATAGCCCAGAAGAGGTTGTTAGCGAGAGCGTACTCGCGGAGACCGGCCAGAGCCTCGTCGTCAATCTCGAAAGCAGAGATGTTGGCTGCAAATGAATTTTCAGGTTAGCACATTATAGATGAATGATCTGCCGAGTTGGCACAGAGAGAGAAACAAAACCTACCGGACTGGGTGATAGCCTCCTCAGAGTAAGCCTCAACGGTGCTGGGTTCGTAGCTCTGGGCGTTGATGAACTTGTTGAAGACGATGCGGATGCTAGCATAGTCCTCGGGGAGCAGAGCGATCTGGTCGGCAATGGCCTGGGCATCGGCGAAGGTAGGGATATCCTTGCAGACATTGGCGAAGCTCAGGAGGATCTTGTCGGAGGCGAAACGGGAAAGCTGGGCCTTGGCCTTCTCACCGAGAATGACGATGTCGGCGTTGGGGTTCTCGGCCAGCATACGGCGAGTGGCCTTGCTGAGACCGGAGTGGATACCACCGCAAAGACCCTTGTCGGAGCTGGCAACGACGTACAGAGTCTTCTTGTCCTCCAGCGGCTTGGTCTCGGCCTTCTCGAAGACGGTGTTGGAGGTCTCTCCATAGTTGCGGGACTCATCCATGGCCTTCTGAGCGCGGGTCAGACGGGTCGAGGCAACGATCTTCATGGTGTTGGTGATCTTCTCGATGTTCTTGATGGACTTGAGACGGCCCTCGATCTCACGCAGAGTCGCAAAGTTGGCGGCATTGGTGGGAGCAGTGCTGGAATTGGAAGTCAGCAACCATTTTCATGGTCCTCCATGTATTGAGATAATTGATTTGATCCGGAGGGCCTTGGGTTGGTGGTGAATGTGCCGGGTGAAAGGACCTGCCCACGAGGCGGGTATCGGAACAGGACTTACCGGGTGACGGCAGCACTGCCAGCCCTAAGGGCCGGGCGGACGGCACGGGAGAACATAGTGAGAGTGTGAGTGGGAGTGTAGATGGCAGATTCAAGCTGCGGAGAGAGGGGAGGGGGAGCAGGGCAGGGTTGCAGAAGCCTCGCTTTGCTGTCGTGCTGGGACTGTCGGGAAGTGCGAAGTCGAACTCCTTGTCCTGCCGCTCCTGCGCTAAACCAAAATAGGCAAACATCTACGGTATGCGATTCCGACTCTCGGCGCACTTGAATGCCTTGGCGCCTGAGTCATCAAATGATGCCTGTCTTGAGCCTGAATCTCCAGGCCCTGAGCGACGGCCGGAGGGCGGCTGATGCCTCAGGCGGGCAGGCAGAATGAGGTCAAGGCCTCGTTTTCCATTCCATTCCCTCTCCATTCCCATTCCCCCCAAACTTCCCAACCTTCCTCCTCTTCTTCCTCTTCCTCCTCCCTCCTCAACTCCGGGTGTGCGGTTCTCTTCCCCCCTCCTGAGTCTCTTCCCGCTCAGAACTTCCACCCTCCGCCATCATTGATCCTTTATATCCTCTGCTAGAGCCGACTCTCTCGTTCATTGGTCAGAATTTCCCTGACTTCATCGTTCCTCCAGGCGGTTCGATTTGCCCGACTCGGCGGTGCACGAGGATACCTTCCCTCCCCCAGACCTTGTCGGTTCCTTTTTCAGCCTCACCATCCTCTCCTCAGACCTCGAAACATCATCATGAGCTCCTCAGAGGATGACATTCCTCTCGTGCGCGCCAACGGCCGCGCCAATGGTAAGCTCTTCCCGGGTCACCCCGTGAGCATGTACACCCCTCGGCTCTTATTTTGTTCGATGACACCTTTCATCCGACTCCCTCATCCGATATCGTCCCTTCACTTACTGCCTACCTGTCTGCTCCTCTTCCCTACTTTTTGATCATAACTCACTCGCTTTACCTGCATCTTTACTTGCGTTCCTCCAACTATGCTGGGATTATCTAACATGCGACCTTCTGCGCTTCTAGCTGTGCCCTCTTCAGCCAAGTCTACTGCAAAATCACCCACGATGAACGGCGGTCTCGATCCGGGTGTATCGGTGCGATTCGGCCCCGTGCAGGATAAGGACGTGGAGATGCAGGATGGGGATAAGCATGGTGTCATCAGCAAGCGCAAGTCTCGGGCCAGTATTGACAAACAAAAGTCATATGCTGAACCCGAGAGTAGCGACGAAGATGACCAGCCTTTGGTACGCCCAACCTTGGCCCAAGATGGCCTACCTCTCCCGTGCGACATTTATGTCGCCTCTGGTTTCAACGACTGACCATTCGATAGAGCAAACGTCGCCGGACCGCGATCAAACATGAGGACCCTGAGTCAGACGATGATGTTCCCCTTGCCCTGAACGGCCGAAAGCTGCCCAAGGCTTCCGAAACTGCGATTGGAGAAGAATCCGACTCTGATGTTCCAATCGAGAGGAAACTTTCCGCGCAAAAGAAGAAGATTGAGCAGAAGGCCGAGAAGGATGCGCGAGCTGCGCGCAGGCCCTCTGCTGTCAAGAAAGAAACCAAACCCGCGACCTCCAAGAAGCAGACAAACGGCGTCAAGAAGGAACTTCCTGATGACAAAACCACCATCAAAAAAGTCAAAGCTGAATCAACCACTCCGAAGAAAAGCAAAGGCAAGGTGAAGGCAGAGAGCGAGGATGTCGAAGAGAACGATGATGATGAATATCGTTGGTGGGATGACCCCACTAAGGGCGATGGAACCAAGAAGTGGACGACCCTGGAGCATAATGGCGTGGTATTCCCTCCACCTTATGAGGCGCTCCCGAAGAATGTGAAATTGAAGTATAATGGGGTTCCTGTTACTCTACACCCTGATGCAGAGGAGGTTGCCGGTTTCTTTGGTAGCATGCTCAACTCCACTCACAATGTCGAGAACCCGGTTTTCCAGAAGAATTTCTTTCAAGACTTCAGAGACATTCTCAAGAAGACAGGTGGTGCCAAAGATTCTCAAGGCAACAAGGTTGACATCAAGGAGTTTGCCAAGTGCGACTTCAAGCCAATCTTTGAGTATTATGATGCAAAGCGCGAAGAGAAGCGAAACCTACCTGCTGCCGAGAAGAAGCGCCTGAAGGCCGAGAAGGATGAACAGGAAGCTTGTTACATGTTCTGTCAATGGGACGGCCGCAAACAGAAGGTTGGTAACTTTCGCGTGGAACCGCCTTCGCTGTTCCGTGGCCGCGGCGAACACCCGAAAACCGGACGAGTGAAGACGCGTGTTCTCCCTGAACAGATCACTATCAATATCGGCAAGGAGGCCACAGTTCCACCACCTCCACCCGGACACAACTGGAAAGAGGTCAAGCATGACCAAGAAGGCACCTGGTTAGCTATGTGGCAAGAGAACATCAACGGCAACTACAAATATGTCATGCTTGCTGCCAATTCTGATGTCAAGGGCCAGAGCGATTTCAAAAAATTTGAGAAGGCTCGTGAGCTCAAAAAGTACATCGACAAGATTCGCAAGGACTACCAGAAGAACCTCAAGCATGACTTAATGGTTGAGCGTCAAAAGGCAACCGCCGTCTATCTCATCGATCAGTTCGCCCTGCGTGCTGGCAATGAGAAGGGCGAAGATGAGGCTGAAACCGTAGGTTGCTGCTCATTGAAGTACGAGAATATCACTTTGAAGCCGCCAAACACCGTTGTCTTCGATTTTTTGGGTAAAGATAGTATCCGATTCTATGACGAAGTTCAGGTTGATCAGCAGGTCTTTAAGAACCTGAAGATCTTCAAGAAAGCGCCGAAGAAGAATGGCGACGAGGTCTTTGATCGGTTGACTGTAAGTGGTCTTTCTGTTTTAGATTTTTGTTTCAGCTTCGATCTGACTGATAAATAATAGACTTCGGCGCTCAACAAACATCTGCAGAACTACATGCCCGGTCTGACCGCCAAGGTGTTCCGTACTTACAACGCCTCCTTTACCATGAGCAACTTGCTTAAAGAAATGAAGGCTTCCGGCACTATTGCCGAGAAAGTTAAGGCCTACAACGACGCTAACCGCAGAGTTGCTATTCTCTGTAATCACAAGCGAACGGTGGGCGCGGCACACGCAGGCCAGATGGAGAAGATGGGTGAACGAGTATGTTCAAACATTCTGATTTTTTTAGTCATATGCAGCTAATTAAATTATCTCTACAGATCAAGGGGCTTCGTTACCAGAAATGGCGAATGAAACAGCAGATGCTCGATCTTGAGCCCAACCTCAAGAAAAAGAAGGGCCCTGCATTCTTCGCCATTGACGAAGATTTGACTCCTGAATGGATCAAAGAGCACCAGGCGTTCCTGCTGGAAGAGCTTACCCAGAAGATTAAGAAGAAGTTTGAGAAGGATAACGAAAAACTTGTTGCTGAAGGCGAGAAAGAGATGAAGGTTTCTGAACTCGAAACTCGTTTGGAGATTGTCAAGGAAACGGAGAAGAAGTATAATAAAGAGAATAAGACTGGCAAGGTCGAGGCAGAGGGAAGAGGCCCCACAGTTGAGAAGCTGGAGGCCAATATCGCAAAGCTTGACCAGCGTGTCGATACCATGTCACTGCAGGCACAAGACAAGGAAGACAACAAGGAGGTTGCCCTTGGTACTTCTAAGATCGTGAGTTTGACCCATAATAATTATCATTTTGTATCAGTGACTAATCCCAATTTCATTAGAACTATATTGACCCCCGCCTTACTGTTGTCTTCAGCAAGAAGTTCAACGTTCCTATCGAGAAGTTTTTCTCGAAGGCGCTTCGCGAGAAGTTCGAGTGGGCAATCAAGTCCGTCGAGGAGGACTGGGAGTTCTGAGATCAGCGCTTACATATCGATTCCTTCTCAGTTCTCGTACAATATCGTCTGTTTTCTTCGTTTTCGTATCTTGAACAGCTTTCCTTCCCATTGAACATGAGGCTTGTTTAGTCATTCTCACTTTCAAGTTTCGCTGAATCTTGATTTAACACCGGACACCTAACGAAGGGTTTCAACGTGACCAAATGCCATATCTCCGGGGATTCATGAAAAAAAAATCTACAACACAAGAACAAAAATCAACATTCAAAAGACCAAACAAGACGCATTGCATTGCCCTCCGTGATTTGATCTACAATTCTGTTTTGAGCCGTCCAACTTCGTTCTTCCACGCATCCATTGACGGTATTGACTTTGCTTCCTCAGTGGTCAGTACTTAGAACCCATCCTTTTTATAGAGGAAGATCACAATGTATTCTATCATCTCTGTTTCACTTTTTATACACCATTTACCCTCGTAGCCATGTAATTGAAGTCACCACTGTAACATGCGTGCGACCCGTCCTCGAGACCCTTGTAAAGTTGACGGCGAATTACAGAACAGTGGCTTGTGGGACCTGCACGAGATGCATGCAAGCATCGTACAGGGCGCACAAGAGTGGAATGGTGCACCGAACCCCGAATTCTACAGATTGCGGATGTGCTGCTGCGTGACGTGACAGGGACAGCGGAGGGGTTTGGAAGTAGACTTGACAAGCATGGGCATCAATTCTAAAATACATACAAAGCAGAAAGAGTGCCAGCGTACGCACAATGATGCCAGCCTGATCAGGGGGGCGAGAAGAGAAGAGAGAAGAAATGAACCAAGAAGCATTTCGAAAAGAAGAAAAACAGGCTCAATATGCAAGGATGCAGTCTCGAATAAACGAGGGAGAATGATAGAAGGGAATGTAGAATGAGGATATATGCACGAATCGAAAAAGCTTATGAATCCAAAAAAAATCCCGCCCAATGGAAAGGATTATTAGTACAACAGAGAAAATCGGATGCAGAGCTGGGATTTTGGGCCCCAGGGGGTTGGGTGATATCAAAAAGGAACCTGGATATTCGAAGAGGAGAAAGTATAGGAAACGTGGAAGGTGGAGAAGGCAATGAAGGCGAAAGAAAGATATCATCAAGGTGTCGTTTCGTGTAGGAGATGGTGAGATAAGATATGCTTTCTTTGGCGGACATAACGCGATATGATGCATGTTCGAGACAAGAACTGCCTAAATATAAGGGAAACCGCTGCCGGTTGTATGAGAATGGAGAGAAAGAGAAAAGAGATCATGAGTTCGATCGTCATTCTCTCTAATGATGCAAACAGAATAGACAAGCCGTTTTTAAGGCCACCAGCCCATACGCTTGTAGCTATCGACCATCTCCTGGATGCTGTCTGTGCCAAACTGCTCATACTTCGGTTTCCAGCCAACGGTTGACTCAAAAAGGGAGCCGTCAATGGACATATCCTGGTCCTTCAGCACATCACGCTCCAGAAATGGACCAATTGGACCGGGTCGCTCGATCTTGCTCTTCTCCACTAGGTCGGCCCATTCCTGCAGGCTGACCTCGTTCATGTCGTCAACAACGTCGTCCAGGTTCATCTTGGCCAGCTGCGAAACAAGTGAGCCGATAAAAGTGACCTTGAGGTCGAAGACCTCAGCTAGGGCATTGGTGATATGCTCCTGTGCAGTGTTGTTATGATCCACGACGTTGAATGCGATCGGCGTTTTGGAATCCTTGAATATAGCGGGCAGCGAGGCATCGTTGGGGTCCAGCTTGCCCTTGCTAGCACGCCATTCGGCAGCGGCCCATAACGCGCTGGCAGCATCTGTGACATGCAGAGTGTTCACCTTGACATCCTTGGTGTACAGCATCTCGAGGTCCTGGTTCATCTCCTTGTGCACGCGGGCGAGACAGATACCCATGGCGAAGTAGCCTGGGTTATAGGCGCCGTAGACGTGGGGCAGACGGAGAGCGCAATATTGCAGGTTGGGGATCTTCAGCAGCTCCTCAGCGGCCTTCAGCTTCCACTTTGCCAGCTTGTGCCAGGGCTGGAGCTTGTCGGTTTCCTTGCGCGGTGAAGAGCCGCTCTTGTAGACATGCGCGGTCGAGCATTCGACATAGGCGGGGATACCGCGCTTAGCAACTTCCTTACCCAGGGTGATGCTAAGACCGCAGCTGCGAGCTTCGTAGACATCGTCGGGCTGGGAGTGCCGTGTTTCGCCGCCGCAGTTGATCACGTAGTCGAATTGTTCGCCGTTGGCGCGATCGAAAATCCGTGGGAGGTGTTCTGAAATAGCCGAGGGACATTAGTTAGCATTTACATTTCGCTGTCTGCTCCAAAAAGGTTTGCCGCCAGGAAAGTAATGGTCATGTGTCCACCTACGTTCACGACTTGCGTCCGCCTGCACGAACTTTTCTTTGGAGCATGCTTCTGCGAATTCGGGAGCCAGCCAGGCCAGCTGCGGCAGAACCTTATCGACGATGCGGACTTCAGAAGCCAACTTGTTCTCATGAATATAGAGCGCGAGGTGGCGGCCGATAAAGCCTAGTCAGATGCGGAGTTTGGTTAGTGACACTTCATCGCAAGTATTTGGCGAGTGTTTGGCGAGCAGAGGGGGCGGGGGGGATACGCACCGAGACCACCAATGATCAAGACGGCGGGCTTTTTAGCGTCGGTCATCGTGACGGCTCTTTTTTGATTTTGATATTTTTGGTGAGGGATTGCAATTGCGCCCCGCAAGAATAGAGGGGATAACAAAAGCAGAAGAAAGGGGGTGAGGGAAGATGTAGAGTTGTAGGATTGCAGGAGGGGGGAAAGGGAGAAAGAGGCACGAATGAAGGTCATCAGCCCGAACTCAACTTTCGCGCCAAACCATGCAAAATCTCCAACATTTGAAATTCTTCCTCCTCCACCTCCCTCCACCTCCACTCCTCCACTACCCACTCTACGCTATACAGACGGAGAACGCCGTGCTCTTTGACCCTTGTACTCCGTGCGCGTACAAAGTACAGAGTACAGCGTACAAACCAAAAACCCAACAACCTGGGTATCCCGCGGTCCACCCCGAGCACGAGTCTCCGACCAAACAATCATCCCGAGGGACCCCTCCCCCATTCGAAGCCCTTCTGAGCCTGTTGAACCCAGTTGGCCTCCATTTTGAGTCCACCGAGTCCACCGAGTCCACCGCGGGCTACTAATTGCGTCGCTAGAAAATTCGGGAAGATCGCAATCCTCATTTTCGCCGCCCTCCCCTGCCAAGCCCCTCCGTTCTAGCGACGCCGTTGATCTATAGTCGTCGGACTAAGTGGGTTTATTGTGGAGACATCTTGCCAACACGGCTCGCTGATTCGGGCGATTCAACCCGCAGGGATGCACTGGTGACGTCGGAGCGCCCTGGCTGGTGGCCCTGCGGCCCCATGGAACTGGGATGAATGGGATCTGCCCGGACCCAAACATTTGATGATAGCCTTAAGAATTTGTTGTCTTGGTCTTTTGAGGAAGGTCTCGGAGATCTAACCTGGGGTCACTACCAAACTAAATAGAGATCGAATTGATGTTGATAAGGACGTGCAGCGCCTGTACATCTGGACATGCCCCATCTCTTCTGAAGCGTCCGCAAGCCACTCCTCCATACTCTATTTTTCAATTTCAAAAACTCATGCTTCAGATGGCTTCTCAATTTGATCGATCCTCAGATGCACATCGATGACAAACTGCAGGATGGAATTCAGCAATCCATCGCGCTTCGCGACCCATGCTTGGCGAATTTGGTCTCCGAGCGATTCAAGGTCATTCGAGCCACGGCGGACTTCAAACCACATTCCAGACCAGCGCAAACCGACCACTGCACCCGTGCATCGCGGAGCCTCATCCTTGTCTTGATCCTCGTTCTCGTTACACTTGGAAAACCGCGATGCCCGTTCTATCGCGTCAAGGAATTCATCTGTCCCAGCGCACTTCTTTAGAGTTTCGAACGTTACGATCACGGCTCCTCGGGGAGCTGAAAGTTTGTCGCGCCGAACCATAAAGTGGGTAGTCTGAGCCATCCGTCTCATTTTCCGTGATCGGCTCTCCATGCCCGAGAAAGGAGGCATGCTCTCTGATGCTACAATATTAGCCCGTGGTGACCCTCAGTTGTTGTTCGAGCAAGCAGGTCTCTTACCATTTGAAGGTGACCTCTCTAGGCTATCGACTTGATCGTGACAAATAGTGGCAATCCTTGTTCGCGACCTAATTGGTACGTTTGAGTCCAATTGCACCCCTGGTGTAGTAACACTCTCTGTCAACTTTCTCTTCCTGCTCGGAGCTGAGGGCTCTTCAGTGTCACTAGTGACCGGAGTCGGAGTATTCGAAGACATCTGGACCTTTTAGTAAAAACACCACGATGAAGACGACCGGAAGGTATGACCACTAAATTAGGGAACCCTACCTCTTTTGCAATTGAATCGCGAGTGATTTTAGCCTTCTTTTCGATGAGTAAGTCAACAGCCCGGATCAGTCTAAATGCCATCGTGGTCGTGAGCAGAGCGACTCTGTAGGTGAGCCAATAGTACATTTTAAACAAAGCACTCACGACTTCCTATGGCGAGGGTATGTACTGACTGTACCCTCTTGCAGATACTTCTCCTGAAGGTATTTCTTCCGATTGGCGAGACCCCAGTACTTAGGGCCAACCTGTTCGATGAACGACTCGGCCACCAGACTTCGCTTTTTGACGTCTTTCATGCCAGTCCATGAGGATGAACTGCAAACTTTCTCCGCTAGTTCGTCGTAGAAAGCCTTCCAATATGTATCTTTGAGGTCGAACGCATTGCAGAACTCGTAGAGTTTGCTCTTGACTGTAAGCTGACCATCTTTGAGCGCTGCCAGGAGGTGGTCTGCGGTGTCTTCAATAGAACTGCTGCCCCTGCTGTTGTTGCTGTCAAGCTTTGAACGTAGATGAGGAGTCATTGTGTCTGGTGATTTCATATGGGGAAAGGACTAGTATGAACAAGAGAAGACGGGATGAGCTGGATCAACTTGTTTGGATAAACAAGTATCACGGGCAGGTGATGGTGTGCGAAAAGTGAGAGAACTGGGAGAACCAAGGCAGTTCAGCAGCCCCCTGGAGGCCATTCTTAGCTCTCACGTTCGAATTTTATAGACCATACATCACTCTATATTAAGAAACTAAAACATGAAATATGTGCATACTATTAGACGCATAATTGATGCTATGGAATTCTCAGACTCCTTTCACTCATACAGCTTTTCATTCTGCACCTAGATATCGTAGAGAATTCCTCAATTCCTTAATTGCTGTGTCCACATCATCGAAAGTTAGAGCAGAGACTGCCCACCGCGCATGCTTTTGCGCTAGGGAAATTGATTGGTCATCCACCCCATGTGAGGATTGACTTGGGGCTGAGGGTACAGGGACAACAGGAGCAGGGGCAGTGGTAGACGGAATGGAAGAAGGAGCTGCCGGCGGAGAAATGTGGGCGCTTGCACTGGATGGGTCGTAAAAGGAGGCTGGATCTGGTGCTGCAATCGATGGGCTGGCAGCAGCTGGAGGCGGGAACGACTGGAAGGCATTAGAGTGGTGTGGGGCGTGGGTTGTGTGAAGAATTGAAGATCCAGGAGTGTCAGGGAGATCTGGAACTGCCGCTGGGCTTCTCGCAACATCCCCAATCCGGGATGGGGTGGATGGAAGCTCCAGTTCACCCCCATGCGGCTGATCTAGGTCCATAATCTGGCCCGGTGAGCCAGGCGCATTGCGTGGGACGGAAGGAATCTCAGGCGGAGCTGTGTTTGCGGTTGGTGGAATAGATGATGTTCGAGATGGATGTAATGACTCGTCAATATTGGATTGATAAGCCATCTGCCGTCCAAGCCGGTCCGCCTCGTCTGGGATTTCCTCCACCGAGGGCTGTCGTGGCCTCGAAGCCTGGGCTGCCACGGACTCATCAAACGCCTGTACGTCCGGATCTGCGACAGAAACATCTTCCGTCTCCTTTGGTGCTGGGTTGCTCGCATTGGGATCCTCGCCAGCCTTGATAGCTTTCACAATTCGAAGAGCATGGTACTTAGCGAATTTGATTCGGCCGGCGATCTCCGGATCAAGATCTCCCCAGACCTGGCATAGCTCAAGGAACGTAGCGGCAGCTTGGAATGTGTCGACTGTTTGTCTGGAAACGCATGAGTGTGAGGTTTGTTGAAGTATGAAGGTTGAATTGCGGGTTTGCTCACTTGGTGACCTTGTTCGCGGTCATGGCTGCCTCGGCACGATTGAAAACCTCCAATGCGAACTGCTCAACGTATGCATTCGCTGCAACATTGTCTGTAACTGTTTCATTCTCGGGGTTTTCACTTTTGAACTATGTTTCCAGCGCCATGCATCAGAAATCGGAAAGTCGCAAGCGCTCACAAGCGGGGAGAGGGGAACACATGTAACGGACCTGTTCCAGCTTTTCCACCAAGTTGGTGGTATAAGTTTTTATTTCATCGTCCGAGTGCAGTCCTCGCTCGATAATCTGGTTCACGATATGAAAATTGCCTTTCGCATGCGCATGTGGTCAGCGCGAGTGCTCTGAAGTGGGGGATGGGTAGGTACTCACACCAGTAGGCTACTACCGGCTTCACTTTCTCGATCTGGGCAGCTCGAATGGCGAAACGCCCGATATCAGCAGATCGCAGCTCAGCGGGAATGGTGTTCGCCATCGTAGAGATTGTTGCGGGAAGAAGTTGTAGGAGAGGACCGCATGAGCAGATGACGTTTGGAGAGGTCGGGGGTTCCCACCGCCCGTGCGGAGAGCGGGCGATAAAGGCCAACCTCTTATCGCGCAGGAGCTACCTTGCTTACGGAGTATAGGTGGCTTACTTCTTCGCCTTGTACGAAGCTTGTTCGAGGCACACTGGATTTATTATTCTCTATTTGACCGAAATTGATATATATGTGATACCCAGCAAACCGTATGAGAAACTTATATCGAGGCTTCGCTCACGTGGCTCTGAACCATGTACGCCGTACTAACCGTATACTCCAAAAAGTGCAGCAGAATGTGGCCATCCTATTTATGACTTGAATATGTATTTTTTTGATCTCCTTCAGTGCTCATCTCAGACAGAGTTGGAGCTCCCAACTCGACAAATCGGGCTCGATACCCGGCTGGCTGCGTGGTGGACTCTGGTCCATTTGGTAATTGTTGTGACAGGGCTTTCCGCCGACCCCGGCGCTCCCACAATGCCCATATTATTGAGGCGAGTGAAATGACTCCTAGCGGTACTCCGACACCTGCGCCAATGGCCAAATCATTAGAGGAATTTGATGACAATGACGACAATGGAGAGGTTGATGAGGAGCATGACGAGGACGAGGAGAAGGACGATGATGACGATGATGGCGATGAGCCGGAACTGGTATCGGTTGTGTTTGAGGTACTGGTCGAATTTGTGGAGGAGGTTGATGTCTCTGCAAGGCCGGCGACGTCCGGAATAGCGGTGCCAACTGGCACAGTGACCTCACCCAATTTGCAGGTCACTGTGCCATTGTCATAAGAAGCTATACCACAACAGTGGACCGTTGAATTGCCATCATAATTGGCGGCCACAATTGGAAACCCAGAGTCTTTATTGAGTGAGACTTCGAAGAAACACCAAATTAGCGGCGCGGATTATGCCAAACAATTAAGGCAAGCCGGGGCTGCAGCATAACTCACAGCAGTATTTGTAGTCATCACATGAATCCCAGCTCTGGTCGGTGCAGCTCGCGCGCGATAGAGCGAGCCCGGAGTTGCGCTGCATATAGCATAATCCATTAGACATGCACAGATCCTTCTTGTTGCAACAGAAGGTCGTGTCGTCGGATGTGCAGGGCACGTCGTCCGCGGCTTGAGAGCCATCGGGATTATAGCAATTCCTGTCGTCGGATGCAACAGTTGGAGCGGTCCAAAGCAGAGTCGTGAGAGCTAGTGGAGCCCACCATAGTCGTGGATGCACCATTCTGAGGGTCCCAGGATGAAGCGAGCAGCTTTCCGGGCGAAATGGGGGTGCCAGCAACGAAGGGGATCTTAAAGGGTGATCATGCTGCTCAGAACCCCTAAAGCACGACCATTTCGCCCCACCAGCACTGCTTCCTAATGTTGATCGGATACATTGACGCTGGATTCTGCAGACAGAGCACGCCAATCTGTGACTAGCGTGTTAGCGCCCAGGGCAGATTCGGGCTGTGCTTTCATTGCCGTCCACATGGTGCCTGCCAAGCCCTCAGCCATACCGAATATAGCAAGCAATATCAATGCGAGCGCCACCAAATCGCCTGATCAGAGGGCCCAAATTCCAAGATTCCAAGCTAGTCCGTGATCCTAATTATCCACCTGACGTGAAACGCCCGCTCAGTGGCAAAACGGCCCCCGATAGGAAGGGATGCAAAAGGTGCCCCTCAGGTAAACGTGAAGGGGCGTAAGCACTTGTAAAGAATTGGGTGTAGATCGGGCTTGGAAAGCGGCCGCCCCCACTGCCGGTCGCGGAGTCCTTAACCATATCCAACCATGAGACGCAGCCAGCGATCCTGGGTATGCAGATTATTGGTGCCGAGACCGAGACCGAGTGAAATTCGTAAGTGCCAGAGGTCAAGAAGAATAATGGGAAGGAATCTGAATCAATCACATCAAGTCAACTGAACATGTCTGGTAGTTGTATAGACTGAGTCGTGGGAGAGTGATGTTTTCTGGTCAAATGACGCTCTCTCTAGAGCGGGTGTCATTATTTTCACCCACTTTTTTTTCTCTCCATAGAAAACTTCAAGCAATAGACGTCTCAATGATATGGAAGGACATTAGTCGGCTCTCGTACCCACAGCGCGAAGCGCACGGAAGCAGCAGGACACGCACTGCCTTGTGGGCAGCGGGAGCCCAGGTAAGCTTTTGTGGGCCCCCTGCATCGTGGACATGTATATCATTTGGGCCGTTTGTGGATGCTGTAGGGGTATTGAGAACAAACCATTGCGCGAGACTGCCTTGGTTGGGTGGAATGGGTCTACGAGCGCCATTGCAAACCTCAATAGTCCTACCCCAATCGACCAAAAAACGGTACGAAAACAGACAAGATTGAACAGGCTGACAAGCCGAGGTCCTCAAGGGCCGCCTTGTGGGAGTGAAGGATGAATACAAAACTTGGCAGATGTGAAAAGGAATGGAACAGTAATGGGTATCTAGGACATCTTGTCGCTACTGCATTCTCACCAGAAAAAGCGGTAGTATGCCGGGTATACATCGATTTAATTCACGGATCTTCCACAATCCACTCGCCAATCTCGACTCGTTCTTCAGCGAGAGCCTCGACCTCGAAGTGATCTTCTACCTGCCCACCAGGCCCGCCAATGCGTTCGAGAACAATCCACACCTTGCCGTACGAGTCTGGATTTGGCGACAAATCAAAGTCTTCTACCCGCACCCCTGATACAGCATCACAGTGGGCACCATCTTCGGAAGTAGCGAGAGTCTCCTTGTACGGCCCCTGGCCTAACTCCACGGTCATGAGCACCGGCGACGGGGCGACAGGACGTGTTCCGATCACAGACAGCTTGTTCTTCGCGATAAGCTTGATCCGTGTGAGTCGAGGCACCTTGAGAGGAGCAAGCATCCGGTCTTGTCCCGGTGTGAGAACTCCGACACTGGACCGGGTGATACGGCGGCCTGCCGACTCACCAGCCAATGGCTGTATGACGCAAGGGATCGAAGATGAAATCCAGAGCGTGAACCGACCAAGCTGATCCGGGGAAAACGTAGAGCAGATGATTGTATAAACCCCCTTATCAAGTGACGATGTCTCGGCAAGAGCACATCCCCGGCGGTAGTCACCACTGTCGGCGATAATATCTCGACTCCGCACTCTCGCGATTCGTTGGCCATTAGACCAGAAAAGTTTTACGTGAGTTGCAAGTTCGGCTTCGCTCGACTCGAGCAAAATAGACACGTCTGTTTTCTCGGAGACTTGAAGACTGAACTGGGGATTGGAAGAATATCTCGCTGACTCGGCATTCCCGCCCGCAGTTAAAGCTGTCCATGAACCAGTTACTTTATTTAAACACAAGTGTTTATCTCTTGAGGGCGCCAGTGATACCTCGGCCATCGAGAGTGCCGAGAGTGTAAAATTTTGGCTTAGTAACGGGAGAGACTGTTCCGAGATCACTGCCGTGTAGGTTGTTCTTGGGGGTAGTTCGAGTCGCATCAGCGTGTTGGGAGAGTCCACATAGGGTCCACGGTGGAGCGCTCCGTCACTCAGAGATACTCGTTTGCCACCTGCTTCAAAGATATAAATGCTAATAAAGCCCAATTCCCCATTTTGACTCTTGAGGTACTGGAGATGGTCTGTTTTGAAATGTTTGCCAAGTAAAAGCCACACGGTTCCTCCGGTCTCACTGTAGACCGAAAATTGGGGGTTCTTGACAAAGCAACCAGCCATGACACCGCCTTGCGAGAGATCCCAGGTAAAATGAATGTCTTCACGAAATTTGAAGAGGCCAGGGTTCCAGTTGAGATAGAGATTCTCATAGTTCTGGAAGACCTGCTCGCAGTCCATCCAAAAAATTCCTGGTGATAGAGGTGATGGCGGACTGGACGGGTCTTGCAACGCCGAGTCGCTGCTCTGTATGATGGTTGGCTCGGCCCCAGCCCAAGGATTCTTCAACAGGAATTGACGACGGCCGTTGTTTTCCTTCATGTCCAAGATAGCATAATCGTGCTCGCTGACCAAGCCCAACTCTCGTTGTTCCCGCTCAGTCAGCTTGCCAGTTCCAATGGTCAGCACCACATCGCCGCAGGAGAACGGTCGATATAGACGACCCCAGATCTGCTCGGAGGTAGCATCCTCATTGTGGAGGAAAAGTTGCTCGGGAATCCAGCCCGTCAGTACCCAAAGGTCCGTCCCAGAATTGCTTCCGGGGAAATCATACCCTCCGCGGACTTTCAAGTACGCCTTTTCAACCAGGGCTGGCCACAGAAAATTGGGATTGTTGCGATCGATCACATGGAGTGATCGTTTCGTGTTGGATGATGGCAGCCTGTCATCGATAACTACCTTCCGAAAGGACCCATTGAAATAGAACGAAAATACATATTTGCCTGATAATGATAGAGACGGTTCTTCGCCATTCTGCTCGGAAGGATACATAACCGGTGCAGCATGCTAGATTGGCCGGTCAATCTTCACATTCTGTAAATCATCAAGGTTCTATACATACCCTACCGAGACCGCGTTCTGATCGCGAAGTAGCAGCACAAAGACTGGCTATTACTGAACAATCCGTCAGGACATCTTGGACGAGGTCGGTCGTCCCTGTTACGGACATGACCGGCTGGACGGCATCTTGGGTCTCGTTTGCCGCGTTTCTCGCATGTAGCAAATCAGATGGGCGCTTCCATCCCGCAAAAATTTTAGTCTGGCACTCTGAAAGATGCAAATCGGGCGAGTCGCTTTTTAGGCAAATTGTCAGAATAACTAGAAAACAACACCACGTCAAGACCACATGAACCCTCCACGTACATGAATGACTTGTCGAATTCAGCTGCCTCTGGGGGCCGTTGCCATGGGGGAAAGATGAAACCATTCAGCTTAGCCCCTTCTAGCACAATGATCTGCTCACGAGTTGTGAGCTTGCGCTTGGATGTGGGGGCCCGTAGGCTGATAATTGTGTTCTGGCGGGCTACAGACTGCCAGTCCGCGGCAGTCTTAATCCGTTCCGCGCGGGTCAGGAGCTCCTTGCATTTGGAATCGAGTTGTTTCTTGTCATCTGAAGAGGCCAGACGAAGGGCTTTCATGTAAGATTCGGCGGCATCTATGGCTGCCGCCAGTGCCGCCTTCTGAGAGGTCGCGGAGGCGATTGCCCCTTCGGCTCGCTAACTGCCGATTAGCCCACCCGAACCATCTGCGAGAATCTGGGGAAGATATGGGGAGCAGGCCTTACCAGCGCCTGTGAAATATGCGACTGCTGTGTGGCGCCATGGAGTCTCGACATGGCTTGTAATTGGGGTTCCTCAAACTGTCGCAGTGAAACCCGGTCGGCTGGAGAACAGGTTGGCAGCCGCACGTTGGATTGGCGCCGAGCCCCGCAACCTCCGTCTCGATGTCCATGGGCAGCCGCACCGCCGAACCAATTCCGATGGGCCAGAGCTTTTCGGGATATATCTTTCAGTAGATTATCGTCCAATCCCGAGCCATTGGCATCTCGCCCATCCTGGGGAAATCTGTTGTGTAGCTCCGGTCAAGCGCGCGCGATGACCTAAGCCAGGCCGAGTAGTCGGGCTGTGAACCTCGGCTCGCAATACTGACCGCCGCGCCGAGGTGCTTTTGCTTGTGTTTCCGGCTATCGAGCTCGGTCGTTTTCTGTTCGGGTGGCACCGGTTAGTATGACCCTGTCGAGGTGCTGGAGATCTTCTACGAGTTCCTGATCGAGTCTCGAGTCTCTCCTTCTTGCTGGTCATCTGCCCTTGGTCCCGCCGTCTTCGGAGCAAACGTCGTTTCGAGGCCCCGCTCCGGCTTCCCCTTTCACACGCCTCGTCTGATCGCCTTTTTCTTACTTCCTGTCGGGCGTCGTCTTGCATCTGTTCAATCAATCTACATCATGACCGGCCAATCGAAGCCTGTACGCCTCTCTCCATGGGGCAGCGCCGTTGCGGGTGCAACGGGCGCCGTGTTGGCAAATGCGATGGTATACCCGCTGGATCTGTGAGAATCATCCCGGCCCACCGGATGGAGCCATTCCGCATCACGCGAAGTTGGAAGCAAATGCTAACGACATTTTCTTCGCGATAGGGTCAAGACGAAATTGCAAGTCCAGGTCAAGCAAACCAAAGGCCAGGAAACAGAAGAGGGAGTTGACCACTATGATTCGACCATTGATGCAATCACCAAGATCGTGGAAAAAGAGGGCGTGAGCGGACTGTACTCTGGAATGATGGGCTCGCTGCTGGGTGTCGCCTCCACCAATTTCGCGTACTTTTACTGGTACAGCGTTGTCCGAACCCTCTATATGGCCTCCCACAAGACCCCGAAGCCCCCAGGTACGGCCATCGAGCTGTCTCTTGGCGCTGTTGCGGGTGCCGTGGCCCAGATCTTCACCATCCCGGTGGCCGTGGTCACCACCCGGCAGCAAACCCAACCCAAGGGAGAGAAGAAGGGCCTCATTGAGACTGGCCGGGAGGTCGTGGAGAGTGAAGATGGCTGGTCCGGCCTGTGGCGCGGCCTGAAAGCCAGCTTGATTTTGGTTGTCAACCCCGCCATCACTTATGGAGCTTATCAGCGACTGAAGGACGTCTTTTTCCCGGGCAAGAACAACCTAAAGCCATGGGAGGCCTTCTGTGAGTAGATCTTGTCTGCATGTTGATGTATGGTCCCCGCTAATTCATGTTATAGTCCTTGGTGCGATGTCCAAAGCTCTGGCCACCATCGCGACTCAACCTCTGATCGTCGCCAAGGTTGGTCTGCAGTCTCGTCCCCCGCCCAGTCGCAAGGGCAAGCCTTTCAAAACATTCGGTGAGGTCATGAAATATATTATTGAGAATGAAGGTGTTCTTTCCCTCTTCAAGGGCATCGGTCCGCAGATCATGAAAGGCCTTTTGGTACAGGGTCTTCTAATGATGACCAAGGAAAGGTAAGTTTCGCTGCTCTTGCATGGGTTTCGTTTAGGATTGATTTGCTTTACTGACTATTTCTCAGGATGGAGCTCCTTTTCATCCTTCTATTTGCCTATCTCCAGCGTATCAAGAAAGAGAAGCTGCGAAAGGCCGTTGACGTTGCTGCGTCAAAGGCCCAAGCCAGCATGCCCGCAACCCTGAAATAAACCCCCTGCTAATGCCCGCGTATTTCACCTGTTACCCCCCTCGTTTTTCTTGAGAACTTTCTATTTGTCTTTCTTACAGCGTGATGGTCTCTTTTTCTTCTTTCTCGCTTCGCGATTCTCTTAAACAGTTTAGACATCTTCTGGCTCTTTGTTCTTAGAAGCCGCCTGATGCAATAGAAACGCTTGTGTTTCTAACGCTGGATTTTGGAGATAGACTTGTACATAAACGATCGGTCGCAAATATGTCTCGGTCCGCAAATTGAATGTTTGAAGCAATTATTTCACCAGGAAATTTACTGTATCAAATAACTCTGAAAAGTGGTGTTTCCACACCCTTGATGAAAGATGTGGACCACAAGTATAGACACTCCTGCGTGTATCTGCGGCAACGATCGCCTGCGGCAACGATCGCCTGCGGCATCTCGAGCTTCCGCGGCATCTCGAGCTTCCGCGGCGGAGCGACCTCTCTTCCCCGACCACTTCTACCCAACCGCTCACCCGCGCCCACCTCGTATCCTGCTACCCAGCAGGGGCATGGTCAGTCATGCGATGGCCGCCATGGAGATCCGAGTCGAGCAATGACGATAAACAACCCCCGGAGTGCAAACCCAGCCCTGACTCCTCGCGCCCCACATCCGCAACAAACAACCCCAGCTTCCCTCTCGACTGGGCCGCCTTTACAGAATCACGAACTCTCATTTCAACGGTTGTTTTAACGAGTGGCATTCTCCTCGCTGTGCGCCTTCATCGCCAGTATTTACGCCGTTTCCCTGATGCCACTAGCATATCGCCTTCCTTTCTCCGACGTAGGACCGTCTTTGGTCAAGTGACCAGCGTTGGCGATGGCGACAACTTCAGGATATACCACACTCCCGGTGGCCGGCTTGTTGGATGGGGCTGGTTACCCTGGAAGAAGGTCCCAACGACCAAAAAGGAGCTGAAGGACAAGACTGTTTGTATCCTCCCCCGTCGCATGGCTCTTTGTTTTCGTCCAGACTTCGGCGTGTATCTAACTGTTCCCTCCGTGATCCAGATCCACATTCGTCTAGCTGGCATAGACGCCCCTGAACTCGCGCACTTCGGTCGTCCCGAGCAACCATTCGCCCGCGAAGCCCACGAGTGGCTCATATCCTACCTACAAAACCGCCGAGTGCGGGCCTCCGTTTACCGTCAGGACCAGTATCAGCGCGTGGTCGCGAGTGTATACGTCCGGCGCGCGTTCGATTTCCCGCCTTTCCGTCGGCGTGATGTCTCATTTGAAATGCTGAAGCGGGGTCTGGCAACGGTCTATGAAGCAAAAATGGGCGCGGAATTCGGAGGCAAGGTCATGGAGCAGAAGTACCGCCGTGCTGAATGGTGGGCGAAAGCGCGGTCTAAAGGCCTGTGGAAAGACTACCGCCGCGTTGGGTCAAATTGGGAGAGTCCAAGGGAATACAAGACCCGAATGGGTATGGGTGACCTCGCGGACAATGGAGGGAAATCAAAGTGATGGACCTTTCCAAGGTTCTGATGGACATGTCGCGTGGTTCACTATTTGCATGATAAGATGATACGACTACATACGTGGACGAGATGCATCGATGTCTCGAAATTTGGAATTTATTTCTGAGCCTGATGATATGAATATAGTACACCAAACGGCAAATGCTATACAAACGCTAGAGTTGATATCGCGCCCTGGGCCCAAAATTATTGGGATATAGCAAGGGTCCAAGGCACGGTCCATTACTGTGGAGCATGCGCCAAGTGTAATGCAGCCCAATTAGGAATATGTATACATGCCAATAGAGTGGGCGGGTCGTTCTAGCAGAACCGCCGCTCAACCTCTGCGAATAACTGAGGAGAAATCTCGTCGCTCGAGTTGCCCTCGACACGCCAAAGGCTACCACGACGGTCGTAGTGCTGGAGGAGAGCTCGGCTGGTCTCTTCGAACTTCTGTAGTCGTTGCTTCCAGGTATCAATCGAGTCATCCTCTCTTTGGGTTAAGGGTTCGCCTGTGATATCGTCCTTCCCGGGGACTTTCGGCGCGTTGAAATCTGTGTTATAGACCCGGCCTGAAGGCTCATGAACCCAGCGGGATGCAATGCGAGAAAGAATGACTGAGGGGGTGTGAGGAGATGTACGACGAAGTTCACGGGGACTATGGTGTCGAGGCTGGTGGCTTGGGCAGCGGTGCGCGGGAAGCCGTCGAGGATGAAGGAGGCGGAGGAGGATAATGAAGGAACCGAGTCGGTAGATACTGGTGATGAGGGTGCTGGGGATGTAGAAGATGTTTCCGAGAGAGAAGACGACGGAGGGAGCCAGCCCTTGGATTTCAGCTCGGAAGAAATAAGACTGAGAATCATTGAATCTGGAACGAGATTGCCGGACTGCATTGCAGCCTCGGCTTCGAGGCCTGTCTCTTCTATCAGCCCAATGCTCTTTGTCGTGCTATTATTCAGGAAAAGAATCTCATGCAACTCACCTAACGGTGTCCTCCGGCGCACATTCTCCCGTAAAAGGTCCCCGGAGCTGATGGAAGCTAGCTGCGGAAAGCGGGCGAGGAGTCTCTCTGACTGCGTTCCCTTTCCTACCCCTGGAGCACCGATGAGAATGATGCGCGCCGCCTTCTTCAGCTGCTTGGTGGTATGCGACATGCTGGGGTGATGTCTTGTCGCGGTCTGGATATTGATTCTCCGATATCAAATAATCTCCGAAGGCGGTTCCTGGAAAGTTTTGTGGAGAGTTTGCGGAGGACAAGGGGTGGGGCGGGGATTCAAGCTGTCGCAAAGGAAGAACGCGACGATATATATGCGCTTTATGGCTAACGTTTGCCGCACGAGTAAATATCGGAAGAGACTCGATATAAGCAGCGTCGTCTAGCGCATTGATAATTCCCGAGTTCTGTGGGGTGCTTTTGCGGGTTCTTTCTTCGGCCCCCGGTGAGGTGAGAGCTCCGAGGGAAAGGGAAATTGGTCTAATAGCTGCAGGCCCGCTACCTTGCGATGATGCTCGAGGCAAGCAGCGCAAGCAGCCCACGGGGTGATTACAGACCGGGTGGGATCGATTGGAGGGGACTCGGCACTTGCACTGCTCTCACATGCGTCGAAACCCTCTTCGTAGATGGCCTGACTCGCCAGGCCAAAAGATTTCATTGTATCACGTGACTGGCTCCTCGCGCGCGCGGGCGCGCGTCGCGTCGCTCAATTTAGTGATATCGGGGAATCTTAGACATAACTTCAGACCGAACTCTGGCAACATCTACAGGTCGCAAACCTGCGCAAACGACACCATGATTCGACAAGATGTGCATCGGATTGACCCCAAACGCAGGGCAACTATCGATCATAAAAAGAGACAGTTCGCTACACCGACATACAAGCAGCAGGACTATCCGCATCGTCTGAATCTGTATGACACGCCACCTACAGCCGAGATTACACTCGAGCAGTTTGAGCAATGGGCTATCGACAGGCTGAAGGGTTTGTGTCTCTCCAATCTTTGCTAAAAGCCATCTAATAAGAGTAACCCAGTTCTGGCCGAAATCGAAGCATGCTCCTATCGCAACAAATCCCCCGCGGAGACGGCAACCCACATCACGCCTCTTCTCCAGAAATTCCTCCCTCTCTCCGCCAATACCTCTTCTCCAAATGGTGCCTCAGATCCTCGCTTGAGGCTTGAAAGACAGAAGGATCATTACTCGCACTTCATCCTTCGTCTGGCTTTCTCCGCCACGGAAGATCTCCGCAGGCGGTTTGCACGCGCTGAGACTATGCTATTCCGATTTCGCTTCGAACGGGATGACTCGAGAGAAAGGCGTGCCTTCATTGAAAGCCTGAGCCTCGATTGGGAGGCTGTGAGCGAGGAGGAGCGAAACGAAAATGCAGAAAATCTGGCGGGTGCCACTCCGGGATTACGACGGGTAGACGAGGAGACATGGTATAAGGTCGACTGGGAAAAGGTTCCTGAACTGGTCGAGCGACGGTCCGTGTTCATGAAGCGAGGCAAAGCCTATGTTCCTGGTCGGGAGCAGCTCAGCATGATCATGGCGGAGTTCACTGCTCGTCTGGAGCGTTCATTGGAGGTATGTCTTGACTCAAATCTATTCGAGATCTATTCGAGATGCACATGACTGACAGAATCAAGCTCACAAGCCGAGCGTTACCTCGACTGGATGAGGATGATCGCCTCACTCCCATTCTGAACCACCTTTCTAAAAATTTTGGCAGTGCGGAATCTGTTTACTCTGAAGGCGAGGGTCATGTGGATGGGGCTGCCATCACTGCCAGCTCCATTGACTCATTATCCCAACACTTCCCTCTGTGCATGCGGAGCTTACACACGAACCTGCGCAAAAACAACCATCTGAAGCACTTTGGGCGTCTCCAGTACACGCTTTTCTTGAAGGGTATCGGCCTCTCGCTGGAAGAGTGTATTCTCTTCTGGCGCCAGTCCTTCAAGGGCAAGACGGACGACGAGTTTAACTCACAATATAAGTATAATATCCGCCACGCCTATGGAGATGTGGGTGGTGATGTGAACCGTCGTGGCCGAGGCTATCCTCCTTACTCATGCCAGAAGATCCTTGGTGATAACAATGTCGGTATTGGGCAAACCCACGGATGTCCGTACCGTCATTACTCTGTGGACAACCTCGTCGGATTGCTCCAGTCTACGGGTGTTCACGACAAAGAGGTGCTTCGTGGAGTCCGTGAGGATGTGGGCAAACAACGATATCACATTGCGTGCAACCGAGTCTTCGAGTGGTCCCACAAGACAGAGATCAAGAAGGTCAAAGAGGATGGGACATGGAGCCAAGCAGATCTGGACACAATCGTCCACCCAAACACCTACTTCAAGCGAAGCTACTTACTCAAGCAGTTGGCCAAAGCTCCTCCTCGGGGACAGACTTGAATTTCACGTGAAAGTTTTCATGATGTTATGTCGGCCCATCCCGTGCGAGGCGAGTTCAAGGGCCAGGAGGCGTTCTTAAGGGCATATGATTGTACAATTGCAGATGGTATTTAGGTAGTTTTCAGATCATAATGGCAAAATGGTATATCCAATTATCCAAACTAGATAGAAATACAAATAATAATCAAGGGAGAAGTCTGTGACCGCAGCTGATTCCCAGTTTATCCAGAAGGATCAGAATGACCTTTCAAGACCAGGTGCCCAGCAGGGGGTCAAGTCGATCTTCGCTCGACGCGAAAACAGCTTCATCAATTGAAATGACCGAAGCTGTCGATAGTAATGTGTTTGAAGTCGGCGTGGAAGAAATATGAAGAAGAGGAAGAAAAGGGAAAAGGCGCCGAGATTTTATCGGTGTTTGGGTACGGCCAGCGGCAGCGACCACTAGCGCTGCAACCTGGCCTTAATGGGGAGCCGGCATCCTCACACAACATACTCCTCATCTTATCGTTGAACCTCTCCCCCCAGCTGACTTCGGGGTCTTTGATTTTGGGACAGGGTTGTGCTCAGGTGTGGTTCCTTTGACTAGAAAGCTCTTTGGAGTCGTTAGATTGAGCGGTGTCCCTGCGACTGGATTCGCTCCATTACGCCCCTCTTCCTCCCCTTGTCAACAACGGCCCTCGAGACCTCGAACGTCAACCGCCACGATGGACTACGAAGCGCTGAAGGATCAATGGAGCGATGTGGAAGACCGGGATGGTATCAGGCTCAGCTGGAATACTTTCCCGAGCTCTCGTATGGTGCGTCGATGGATTGAGCCGCGCCCTCTATGTCCCTCGGCGTTGCGCCCTCCGCTAAACTTGGAAATAGGAAGCTTCTCGGCTAGTCGTTCCCATTGCAGCCGTTTACACGCCTCTTAAGGAGAAGCCTGACTCCCCATTGCTGCAATATGAGCCCGTTACCTGCAAGCAACCCTGCCGGGCCGTTCTCAACCCATATGCGTACGTTCCCCATGTTTCCACTCCCCGGGATCTTGCGGTGAAGCTCACTATAGGCTAGCACCGTCGACACCCGCGCTAAGATCTGGATCTGCCCTTTCTGTTTGATGCGAAACCCCCTTCCGCCTCACTATAAGGATATCACGGAGAACACAATACCTCCTGAGCTCCACCCGCAGAGCACCACGATCGAGTATCAATTGGCCCGCCCCGCCCCGGCACCCCCCATCTTTGTCTATGTTGTCGATACCTGTCAGGAGGAGGACAGCCTGCAGGCGCTCAAAGACTCGCTTGTCATGAGCTTGTCTCTGCTGCCGCCCAATGCGCTGGTTGGTCTGATTACCTTCGGCACTATGGTATGGGCCTGCGAAAATCCCCCTTGCGGCTGGAGGAATTTCATGCTAATGACAGCTTTAGACTCAAGTACACGAGCTCGGTTACCCCGAGTGCGCCAAGTCCTATGTCTTCCGAGGTAACAAGGACTATAACGCCAAGCAAGTGCAGGAGATGCTGGGTCTTGCGTCCGGCATACGCCCAGGCGTTCCCGCTCAGCAGCAGCCCCAGCGCCCTCCCCTCGGCCCCGCAGCTCGCTTCCTCCTTCCTGTCCAGCAGGCTGAGTTCCAGATCACCAATATTCTCGAGCAATTGCAACGTGACCCCTGGCCCGTGGCCAACGATAAGCGCCCTCTGCGCTGCACCGGAGTTGCCTTGAGTGTCGCCGTCGGTCTGTTGGAGACCTCCTTCCAGAATGCTGGTGGTCGTATCATGACCTTCATTAGCGGTGCGCCGACTGAGGGACCTGGCCACGTCGTTTCCCCGGAGCTGAAGGAGCCGATTCGTTCGCACCACGATATTGATCGCGATAATATCAAGTATTACAAGAAAGCTGTGAAGGTACTGTCCTCGGTGCCCGGCGTTTTTTGATACTTATAGCCTCTTTACGTTACTGACCAGATATAGTTCTATGATGCCCTCGCGAAGCGCGCTGCCAACAATGGACACATCGTCGATATTTTCGCCGGTTGTCTTGACCAGGTCGGTCTTCTGGAGATGAAGAATCTCTCCAACTATACTGGAGGCCATATGCTCCTTACAGACAGCTTCACTTCATCGCAATTCAAGCAATCTTTCGTCCGCGTATTTGACAAGGATGCTAATGATAATCTTCTGATGGGCTTCAACGCATCTCTCGAAGTCCTAACAACCAAGGAGTTGAAGGTTACTGGTCTCATTGGTCACGCAATTTCCTTGAACAAGAAGTCGAGCTCAGTTGGTGAAACAGAATGTGGCATTGGCAACACTTGTGCATGGAAGATGTGCGGTATCGACCCGTCCTCCAGCTATGGTGTTTACTTCGAAATTGCCAACCAAGGTGGCCCGGCCGCCGTGCAGCCTGGTCCTCAACGCGGTATGATGCAATTCTTGACATACTACCAACACTCCTCTGGGCATTATCACCTGCGAGTCACCACCACCGCTCGACCACTCAGCGGACCCGCAGGTGACCCCACGCTCGCCCAGTCATTTGACCAAGAAGCTGCTGCTGTGCTCATGGCCCGTATTGCAGTCTTCAAGGCTGAAGTCGATGATGGGCCCGACGTCCTCCGCTGGGTGGATCGCATGTTGATCAGACTCTGCTCACGGTTTGCCGACTACCGTAAGGATGACCCAACATCATTCCGATTGGAGAAGAACTTCACACTCTATCCTCAGTTCATGTTCCATCTGCGACGAAGCCAGTTCTTGCAGGTCTTTAACAACTCACCCGATGAGACTGCATTCTACCGTCATGTGCTAAATCATGAGGATGCCGGTGATTCGTTGGTCATGATTCAGCCCACCCTGGATTCCTACTCATTGGAAGTGGAGGGCGGCCAACCTGTATTGCTGGACTCTGCTTCTATCCAGCCCGCACATATTCTCCTTCTCGATACCTTTTTCCATATCCTTATTTTCCACGGTGAGACAATTGCCGAATGGCGAAAAGCTGGTTACCAGGAACAGGAGGGCTACGAGAACCTCAAGGCTTTGCTCGAGCAACCTAAAGAGGATGCTAGGGTTCGTTTTCTACTTTTTGACCGGATCATTTCGACATTTTTGGAACTAATCGTATCCTGCAGGAACTTATTGCCGACCGTTTCCCCCTACCCCGTTTTATTGTTTGTGATGCCGGTGGCTCTCAAGCCCGTTTCCTTCTGTCCAAACTAAACCCATCTACCACTCATACTAGTGGCGGTTACGGTGGTGGTGTGTCGTCGCAGACCATCTTCACTGATGATGTCTCCCTGCAAACCTTTATGGATCACCTGATGAAGTAAGTCACTGCGTTATTCAAAATTCTAAAGTTTTTTAATCCCAAATTATGTTCCATTTACTGACATTCACCTTCCAGGCTGGCGGTATCCGGTACCAGCTAATTGTAACGAGATAATAAGCCATGAGAGCAAAGGGCGGTCCTACATCGACCCCTCGGGTCTTGTGTATCTTTAGCGGTGATTTAGCTTCTTTTTATTTATGCAACATAGTAGTAGATTGAATGGATTGATACCAAGGCGCCCATGTCTCTCGATCTTTAGCTTCCGGACTACGGATTTCACTCCTTGGGCCGGTGAAGACGGCTCGTCGAATCAACACGATACCCGAACAGGCTAGGTTTGAGAATGTCACGTGATTGGGTAGAGGGCTGTGCCCTGTTACTCAATCGGGTCACTCGCTTACACTAGTCTTCAATGTGGGTCTCCTGGGCCTCGCGAAGACTTTCAATAAATCCGTCTGAAAGTTTTCTTTCTTCCTTCATCCACCCCTTCGACAACCCAAGGCAGATCGACTACCTTTCGCACTAGCCATGCGTAAGTATCATCGCCTGGGTCAATTCTACAATGGCTGCTGACCTCGTTCTACTGATTAGCTCCCAAGTTCGACCCCAATGAGGTGAAGATCATTCACCTGCGTGTGACTGGTGGTGAAGTCGGCGCCCAGTCCGCGCTGGCTCCCAAGATTGGTCCCCTCGGTCTGTCTCCCAAGAAGATCGGTGAAGACATTGCCAAGAACACTGGTGACTGGAAGGGTCTCCGTGTGACTGTCAAGCTCACCATCCAGAACCGTCAGGCCGCCGTCTCGGTTGTTCCCTCTGCCTCTTCCCTGGTCATCAAGGCCCTTAAGGAGCCCCCGCGTGACCGCAAGAAGGAGAAGAACATCAAGCACTCCAAGTCCATCCCCTTCGATGAGATTGTCGAGATTGCCCGCCAGATGCGCGCCCGCTCCATGGCCAAGGAGCTCCGTGGTACCGTTCTTGAGATCCTCGGTACTGCTTTCTCCGTCGGCTGCCAGGTCGATGGCCGCAGCCCCCAAGGACGTCTCCGACGATATCAAGGCTGGCGAGATTGACGGTATGTTTTTCGAACTATGATTTTACAAGGTCATTGAAGCAGTTTCTAACGAGCAATCCAGTTCCTGAGGAGTAAATTACTCTCTCTTGAACAAAAAGAGGAGGTGGCGATCTGTTTTTGTAACGGCGAAAATGTCTGCTGAAACGCGGAGCTAGTTGCAGAATACGAATGTTGCTTCAACACCAAAAGCAAAAACTATGTTCATGAGTCATGACCTGATACCTTCCACGTTTTTTTTTTTCTTCGCTCGAATGCGAGTGTTCGAATGAACAATTGGACCACTCTCGCATTTCTTCTCCTTGGTTGTATAGATTCTCTCCATTCATCCCATCTCCCCTCCCCAAAACAATCTGTCTCTGCCTCCTCTCGTTAATTACCCCTGGCGACGAGGAAGCAGTAAGGCATTTCTGCCCGGTGCAGCCCATATCTCATTCCGTCATGGAACCTTGCAACACTCTGGCCCTTACCGTCCTCTCCCTGCGGGGTTAGGACAATTTTGCTATGTGGTTTAGGCTTATTTTAAGCAAGGGAGAACAACCCGACCCATTACTCACCGCGGTAGCCTTGGTGGCGAGATTTTCAATCTCTGTCGCTGTGGTTGCAGTGGTCCATCTTTTGTGGTCTACATTCCTAGATCTCCAGGACATTGTTCTGGTTTGTAGATTGTAAGCCTTGTTCCTCTGGGACTTGGAATCTACTCATATGAGCTGTGTTGTGTATACCTCTTTTTTTGATGCATCAATAGCAAAAAACCCCAAATTTTGAAACCTTCCTTTCTTTTCCATAATTTTGTAGATTTGTTGAATTCGTTACCATGCGCACCCAACACGTCTTATTTTAGGTATCCGGCTGTGTCGTAGGAAGTGGCTTGGGTGAATGTGACAGGAATGGACAGGAACGGGGGCAGTTTTGGCTATAAAGTTGGTTGGGCCTTAACTAAGGATTAACGCTGCAGGGTTTGGAGGCCTTGTTCATATGTTGTCGAGTTGTTGGTGATTGGATGTCTGCATCATCTGGAGACTTACGGACCTGGCGGTCTGGATACTTCAACTGTCTCCGATATATATTTAGTTCCTCTGGGTGACCTCATGCACTCGGAACCCCACACCCATAGAGGACCCAGCGAACCGCCTTGACATCACCGTGCTCGCGGTAAAGATATATAGTAAAGTAGAGTGATTACCCACCCAACCAACAAACCCCTGCGATCAGCCTCAGCAATGATCTCCCACAGGAAGCTTTGATATGCAAAGCCATGTATCTATCCCGGCCCAGATGGGCCCCGCCATATTGCGATGAGCTTGTCCATCAGCGACAGACAATCCTGAAAGATCCAAATGAAAGTCTGCTGTAACATCAGTGACCGCCCGACAACCTTTTCCCCGGTCAAGGGAAGTTGTGAGCGCAATGTGTCCCTAAGCCCCTCTCCGCCGACTGATTGGAGCGTCCGATTCCTTCCCCTCTACCCCCAGCCCAGGCTGTGCGTGTCGGCTGTGTTGTCTGGAGATGGTCATAATGCTGGTTGCCTTTGCGGCCCCGGTCGCGGGCAGACCGTCAGCAATTTGCACACCGAGACCACCGAAACCGATGTCCATGCAGCTAAGACTGGCGCTGGCCCCAGGAGGACCAAGGGCGACTCCACCACCCCGACGATCATTGCTGGTTGGCCGCCCCTGATAAGGCGGGCCTCGCTGGCTCCCTCTGCTGGTGGGGGCATGCGAGCCGGGACGTGCATAATCCATTCTCAGGCCGTGCACGGCCGCGCGATGGGGGTCGGGGAATATCGACCAGCAAATGAGAAGAGAGGCCCAGCCTACTGGATATTACGGGAAGAGGAGCAGTGGGCAGAGTCGCAGAGGGCGGGGCGAGGAGCCCCAGAGGATTTTTTGCGGTGGACTGCTCCATCTTCAAGCAAAAAACCGGTACCTGTTCCTTTGTACCTGCCAGGACGGCCGCCTGTACTACCCGACCCGCATGCCATTTGGACGTTGTGCAGGCCAAGGATGAGACGGTGGGGAGAGTGAGTTTGCCGATCGCTGCGGCCGGTGACATGGGTATGTTTTGGGGAAGTAAAAAGAATTTCTGGAGGGGAGGGTCGAGGCAGCCATTTCGCCGAGTACGGGATCTTGAAGAAATGAGTTTGGGTGAATGCCAGTATGGAAGATTCGATAATTCCCCAGAACGACCGTGCACTAGTCCCAACAAATCACTCTCGAGCTCCTCTGCCAAACTGATGATGCCCACGCCAGCAACGAGGGATCTGCAGCCAGATTCAGATGGAATTTGTATATACCTCAAGATGTGGATGTACGCAATGCAGGACCCCAGCGGTCTCCGCTTGCAGAAGAGCCAAGTTCTATACGAATGAACAAATTTGTGCGGTCTGGTGTGTCGTTGCTTCTGGTCTGTCTCGCCCACTTCTCAAAAGAGTCCAAGGCGAGGGATCGGGGCATCCTGGCTAGCAACCCCAGAAATTGGGCCCGGATAGGAAAAGATCGCAGGTTGATGAGGCGGCCACAGAGAGCAAACAGGGGGGCTGCTGCGCCTGTCACCCGGACACGAGAAACCGAGAGAGTCGCTGGTGGATGTGGCTTGCAGGGTCACTAGTCAGAGTGCCCGCCAGTAAGACATGGGATCTGCGACAGTCTTTGAGCCCGTTTATGCCTCTTTGCTTTTTGGTCGGACCCGAAAACTTCCCGTTCGAACTGGGCGCAGCGAAAGCAGCAGCAACAACAGCGGCAACAGGAAGAATCCGGGGTCTCAGTCTGCCTGTGGTGGCGCTGGGAGGGGCCAGCCCCGAGATTATTGTGTCATGGATACAGCCTGCCATATACTCCGTACAGTACAGAGTACCCCAGCACGAGAGGGAACAAATCCTGTGGGAAGGTTCAGCCAACTCCATAGTCATCATTGCGGGATCCACCCAGCGCAAGCAGGACGAGAACGGGCTCGACTCGATCATCACAGCGGGGCGTCACCGATCCATGACTAGTTTGCCGGACGGGACCAATGGCCCACTGACGTTGGCTGGTGGATGGAGACTCCAGCCCAGCGGAGGGTTCAGCCGTTGGATCAAGTGGGTCGAGGGTGGAGCAGGACGAGGGAGGAGCAGAGTCAGGAAGAAAGAGATCGAAGGCGATCAGGAGAGAAAGAGCAAAAAAGGGCTAAGAGATGGAAGAGAGAAACCAAAGAACAGGCGTTTTCGACGTCGAACCAGAGGGAAAACCCCTGTGATGGCAACTCAATTGTGCGCGGATTCGGAGTTGGTGTTGGTTGTGTTGGTGTCGACGTGTATAGTCTGTAGATACGGGACTCCGTACAGGGTACGAAGTATAGACCAGGACAGTCGAAGGGGCGGCTAACATGGAGATAACCGCTTGAGGAGGGGTGATGAAAGGCGATCCCTGGAATCCACGCGACTTTGGGGCCACTGGAGTAATCGAAATAATGGTCGTCCCTGGTGGAACGTCTGTGGACGCAAAGTGCTGAGGTGAAGTGGTGAAGTGACTCGGTGCCGGTTCGACTCGGTCACCTTCAACTTCCACTTCTGCCCACCACAACCGTTTTCCTCCCTTCTTCACCTCTCTTTCTCTTCGAGATCGCCATCTTCACTTGAAGGAACCAACGAGGTCGCTTTTGTGATCTTCCCCACCCCTTTCCTCTTGACCTTGTCTGTTTCGACTCCTGTGACCCTCGCACAATTCTTGCCAAGATCGCCCGCATTTTATTGGCCCACCCGTCTCGGACACCAGCAGATCGCAAGCTGGACTTTCCCCTTCCTCCCTTGCGTCCCTGAAATATCAAAATCTTCTCTTTTTTATTCTTACACCTGGCCTCTTGATCGCCTTATCAGCACTATCGGTCTCGCTCGCTGGCCACCGACGACGACCACCAACTCTTCTCCCCCACCCCTTGGACACCGACACACTCGATGACGAGATCGTGAAAGGGCCGTGGTCAAGCGCCGTGTTGTGTTGCTCTGCGCTCTGTGCCTCGCCCCCTCCCCTCGCCCACCATCCTTCACAAGCTGGCTTGGTACCCATAATGCGGTGTCGGAAACGTTTTAAGAAGGATGCTTGCTGATTGTCCACGAGTTCGACTGACCTTGTGTTGATTCCACTCATTCTTTTTCATCCCCTCCACTCTCTCTTCTCCATTTCTTCGCCCGATCGGATCTCGACCTCACAGCGCCGGGCCCGTGGTGGTCGAGGACTGGGGTGAAGATGTTTCCGACCGTTGCGCCTTTCCCTTCGGTTCAGCCTCATCATCATATGCATCATTATCCCGCCCACGATGCGATCCACCAGCCTTCCTACGACGTGAATGACCCCAATTTCCCCGCTCAGAACGAACCCTCCAAAACCTTCTTCAATCCGATTTCTCGATCGCGCCTCCAACTCCCACACCCCGTTCAGCGCCTTGACACCCGTGACGCCGCTGGTTCGAGCTCCAATGCAAATGGCCCCAACGAACATGTGCTGCGGAGGAAGACTCCGAACGGAACACTGGCCGCTGGCTACGATGGCACCCTCGGCGACACGACGATTCAACCGGCCACCAAACACATTCTGGTCTCTCCTCTTGACTCCGCCCAGTTTCGGTCTGCACAGGTGGGTCTGCAGACAGACAATTGGCAACAACCGGCCTTGGACCCCTCCACCTCTAAACACATGAACTTCCCGCCCGTGTTCAAGAACGACGGCAGCAACCCTTTAGCCGCCGGAGAGGTGGTCCAAGATGTGAACGGCACGAGCTGGGTGCGCCCTGTGAATTATCCTCCGGGTGTAGACTCGGTCCTCAACCAAAGTTTGCCTATTCAGGGCCCTCAGCGTTTCCTGCTGCATAACGGTGCCTATATCCCCACCGTCTTGCCCGCAACGCTTCAGCAATGTGTCGGTCCGACTGCATCAGCTGGAACTGGCCCTTTTGGTCCATATTGGCCGGACGGCGTGTATATTCCATATCGCCCAGCGGCGTTCCGGGATTCTCGTTTCGGTTCCCCTAGCCCGTCGGCGCATCCTTTTTTTGATCCGAACCAGCCGACATTCAACCAAGCTCAGGTCCCACTGGGCACCCGTCCAGACCCAGCATTTGCATGGGGCCAATCTGCGCCTGGCTTACCAACTCAAGACTCTCTTGTTAAATCACACTTCCCCCCACGCCACTCGGATCAGTTACCTTTTCATGCCCGTGTCAACCGACCTATTTCCGGGTACTCTTCAGGCTCTATCAATCCTATCAATACCGAACCAATAGACTGGACTGGGCGTTCCTCCGGACACAATTTCCAGGCTGCTGGACCGACAGTCACTGTGAATGTGGAATTTAAAGAAAAGATTCTTTCATGGGCGCACGGTGTCTATGTCGATCTACTTGCCACTATTCACCAAGCTCGTCGAAACAGCCTTTCCAATGGTGGTGCTGGTGAGCAGAACCAACGCTTCTTGAAGCCCAGTATTTATCCCAAGCCCCCTCGCCAGCCAGGTCTCGACTTTACCCAGAATAACCCCCCTGAATTACCTCGCCACAACAGCTATCCGTCCAGTCAATATGACTTGCAACGACAGAAACTTGGTCTCTTGGCAAGCTCTAGGATGGCTGAATCTCACTCAACTTCCCTTCCACCAGGAAGCGCCCACAGTCGGCGCCCATCGTTAAATCAGTTTGCCCAACATCATAGGTCTGATACACAGATTCGTGACCCTGGCCAATTCTCCGGAACATCCTCAACATCTCGTTTCTCTAGATCCGTGTTGAATGAGAACTCTCCGGTTGCAAATGCCGTATCTGCTCTTGAAATGCTGTCCCATCTAGTTATGGAGAGCAATTGGGAATGGATTGATGGAATGCTCCTGGGCGGCTGTTTGGCATATGGATTGGGTGACTACAATAAGGCGTTGCGATGGTATTCCAGAATCATTACCCGCGACTCAACGTGAGTGTTTCCATGCTGCCCCGCAAAAAAACTTGAGAATGATCGATATACTGAAAAGAATTATGGCAACAGGCATGTAGAAGCTATCTCGAATTTGGCGGCAACGCTGTTGGCACTTGATCGGCGGGACGAGGCTTCGCAAAATTGGCTGCGTGCTGTGAAGCTAAGACCTAGCTTCTTCGAAGCTGTTGAACATTTGATCGGCTTACTCTGCACCAGTCACCGCGGTAAAGAGGCCGTAAATATCATCGGTTTCGTTCAAAATTCACTTCGTCATCCCCAGGATGGCGACTGCTTTAAGACAGATGAGCATGCCAGCGAACCCGAGAGCGATGCTGAAAGTAACATGTCGGACATTGGCATGTATGACAAAGCGTCTTTTGATTACGATGACGATATGGGCCGTTCACAGGGGCTCAATCTAGGCTCGCCTGATGCCACCACGCCTGCTGGATTTGCCACCAGCGGCTATGCTATTCCAGGCTCTGACAACGGGAGAATGCTTGCCTTGGTTCATGCTAAGGGTAACATGCTCTATGCCCTAGGTGATAATGCTGGGGCTGCGGCTGCCTTTGAAGATGCGGTCTTGATTGCCGCTGGGAGACGGCGACATGGCATTCAAAGTCTCATTAAGCAGATCTTCGCAGCTTTTTCTCATGGGCCAAGCAACGGTTACCACCAGTCTGAACCCGAGTTCAATGAGAGCGTTCTTCTTTACCCCGATAGAGCGCTACAGACATCGAAACTTGTCTTCCAAGCCAACGGAACGCCGCCTGGCTTGCAGTACGTCGCGGAGGGTATTTCCAGAAATGCCGCTCTTTCGACAACCAGCAATTCTTTGCTCTCTTTGGCCAAGATTTATCAAGATGGGATGTCGACTGTGTCGTCCGGTGTTCCGAGGACCACGCCTGGTGTACGGGATATCCTTGCCCTGTACTACCTGTCTCTCTCCCTTCAGCCAAGTCCGTCCACTGCCAACAACGTCGGCATCTTGTTGGCTGGCATCCAAATCAACTCACCGGCCAGGGGATTAGTTCGTCCAAATGGGGAGAGTCAGCATCCCGAAATTCCAGGTGTTGTGCCCGGGAGTGGCATCTCTCTTGCCTTGGCATACTACAACTACGGCTTACATCTCGACTCAAGGCATGCCCACTTGTACACCAACCTGGGCAGTTTACTGAAGGATATTGGACAACTGCAGGCTGCAATCAAAATGTACGAGCAAGCTGTCCAGTGCGATGGCAATTTCGACATCGCCCTGGCCAACCTAGCCAATGCGGTGAAGGATGCAGGTCGTGTCAACGACGCGATCCTGTACTACAAGCGCGCTGTGAAAGTAAACCCGGAGTTTGCCGAGGCTGTGTGTGGCCTGGCTAATGCCCTCAATTCGGTGTGCAACTGGGTTGGTCGTGGAGGAATTGTCAATGGCCGTGGCTTCCGCGACCGCTGGCACGTAGATGATAAGGGCATGCTGCGGGACTCTCACAGCAATGAGGCAGGTGTTGGCTGGATCAAGAGAGTTGTGGATATTGTCAACCGACAGCTTCGAGAGGGCGAATACTGGGGCCGTGGTCTGTTGACACAAATCACTGCTGAGCAGCTTGTCGCTCAATTAGCCACGGTACTAGACTCGGGCCGCTTCAGTTCGACTCGGAGATCGTCTTTGGCCAATATTCTTCAGTCATGGGCTGGACAGAAGTGGGAGGGATCTCGTATCGTTCGACTTGTTGAACGTGCTATCCGATCAATCACATGGCAGTGGTATCAAGATCGCTACGTGTACGGAAAGGAATATCCTGTCTCGAAGTATCGCCGGCCTCAACTTCCAGCAGCTCTCACGGCGCCGAATGCCCCGACAGTTCTACCCTTCCACACCTTTACCTGTCCCCTCTCTGCAAAGCAGATCCGACAAATTTCTCAGCGTAATGGGCTGCGAATCTCATGTTCGACTCTTCGACTCCCCTGGCTCCCGAGTACGGTTTATCGACCGCCATCCCCTCCAAATCCCTTCCTTCGAGTTGGGTACGTATCCTCGGACTTCAACAATCACCCTCTGGCACATCTGATGCAATCTGTTTTTGGACTGCACAATCCAAACAAAGTAAAAGCGTACTGCTATGCTACGACAGTCAGCGACAAGTCTGTCCACCGCCAACAGATCGAAAAAGAAGCGCCTGTGTTCCATGATGCCAGTGGATGGCCAGTCGATCGACTGGTGCAGCAGATCGTCGACGATGGAATCCACATTCTGATTAATTTAAACGGGTACACCCGCGGGGCACGCAACGAAGTCTTCGCCGCCCGACCTGCACCGATTCATATGTCGTTTATGGGGTTTGCCGGTACACTGGGGGCAGAGTGGTGTGACTACATCCTTGCTGACGAACTTTCGATCCCTCCTGAGACCCTGAGTCCTGGTCGACGTACTACACGTATTGAGGACCGGATTCTTGAAGACAGTAATGGGGAGGAGCTTGAAGACTGGGTCTACGGGGAGAAGATTGTCTTCACTCGTGATACTTTCTTCTGTTGTGACCACCGACAAAGTGCGCCTGATGCAAGTGAGCGACAGCTTCCATGGGACGAGGAGCAGGTGCGCCGCTGGAGGATGCGGAAAGAGCTATTTCCCAAGCTCAGCGATGATACCATTATTCTCGGGAACTTCAATCAGCTGTACAAGGTGAATTGCTTTTCTCTTTTCTCTCTCTCTGGCCATATAGCTGATTCTTCTCAGATTGAACCCACTACATTCCGAACATGGTTACGCATTTTGGCGCGCATCCCCAATGCCATTCTCTGGTTACTCCGATTCCCAGAAACAGGTGAGCAGAACCTCCGCGACATCGCCAAGGCCTGGGCGGGCGAAGAAACGGCGTCCCGAATCATCTTCACGGACGTGGCCCCGAAGAATACCCACATTGCACGAGCCAAAATCCTAGATCTCTTCCTGGACACCCCCGAGTGCAACGCACACACGACAGCTACAGATGTTCTGTGGAGTGGAACGCCCCTGCTCACCCTACCGCGCTACAAGTATAAGATGTGCTCCCGCATGGCGAGTAGCATCCTGAGCAGCGCGCTCCCGGGCTCTGAGGCTGGTCAGCGAGCCCGGGAAGAGCTGATCGCCTCATCGGATGACGACTATGAAAACAAGGCGATCCGGCTCTGCATGGATTTGCAGTATGTGGCCGGTGGCGAAGGCCGTGCCAGCGGTCGGTTGGCGGAAATTCGGCAGATGCTGTTTCTGCAGCGACACAAGAACAAGCTATTCGACACAGCGCGCTGGGTGCGCGACCTTGAAACCGCTTACGAGGCGGTATGGACACAATGGGTGAATGGCGAAGAAGGCGATATCTGGTTATGATATGCACAGCGAAATATACCCCTTGAGCGATTTTTTTTTCTTTTCTCTTTCCACATTTTTTTGGGGGTTCTCTGAATCCACTTCTTCTTGGCTTTGTCTCTATGCATCTGTGTTTCTCTCTCATCTGGCTGGATCTGATATGACATTGGGATTATAAGGTTTTTTTGTCATTCTCCTTTCCACATACTCTCTTTTGAATGGTGTTGAATGTGTACACGTATGGACCTTGGGAACATGCAGGAGTTACCTCTTCTCTTCCTCGCTATGACGATAGAATGTCTTGATTTATGCATATGACATCTCTTCTAACAATACAATGAGGCCCTCAGTGGTCGTTTCACTTCAAAAGAATCGGACGTGAGCCTCAGGCCCGGTATTTTGTGATCACATGGTATATGGACCAGGATGACGATAGACATACAGCTTTAGTCGCCCAATCACTACACTACATTCCCATGCATCAGATGCCCTGTGCCTCACCTGATCGAGATCGTCGCTTCTTCAAGTTTGCCCGCGCTATAAGGAACGAGCTCGACGCAAGTCCGTCAAGAGTGACTTTCACTCTGGCGTGGAAAGGCTCTTGTGGCTCAAGATTGAAGACCCGTGACGCTGCATGGTGCAGCTCCATCTATAATCCTATTTGGAGGGTCCGGTGTGGCTGGGTTGCTCCTTGGCCATTGTTATTCACAGTCAGACGTTGGGCCAGACTTGGGCGGTGATCCGGTAGTGGGCCGGTCCACGATAGTCGGTTCTCTTCGCGGGGATCGATGCAGCCTGCCGCTATCGCCCTATTCGCAACATTGGCCCCAGTCCCGAGCTAAAGGAACAAGGGCCGGCAATCCTCACCAATACGGAAGGATGTCCTAGGCCATTCTCGCTAATTACGAATGCAACGTAACGAGATGAGCCCCCTGATCAGAGCATAAATCCCCAAGTTCGGAGGCGACTATGGACTTTGGAAATGGGACTGAGGTTGTCATTCCCGAATTGGCAGACGAAAGAACACGCGGTGGCTCGCTCCATGAGCATCAATTGTGTCTTGGGCCTCGGGACGAGAAGTGCTCTTACAAGCCGCTTGATTTCATGACAGCTCACAAGAAAAGAAAATACGGTGGCTAGCTGGACATGTTGGTATGCATGCAAGTGAGCCCCTAGCCATTGATATTCCTTTCCCACCCTCCATCATATGAACAGCAAGTCTCCAGTTTTTCTTTCCCCCCCTTTCCCTTCATACTACTAGTACGATTCCTCGGAAATAACAGCAGTTGGAATCGCGAAATTCTTCATCCCGAGGTACCGCCTCTTTGCCTCTCCCAGGGAGGCAGATAAAGATACTGACTCCTGAGAAAATCCTCATAAGGAGCACCAGGAATTCCTAAAGAACGTCAAACTTGACACCAATCATGATTGCTGGCCTATGTCTTGCATAGACATTGGCACTATAATTGGGACCCCCTTGCAGGCCGTCATGACTCGGGATAAACGTTACCTCTCTCCCATCTTTCTTTGTCCTCGAAAAACCCTTCACATATGTCCATGATGTCCAATTCCCACAAATCTTTCGTGCCACACCAGAGCAAGCACATGAAGACCAGCTTGGTTCGTTTATTTGAGTTGCACTTTCGAATTCGTCTTTCGATCACCTCGGACACGTTCAAAGTGAATATCTGGGCATCGGTCGGTTGACTTATTTCTCCCAGAAAGGATGAAGTTTGGTAAAGCCAGCGCTTGTGAATTTCATCGACGTCTATGAGGAATCAATTAACAGCATTCTTAACCACAGGGGAGATTGAAGTCGCACTTTGGAAGACTTTGATCGTGTCGGGCTCGATACTCTGGTTCTTGAAAGCAGTCGCTTGTTCCTGTGACATAGTGGCTCTTGTTTGTCCTGTGACGACTGGGTGGGCTCAGCCGTATGCACCCGCCCTGCTTTGCTGGTCGTCAAGTCCTTGACAGTGCTCTGATCAAGTCGAGAAGCTGAATTTCACTGCTCAATTGTGTCGGTCGATACCATGGACTGTTAGCTGCCCAGCTCTGCTTCAAGTGCCAGGAATTTTTTGCCCCAGGAGATCTTGCAGCGCTAGCAGCTCCCAGGAGCCGGCATTAGACAAGACCCGACGGTACTTTTGCATGGCTTTTCGGATCCGCCAATATCCAGCGCTTGAGTCCATGCAAAATTGCTTCCGAACGATAGCTGAACAAGGCACAATGAAGTGAGACCAAGTGCTGGATTTTCCGGATCCAAAATCTCCTAACTTTGGACTCTCAGGTGTCCCTCGGGTCCTAGCATGCCCTGGAGCGATACGGCTACCCCCTTTTTGATCTTCGAAGCGTGATTTCCTGGTTACCTAATCCCATATCGATAGGGTGTGACCTATCCATTTTCCCATCATAAAAGCTCCATTTTTAGAGCATGGAAGCGCCCCTCAAGTTCTAGATCACCAATCACAATCTGCTTAAAGATACAGGCCCCTGACTTATGAACTAACTTATTTGAACAAACCGCAGCATAAAGCCTGTCGCAGATGCTGTGATGCTTTCTACTGCGCACGAGGCATATCGGAACAGAGTATGACGCGAAAAGGGGCACTCTACAAAAACGCCAACCCCTTTTGACACAATCTACGGAAGAATCTCTCAACAATGGGAGTGAAGGCAGCAAGAAAAATTGTTAATTGATGGAATGAAGAATAAAACCCCAAGCGACGACTGACAGCAAGCCATGTAGGTCTTTGTGGGACATGAGGGCTACTCAGCGAACCCCAACTTGCCTCATCACTGACCTAGACACAAACGACCCAATACTGGATCAAGTCCGACAATAGACAAGCGCAGCCTGTGATTGGTGTTATTTTGGCTAACGTTTATTCAGGTTATTCTTTGCTTCATCCAAATCCTCAATGATGAACCGAAGTCTACGCATCTGCCCTTTTCTCTGAATATTCCACATTAATCCGTGACGAGCCATGGAAAATACTAGTTTGATCGGCCGCTGGTTATGCGTATCAAGCCACACCCATAGTTGATTGACAGTTTTATCCAATTCATTTGGTAGACCCAGCTGAGGGTTGTTGAAATAACGGATCATATGAGTTCCCCAGAGTAATTTGAGGTACTCTTCAAGGCGGCCTTGATCAAAGCTGACGAACGCCATTTTCCATCTTTCCGAAGAATCAAGTTCATCGATCCAAAAAATCGTACTCAGGATGATATCAATTTTCTCCACGGTTGAAATCGGCATGTCAAAACTAGCAAAAATCCCATTTCGGTCGACTAGTAGTTCCATATCGATAAGATAAAGTCCACAAGTGAACCCTTCGAAATGCGGTGGACCATAGTATGTCATTTTCAATGATTCATATTTCCGGGGCTTAAAGGTCTCCTCCACGAGACGCCTGAAAGCAACTCTATTGTTCCTTCCAGTCAATTCGAGGAACCATTTCAATGCATCCGCAGACGGACCAGCCTCGAGTTCCAAGTCCTTTGACGTCAGTCGGAGATTTTCAAAGGATCCAAGAAGGGTTTGAAAATACTCTACGACCTCATGGGCGTTCGAGAACTCAGTCATATCATCTCCTTCTCGATCAGGAAGGTTGGAGGGCGCAGACATATTGGGATACTTTCTTAATTGAAAGGGTTGAAATGTCCAATAATAATGATAAGACAATTAAAACTCAGATACACAGATAGTGATGATATTGTTTCAAGTAATAGATGATTCTCATGCCAAAAAAAACAGTGAATACTCTTGGGTTTCACGCCTTTTTATATCCATTTTTTTTTTCATCAAAGATGAAGGCCAAAGTCATTACCAGTACCTTGGGTGCCGACACCAGGACGCCCATTACCCATAAAAAGTCGGTAAGAATATTGAAACTATTCAGAGCTGGATTTGATGTTAAAACTTGATGGTGGGAAGAATGGCAAGGGTCTGAGATCAATCGGTCAAGGAAGAAGGGTGACTATTCGCTATCAAGCACTCTCGTATGTTTGCCCGGGTGACGTTTATGCAGCCAGAGACAATGCTATGCTTTGGTGCCCGAGGTTCGTAGCCTCAATCTTACAGTGACTTCATGCGCGACAGAAATTGTTGCAGGCTTAGTGCTGATTTGGGAGACCATGGCATCTCTGATTGGCCGGATATTGCTGCACGGGACCGTTGTCTGCGCCCAAACCGGCACCATTTGTCTTTAACTGGGTTTATGATGTGAACGATCAACCGGGTTCTAAGTACCGAGGAACTGTGGATCCATTGTGCTGCTCAATCTGATATAAACTTATGACTTTAAGTGCTTTAACTACCTATTCCATCCAGGACCAAATATTGATTGTGATCCATCCTTCATCGATGGAAATGAGTCACGTAGGGATATCCAGGATATAAGAGGACTTCGGTCCCCTTGACAAAGATAGAATACATAAGAAGCGGGGAAATGAACCCCCCTCCCCCCGAGAGTTGCATGGGTGTGTCCGACCACTAGCAGGACAAAACTTTTATTCACGACGGCCCGAGCCCATTATCCTACTAGACCACGCCACGAGACACCAGTCAGGGCATGAGTTTATATCCCATAGATGGTGTTGTATATGCAACTAAGAAGCCAGCGAGTTTTGAGCGGACCTAAGGAGGGAGGCCTGGCGACTGGTCATCAATACCCTGGTCCCTTGTGATACCCTGTCCTACTGGTCTGGGGCTACTAGGTGTCAGAGATAGAAAAAATCTGCTCAGAGGGCAGTGGATATTCAATAGAAGGTATTGATTGGGTACCGAGTCGGCAGTAGGGATATGCTCCATTGTAGACCCGACTGCCCGAAAAGGGTCAGAATATTCACCTTACAGCATGGCAGCCGCAGTCAAATGGGGTCAGCCTATCAAGGGTATCAACGTGAGATACCTTTTGGTTCTCAGACTCAGTGCAGCGGAGACTTGGAAGAGGAATGAACGTCACTATGTTGAAAGTTTTATCCTCGCCAAAGGAGTCCAGAGACTGGGAATCAGCAGGTAGGTACCCTAGCTATTGGGATTTCACCATAGCCTTGAGATTTACACGAGAGGAATTTTGGTGGTACAGCTTTGTGATTGGGCTCGTGGTGGCGCTTATTCAACGGAATTGGAATGTGAACGCGCATTGAGTTCTCTAACAAGTGCTTCATATTACTGGGGATTCTTCTCCAGGCTCTTGGTTTAATTGTACTCCTGTTTTTCTCTTGTATTTTTTACACCATTGATTGCGTAACTCACTACTATCATATAGTAAATCACAGGTCCCAGTATTAGATATTACAGATTATTTTCTCTATCCGCTTTGATAAATACAGAATTAGTCAAGCCAGGAACGGAGGATCTCGTAAATGCATTGATCCTTCTTATTTCACCAAAACGTCACAGTAACGCAGATAAAAAAAGAGTATGGTGATCTAATGGTCGTCATTAGGAGCATACACTCATCAAGACTTGATGTTAGGAAGCTATATGTTACGGAACATCCAGGCCCATCTTCGTGAAGGTTGCTAATGACTTTTTTCTCATCAGCCAAGTCGGGATCTTTTTAGAGCTAGCAAGACCCGAAGTCCGTCATTGATCTCAACTAAATATTGAGCTTTGTTATAAGCGGTATCACCTCCAACATCCCGTGTACTAGTATCTGCGCCGTAATACTCGATAAGAACTTTAATAAGATCCGTATTGCGCGTATGCACTGCGCACATCAGCGCTGTTCTGCCTCGGTTATCTTGAATGTCGACATCAATCATCTGATTACTCAGAAGAGTATGAAGAAGCCCTAAGTCTTTTTGTTCGATTGCAATCATCAGGGATGTATTCCCGGAAACGCAGCACTGCATGTTAGGGTCCACACCTGGCATAGCAAGGAGCTTGGGAATGGTAGAAATTTGGCGGCTGGAGATCGCCGCTTGGAGCCCAGTATTTGCATCAATCTTTCCGGTATCGAGAAGGATCTGAACAATCTCTTGGTAATCATTTTTCACTGCATATAGTAGCGGGCTTGATTGCGGCACTGGGAATATTTCAATGTATTAGTTGGTAAAACAATTCTTGGTTTTCGAGGTACTAACCGGTCCTCAGTTTCAGCACAGCGGAGATTCTTGCAAGAAGAATGGATGTCACTATGTTGAAAGCTTTCCACGAATAACTGGTCATTCTCGATTCCTTGGTATTGCCACTCTTGGCTTTTCCTAGGGTATTTATTCCTCATCTCAGTCATCTGTTTCGACACGAATGAGCCTTCCAGTTCGTTTCGAGACAAGAGTTTTGCAAGTGCAGTTAAAATCACGTTGGGTGGGCGATTCAAATATCCAATTTCCACGAATTTCCCCTCGGAAACTTTTTTTTCATAGTCATATTGGATAATCCCACCTAGCAGAGGAGCGGTTAATCTCGCAGTTGCGCATGGTTTGATGTCTACTTACTATGGCCAGGGCCGGGTTTGCTCACGATAATATCCCCCAGCCTGATATCTTCTTCAGGGTTCTCGCTAGGGTGACCTGGTGCACCGCCACCTACGCCTACCAAGATGCCGATCTTAATTCCAGGGAAGCTTCGAAGTATGTCTTTGACAACTGCCGTTGCAGGGCTTTCTCCCATGTCGCCGAGGGGTAGATAGCCGATGACAACATGATGGTGTCCCACCCATCCAAGCGTGTACGCGTTTGTATCCTCAAGGCCTTGATCTAGTTGGGGGTGCTCTTCATCCAAGAGCGCAAACCCATCCTACTTGGTAGTCATTCTGTGTAAGCGGCTCGCTACCGAGCATCTTGGTAAAAAGATGGTTGAGCTTAACACGAAAGTTGAAGGTCCACTGTAGCCTTGCTTCCCTGATAAACCAGTGTGGCTTCACTCATAGTCTCGGAGTAAATACGAGTGCTCGTAGAGAGGCTCAAGACACTATGTAGTGTCAGGCGTCAAGTTTGACGGCCCAAGGGCGTCACATGACATCCCATGACCCGACAAACAGCATCGAGATGTGTTGATTATTATTGATTTTTTTTTATTCTTAGTTAGAGCATCGTGTTGCTCGGTTTCCAAAGTCAAGATTCATGATCATTCATTTATACATTTACGCCATGAACTGCAATAACGTCATCAGAATTGGCCACACCCGTTTTCACTTCGGCTTTGCATGCTTGGCATGCACTTATCCTTCTTAAACATCAGTGTGGTGGTCGTTACCTGAGATCCTGCTCATGGCCATGCTTGGCTCACGCATGATCGGGAATTTTCAAGACCGGTCAAGGCTTATGGTCATTCATTCACGCACAAATCGACATTTTTTCTATTCATAGGAGGTCCCTCCTTGAGCCTAAAGATCAATGATCTCCTCCCAAAAGAAAATAGATAGTGAGGGGTGCAAAGTTCATCCTGGCTTACCGAACTAGGTTGAATTGGCAAAAATGCGCTGGACTCAAGGATGTCCACATCCACCGATGTCAACACAGAGCTTCCCCAAACTATGTATCATTGGTAGGAGTGGCTCTTCACAACGTCATGATGGAGACGGACAGTCGCGGGCCGTCTTATTGCGTGTGCTCGGACTCCTCATCCTTTGTACTCCGCACGAAGTATGTCTTTGTCTGCCAAACACCATCGGAAAAAGTGAAGGACGCTCTAGCACCGCGGCTCCTATTAATTTATTTACCGCGTCTTGTGCTTCCGTCAGAGACGGATTGTACTCCATACGTAATGCACGTATTTGAAAAAGCGAGATCCTTGATGATCAGATGTGACAGGCTCTTTACGAAGAGAATGCCCATTATGTCATTAGCCACCTTCACCACGACATCCATACACCAGCGCGAGCAGGTCAGTTGGAAATCAGAGCAGACCGGGATTCCGGCCAAATTCCAGCCGACTTCATCTGCCTCATGGCGTCAAGACGTGCATTTTTTAGGCGACAAGGACGGTAAAGTGCAGTTGCGGTGTCCTCCCCAATTCGAGCATCTCGATGATACACGCACGTACCTTAAACAGCACCTGACGGCGGCCTTTCGGGTCTTTGCCCGACAGGGATTCGACGAGGGCGTTGCGGGCCATATCTCGCTGCGAGATCCTGGCAACCCGGACACGTTCTGGATCAATCCTCTGTCGACGCATTTCTCCCAAATCCGGGTCAGTGACTTAGTCCTCGTTGGGGAGCAGGGCGAGGTGCTTCCCGGAGGAGCCCAGAGTGCCATCAACGGCCCGGCATTTGCCATTCATAGCGCCATCCACCGCGCACGACCGGATCTCAACGCCGCATGTCATGCGCATAGCGTCTACGGGAAGGCTTTCAGTTGCTTCGGCCGCCCCATCGAGATGTTGTACCAGGATGCCCTGCGCTTTTATAATGACTTGGCCGTGTATCCTCGCTACGGAGGCACCGTCCTCACAGCCGAGGAGGGCGACCGAATCGCGAAAGCGCTGGGGCCAACCTGCCGCAGTGTGATCCTCCAGAATCACGGCATGATCACCTGTGGCCGTACGGTCGACGAGGCTGCCTTCCTGTTCATCGCACTGGATCGATGCTGCCATGCGCAGCTGCTGGCAAACGCCGCTGTCTGCCCAGGCTTCGAGAAAAACTATATCCCCAGCGAACAGGCCGAATTCGCCCACCGAAAGAGTGGCAATTCAAATAAAATGTGGCTCGCCTTCCAACCATATTATGACCAGGTAGTCAAAGAGGAACCCGATTTGCTACAGTAGCCGAATGATCTACAACATCCCCTGCATTCATTGGCCTCGAAGAGGTAGACTCACTAGATCCAACTTTCAAGCTCGGCATATAACTGTACCGGACGGTTTACGGTTCCGTTTCCTTTCGCTTTTTTTAAGGTCGTTTGCAATCAATTATAATCCCTCATGAAATTGTTTCGTTCATATCAAATGCCGCAAGAGACGCGTTTTCGCTCATAAAGCCAAACAACAGGTCCTCGCCTGGTATATAAATATCTTGGAACATTGGAATAGTTCCGATACCCTCAAAGATTGGCGAGAAGTTGGACATTTGCCAACCATTCTCGGTAAACTGGTGAGGCGGGGGCTGAAGTTCTACAGGCGCTAAAAGAAAGCAAATCTTCAGTGTCAGGTTACACCATATACAGCAATCAAATTTGCCATACACAATAAGCTTACCTGATGATTCTTGGACACCCTTGGCAGCCATGAGCTTGCGGATAATAAGCGCGGTATCTGCAGCCCCTAAGTTGGGCACCGATAATGCATCCAGGCAACTTAAACTTGCACTGAGTAACGAAGATGATTCTGCGAATGCTTTGCTATCGCCGCCAGCGGACAGAGAAGCTGTGTTGAGCACATGGATCGTACAAGCTACATAAACGGCATAGCTCAATAGGTAACTGGACTTGTATAGTGGGTAGATAGATTGGTAGCTTAAGACGAGGCTGGTGATATGTTGAGACGCTGTTGTACACCGCCTCCAGGAGTAAGCCGAGGTCCCTATAGTAGCTGTATTGCCATGGTTGCTGGTGCCCTTGCTGGACATGGTGATAAAAGGTCGATGCAGCAGAACAATGAGCGAGTAATAGGTTGTAAGAAGAATGATACGATTGGGAGAGACTGCAACATGTCGATTGTCGGGCCCTTCCGACCACGGCTCGTATGATAGGTGAGCGGGTAAGTCACGGTACCAGGCTGCCAGGACATCATCGAGAGGGCGGACTTCATGCAGGGTCTTCGAAGCTGTAGCTCCGGTAAAATATATCCTATCAATGATCCTTGTCATGATTTGGGCCAGACGGCAAAGCTGCTGGAAAACTGTCACCGAATGGGTCGATGGCGCTAAGGAAGAGATGGAAGAGCTCCCTGATTCGGCCGTAGTGCTGTCATGAGTGGGTTCCCATGGCTCCAACTCTTCGAAAGTGTCCAGAAATTCCTGCGACACATGAACATCCTGAAGTCTGATTGTGGGAGGTCGCCCTAGGTACAGGCTTTGCAGCTTCTCGCAAACAAATGCACCCCAAAAGACACGCCGTCGGATCTCAACCTCCTCGACGTTGTGCTTATTCACTTCTTGCGAGTCGATGTGCAGACCCAGATCGTACACCATGCGTATGGCATAACCTGTATACAGCCAGCCCTTTGATGTCATCCCTCTGGCAATAAATGTCGACCCAAGCATGACGAGCGCGATTACCGTGGGAACTTTCGACTGAATAAGGTGTCCCTCGCGCAATAAGAGCTCGTCACAACGGGTGAAAAAGCTTCTCCCCGCCGTTTCAGGATCTGTCGAGTTGCTGCGCACCTCAGGCCGCTCAGAGAATTTCGACGCACACGCGAATACAGCGTAGAGCAAGAGGTCAGAACAGTAGGGCCCTCCATTTTCCAGCTCTCGCATGAATGCAGGTCGATAAGTCAGCAGAAAAGTATGATGCTGTCGGCTCCAGTGAAGATCGAGAAGATGAAGCGCCAACTCTGCCGGTATTCCCCGTATAGATGTTAACCGACGCAGCCTATGTTCTCGCTGTCTCTCCATTGCAGCATTGGCAATCAATTGGTAGCGGAGTAACTCTGTAGCAGCTTCTTGCTCCTCGCGTCTTGTGGCATTGGGATCAACCGGTCCTATTGGACTGCTATCATGGACCACCGAAGTCGAGCTGAAGATGCTATCGCTGGCCTCGTGGCTTTTTTCGGTCAGTGTAGCCTCACCCGCGGAGCAAATGGCTTCCCTCTGACGACTGGACATTACAAGTTCGTGATCACGTTCTAGAGTCGGATTTCGATCGTCGTCACGGTGGTCGTCATCTTCAACGTATGCACCATTGGCCTCGTCCTCTGTGATCCTTGGAGCGGATTGTGCATATCTAGGATGGCTCATTGGATGGCTCATGAGCTGCTGTTCCTCCCGACAGCCCCGTTGATGGGCGGTCGTGCGGAATGGCTCATGTGGCGGCGGCGGCGATGATGAAGATAACATCGTCGACGGAGTACTGCGTTCGGACAGTGATACCTGGCCATTCTGCACTATCACAGACTGGAGCAGAACTCGCCTCTGCGCATCATCAGCGTTCTTTAGACGGCTCAGGGTGTCCTCTAGTGCGGCCTTTTCATGCTTGAGTAGGTTGATCAGGGCTGCAGAAGGACGTTGCTTCTGCGGACCGTTATGATAAACGCACACTCTATTGCTGTTGCGACATGCGGAGCACGCAGGTTTGGTGGCGTCGCATCGAATCTTTCGCCTGCGACAGAACTCGCAGGCTCGAACCATGATAGGTCCGGCAGCTGTCAGCCCCTCTAGCGGGCGATAGGTTGACCAGGTCGAGTTTCAATGTTTCAGCGACTGCGGTGAATCAGCATGGGGGTCAAAGTCGGCCGCGGGTTCTCTCGGTCTTGTTGCGCAATGACCGGACAAGCATGTGTATTCGGAACCGTACATGCAGGGACACAAATGTGCAATCTAGACCAGCAAGAAATGTGCCTAATTACGAATAGATTCACGTTCCCGTTCAGATGTGGGAAGAAAATGATACGGGGGCCATTGGGGCCTCCCCCGCATTGTCTGCTCTGCCCCGGTCCTGCCAGGGAGAAAGATTTAACCACTGGGTGCGCCATGAATACTTTGTCTATACATGTCTATATACATACGCCCACACATGACATCAACAGGTGTATGTATCTTGAAAGAAGAACAAACTTGAAAATATTCTTTACAGAATCCTCTATTCCTCTCCAGTCAATGAATTTTTCGTCGCTGCTCACTCGATCATAAATTTCAACGTGTGATAGAAACTGGCCAGTGCTCGGTTTTCCTTGTTAGGGGGAAAGGATGGGGATTTGGTCCAGGATTATAATGGACTCCGCAGTAGATTATGATCTTAAGAGGATTGGCAATAGTTGGGAATCCTTTGGTCACTGGCTCAAAGCTGTATGACAGTGGAGCCACAACGGAGAGCTGACGCACTCTGGGCGGATTCCGCTACTCCGCCGGGTTCAAGGGCTCCGTTTGTGGGGCCAGGGATTCCTCTCGTTACGCGAAGTAGGATATCCCCAGCTTTGTCCTTGTCTCGCACCTTATGACTGGCTCTTATAACATTATAGCATCTATAATGTTGGGCACGGGCAAGAACCTAAGGGCAGCCCATAAAACTCGGCGGCGGAAATTTGTGTCCGCGTAAGGTCGTCATCAATTGCCGTGAAGTGGGTTCGTGGGCTTGCCTCGTCGCGTTGTTATCTTGCGGCCAGATGTTTTGATCTCACCTGACATAGAAATTATCGTATATTCTTCATTCCTGTTGGATTATTAGCGCTCTACTACTTCACAACAACAATATTAGGGCCATCTTCGGGGCTCGTTAGAAAGAAAGATTTCATTGGAGAACCACGCATTCATAGGCCATGGCTGTCTTGATCCCCAATCCGCAGTTACGCCTCCTCAATGCTCTTCGAGCTAGCACGAAGCCTATAATGACATTCTTGGGTCTTCCATCCTTTCGCACGGCCCAAGTCGTCGCGCAGACCGGTCTAGATGTGAGTTCTTCTTGTCGAGCACATATGATTTTACCAAACAAACCAATTAATGATCGTATGTATCCAGGGCATCATCATCGACTGTGAGCATGGACATATTAGCGATGACGCGATGCATAGCTCGACTGCCGCTATCGCAGCTTTGGGGGTCTCACCTCTGATTCGTATCAGAATGACCCATGGAGATTTAATCAAGAGAGCTTTGGATGCTGGGGCACAGTAAGTGATGTCGCAAACACTGTCCTCTTATCTTTATCGGTACTAAGGCCGCCAAAAGTGGGATTATCGTTCCGCAGGTCAATACTGCCGAAGAAGCCAGGGAGGTTGTCTCTGCTTCGAAATTCCCCCCCAGGGCTGTCGGGGCCAGGGCTCGGCATTTCCGGCTATAGCACACGGTGTTGATATCGCGACGTATCTGAAAACAGCGAATGAAACGCTAATTACCTGTATCCAAATTGAATCAAAAACGGGTGTCGACAATGTCGATGCGATTTGCGCTGTACCTGGTGTTGGTGAGTGATAGATGACATTATCCACATATACTTCGCTAATTCCCATCAAGACATGATTTTCATCGGGCCGAATGATCTTGCCTTATCAATCCTAGGCTACGTTCCGGCAAAGGGTACTGAGCCTGAATTTGTCCAAGCCATCGAGAAGATTGTGGCAGCAGCCAGAAAGCACGGTAAATGGGTAGGCCGGCTATCCAACAATGGCTCTTCATGCAAAGGGGATCTGAAAGTTTTTGATACAGTGGCAATGGGTTATGATATTCGGGCGATTCAAAACTGGTATTCAGCCGAGTTACAGGTAGCACGCTCATAACGTTTTACGGCTAAAGAAGAGACTTGTGCATAAGGAAACTTCCACACAAATAATATAATTGAATAGATTATGAAACGAATATGATAGAGGCAACCGTCTACGTAGCAAGATTCTATCTTCTTATTCCAAAATCAGAACATCCTAAAAAGACCGATGAGACTGACAAAGAATCTATTTCTTACTTATGGTTTTGTCTCTAACGAAATCTTTTCCTCGTAATTGCAAAGCTTGATTGAACCAGTAGTTATTCCTTTCGCTGTAGAGTGTGATAGCCAAGCTTTTGTCGTGCCTCGGCGATCGTAGCTCCACTCATCGTCAGCTCTCGTATTTTGTCTTCGCTCTCTGATATCTTTCGTGCAATATCTGCTACTTCATGGGCTCTATCTCGGGGAACAATCACGACACCGTTGGCATCTGCAACGACGATATCCCGAGGCTTGACATGGACCTTCCCGATTCCAATCGGCTCGTTAACACCCCCAACTTGAACCCGATCCTTGCCGGTTCGCATCCAACGACCAGCAGTAAATAGCGGGTAGCCGTCTTCAATTGCAAGGTTCACATCACGGCATACGCCGTCGATAACAGAACCACCGATGCCGCGTATACCGGCATACTGGGTCATGATGTCACCCCAAACAGTGCAATCCATGCGACCCCCATTGTCGATCACCACAACATCCCCAATGGCGACATCATCAATAAAATCACCCACGCTTCCCGGTGGGTCACTAGCGGGTATATAGCGTACAGTAAAGGCCGGGCCGATAGTAACCTTTGTATAATTGGACAACGGCTGAATTCCAAACGCCTGTCCAGCAATGCCAAGTTTATCTAGCGCATCGGAGACCGCAGGGGAGTCCAAGCCGCCAAATAGCGACACCAGTGCTTGATCCTCAGCACTAGCTTTCTTGGGGTTCTGGTTGGATACAGAACCAGCCGCGGCTGCCACTGATAATGTCTCTTTTCGGATGGCTTCAAATCGTTCGTCATGCATCACCTCAGACACAGGCTTGCCGGCGCGAACGTCTTGAACCATTAGGGTCTCACGGTGGTTAACTTGTTCCGCTAGTTTCAAGACGATATCAATGTGCTTTGCTGGGACGAAGACCGTGCCACAAGCATCAGCAATGACATAGTCATCTTGATAGACAGTGACGCCACGCATTCGCACCGGCGTTCCGGAGCTGACTTGCACCAATCGGCTACGGCCACTGATCATAGTTACATCCCGGCCGTAGAGAGGGTAGCTGACCTCGCGGCTGCCGTCAATATCCCGACACATACCATCAATGACGGTGCCGCGGATACCCTTCGTCTTCGAGGCATTGGCAATGATATCGCCCCAACATGAAACGCCCTCCAGACCCCCAGAAATCACGAGAATGCGGTCGTCCGTCGTCACCGCATCAATGACGGGGGTGAATGGATGGGCAGTGGCGGCATTGTCTGTTTTAGGTCCAACTTGCACCGTGCTAGCGCGTCCAACAATCTTTGGGCAGTCCCATAGAGGTCTTAGACCGTACGTGGCTCCTTTCAGTTGGAGGAAGTCCAAGGCATCAGACACGGCATTGGTGTCGAGAGCCGCAAGTCGGTCCAAAAAGCTATATTCACTCATGATTTCGACTTTGCTGACCAGAGAAAAGCCAGGCAGTGACGGAAGTAAAAGAAGTTGGGTTTCACTGATTGACTTGTTGTTTGAGTTACTACATACTCCTAGAGGCAGTCCTATTTATGGGCTGTATACGCCGTATCCAAATCCGTGATGTATAATTATAGCCGTCCGATGTTTGGCATGGGCAGGGATTCTACGGGATTCATCTGTCCGTTGTCGGGCCCAGCGGGCCCCAACTGTCCGTAAATACACCCCCGTGGACGGGGTGTAATTTCCGCCCCCGCGTTTTGACGGAGCCTCCACGGGGACCCCCCGCATTGAAGGCCCGGGGAAGCTTGATATTGCAATGAGCTGTGAGAGATGTCATTCATTTTCTCGGCCTTGGTAGCTGTTCAGGATTTTCGGGTCACTAGAGCAGATAAATAGCGGCAGCTGCCACACGGCATCGCCGATGTGATCATACAGGTGCTTTTTACTTCCCCCGGAAATCACAAGCTCCTCCATACTATCATGGCTGAAGAGCAACTCAAGCAAGACTTGGCCGATGAAAAGGGCTGCAGCTCCGAAAATGTGGAAGACTGCGCGATTATTACCACTATTGACGGTATCCCGGTGCTTGGCCTCCGCTTTGAAGATGCAGAATTCTATCGCAATTTCCCCCCTGAAAGAAGGAAAAGAATACTTCGCAAGGTACGTCCTTAATGGTTCTCTCAATTGAAAAGAAATAAAATTAATCAAGGCAATGCCACAGGTTGACATTAGGCTGATACCTATGCTTTGCATCCTCTACTTGATCTCGCATTTGGACCGAGCAAATATCGGCAACGCAAAAACTCTCGGCCTGTCAGAGAGCTTGCACTTGAGCGGTATTCAGTATAATATTGCACTCAGTCTTTTCTTCATACCTTATGTTCTCCTTGGTGAGTATCCCACAATATGCATGATGCCTTTTGTTGTTAACGATGATCAGAGGTGCCAAGCAATATCCTGCTGAAAAAATTTGCTCGACCATCTCTCTATTTGGGTGCTTTAATTGTCAGCTGGGGAACTATCATGACCTTGACTGGTGTGGTCCAGAATTTTGGGGGATTATTAGTTATGCGAATTCTGTTGGGAATCTTTGAGTATGACGAGCCCACACTCACTACTCCTCAATTACCTCTCAGTTTCTGATAATAAGGCCAGGGCTGGGTTCTTCCCCGGTTCGGTATATTTGTGCTCGTTCTGGTACATGCCGAAAGATCTCGCCACCCGCGTTGCCGCGTTCTTCTGCGCCAGTGCCTTATCTGGGGCATTTTCCGGTCTTGTCGCGGCTGGAATCAGCAAAATGGATGGGGCAGGTGGCTATGAAGGCTGGCGCTGGATCTTTATCATCGAGGGCTTAGCGACTGTCGTTTTGGGAATATCGAGCTTTTTCCTGATTATAGACTCCCCTCGATTGTCTATTAAGTGGCTTGAACCGGACGAAATTCGCTACCTTGAAATCCAGCATTTCATCAAAGAAGGAGGTCAGTTCCGAGACGAGCAGAAGAAGACGTCATGGAAAGATATTTGGGATATGATTCAGAACTGGAAGATTTATTTGCTGTCCTATATCATGTTTTGCCAATGTGCCTGCAATTACGGTTTGTCTGACTATCTTCTATCCTGTTTCATGGGGAAGACGAACATTGCTGATGTTGTTTGCTCCAAGGAACCAAATTTACGCTTCCTACACTCACAGAGGCAATGGGGTTCTCGGGTACCAACGCTCAGCTCATGACAGTTCCGCCTTATATTGCTGGTGCCATATCTGCCGTTCTTTTCTCCAAAATATCTGATCGATACTTCTGGCGTATGCCATTCATAGCAGCGCCCTTACTATTGATCATCATTGGATACGCGATCATAGTTGGCATCAAAGGCGAGCTGGCAACACACTTCGGTCTCAGTTATTTTGCGATCATAATTGCCTGTATGGGAATCTACCCAGTCTATCCAGCGACAGCCTCTTGGACGGTCAATAATTTGGCTCCTTCAAGCCGCCGCGCTATCGGCAGTGCGCTTAACATTTGTCTTGGTAATACTGGGGGCATCGTTGGTAGTTATATGTACCTTGATCGTGAGAGCCCGACCTATATCACGGGCTTTGGGTTGTCATTGGCCTTTGGTGTTTCAGGTCTTATCATGGCAATCATCCTCGAATTCTATTTCATAGCTGCCAACAAACGCAGGAGCATGATGAATGATTTGGAGGTTCGTGAGAAATACACCGATGAAGAATTGGTGGCTCTGGGGGACAAATCACCACTCTTCAAATACACGCTTTAAATGAAAAGGATAGTCATGAGCACTTGAAAGACATCGACTACCACTGGTATTCTTTTTCCTTATTAATTAAATTCATTGAGTACCCAAGAGTAAGAATAATCTTATGGTGATGATCCATAAAAATGACTGAGAACCCATCATTTTCGAAGAGAGACGGCAATGCTTGCAAGCGATGACAGCTGAAGCAGAACATTCAAAGAAGGGTTCATAGCTATATAATTATTTTATTATGGAAGGCATAGTGGTTTTTTGTCAGTGTTCACTGTGGACTTCATCCATTACCTTGGCCAGCATCTGATATTCGACATGCATTATGTCCGGCCTGATTCCCAATCACGTGATTTGTGGTTGCAACCGAGCAGTCACGTACCTTTTGGTCTTTCAGAAGTGAGGATGTGCAATTAATTGTGCTGGTTCTCGTATGCGAGCGGAGTTTAGGGTCCTCAAATCCTCAGCTCCAAAATTTCTCCAAAGGTCCCCCTTCACGCGACGTGAGGGCCGGTTGTTTACAGGGTAGTCTACCTGGTACCTGTGTCTGGCTGTGGATGGACCCTCCGGACTGTACACCGCATCCTTCCCCGCTCTGCATCCAGATTACGCACGCCGATACCCATCATCCTTCATCCATGGTACCAACTTTATAAAGCCATCTCAGCGGAGTCAACCGCCCCAACAGCCGCCCATATCTGCACAATGATCGTCGCCTGCACGCATAGATCCCTCGGTTCTGTTTCTACCTACCTGCCTAAGTCGTCTCGACCTGCACCACTAGTCTGACCAGCCACAAAATTAACCCCTCCCCAATACAATAAACGAGAGCAACGCGGGTCAAAGGTCTGGTACGGTTTTCGATGCGTCATCGTGAACCCGTGGAATGAGGGGACGGCGATCCGGAAATCCTCTTCGATCCACGTTGCTCCCGTCTTTCTCGCGCGCGCGGGACGCAAACTCAGGTTCACCGGGACCAGGACGTTGCGGAAGGCTAATTCTCAGTATGGTTCGGGCGGCCAAACGGTGGAGGGCCCTTTCAAGTGCGATCTCAGCGGGCCAGATCCGTTATTCAGGTGCCTCCCCTTTTTTCCTCGCTGCGCCCTCTATGCTTTCTCTGGCCCGTAGTCACATCAGACATGGGAAGATTTGAGGCGTGTCATGCTCAGAGACGGAGTCTAGACCAGAGGCTGGTGCCCAAGGCTGCGATGGGAGGGACAACGCATCGTTACTATCGAGGGTAGCGTGACACATAGTGTCGTCGACGGAGACCCAAACAGCACAGACCAGGATGAGGGGGACGAGACCTGGAGGGGATGGGGAGGGTGGAGGCACTAGGGCCACCGTCGAGAGTGCGAAAAAGAAAAATTGAAAAAAAAAAGAAAAGAAAAATTTTCCTGGCCCCAGTTTCCGTGCCCTGACCGTCGTGTTGGGACCAAGCTTGAAAGGGGAGGGGGCTGGGCAGGGAAACTCGGAGCATAAACCCATCTCAGCAAATGCAGAACGACCCTGGGCTTTGTTAGGGTCGGGGAAAGAATGATGGTGGCGAAGGGGGCGTCGGGAATACCGTCAAAACCCCAGAAACAAGAATCTCAGTGTCGCAAAATCTCAAATCTTTGAAGCCCCAGTCCAGCAATCGAAGTTGGCGCATCCCGACAGGCGGGTACCTATATGCGACTAGTCCCAACATGGTTAGCCGTGTTCCACACCGAGATCCTCCGTCTGCCAATCATAAACGTGAATGTGGCAGAGCCTATACTGGTTTTTTTTCTTTTCCCGTCCTTTCTTTTTGCCTTTTATATTACGTGGGGAATGTGCCCGCAGTTGACCTGTCGGTCGGTCGATGGGGTCTGCAATGGGTCTGCTGCTGTCTGGGATGTCCTCCGTGGTCCCCATAAGCAGAGCTGCCAAAAAGGGGGAGGGGGTTTATTCGTGCTGCGTCGTGTCGCAGGTAGATGGGATCTCCCTTATGTCTCTGTACGATGACAAGAAGGGATGGATCCGGGCTAGGATCAGGGATCATGGATCATGATACTCAGAATAGTCCTCAGACTCCAACACCAGGAGGATCAATAATCATCGTCGTATCCTAGCCCTAATTCCAGTTTCCTATGCAGGATCCGAGGGATCTACAAGAAGTCCCAGTCTGCCAGTCTCCGACCGACTTCCTAAACAGACATAGGCAAATCGCCTAATCTCTTCCTCCCGTCTCCCCCTTCCCCAGTGGACAATGGTGGAGGGCCCGGCAGCCTCACTTTGGTTGCAAATTGAGCCTTCAAAAGTTTCCTCGGTGGTGGTCTAGAGCATAGAAAGAACGCGGCCATCGTGATCTCGGCCGTTCAGTCTCCTGAAAATACCAAGAACCTATCCCTATTCCCGCCCCTCTCCATCACATTCGCATCTCCGATCCATGGGCCAGCCCAAAACGGAGGGGGGTGCGCGCGTCAAGGTTGCCATGTCCGGCGAGCAGCGGCGTCGATCGCAGGATCCGGTGGGTTGGAACGCAACGGGCAACGGGCGAACCCCCCGCTCACAGTCTTGTATGGCTCGTATGGACCTGGGGAGGGGCCAATGTGGACGGAGTATTCAGTGTATTCGGTACGTTTACTATGTCCGATGTGTACGGTACATACGGTATTCTGTACCATACGACGATGATAGACGGTATGTGACTGATCGTCTCTCTCTCTTTTTTTTTTAACGGATTCAAGAATCCATCCTCGATGTCTCGATCGGGCGCGATGAGTTGCCCCAAGTCCCAAGATCGGGTCTCAATCTCAAAAGCCCCTGACCCCTTCGTTGGCCAACCATGGTTCCGTGCCGGCCGCTGTGGGCGTTCCATGGGGCCAGCCCGTAACGGCGTTGTACACAGAGAGTATATAGCGTACTGCGATCGTCTTCTTTGTCTGCCTTCACCAGAACCTCGGAAACCTGGAACCAGCACCTTGGGAGACCTCGATGCGAGAGCGAGTCAACCTTGCGATGCAGTTTTGGCTCTGGGATTACTGGTTCTTTTGTGCTTTTAGGGGCGTTGGGGAGAGGTTTTCGTTGTTTCCGAGTCCTCCGGCTGTAGTAACCATAGAGCACGGCTGGCAGAGGGCGAGTCGGGGCCAGGAAAACTATCTTTTGCTTCCCTTTTTCTCGGTTCTCGATTAATTTGGGCTTTTTGGCCTTCATTTTGGGAGGAGATTCAAATTTGGAATCGAGTCTCCTTTCTCGATGCCGCGTTCTTGACGTAGTGGCGGGCTACTCCACTGGGATTTATCTGATGCTCCAGTCCAACGGGTTCCCGTCTTGCTCTTCTGTCCCACAGTTTCCCATAGTTTACTCTAGATTACCCTGGTATGTTGTACCATAGCTGACCCTGGCTTACCATAGTTCGATCGTCAGGCGGTATGGATTACCATGTAGATTACCATCATGATCTAGTTCACCCCCGTCGGCGGTATCGTGCACGTCCCCGCCATACCGGATAATTACCTGCAATTCCAAATCACTGGCAGGTCGTGCTAGTCGTTCTGGTGCGAGTCTGTGGCGCTCCCTATCGACCTACTTAGATCTGCTTAGGCTCGTCCGTTAGGTCGTCTCGTTTGCTGCTCCCGTGGTGACCTGAAACCGGAAATCGACCCCTCCCCCCTTTGACTATTGATTACTGTGCCCCCGATGATCACGCTTCGATGCGGATGGCCGCCGCTGATTCGAGGACGCCCGAATTGCATCACCTTCCACGCCCGTGCATCACTGGCCATCCGCCATCCGCCATCCGCCAGGCCCTTTGCGTCCGTCATGAGACGGAGGCCTGTGCCCCATATGATGAGCGATATTGCTTGATAGCTCATGTGGATAGAGAATGATGGAGGAGGAGGGTAGAAATGGCTGGCTGGAGACTTCGGTGGCGGGTGCAACACAGGCTGAAAAAAAAACACAATAGACAGCACACCTTTCCCCGATGCGATCGGGAATTATCTTTTCCCTTCCAGGAGGATGGAGCAGGAGTAATTTCGCATGAGGAGGATGTATTGGTCGCGTAGTAGTCCATTATTGGACCGGAACTGGCCTCTCGGTGATCATGGCGTAGGACCGAGGTAGATACAGAGTCTACTTTGGGTTGGGGGGGTGGCGCGCTTGATGGGAGACATACCAGACACTACTTTGGCCGGCTCGTTCACATTGGACGTCCTAGAAGGCGCATGGAAATCTGCAATGCTGCGCGCCACTCGTCCTTTTTTTCGAGACGAAATGGCCGGACTTCCCTATCGAATGAAGTATGGAACCGAGTGTTACGGGACCATGTCTTCCCGATGAGCAATGCCCCGTCCAGCATAGACGAGCATATTTTCCCCTGCTTCCCAACGCGATGGACTCCGTAAACCCGAGGTCTTTCCGGTCTAGCTTCATTTTCAGATCCTGCGAATCCAGTCCGGAGCATTCGCATCGGTCTGCCCGGACATAATTGCCCCTCCCCGCCCTCCCCCACCCAGGCGCCCTCTATCGCGATCGCGATCGCATGGTATAGTCTAAAACGCTCCAGGGAAAGCGAGACAAAGTCTCTCACACTCAGAGTGGATCATATTAGCCCTCACGCACCCAGTCAGGACGCCCGTCGCTGCTCAGGGCGTTCCACGACGGAACCCTAGTCCACAGGACCCGAAAGGAACCGCATTGGCAACGGTCTTCCAACGTCGGCCATCGCTGTTCCGGGGGGTGGATGGGGGAGTTGTGTTTCGTGAACGGGTTGGACGGACCTCGCCTAGCTATGTTCCGCCTCGCCTGCTCGCCCCCGGCTTCGACCTTTTGCTGAGATTTTCGTCCACAGGGAGACTCAATCCTTCCTGCACGTCGGGCCCGCCGGAATACCCAAGTGCCTGAGCCGCGCAGCTTTTTTAGTTGCAGCATGCACGAACGCAGCACGCTCCACGGGCTTGCGAGGGACGGAACAAGAAAACATCGATCCCCGATCAGATTGGACAATGGATGGGGATGTATGGGTGTACAGAGCCCTCTGTATGGTGGACAATAATGCTAATAGTGTCCTGTTGGTTTCTGCTTTGTGTTCCTGATCCTTTTCCCTCCCAGCCCCGCCGTTCATTCCGTCAGAAGTGACCAGTCTCATCGACGCATCCTGCGATTGGCTGGGGCCACGGGTTCCCAGCCGGACGGCAGACGAAGGTGGACGAGGAGCGCCACTTGAGTGCAGATGCAGTCGCATCGGTCAGCGATCGGGCGGACGTGGTTGGCGACGGGGGCCGTTGGGCGATGGCCCGCCTGCAGGCGCGGACGAACCTCTCGATTAAACTTTACGTGTTGATCGTGGTTTCCTGGTTCTGTTGAGGTACACAAGAGAGGGGGGGGGGGGGTGAGAGAGAAAGAAAAAGAGGAAGAAAAGGCTAGAGAGAGAGAAAAAAATACTAAGAACGTGCGTATATACGGAGTACTACATACTATATATGAGCGAGGACTCCTAAGAGGTTCATTGTACTATATCAGAGATACCTTCATAGATTCTGGGTGGTACGAATTGCTCCTCGGATCACCATCTTCTCACCTCTCTAGTGTCCCCTCCCTCTCCTTCTCCTCTTTCCTATTCTTCAAACCACTCATCATGGTTGACTCGACTCTTGTCGTCACTCTGCAGCCGTCCAGTGTTTGAAAAAGGCGCCGTGCATGGCCTGCATGGACCCCGGTGGGTCTTCCTGGTGGCTGCCATCCCCATCCAGCCTCGCCGACTAGGGTTTCTTTCCTTTTGATTTGCTCTCCGGTGGCCCCTCCGCCTCCGCCTCGGGCGGCCCTCTCTCAACTCATGCTGGGCATCCCTTGCGCAGCGGCCTCGTGAGCGTTTGAGTGGCGCATTGCGCGCCGTGAACCGTGGGTCTCGGCTCACGATCGTGTGCCAAGTAGGGCTACCCAGTTTCCCATTCCCCTCTTTTAGAGACGGGAGCGAAACGAGCCTCGGTGGGACACTCGAAGAAAACCTGATTACTGAGATACCGCTGGTATGGCCTATCATGGCTCATAGATCCATACCCGAACCCCCCTCCCCCTCCCCCAAGAGCGGCCGATAGGCTTATGGGGGACACGGATGGACTGAGCCGATGTACTTTGTGCGTCACAATATCATGTACCTCCACCACACTATTCTATTCCATGCCACCCGTGCGCCGCAAAAGCCCAGGGCGAGGCGCGATGGCGAGCTGATGTGCAACCTCAGCGTGTCGCCCATCCGGCCATCCCATCCCCAACACTCGCACTTGCAGTAGCGGCCGAGGGGAAACGATCGAAAATAGTGCATTGGCGCAACAAATAAATCGGATAAAACCAAATCAAAAAGAAAAATAATAAATAAATAAATAAAGGCGCAAAACGCATCAACCAATACCTCCCTGTGTCTGACCTCGACTTCGTACAGGATGTTCAGGATATTCTAAGACATCAATCAAATCGAAACAGTAGTTTGGGCTTTGGGAAGCGAGGAGAGAGTATTGAATGGGGGCGTTGGATGGCTTTCTCGAGAGAAGGGTCAGGACGAGCAAGTCCTACGTACGGAAGAATGGAAGTCCAGCTTAGTGACTACAGTACGAAGGATGGAATGATTTCTCAGGTTTCAAGCAAGTTATTTCATTATTTTCATTCAACTGCGTATTGCCTTTTTTGGGGGGCGAAACAATGTAAGTCAATCCCCGCTCTCGATCTCTTTCGGAGAAATAAAGCACAACTCCCCGGGACAATTCCAGTCCCATGAACCAACCCCCAAACAGGAGAAGACTAAAAAAAAAGAAAAAGGTATCAATCAATCAATAGACAGAAAAAAGCCCCAAATCAAGAGTCCCCACTTTGACCGAAAAAACACCCATATTTTTGGAAGAACCGAACCGTGGTAATACACATTATGAGTACAAAGGAAAGGGTCAACAAGAGGAAAATTGGAATCAAGAAACAAAAAGAAGAATCATAGGTAACAAGAATAGAGCGAGCGTGGGGCTTTTGGAACATGTACAAATTGCTTCTCGGAGCCCGATTGAGTTCGAGGGGAAAATGGGGAATAGTAAAAGTATTGAACAGAGAACAGCCCGTAAGGTAGACGGTGCAAATGAGCAGACAACAGAGTCGTACAGTCGTGACAAAAGAGATGCGTAATTGAGAACAAAGAAAAGTAGGAAGGTTGAACTGGGTTTAGTTGAGCAGATTGTTCACACCCATCCGCGTATCACGAGGGGGCTCGACGGGCCTTGACTGCCACGGCTTGGGGAGCGAGTCGGCCGGTTGATGCCAGGAGGCTAGGGTGGACTGGTGCTCCGTCCAGCGCCGCTTGGAGGCAATCCCGGAGAGGGATTCGAGTGAGCGAGCGGGATAGCTCGGTGAATCATCGACCACATGGACAGACACAGTACTGGGTCGGCGAACGTCGTATTGCGAACGCATCTCCGCCGACATGGGCAGAAGCTGCGGGGACGGCAGAGTGCGCGGAGATGAGGAGCAGACAGAGTTGTGGTCGGACATCATGGACGGAGGCTCAATGGAGGTGGCATTGGAAGCCTCCGAGAAGGCGGGGGAGGTAAGTGGTGTCTCGATGGGTCGGTTGATGGAGGGCAGAGTGTATATGGGAGAGAGCTGGCGGGTGGTAGACATAGACTCGCGGCGCGAGTGTGACGAGAAGACATCCGAAGAGGCGGTCGACTCGACGGGCGACTCTGCCCAGGGCCGGGTGGCATAGCGAGGGCGATTGGGGCTCACGACGGAAGCACGAGCGTAGGGAGCTTCGATCCGGCCATTGAAGGTACGGGCCGGGGCTGTCGGGGTCGACAGGCCACGGCGTTTGCGGTTCATGCTGCCATTCCACCAGTTCTTGACGGCATTGTCGCTGCGGTTTCCCAGGCGGCGGGCAATCTCCGCCCAGCGCTTGCCCATCTCGTTGACCATGCGTTCAATCATCAGGCCCTCATCAGCGGAGATGGGCTCTCGATTCAAAGACGGCTTGAGATTCTGGTGGAAACGTTCCCGACATTGCTTAGGCGAGCGGTAATGCATGTGTTGGGAGATGCGGACCCAGTTGTTGGGACCTTGTTCGCGGACCAGTTGGAGGAGCAGTTGGTCCTCTTCGGGGACCCATGGTCCACGACGGTGAGAAGGAGCCATATGGGATGTCGAAAGGTGGTGTGGCGTGGGATTGGGCGAGAAGAGGGGTGGGGAGAGAGAGAGAGAGGGAGAGGGAACGCGAGCGAGAGAGAGGTGGGGTGGAGAGAGAGTAGAGGGAGGTATAGAGAGTGAGGTTTGGATGGAGGTAAATCGAAGTTGGCAGGTGAGGAAAGACGAGGGAGGTTCTCAAGGTGTAGATATATAAGGTTGGGGTGATGAGATGGAGGAGAATGCAGAGTCCCGGACGAGAATTATTATATCTGCAACTCTGCAACCCAGGGGGACGGGTCTAAGAAAAATGTCCAGCTCCACCCGCAACACGCTATGGGAGGAAGATCACGATCCAAGATCTCGGAGCTGACAGTTCGGAACAATACAGTGGTTCTGGTACGGAGTACGGGTACGGGTGGGTACGGGCGGTACAGCTGGTACGGTACGAGAACTGGAAACGGCGGTCCAAATGAAATACCTTATTGAGCCGTAGCACGACAGTTCAGCGCTCGGGGGCGGTACAGAACCATGATTTAGGTCCTCCACCACCGCCCTCCCCCCCAATCCTCCCTCCCCAATACCTGGGGCCCAGGCATTGGGAGGTTCGGGGGCTCCACCACACCCAAACCAGGTCCAAACCAGGTACGTCCTCCACCCCCTCCCCCCCATTCCTCCAAAAAAGGAGAACCGTCAATATCAACAAATCTATACCACGATTTGGGCCGACTCAATTCACTTCAACGAGGATGATCTTGAGAGGTAACGACGAATTCAAGCCCCATCCTCTAGCCTCAAACACCATGGCAATGGGCGTTACAAAATGCTCCGGGGATCGTCAGTACGACCCGGGAATCCGGGCTGAGGAAATACCGTAATGATCGGAGGGATCGACCCTGAGCCCCGTTGCTGGAATTCCAAATCACTGCCCGCGCTAAAACGAGACTATTTTGTGGAAAAATGGCATTTAATAAATCGAATTAATCTAATTCCAAAAAAGAAAATTAACCATTTTTTAATCCATGAAATCATGAAAATCCCTTTGGGACAGTAGGCCTGAGCGTCCACACAGCAAACAGAGACTCCTGCAATGATCAAATAATCATCATACTTCGATCCTGAAGATTGACTCTCGATCAATTTGGGCTTGAAGGAGGCTCTTTCTGGGCAGGAGGAGGTTTTGTTGTTGTTATTGTTGTTGTTGTTGTCGTCGGGGGGTCGATTTTCATTGCTCGAATTCTCTTGGTCGCTTCGTACCTTTTTTTTCTTCCCCAGCATTTACCACACCTATCCACCTATCCACCTATGACGGACTCTCTGGACTATGATGGTCCTAGTTTCTCATGGTCCGGGCCTGTGCGGAATTCAACGGGACTAGTCGTGCCTCGACGTCGTGCAGAGGGTCCCAAAGCGTTGGTTCAGATGCGGGTGCAAATCCAGACGTAGCAAAATCTACAGAAAAACTAATTCGACAAAAAATAAAAGCGAGGGGAAAAAAAAAAAAAGTAACAACCTGGAGCATCAAAACTCACCGGGAGCGAAAAAGCAATATTCACTGCCTAGGCCAAGGGGGAACGATCTTCCTCGACTTTCCTCGAAAATCGGCGGAGGACTCTATAGTACATCCGTCTATAGTGACGCCCACGGTGGCATTCATCCATAGAACCTGGTTATCGACCCGTTAGGTCACAGCCAAAGCAGAAGTACGGAAGATGATTGGAAAGGGTCTGGCGTACTTGTCCCATCGCAATATACGGAGGGCTCGGTACTTTGTACGGAATCTGGATACTCTATACACTTGGCCTTCCCAATGCAGGAACCCTGTCCAGTCTCCCCTGACCAGCGCGACCAAATAGTCCATCCACCTCTCTTGTCTCCCTTCTTTCTCCTACGCTTAACCTCCTAGTCAATGGGCGACCCCCTTCTCCAAACCCGAGCCAGGGGCAGATCTGATTTCCAAAAATTGACAAGCGAGAGGCGCCGTGGGAGGGTCAAAATTCCCCCATCCTTTCAGCCAGCCATGCACGACACTTGCTCGATCGAGTCCGATCCCGGTGCCATCGGCCATTGTCCGCTCCTCATTGGCCCGATCGGCGGCTGCCCTCGAGTTCAACCGGTGGAACCTGTTGAACCCACCGTGGTGGATCATCCCCAGTGGAGCTCGGATCGTGACAAATTCCCTACAATCCGGGTGTGCAGAAGACAATTGGAATATGGGGAAATACACTCAGCCCTGATGGCCCTGAGCCCGGCGGTTAGAACGCCGCAACGGCAACTCCGTGGTCTCACAGGATCTGAGGATGGAGATCTCTGCCTCCAAGATTAAACACAAATCAACGAATCCTCGACGCAGGACACCTCCCGAACAAGTCCGACGTCGATTGTGGATTATGGATTATTTCATCGGTCTGACGGGTGGGAATGTGGATCGACGGGCGTTGCACGTCTTGTCTCCCTCGCGGACGGAGTACGAACGGGACACTCTCTCACCCCCTTCTTCCCTGGCGTTTCCCCCATTCTAAGCGTGCCTTGCAGCTCTGGCTGCCCCTCACCTACTCCAATCAAGTTTGGCTGGCAACGTGATGGATATGATTTTGACACCCATCATCTCTGATGCACGCGCCCACGCATTACGCTGTCCCCCTTTTCCCACGAGTCCTGTCGGTACTACAGATTATCATCGATGTCCAGTCTGCATCATCACTCAACCTGCAGGGACTTCAGGTCATGCAGTCCAAGAAACCAGCAAAACAAATCAAAAAGCAAATACACATACATTTCCCAAAGAGTGGGAAAAAAAGGGAGAAAGGAAACGCGCATGGACCACCTGCCACCTGTCACGGTGCGGTTTGGGGCGATCCCCGGCTGTGACGTGATGTATAGAAGTTGAGCTTCGACGGGAAATCCATTCCACCAAAAAAGGAAAATGAAGCCCCCCCTCCAAGGAAAAAGAAATCGAAAAAAGAAAAGGTGATAAAAAGAAACGAGGAACCCACCACAGCCAGATCGGAGGGGGAGAAAGACGAGGGGCGATCGCCTCTCGTTCGGCTGCATGCTGCGCGCAATGAGCTGTCGGAACTCTCCCCCTGGTAACCAATCTATTTCCCGTCTTTCATCCCACTATTCCCACCCTAACGCTCTGGTGTACCGAATATTCCCCTCCCCGTGGACCGCTGGAGCCACATCGGAGGACCACTGGAGACCAGGAACTGAGCTGGTCCCTCCTCGCACAGGGCCCGATACATCCAAATCGATCGAGGCTAGAGGGATCGCCTGGTCTCTGTGAGATTACCCGGTTGGGACGCCCGCAGCTGGCGCGCTCTCCACTTCAGTGGAAACCGTTGAAAAACCACGACAAAAAAGAAGGTCGCAAGCCACACCTTTTTTCCCCTCCCTTTTCCTGCATTTTTTCTCTAACATACAGGAGTATGTACGTAGCAGTTACTCGGTACGCAGTACAGCGTATGGAGTACCGTGGTATGTACGTCTTGGTTCGTCAAACATACAATATGTACATTCTCTGTGCGTCGTACTCTGTCGATTCCCAGGGCTCGATATGCGGCGTACTACAACCTTCCCTGGCAGGTACGACATGAACACATACTTCCAGCACTTGTCGCATCTGGTCCCCGAGCACAGAGTATACGACCGATCAATAGTCAATTTTTCTCCAGCCCTCTCGAGGCTCGACCACACAGTATCCTGTACGTCATAGATTACCCCATACATTCCGTACTGGTGGTATTGTCTCCTGGTACGTGGTATTCTCGATCTCGTTTTCACCGTTTCCCCTCCTTCTCCTTCTCCTCCTCCTCCTCCTTCTTCTCCGCCCCCTAAAAACAAACCCACGCTACTGGCGGCCCACCATGACGAACCTCTCTCCCCCACCCTCATTGGTCCAAGTATTTGTCATTGTGCTATTTCTGGTAAGGATCGTAGGGCGGGTATCGACAGCCTGGTAAAACTGGACGATATTTAATCTATTCCAGACGGGACAGGCCTCCAGCCCGTATACTTTCCTCCACTACACTAGCTAAACAGAGCCCCAATGTAAGATGGGACAAACGGAGTCGCTAAAGGGGGAGAGACTTCATGTACGGAGTAGATGGGGAGAGGAGTAAAGCCATGGATAAATTAAACCTGACAGCAGTGGAGCTGAATCAATATGGGCCGTGCTATTTTTTGCCCGCTTTGCCCCAGGTGTCAACCGCTCGCCCCCTTTTTTTTTCTTAAACTTCGTTAAGGGAAAAAAAATAAAAATAAAAATAAAAAATAAAAAAAAAGGCCGAAATGACAAGAAATCTACGCCGTCGACAAAAATAGGTGGAGAGGGAGCAAGATGTCAAAATAACAACGACCCGCCACCCAGGAAGAAAGAGAAAGAAGACAATTGAATCGAGAATACCAGAACAAGAGGAAAAGTCAAGACAGGCCCGTCAGCCATGCGAGATCCCCCTCGTGTGGACCGATCGGATATCCAAACTTCTGGGCCAAAAAGCCGTTGTGAAAATGAGGAACCCGTCGTCCTGGGAAGACCTGCATCATCGTCGCAACCACCCCCGGACCACCATGCAGGCTTAGTTCGTCCGCCGGTTCCCAGCCGCCCAGGACAGCTTCGCTAGCCTTGGTCACTAACCCATTAGTGAGTTCCGTTCAGGGCCTCTAGGGCCAGAATATGAGCTGTCATCCATGGGCCTCCCCCGCCGCCAATCAGTGACACGGCAAGTATTTGAGATAAATCCCTGTCGGTCTGCAGGGATCACCGCTGATCGCGCCCGTGCACGTCCAGACTGGAATCGGTCCACGATGGGATTCGCGGGAAGTGTTGGAGAACTCGGTAGGAGAAGTTACTCTCTCGAGCCAGGACCCAGCATCACCACGAAGTCCGAATGCCCCCCTTCTCACCTCCCGCTCGGCCCCTATCAAGACTTTGACTCCTTTTTTCGGTTTGTGTGAAGGGCAATGGAGCCTGGTTTCGAATCCGGTAGGAGGGGTTATCGGCACGGGCGATA